CAGAGCAGGATGAAGCGAATGATCGAATTGGGACTGATGGACCCCAATACCCAGCCACACCCGGTCGTTGCGGACGAGGTTACAGAATGGGAAAACATGACCGAGGAGGAGCAGGCCAAGAGCTCAAGAAGCATGGAGGCCTTTTCCGGCATGGTCGAGGTAGCCACCTGTTTGAGTTCTTACTGAAACTATCAGCTAACCTGGCCTAGTCCATGGATATCAACATCGGCAAGGTACTAGACGAGCTAGAGAAGCAAGGAGAGCTTGATAACACCTTTGTGATCTTTCTCAGCGACAACGGCGCAGAGGGCGCGGCATATGAGGCATATCCAATGATTCGCGGTCCACTTCTCGAGCATCTCGAGAAGTATTACGACAACAGCCTCGAGAACATTGGAAATGCCAACTCCTTTGTCTGTAAGTGGCCTACTCGCGTTATGTGTCCTCTTCTCTATCTAACCGTTCCAAGGGTATGGTCCACGGTGGGCGATGGCCGCCACTGCACCATCTCGTCTATACAAAGCATACCCGACCGAGGGTGGAGTTCGCGTGCCTGCTGTCGTGCGTTATCCGAAATTCAAGAAAGAGGGAATCTCGGACATATTTGCCACCGTCATGGATTTAGGACCAACTATTCTTGAGATGGCTGGCCTGACCCACCCGGCACCGGAGTGGAAAGGCCGAAAAGTGGTCGACATGAGAGGCAGGTCCATGACCAAATGGTTCAACGGAAAAGACGAGACTGTACATGAGAAAGATTTCGTCCAAGGGTGGGAGCTTCTCGGCCGTGGTGCTATCAGAAAGGGAGATTGGAAGGCAGTTTTCATCCCCAAACCAAAGGGTACCGAAAAGTGGCAACTATACAACCTGGACAAAGACCCAGGCGAGGTCAATGATCTTGCTGAGCAAGAACCAGAAATCCTAAAGACACTACTTGTGCTATGGGATCAGTACGTATTAGAGAACGGCGTCATTCCGATGCAGCCCGAATTAGGAGAGTATGTCGAGGCTCTAGAAGAACAGATGACGGAACAGGGTTGGATGGAGTACGAGTTCTGGCATCCGGGTGCGATTCAGAACCCAGAGAAGTTCATTAAGAAGCCACCGAGGTTCCCGAGCCAACGTCCGCAGAAGGCTGCTTGGATGGATTAGCTATCAGGCTCGGGCACTAGGGCTGTCAAATGATGCCAAGATACAATGATTCTCTCACGATCCTGGGTCAGAGGTCCAAAGTGTGCATCGAACAATGACTTTTTATGGCTTGTAGACAGTTATAATTCCTACTTAGAACGACACTCGTCTCAGCACCCTAGGTCGCGAGAAAGTCTCCTAGAGCAGCGTAAAACGCCTTCGAAAAGATACCACGGCAGATAAGAAAGCTTGTCAAATTTAGAGAGGGCACTCATAGCTGCCAAAGGCGAAGCATAAGGCAGGCATCCAGCCCTTCACTCGAGACAAGGCCAGACCATAGCCCTAGTCAGTAGCAGGATCGATCCGATCACTCACATCTTCTTTCGCTCCTATCTTGGAATGGCGGCCTCAGCTTACCCCTTATTAAAGAGGGCCTTAAACACTTAAAAAAAGAGCTAGATCCATACAAAATCAAACGGGAAGGGCGAGACACGTGACTTCCAGACATCCTCCATGTCATCTGACTGTCGCTAGTGCAATCCCCCATACGCGCCAGTTCAGCACCGAGATAGCGTGGGCGCTCGAGAAACTGCACATGCAATTTCCAATGATAGAATAGGAATCATGGCTGGTGAGAAAACACGTCTACTCGTTTCTTATGCATGGGAAACCGCGACTGACAAATTTCGAGGTTGCATTACTTGCCGCCAGAGAAAAGTCAGTTTGAACACCAAAGGTCTACCGGATATGGAGTCTGACGAGTCTGTAGGTCAAATGTGATGGAAGACCGGGGCTGTGTCGCCGCTGTGAGAAATTGGGCATTCAGTGTCTGTCCACAGGTTGGCCGTAGCCTTTCCACGGAATGTGCTGAGAATAACTAACCACAGTAGGGCCGCCCCTCTCTCCACAAGGCACAGACTCGGTAGCACGGGCCTCGAATTTCACTCAGGCTGGCCACAAGCGTCTGCGGATTCCAGTTGCGTGCGAGACATGTCGAAAGAAGAAGCTCAAGTGCGACGCTCAGAAACCTGCATGCTCCTTTTGTGTACGGAAACAATCGCAATGCCTATATGTGACAGCTGGTCGGCGATGGGGCGAACTAGACAGCAAGATCTCGCCGAGATATGCACCTTCAGAGAGCTCAGAACAAGCCGCCGAGCTACCGAGGAACTCACCCCTCAGCTATGATACATCTGAGGCGAGGGAGACGACTTTACTCTCTAGCCATGCTGCAGAAGAACAGTTCTCCAGGTCTCCGGGAAGAGTCAGTCAGTCTGATGTATCGGCATCTGAAAGAGGTTCTGAGAGGCGGGTGAATGAAATGAGTGTGAACTCTGCCCATAGCCCAAGGCCGGCTCCATCCGAGCCACAAATACGCACGTTGGGAACTCCCTCGGGCCAAGAACTGCTACCATACCTGGATTCTTTCCTGGAGAATGTCCACCCAATCAGTTGTAACAACTTTTTGCATCCAGGCTACTTGTGCGAAGGCCTTGACCGAGCACCGGCCTTGCTACTGCTCGCTATTTGTGCATCGTCGTCCAAATTTCTTCCTGGTTCCAGCAGCCGTAGGAACGGACTGAAATGGGCGGCAGAAGCGAGGAGCTTGATCACGAGTAACTTCGACCACATTTCAACAATGACCATCTCAGCGGTGCAATTTCTAGTTTTGCACGAGATGCACGAGGGAGAATATACCTCCGCATGGAACTTAGTTGGTATGGTGCCAAACTGCCTCGAGTCATTGTTGATGTGGCACTGACATTTTAGGAATCGCTACTCGAATGTCGATGCAACTTAAGCTCTATGAGTCCAACTCACCGGGGACATTTCTGCAGCAGGAGTGCCGGCGTCGCCTAATGTGGGCGGTGCTGGTATCTGATCTCCTTTACGAGAGCAACAGTCATATCGACCTAGAACTGTTGATGGATGTACCCTTACCATGCAATCTATGGAGCTTCACCCAAGGACAACCTTGCAAGACTCTGACACTTCGTCAACTTCGCGGCGTGGTTGAAGATGAGGCAATAAAGCAGTCCTCTAATCACTGCGCATACCTGATTAACATTCTGGTGATTCGACGCAAAATCTTGACGTGTGTCCACTTATCATATGATCCTGCTCTTAGTCGTTGATTTTCTAACCGTAATAGTTACATGCAAGAAGCCCAAGACTCAAAGATGGACTTGCCCTGGCTTCCAGGGTCTAACTTCTCCATACTATGTGAAGAGTTAGAAACATGGAGGCGCAACTTACCAGCCAACTATGCTTTTGTTGAGCGTCACATGTACACTTTCAGAGTCAGCCGGCATCTTGACATCTTTCTTATGATCCATGCGTATTATCACCAATGCTGTATCATTCTATTTGGCGCCTTCGTTCCCGAAGATGTAGGCTCAAAAATCCAACGCTTCGTAACGCAAATTTCTCCCGAGTTCATCCAGACTTGTTCAGATCGGTATGTCTCCCACGCTAGAGATATTTCGTTCCTGATACAGAAGGTCTTAAAAGTCGAGCCTGATCATCTGTTCCGTGATCCGTGGCTCAGTCTTTGTATCTGGGATTCGACATCTGCTCTGCTCGCGTCAACTAGGTGGCAAGAAAATAGGAATTCTTACAGGGATGATGTCACGGAGCTGGTGAAGTTGAATCTGCGAGCTCTGGAAAATTCTATGCCAATTATAGTCCTGGCTAAGAAAGTCGTGTGTGATGCCAGACCACCTGATTAGTCCTTCATTACTAATGCATTCCAGCATGGATTTTGTTGCGCTGCCGCCAGAGCTTACGGCATCGAAGTTCCCAAGGGGCTTTCTGGGGAGGATGTGGAACGGTACAGTCTACTTTGTTGCACCTTCTTTTTCGAGGTTCTCATACCATTAATAGGGCACCATTCGAGCCAGGGCCGCTTAATGCAGCTGATGGGATATCTCGGCGATATCCGTTCTTCTCCTCTATGAAATCTCGGGATTCTCCCGAATGGGACCAATTATTTCATGCTACCAACATCAGCAATCATGCAGCTCTTACACAGCCATCTGCATTAACCCCCTCTCGACCTTTACATTCAATTCCCAGCCCAGAGCCATCAATATTCCAACCTAACCACACTCTATCAATCACTGAAGAGCTTTCTTACTTAAACACTCCTAGCATGCCAATGTTAGCCTCCTGGCCCATGGATAACTTCCAGTGGTGGCAAATCCAAGATCCAGACATGGATCCAGCAGCAGCAGCAGCAATAACCGGCCTTGTACTTTCTATCCCCACGGATCAATAACTGCTCCATCGCTATGTAATAAGCTGAGCTTCTATAGGTTAATATAAAAGGGATTCCCAAGAGATAAACCTGTAGTAAGTTTATGTTGGTGGATTATTTCCACCAGTCACATTGGATTTCTTCATCCTGACATCCTCTGTTGGACAACTGGTTGGATTCCCCGGCCAGTTGTCTTACGCGCCGTCAAATTCACTCTCCCATAACTTACCCACTCCAGTGGTTAGACAGACGAGGCGCCAGACAGAAATTCGACAAGTTTGTCATTCACTGGCGACGACAGTGTGCCCTCGAAGGTATCGAGGTACCAGCTCCAGAACTGACCGAGGGGTTCCAATACATGTATCTGGGCATTCAACAAACTGACGCATCACCACCCAACACGTCAACTCCCCAACAGACAGCTGAGGAAGGCGCCGCATTGATACGGTGCATGGATGGATGACTGCAGGTACCTTGGAACGCCCGGATCACGTGGCGACAAGGAAACTACCTAGGTACCGCGACCTAATCAGCAAGTCCCGCCAAGTCAGATCGTGTCACCTCTCACCCGCTTTCAATTCCTGGATCACTATATACAAAGCCGCCAGTAGAAATGGAGTCCCGAATTGAACTGTCTGCCATGCACCAGCTTGCTGAGGTAATAGTCGCTTCCTCCAGGAATGCCCTGCTATCATCTAATGAACCAATGTGGTTAGGCAAGGGATGAAGACGACAACTGGACTGGGTTAAAAGACAGGGAAGCCAGACGCAAAAGGCAATATCGTCTGAATTCTCGATCATACAGTTGGTGATGCTCTTGATTTGCGACTACCGTACATATAGCTGTTCTGGCTCACAAATAATTGCAGGAAAGAGAAAACTCTTGCAAGACAAGTCGTCTCAGCAAGCTGTTCAAACCGGGCCTCACCATCCGTCATTCCCTTCAGCAGCTGAGCAAACTCATATTTATGAGAGTCTTGGGGCTGCATGGCAATGCATTCATCGCACGCGCCACGCTTCTCGTAGCTCCTTAGAATGCATGATTGTTACTGTCCCTTCATTTGCGCCGTTTCGCCTAGACGGGAGTACAGTGTTCCCACTGTCTTCTGACCATCTCATTCCCCTCGTACAATTCAATGCTTTTCGCGGTACCTTGACAAACATGATGATTCTATCAGTGACGCATCTCATCCCTCCCGAGTGCGACATTACAGAAGCTCTGCACTCGACGCCTCTCTTCACTCCGCCCCCGGCACCGCCACCTTCACTGATGCCAACGGCGCTCCAGCAATCTGTGCCACACGACACGTGGATCGATCTTCTTCCTGACGCGACCGTGCGTGATAACGCCATTCGCACCATGCACTTGTTTCGCGCAGAAGACATATGTGGCGACATGTTGGGAAATCCTCAACAAGGAAGAAATACGATTGAGATGAACGGAGTGTTGGTCTGGGGAAATCCGTGGGATGCCAGCGGCTGGGAAATGACTGAGGGTTTCCTGAAGAAATGGGGGTTTCTGCTCAAAGGCTGCTGGGAGGCCATGGCAGCGACGAACCATTGGAGGGCGCAAAGGGGAGATGAGCCGCTTGTTTTCGATGTTTCATAACCATCTGGCCACCACAAATGACGGAGTGGCACAACTTAAGTGAATATTTGGGCTGCATATGATTGCAATAGAGACTGGATGGTTTTTGGAGTGTAACCCTTGGATTTAAAGTATTAAAGTATTAGCAATATGTAATATGACATTAGTAGATGACTGTATAACCGCTGCTCCGACACGTTGGCAAATTATCTCGCGTAAAGTATCCCCAGCCTCACATAAATGGCTTGACTTGCTCTTCTGACCATTCCCAAAATTTCTCTGCGATACCAGTCCCGCCCTCGGCCTTGGACTTTGAGCCTTCGACCAGATCAGGCCTCTGACTGCTGAAGCGGCCCCACGGCTGGATCCAAGCACCGCTCTTCTCCAGGGTCACTTCTGGCGAGAGACCAGCAAACAGCTCAGTATAAGCGCCGTTGATCGGCGGATACACCATCATGTTGATGACCACCATCTGCAACGACGAAACATGGCGTTGGAGCTCAGTCTTCAAATTGCCTGGGTGGAGAGACACGCTGACGATGCCATCATTCCGGTGCAGTTTTGCATACTGCGTTGCGTAGTAGTAGACCCCGGCTTTGCTGATTCCGTATTTGGTCCATTTGCCAATATCCTTTTTGTAATCCATGTTGTCGAAATCTATGCCCCCGGGTGGAGAACGGTGAGTCGCCGATGACGATACCCAGATCACACGAACAGAGCCAGGAGCAGCAGTCTTTGCCGTGCTTATCAGCAACGGAGTGAGAAGCTGCGTAAAGAGGAAAGTTGCCAGGCAGTTGACACCCAGCTGCTCCTCATAGCCTTGTTTTGTTCTCGTACCAGTAGGAGAGAGCATTACACCAGCATTATTCCACAGCACATCTAATCTTGTTTCGAGTCTGAGAAACTCGTCGGCCGATTGTTTGACGGAAGACAGGTCGTTGAGGTCGAGATGTAGATAAACAAGTTCCCCTCGCGATTCTGGATGCGCAGCTTTGATGTCGGCTATTGCTGCCTCGGCTTTCTTCGTGGATCGGGCGGTGATGTAGACTTTGGCGTTGTGCGAATATAGAATCTTTGCCAGCTCTTTACCGACTCCACTGGAACATCCAGTCACCAAGAATACCTATAAACAATCAGCTAGGCTATCTTTCCGAGATATGTGGTATTTGACATGCCTTTCCAGCTTGGCCGCTGATGGAATTCTCGGTGAACTGAGGCTTTGGCGGGAAATTATCTCTAAATGCAGGCATCCTGGATCTTTTCGGTATCACTCAACGCGTTAACCACAGGTAAATATGTGGTGGATATGGGACGAAGATACTGCTTTCCGGAGAACTGAGCCTATTGCAATAATTATATGGGATGTATAATTCCAGCTTCTCTGGAGCGGTAAATGGCCTTTATAATTGCTTGAAAGATACTGTGATCTCGGCCATGTGAAGCGTCCACTTCACGTAAGCAAGCACCAGGCATCTTGTTTGACTCCATCGCCACCCCAGCGGTTACCAACATGCCCATTTTAGATGGCCATCATCCACCTGCATTAGCGTCATCTGCCTACATTAGCGGCATTTACTCAAGGCCTCTACCCCGTCTTGCTAGCAAATAATCTTCAACTTGCAATCAATAGGAGACGATTCCTGGAGCGGCCGATCTGAGGTCAGCAGCATTCCTAGAAGCAATCACAGGCAGATGTAGCTGCGAACGACAAATATGTATCAAATTTCGAGGGTAGTGGACAAATTTGAAAGCCGAAGGTGGAGGTATTCTGCGGTTTTGGCAGCAACAGTCCCTCGTGTATGTGTACCTATTTACGGTTGTATAATTTGAGAATAGGATGTCTTACGTCGCCTACTCTTTTTAACCGACTTCTTATTAGAATTATATATACTACAAATAATTGAGCTCTTGGCGCCCTTCTACCAATCCATGCCATCAGCCATATATGATGCGATGCATTTATGCGCTTGGCTCCTACATGTTGGAGACATCAGTACACAGACACCTCCTAAATTCTCCTGCGAGAACCATTCTTCCACTCACGTCTGATCTGCCAGTCAGCGACAAAAGCGCGAGACTTACCTGCAGTGTTCAGATCGGGACCAGACTACGACGTACGGTGATATTGCAACCACTTGGGAAGTCTCGTCATGGAAATGTCTTGGAACATTTGAAAAGGTGCTTCTTACGAGCTATTATGGGATAAAAAGCTTTAATAATGGATTTAATTGTCATGATCATTTAGTTTAGCTGATAAGAGACAGCTAGATATGCTTTTTAGATCGATTTCGTATCTTGTCCGAGATGAGCGGACTCATAGCGACCTAAAATGAGCGACTATTATAAACTCAGCTATCTACAGTCAGATGATCCAAGGCGGTGCCTACGGGGTGGATATCTTCCCTGCCTGAGCATCTCTGAACCGCCGTGTTGCTTTTTGCCTAAGTGAGACGCTGATTAGAGAAAGGCTGGGCGTTAGGAATACCGATGCTATTATTTCGGCTGCTCTATGCCCAGTCAGATTCTGAACTCGCTACCCTTGTAGTGGGATAGGCAAAATCAGCCGTGATTGTCCGGCGGCAAGTTGTATTGTGTGTTTTGTTGGGCGCATTTCCACAGCTGTCATCCTGTTCTCTCCAGTGCCCAGATTCCTCGCATAAACCGGCCATGAGCCACCGGCAATGGTGAGTCGAACTCTGGTCCCTTTGAGGAACTGATGTGCGCAATCACGTAATTCGACCGTCACTGGGCTTTCAGGATCTCTCTCGGGATCAATTGCATGGTATTCCTCCGTGATATTGTGCGACACTCCATTCAGGTCGACCTCGCTTAGCCGGATCCAGAGATCTGCATGCCCGGTGTCAGAAGAATGCGTGAGATGAACCGACGGTACGCCCAGCACCAATAAACCATTGTCATCCTCAATTGGACGGCTAGTGAATGTTAGCACGTCAGTGCGGGCGGCGTAAAAACTATCGTCAATGCGACCTGATATTGGGAACAGTAATGGTCCGCCTACAGCTGGAGTTGGATTTGCTGGGTCAAAGGTGAAAGACGTAGAAGTAGCCGTCTTTGGCGGTGGTTGATCCGATATACCCTTGTCTTCATCCAGATACATGACAAGTTGTGAAGATTTCGGTGGCCAAACTGTCATAGTTTTCCACTCGTCAGATCCAGAAATGAAGACACGGGCTTGTGGAAGTTTCGGTGTGTCAGACTCTGGCTGCTTGCCACCGACGGTTCTCTCAATGAAACGAAAGACATCTCCGCCAACCTTTACCTGACCAGCTTCTCCATGATCCCAAGGTCCGATGATTAGCTCGACCTGACAGCCACGCTGTTGTAATCGTTGATACTGCTTCAGAGTCTGCTGAGTAAAAGTATCGAACCATCCGCTGGTGAGAAGAATAGGCATATCAACGCTGACGCGCTCAATAGCCTCATGCTGCCTTTTGTTCTGCCAGTAAGCGTCATCTGGAGATGGCCTCATTACAGCCTCCAGTGCCGACGACTCGCCTTGCCCAAGTAGAGTCGCCATACCGTCTCTCACAGGGAGAGATTCAAGAGCAGCATCGGCGGAACGTTTTATTGAACCCAGACGCATCAAAGCAGGAAAAAGTGCAGGATCTTCTTGGTGAGTCAGTAGATTTGACCATGTAACACGTTCAAGGCGAAAAGCACCAGATCCCCAGTGCCAGTCCCAGAAATCGTGAGGTCCTACTGAGATTGCTGAAGCCACACAATCTTTTGGAGGATCTCGCAACAGTGACCACTGCGCCCAACCATTGAAAGAGGCTCCTATAGTTCCAAAGCGACCGGGATACCACGACTGCAGCCTCATCCAGGTAACGACGTCTGCAGCATCGCTTGCCTCGTCTTCTCCGGGAATGCATATGCCGTCAGATCCAAACGTGCCGCGCATACTAACGATGAGGACATAGTAACCTCGGGCGGCAAATGCATGTCCCGAGGATAATGAGGTGAGCAGCCCGCGGCCATATGGTGTGAACAAGAAAAGCAGTCCAGATGGCGACGTTCCTTTTGGTAACCCGACCGGCTCATAAAGGTCGCCACTCAGATTGATACCGTCACGCATCGGGATGCGGACGGGCTCGACGCACCAGCTGCACGATTCGCGCGGGAGTCCCTGCTTCCATCCAGCGAACCAGTCGATGGCTGCAGTAAGGTAGCCGCGATTAGTCTTTGATGTGGGTGCCATGGTTTCAATATTGGCGCAAGCAGTGGAATAGAATTACTCGACTTGTGTTTGAAGTGCTATGGAGATATTGGAGGTACTACATAGACAGTTTGTCGTGGGCTTCATAAAAGAAGAGCGACTCTCCACAACAATAGCACCATGCCAACATAAATTGCGGAATTTCCGACGTCCGCGGCTATCAGTAGGGAGAATGGCTCTACTTTTATAATAGATGTCATTTCTGACGACTTGACGTATGTGATTTTTGGGAGCCGAGCTCCCTCGGAGGCGTTCGATGTAAATTGCCCGCGCATCAAACTGGAAAGCTTGCTGACCGGCTGACAGGACTAGGTAGAAAACGGAGTTGGGTTTGCGGTCTGAAGTGGAGAATATCGAGATCTGTCTTACTCCAAAAATACTACCCCATGACTCGATTGGTTTGGATCGGTTCTGCGAACTCCGCATGCTTGAGCGGAAAGTCTGCCGTGTCCCCTAAGAGCTGCGTCCAAGACAAATAATTTGTCTACATACCTGCTTAGGAATGATCAGGGGAATAATCAAGCGTACTCAAACCATCTCAAACATTATAACAGCGTGGTTATCATATCTGGGGTAAATCAGATCGATTGGTTCATGGACGGGACCCTCAATGTTTCCGCTTTTGCCGTGCGTTAGGGCCCGTCGATTCAGGCTGCAGAGATTGCAGTCTTCGTTCGGACTAGAGTTGCACATTTACATCACAACCTGGACGTTCTCCATTTCGTCTTTGGGGAAACTCCACTTTTGACCGCGCATAGCAAGCCACTGTATGCAGTCCAAGTGATCATATGTCTCCTTAATGGACTCATGCCAATGTAATATGTACCGGCTCGTGCTAGCCGCAACATCAAAGGGCATGCTGTCGGGTCTTCAGTAGGAAATCCAATCATACCGCCGGTGTGAGCAAACAAAAGGTTTATTCCATTCAAGTCTGGACGATCGCTCTATTGGTCGCCTCGTACATTTCTGTCCCGTTCTCACCAAAGGTGCCGCGTAAGAGTGTAAGTCCACTCAAACCGGCCATTCGCGAACCATGCGAATGACGATGCTAGCGTAAGTGACTGCCAGGATTGCACTCCACTGAGCGTGATATCTTACTCAATTCAAATCATCGTATAAACAGATAACTTGTCACGCACATGCTGGCTATGCATTTTTCTCTGTGATTTAACACTCTGACATACAGTAGCAAGAGTAGGTACCTAAGTACTGGTCACCACCATCACAGGCCCACATTTGACTGCAAGGCAAGCTGGATGCACTGCGCTATTCAATTTCCCACAGCTAAACTTCAAGAGACTAGGACATACCAGTAAATAGGTCTCATGTTTTTAAGCGTAAGTTTCCATTTATCCATTATTTGCACAAGCACTGGAAGTACGTAAGAAAACACAAAAACAGATCCCAGGGCAAGAACCATTTCATCTGCTAGGGTAGGCTAGTGTGCATTCGAATGTTTAATACAGCAGCGGGGACGGGGCAAGCATGTGCCGCCAAATCCAAAGGTCCCCTTGAGCTTCGGTTAAAAGAAGTACTATGCAGTCTTTCAATTGAGAAAAGGCTAGATTTTGCTCGATCGGGGAATGACGCTGTGATGGGGGTCTGAGAATGCTTCACAGGAGGGTTTGTGGTGTTGCGCTAGACATAGGTAGATAAATACCCGATGTATGGAGCATTTTTGGGCCAAAGCTTATTCGGCAACTGCTTCACTTTCGCTGCGTATAATACATTGCTATATTTTCATGAACTTCAATATTTCCAACTAATCAGTTGTCCTGTAGCCTTAGTTGGCTACTTCTTTCGAGTTGCCTTAGAAGCGATTTGGCATCCTCACTCGCTTTCATGGGCGCTTGGCCGCCGTCCGTGTTCTCTGATAGCTCCTCTGAGGAGCCAGCGGGCGGGTCGTTGGTCGCTTTGACAATGGATGTTACCAAAATGTATCCTCGCAACTCTCGGACCTCATCGCTATCTTCTTTCTCTAGGCGAAAACGCTCATCTTTGGTCATCTTAGCTCTGCGGATATCTTTGATCTCCCGTATAATCCTCTCAAGATCCTCCTCGGAACATCGATTCCGCTCTAAAGCAGTTTTGTCTTGTCGCACATATCGTCGTGTCACATCTGCAGCCCCATCGTAGGAAAACCCAATACAGTAAGACATTTTCTTTCCCCAGCCATTTACATAAAGCAATGGCGAGTCCCAGGCTTCTTCACATGCATCCACATGGACCCATCGCTTTTGGTGGTTCGAGAAGACTTCGGTCCATACATGGTCCTCGGCATTCCAAACCCACCTGACGCGTGCGCCAACGGCTCGGCAGAGCAAGGCGAAGCAGTTCGTCCATTCGCCAACTCTCCCCCGTCGAGTTTGGAGTAACTTCCAAGCATCACCATATCTAGGGAATCGGACATATGCACCACAGCGTGGGGATGAGCACCGGTAAAGTTCAACGCGAAGTGCACGAGAGGCTGACTCCTCTGGAGTTGGTGACCCCATACCTTGGGCAACTGTAGGAGACAGGCAGATGTCGCAGGGCGGGTTGTTTACCCAAGTAAAGAAGTGTCTCCTAAACCACCTATGAATCATATTAGCCTGTGGGGGATAAGGATGATGGCATGCTAACAGGGCAACACACCTTAGTAGTGCTTTAATAACACAATCTTCGTAGCCCCACTCTGGTCTGTCGTTACCAATATCCTCGGCCTGAGCCTGAAAGAGCTGGAAGTGCTCCTCGGCTTCGCTATAGATACGATCGAGCGGAATAAGTCTGAGAGCTTCGTCCAACAGACCCGGGTTTTCGTAATAAGTTGGCGTTAAAGACATTGAGAGTAGAAGATTTCGGAATTTTTGGGCACTACGAGATCCATAATAGGGAGGGGGGTCCTCAGAAGGGCGAAATATGCTGCTAGAAGCTCCTTCATTCAAGACTGAAGAGCCACCCATTGACATCAACGACCGGGCTGGCACCTCTTCTGCCAGATAAGCGGGAGCAGTAGGTGGTTGGTGTTCGGTACTGCTGGATAGAAGTTTTGCTCCAAAGTCGGCGGCAGTGGGAAGATTGACTGACTGTGCATCGTGCCATGTTCGAATATCCTCAAAGATGCTCTGAAGGGGAATCACGTAGGCGTCGCCGAGCATGTCAGTCGCAACAATGTGTCCAAATACCTCATAAGTAAGTGGATCGACCACCCATGAACCAGAGTCCCCAATGCATACTGTCATGATCAGATTCAAAGTTGCAATCCGTGTCCTGGATAGGCTTACCAGTATGATCTTGTAGAGAGAGGGTATAGACATCCACAAATGACTGACCGTGGTCGAGCATCAGTCTTGCTGGTAGTGATGAAAGTGTGCTGGATATGCAACCCTGAGAGCCTCCTATCATAATGGCCGGCTGACCAAGAGCGGCTGGAGTAAGCTTCTTCTGAGCTTCGGTCAATTCGAGGTTTTTAGATTTGAGCGATGGGTGGTAATTCGGCTGAAGTTTGGATGCATCAATCTCAATGAGGGCCCAGTCAAGATATTGGCCGCCTTTTGTGTAATGCTTAGGTCTTGGTAGAACGTTTCCAAGTTTTTGAGAGTGCTCGAATGCCCACGTGTCGGATAATTTCATCTCCTCCAACTTGGGTTCGGGATGGCTTGGAGATGAATCAGCAGCTTCAGGTTCAGGACTTGAGATAGATCCGTCAGAAGACTCCAGCTCTAAAAGTTCTTTCATATCTTCGTCGATGGAGCCTTCATCGATGAACGAGTCATCATCATCCATGTAGTCTGAATCACTGGTAGGCGAGAGAGGATCTTCCCAGTCCAGGAGGCCGTGACCTGCTGTCAACCCATACAACTCGAAGCCATCGTTCTGGACCAACTTGATGATACCCCCAAGAGTCCCATGTCGACTCTCCCCGACATGATTAGTAAATCGAATTGGAGTCCCGCAAAAGGTCTTGTCCGATGGTGGCGTGGAGGAACAATGAACTTCGATCGAGGTAGGACTCGGGGCTTCCTTCGAGAATTCTGAGTCTGTGGATTCCTGAGCTTCGTCACCTCTCTGCAAGACTGTGAGCTGAGGCGCGAGATCCTTGACAACGGGTCGAAAGGACGGTGCGGACAGATCGGGCGGCTCGCAAAGACTCTTGACGGCCCGGTGCTTGTCAAAGAATCGCTTTACGCGCTTGTATTGGCTTGGGGGACAGAAAACGACGAGACAATCCTTGGCATCGGCCTCTGACTTCCCAAGGACCAAGTAGCGGATTGACATAGGGCGATAGGGTGCGCTGGATGAGAAGAGCGTATTAGCTGTTCTTATATACTGCACTAGGAGACGTTCAATCTCCGGGACAATCTCGTTGAATCTCGCAATTGTAGCCGGGACCGCTTCTCTCTTGAATAGAAGCAAATTTTTCTCACCCGGTAGCGGAAACGGGACTGTCTTGGTTGGAATTGCGCTTGCACTACAGACGACTGCCACTGTTTGGCTCTGCTCTGGAGAGGGCATGGCTGTTGCATACCCAGAGTCGGGCAGAGCGTCATCTTTTGCCGACGGCGAATCCATCGTGAAGCATCTCCCAGCATGCACGCTGCTGGCTACGCCAACAACTGCTGACATGGAGTCGCGCTGCCTCTCGATTCCGAAACTGAGGGAAGTCAAGGCGGCGATTTCATGATCAAGTTTGCTTCAGGCTGGAGATTTTCTGGAGGAGTAAACAAATGCATGGATGATCTGCAGCGGGGAGGGGGCGGCTGCGCATTCACAATGGCGCAGTTTGGCCCCCAATCAACACCGCCATTCCCCCACGCGTCAAGAGACGCAAGCTCTGCAGAATGCAAGCTGATTGGCCCGAAGATCGATTATTGAGCATGAGAGGGAGATCCTTTCGGTTTGCGCGTTTGCCTTAAAGAGGGCAGCAGAGCCTCAAAGATCTGCTGACGCCGATTCTCGCCTTTCCCCGCCTAAGATCGCGATGAACGCCTTTCCCAATGGCCGAATTAGGTCCTTTTCTCCCTACACTGGTCGATTTATATGACGCCCAATTCCAGACCCTGTGCCAAACAATTTGGGGCTGGACACCATGTTCTCTTTGCTCAATTGCGAGACCCTGCGTCGGGGAAGATTGTCCGCACCGCCGGCTTCTGAGACTTGAGCCCTTCTTTCAATTCTACAAAGAAGTGGCGGGATCCTATGTTCCCGAATCGCTGATTCCTGACGATCCGAGAGCGCTGAGTTGCCACCAAGACTTGATTGACATCATTCGACTTCTGCAAGAGAAGCCTTCTCTACCGCGGATGCAACTAACCAGAGAGTTCTTCTCTGCAAGAAAGAGTGTGGAAAAGGAGCAGCCGCCGCTTGCTGACCAACATCGGGCCTTCAACCTGGCTATGAGGGTACTAGTCATGGTTGGTTGTCGCATCGAACACCAAGGCGGAGGTCTCTTGGAGTTCGGTACCGATCCTTGCATTTGGCGGAGCGACCAATCTCCCCTCGACTTTACTGCAACAGTCTTTCCCGTCAGAGAGCACCCGAGTTTAAATGACGAGAATCAAGCATCTCCCGACATAAAAACCGAACTGTCTGCAGTAAAGCTGAAGCAAATTGCCGGCCTGAAGTTTGAAGGAACGGCAGAGCTGAGGGAACACCTGAAGCTTGATCAAAAGACTGGAGTTGTAGAAATCTACCATTTTACTAGCGTTCTGAAAGAGCATCTCAGAGCTTCAATTGATCCAATTGCGTGTCTATCTTCTCCAGAAGCATTAATTAGGTATTGGACACTTGATACCTTCTGAGATATCCACCAAAATACTGACTCATGGCAGTCGCAGACTGGCTCTCGAAACCCTTTACTCACTTCAGCTTCTCTTCCCCCTAGATCCTGACTCACAAGCATTACTTAGATCTCTCGTTTCAAAGGAATCGTTTGATCCAGATTGTTTACGCTTCGGTTCTGCTTCATACCGACGCATTGATGAGAACAATATTCCTTTTCAGTACTGGGGTTCTCGGCTCATGGACCTTTTTGATGAAATTGAGAACCCCAAGCCTCGGGGTTTCGTGCAGACCTGGCTGGACCAGAAGAGCAAGGCGAGACATATCATGTTAGCCACACTGGCTGGACTGTTTATTGCTATTTTGCTAGGCTTTCTAGGGCTTATTGTAGCGATAGTTCAGACCTGGATTTCTTATCAGGCATGGAAGCATCCTGTTACCTAATAAGTGGGTGAGGAAACGATGTCAATGGTGAGCCCTGTTTGTCTGCTGCAAAGCGACACTTATTTGCACAGCCTTGACTAATGAACCTCTTTCAAGCTTCACAAACACTAATGTTGCATTAGACTAGGGAAATTTTAATAAACTCATCATTCTCTAATTACTCTGCAATTGCTAAACTAAAGGCCCATTGTCGGACTATACAAGTTGTGTCGTGACACTTAGCTGCTCAGAACCACGCTGTACTGGCCATCAGCATCGTTGTTGCTGCTAACAAGGATACCCGGCTGAGCTCCACAGATCTTGTTGAGACCGGCGCTGTCGCAGACGTTTCCTTGAGAGCTGGTCGTAACAACAGTGCCGAGCTGAGCCTGAGGCTGGAACTGAACAAAACCAATTTTACCCTGGGGAATCAGCAGTCCCTCAGATGTACCATGCGTAGTAGCAATAGAAACACTGATTCCAAAGTTAAAGTTTGCGTTGCCGTTAGCACCATCCTTGCCCGTGTCACCGATAGTGGCTCCAAAAGTGATACTCTCAGAAATGGTGTCGGTGACAGTGATGGAATCAGAGAATGTGACGGGGCATGGTCCACCAGAGTTTCGACAGTCAATCATTGAGGATCCAGACGCTTTGACTCCATTTCCTAAGCCCTGCTCGCAGTCGACGCAAAGAGCTCTCAGCTGGCCAGAGTCAGCCAGAGATTGACATGTGCCGGAGTCCAAAACGCAGTTGCTAGGCGGGTTGAATGTCTGGCTCTGTCGCTTCTCGATCGGGGAGCTGTTCAACTCTGCCTCCAATGTCTCGTTGTGATACACAACTGGGACACGTCGGCCGGTAGAACTGAGGAGGTAATCACCCTTCTCGTCGGTGTGGATTACACCTTGGCTTCTGGTCTCTTTCTTCTTCTCTTCGTTGGCAGGGACTGTCTTCTTGACCATGATTGGTGGAGGGTATGAGCGCTTCGCAGTTACACCAGGGCAATCTTTTCCAGTGTTGCAAAATGCCCACCAAATTCTGTTCGAAAGATTCGGGAGGTCATAACATCCATTTTGGTGCTCCAGAGCGATGAGTTCTTCGCCACAAGTGGTGCCATCAGGTGGACCTTGCGAGATGGTGACCGACACTGTGGCCGGCATGCCTTGAATCTATTCCATGCATGTGAGTATTATAAACTGACAAACATTGCAAAGATTCAGAGGCTGATAAGAAGAGTCCTTGGCAGCTCCAATGTGGCCATATACGTACCTCGTATCCTCCAGATGGGTTACCATTGGGGAATGCGCCATCGTTGAAAAAGCATGTACCAGTGCCAGCTGATCCAGCTGAAACAAGTGTCACAAGGCCATTTCCAGACGAGCAGCCTCCGGGGTGGTAGACAATGGATGCCATGATTGCAATATTTACTACTTGTACGATGTTAGTAAAGATAAAACTTCACAGTCGTGTTACTGACCTGTAATGAAGCTTTGTTTGTAAGTTATGGATAGCAAAAGATGTAGAAGGTTAAGTTTGTTGTGTGAGTGAGATGATGTGTTGGTGCTCAGTGGTCTGTTTCTTCTTCAATTTTAAAAGGAGAGAGTCCTCTTTATATACAATTACGCGGAGGAAGATATTGTGTCCAGTCGTGTCCTAACGAAACTTGTCCAAAAGTTCATTTCAATAACATAGCCCCCAAGCTTGGATCCCCATTCTTGCCATTGTTTCGAGGCTATGAGTTTCTAAAAAAAATCATCAACAATAATAACTCATAGAAAATATCACCATTTCTCCTGAAGAACTGTCAGATTACATCATCAACGAAACACGGCCGATCAAAATTGGAGCAAAATCTGACACTGCGACGATCCGAACAGAAGTTTTATACACCGTAATGGAATCTTAACGTAGATCATGTTCTCAGCTATAGCCCAGGAACATACGGGCTGCTTGAAATGTCAAAAGTTCAGTCAGATTACGTCACTAGCAGATGGTAGTGAAAAGCACGGACGAACTGCTGTTTCACTGTATACATGTAATGATCTGCATCATCAGTTTGCGATTTCTTCAGTCGTTGGATGTGAATGCATGCGTGCCGTATAGTATAGCTATCTATAATAGGTTCACGTTGGCTATTAGAAGGCACGTATAACTGGATTGTAAAACTGACATCAGTTCTTCAATCTGTGGTAAGAGAGCCGAACGGAACATCGCAAATTACACGATGAACGCCCTACTTACACTTGTTGCAGATCGTGCCCCAGATTTTGCTTATTTGCAGCTGTCATGGAAACTAATGCCGATCTCAAGCTTCTGTCTTATGTGCTAAAAGTCCACCAACCACCAACGAAACAATTGTTCTTTTGACACTGGAAGCACTATAAATATAGCGGCCGCAGTGGCAGATCTCTGGCGATCTTGGCGATCTTGCTTTTTGAGACAACTAAAGTGGACTTTTCGAAGAGGGGGGTTTTCCTAATTCGTATCAGCTGTGCTTACTTTGATCTGCATCGCTGCCTGTTACCCCTGCGCCAAAAGGGGGCGATGAGGCTTACAGCCCAAGTGACACAGTTCAGCTAGGCAAGCTAGGACTCAGTTATACAACTTTGCTATTCAGAAATTCATCAAGTATAGTGAATAATACGTTTTCAAATCTATAAAGATGGGCTTTGGCCGCAACGATGAATTGAATTTTATCATCACATCACAACAAACACTTCAACAAACACTTCACATCTCTACAGCTCTCAATAGCTACCTCTGTCAACAACCGCAAAACAATATTTTGAACTTTGAACTTCTATTTCTTTCAAGTAAGAGTCACTAGCTCAATATTACTTGAATTCCATGTTAATAGTTTTTCCAGAATGCAATACCTCGCTGTCCTCCCTCTTCTCTACACTGCCGCAGCAGCCCTCGGCATCAACTGTCGTGGCAATGCCAACTGCGTCGGAACTCCCGAATGCAGACTCGCTGATCTGATCTTGCAAGTCAGCCAACAAGATCCAAGCACATCATACAGCCCTGGACAGCACATTGCCTGCTGCGGCATTCCTGGCGGCAACATCTGCGCATTCACTCAGGGCATTAGCAACTCGATTACAGCTGGAGAGGCATTGGGTATGCTGCAGGGACTGGAATCCCACGGCTGTGGCCAGTGCGGCAGCATTCCCTTCAAGGACAACAATGTCGCTGAGGGACAGCTCACTGTCAACTGGACCGACCACTAAATCATCAGTTGATCTTGCATAACTGTTTATGCGGTGCTTTTTTATCTCTTAGCTAGTGTGCGCAACTTGAACAAGATTTTTTCGTGGAGGAGATGGCCATCTCAAGGAAGCAGATATTTTTGAAATACGATCTTTTTAACCCTGGATACATGCCTGCCTTTACAAAATACTTACAAGTGACGAGGTGAAATGTTAATATTTACCTAGGTAGTCGATATTCGCTGATTTACATGAAACTTTTCAACAGAAGAAATGACTTTGTACATTTGATAGCAGCTGGTAGGCATAGATGTACGTAAAATATAGTAAATAGTGCATATCATCAATAATAGTCTTTTCTAAGATAGGTATCCTACTCTCCAAGTTCTCGATCTTTGCTCCAAAGAACAAATCGTAGCGCCCGCCAGCGGAGGGAATTATGTCTGATCGCTTTTCCGAGAAAATAAAATGGGATACCTGCCAGGAGGACTGCTCCAGTAATGGATGCCATTGTACCGAAAGCAATACTGTAGCCAACTCGGTCAATCCATGGGTTGGTGTAAAAGGAAAGTAGAAATCCAAAACAGGCTGCCGCAACGTTAGCTAGAGCTCATTTCATGCTGGGTGAAGGTGATATAACCTTTGAAACCTAATTGAGTTACGACAACCTCCCCTCCAATTGGCCGATATGAGTCGATCGTGTACACCATGCTTATGTTGACCGCCTGGACGATGGAAAAGTTGACTAATGGCCAGTTAGTTTACCCTATGCTTCGAAATGAGGATAAATACTTACGTAGAGCAAGCCCGATTGTTGGGACCATCCAGTGTAATCTGGTTTGGATACCGACGCCATACAGTACCAGAGCAGTTGGAGCTGCTACTACGCTAATTATTATGGCCGGAATCCTCATTTCTGGTTCTCTGACACCTCCATTTCTCTTGGTGAAATAATCAGCAACGACTTCAGTAAACTTCCCTCCAACGGCAATGCCAACAAGAGATCCAATCAGAGCCGAGATGAAGCATAATCCAGATTGATATGGCTCAAACTTGTAAACCTGGCCGAATGCAGTCGAAAATGTGGAAGAGACTGCCACTAGAAACCCGATCAGCACGGACGTGACTAGCGTAGCCCACAGCACTGGAGGTAGAATCAGGAGCCCAATTGGTCGAACAAATATCTTGATCAACGGCTCCTCTGTGAATTTGCCATGAAATAAACGAAGTTCTTGAAGATATGTATGCTTTTTCGGAATACTCTGCTCCCTGAAGTCGGCATTTTCGGTATAGTCGGTGCTGCCTTCTTTATCTAAAGGAGACACGGCACTGGCGGTTTCGGCCGGGACTGGATTTCGGATGTATGAGGTTTCAGGCATGGTGAAGCATAAGACAATAGTCATTGCGCCAATGAGAGCAATTGACACGTAGTAAATTGTCCGCCATCCATGATCGATGGTGATCAAACCAGAGACAATAATACCCCCAGCTACACCACCCGAAATCGAGGCTGTGTACACGCTATAGAGAATCCTTTAGTATTTGTTCGCTGGCAGAGGAGGCTCACTTACGCCATCAATAAGCCGCGTTCATGGAGAAAGGTGACATCTGCGATTGTGACGGGAGCTAAGCATTCTCCAGCCCCTATCGCAAATCCCATCACAATCCTTGCAGCAAGGTGATTTGCGTAGGAGTCAGCCACTGCCGCCCAGATTGCGGTTACAGTGTACAACGTGAAAGCGGCAATGTAGATAGGTCGGCGGCCGTATTTGATAATGAGTGGGATCCATGCAAGACATCCAACGCCTTGCATGAGAGTCACGGTTGTAATGAAGTACGCTACTTTGGCAATGCGTTGAGGCGGTGTTAATGTCGAGTGTCCTAAAAAGTCTTGCGCCATTTCAGGAAGTGCCACAGACGGGCCGCTGGCCAAAAAGGTACACAGGAACATGGCGACGCATGCTGAGATGGCGATGTAGTAACGCCGAATCTTGGACCTTTATAAGGTCAGCAGTGTATTGTATTATCGTTTCTCCATATCACCTGGCGACCTACCAGTTAAGAGGGTCGTTTGGATCATTGCTAGGCGTTGGGATTAGAATAATCTGGTTTGTAGATGAGTTCCGGATCTGGACAGTGCCCAATGCGCTGCGTGCTGGGTCATCCATCTCGCAATGGACACGAATAATGATATAGACGAGTAGATGCAGTATCTCCAGAAAACACACCTACTATTTTGAAATCCTACAGCGCACAGCAGTCTTATATGCTGATGGGCTTTAGGCCTATCTGCCGAGTGTCCCAAAGACGGGACTTAGAGTTACCCCGTGGGGAAAAAGAGCGCCAAGTGGGAACCGAAATATCCGGCCATGTCTATCCGCGATTATCCAGCGTGTTAGAGTTTGTGTTATTAGATCTGGCCCCTATTAGTTGAGGTGCCAAGATCAGGCTCGCCCAATCGCTGCTTGGCCTTTTTTAGATCCCATTAATAGCTCCACGTTGTTACCCCGTAGTTTAATTTGGAATTTCTGATCTGCCGTCTATCGTTCCCGTTCCGGTTTTCACATCCGTTCCTTGGGATGCGCGTACTTTGAGTGGGCCTCGGCCATTGTCAGTGCCGATTGCTCTATGATGATGACTACGTCGTTTGTGGTGCAATGCCGCGTCGATGGGATGAATTCGACGTGAGGTTGGCGTAAATTTTGACTATATGTACCTTATCTTAATGGCTACATGTAGGCTTGCTGGGTGACCGAAAGACTTGCAATTCGGTCCCTAAGCTTGCAGATGTTGCAAACGTTGCAAACCAGATGTATTCTCCATATTATTTGCTGTTGGATCTACATCTATCTCTTCTGCTTTCACCAAGCTCGCGTACAGCCCGTCTATTTGTACACTCTGCTGTATCTTTCCCGGCAGCCTCAGGCACCAGCAGGCACCAGCAGCTGGAGGCCTTCGCGAATTTCCTTCATCTCTATTTCAACCACAGGGTCAGTCAGTCAATCAGTGCGTGCAATGCAGCAGATCTTGCCGCACGCTGCTATACTGGAGGGAGTTTGGCAGACTTGCTGGGTTGGCTGGATAGATTGAGGCGGGGGACAGGTACAAGATAGTGCGCTGTAGCTGTAATGCAATGAGGAGTACATTTCCATATCTTTAAACGAGCCAACCAGAAGTTATCGCCGAATCTCGTCAAGCTGCAACCTCGCAGATTTTGCAACCTTTGCAAAACGAAAACACCTTACAATTGTTTGCAAGCCTAGTCAATCTGCTAGACTTGCAATGCACCACTATTTCCTGGTCAAGCAGTGACGGTAGTAGTGATAACACAACGCCGCAACATTCTGCTGTGCTAAGTGTGGCCCTCTGTTGATGTCTGCGATTTCTAGTGTTGTTATCATTCTTCATTCTGTGGTCATTGCAGTGTTGGAAAAAAGATGGCTATAGCCGCCCTATTTTGCTGTTCTAGATTCTTGACGATTGAGAGTTTATTTGTCACTAGACTAGCTTGTTGCTACCGCCTAGCTTGCGAGTAGTCTGTATGTATCTACGATGCGACAAGGCTTCGTTCTACGGGAGAAAAAAGTGTATAAGTTTGGAAAGACAATTTTGCAAAAGATCTTCATTGGTCGAGTTTATTTCAATCTAAAAATTATGATTGCTTTCCATAGAGGCAATTGATTCTGTATACAAAGAGATGTTCGAAAACTGTTATGACGATATGAGCTAGAAAACGCGGACAATGTCTTCAGCGTTGTATCCATGCAGCCATTGCAAGTTTCCCAATTGACCTGTCCACTTGAAGCGACCCCAGATAAGCATCTCTTTGATCCATTGAACGATGGCAGTGTCCGGTGTTCGCAATCGTCCGTTCAAATCAGTAAAGTCTTTGACGAGACGCAGTCGATCACTCCGGTGACGTTCCCAGGCGGCTAGGAGGCGCATGTAGTCTGATGCAAAATCTGGATGCGCCAAGGTATGCGAAAGTGTCTCAGCATCTTCAAGGCCCATCGCTGCACCTTGTCCACCCTGAGGTGTAAAGGCATGAGCAGAGTCACCGATTAAGACTACTCGTCGCTTGATACTCGTCCAGCGCTCCAGAGGTGGAACTTCGAAAAAGCTATCATCATGTCAGAATGCAAATTTTCAATGCTCTATGCGTAAAGTACTCACGGCAGCAGGCTCAAGCCCTCTTTGTTATACTCCATGGTAATGTCGCAAATGAATTTAGGCCACTGGTCGCCGAATCTCTGTTGGAGGATTTCTTGCACTTTTGTCTTGTCGCTAGCAAGCTCATCCCACTCTTTTCTCGATCGAGCAGGATAAGGCATAGTCGAAAAAAAGTCAACTACAGTCCCCTTATAATCGGATGGCATGACGGCGACAAAACCTCTGCCCCCGAATATGAAACTCGGTAGTGGCGTCTGGGCCGCCGACTTGTGAAGAGATTCGCGCTTGACGCCCATACCGATGATGCCCATGAATCCACTATAGCTTGTTTCGGTGTCCATGATGGCATCCCGAACCCTTGAGTGCACGCCATCGGCTCCTATGACAAAAGAAGCCCTTGCTTTAGTTCCATCGGCGAACTCCAACTCGACAAACTCTTTATCTTCGCGTAATTGAACCAGCTTCTTGCCAAAAACAACTGGAATTCCTTGTGCTTTTAATTCGTCCAAGAGCGCTTTCTGGACGATGGCTCGATGTACTCTTAGGCTAGAAAAGTTATAGTGTTTTGGACTTCCCTGCAGTAATGTTCCAAGGGCCTGAGATCTGGCGTTACTCATATGAAGGTCTTCGTAGCTGTAGCCTTGGGTGCGGACAGTGTCATAGACTCCCACATGCTGTAGGACACGCACAGCGTTGGGTGCAAGAGTGATGTTGACTCCTCGCACGTCGTGCTTGGGTTGAAGTTCGTATACAGTGGAAGAAATGCCGTGATGTTTCTTCAGACTGAGGGCTAGCGCAGGTCCCTATATGACTGCTTGTTAGTTGTGCCAAACAATGATTACAGCAACCCTCGTTGTCTTACCGCAATTCCTCCCCCAACAATCGCTAAATACGGTATTTCCGACATTGTTTGAAGTTGGGGATTGACGTTTGCAAATATGGTAGCAAGTACAATGGTTCAAAGTAATGTGATATTAGTCAAAACTCAGTCGAAGATAGAATTCGTTGAGCTGTAGCTAATATATTGGAACGCCTAGCTTGAGCACACGTACATTTCTTCAGCATCCAGTCCCGTCTGTTTCCATCAGCCGGATGCTACCTCCATGGGATTGACTTCGGGATACACCATCCCCAGTCCCCGTTGTTATCCGTCTGGGGGCAAGCCCACTAGTGATGGAGCTGGCCAAAGCTCGGCACGAGACGGGATGGAGAACTGACTGAGAGCAATGTGTATTGGTCTTTTAATGCAGAGTTAGTGTAGAGGATCTCATGCTACCTGTACAAGGTTTATGAACTGCATTGACTCTGGAGATTTGCCAATGCATTCATGTTCTTTGTAAAGCCCATTGCCGTTCCAGCCGATTGGCGCAGCCGGCTGCAATGCAAAAAGCGAATGGAAGCTTGCAATCCCTCGTTCTGATGCATCGCAAGCTGGTGAAAAAACAGTCACTTGGGTGATTTGAATGAGCGAGAAATCATTTAATCAATTTTCGTGCAGTTATTTCTCCGGACCGCTGGGCTACGTGTATTCTACATGTACATGTATGCTATCTGAATGACAGCGCTGTGCCGATAAGGCCTGGGTGCTGTACTGCGCTGTATCGCGAGGGTACGTACTTAGCGCTGGCGGTGGTTTTGATAACCTGGATGAGCTCCAAGGCTGTCCGATAAGATATTGAAGCTTGTCGGGTGGTTATTTTCAGCAGGTAACAGCGAGCGCAAATTGAATAAAAAGCACCTACAGGGAATTCCGTAAGAGACCCATGGATTCAGCTGAAGATAGCTGCATTACGCATACTACAAGCAAACACAGTTTTGGAAGCGCATCACTATTCCCATCACCTTATGACTCTCACAGTCGCTGATGTCTACTACCACTATTAAACCTCCCACCAAAAAAGGCCCTCGCCTCGTAGGTACATGTACATAGCTTCCAATCCAACAGCGCTGCCCAGACTGGCAAGATTTGCCCTGACATCAGACTGCACAGAAGTGAGCAGCTGCTATTTAATACGCCGAATGTACATCGCCACCATAAGCCACTTTTCGAAGAATATCTCTCTTGCAATCTTGAACTCCTTGTAGACCGGCTAGGCCCAACGTAAGATCGAGATCCTGAGAAACATTAACACTGGTATTGCTGGCAGGTTGTGGTTGGTCACTTACCGCGAGAAGACCGAGTAAAACATCTTGTGCCCCTTGCTTGCCTGCAATGCCAAGCCCATAAACCCAGGGCCGTCCAACAAGCACTGCTTTGGCACCAAGGCATAAAGCTTTCACAATATCAGATCCCGTTCGAATTCCACTGTCGAAAAGAACAGCAAGCTTATCCCCAACTGCGTCGACGATTTCGGGGAGAACTTCTAAGCTTGCGATGGCACCATCTACCTGTCGTCCTCCATGATTGCTGACCACAATGCCCTGAACACCAGAACGAACGGCCATCAATGCATCATCCACATGTTGAATGCCCTTTAGAACAATTGGCCCGTCCCAGTGGCTGCGCAAAAATAATATGTCTTCCCAACTGTGCCTGTCGCCTTGACTAGAAAAGAGGTCGGCATTCCACGCGCTGGCTGCGGCCACCACATCCTCTTCAATTTCTTTGCCAGCAGCCTGTCGATACTTTTCCTGAAATACAGGATCCGAAAATCCATTCTGTGTTCCCACGCCTTTCATGAAAGGGACATATCCATTGTCGAGATCAGATGGGCGCCATGCCAAGGTCCAAGTATCCAGAGTCACAACTAGCACTTCGTAGCCATTTTGCTTTGCTCTAGACAGCAGAGACTTGGTCAGTTCATTATCCTTCGGCCAGTAAAGCTGGAACCAGCGATGCCCTGATCCATTCGCGGAAGCAACTTCTTCAATACTGCTAGTCGCGGCGGTGCTGTGGATATACGGAATGCCTAGTGACGCTGCGATTTCTGCACTGCCGAGCTCTTTATCATTGTGATAGATTGCTTGTACTCCAATCGGAGCCATAATAACAGGACTTTTGTATAAACGATCAAATAAATTGACGCCTAAGTCTCGATGAGTCGTTTGGCACAACATTCGCGGGATGATCTATTAGTGGTCAGTCGGAGTGGATTAAAGAGTAAGATGAGGTAGTCTGTTCCGTTTCACTTGAATCTAGTACGCCGTACTACATAGTACCGGCATTATGATACTCACCTTCCACTGTCGAAAAGCTAGCCGATTTGCTACCATTGTTGACCTCTCGCCAGCGCCGCCTGAAACGAAGTCGAAGCTTCGAGAAGTCATGCATTGTCTGGCCTGTTCCTCTAATTTTGTTGGATCTGTAGTCACCAGTGGGAGGCGACTGAACAACATGCCCTCCTCGTAAATAGATTTCTGTCGATCCTGGTAGTCCATCATTCTGACCTTGCAATCTAATAACCACTTAACAATGTTCTGATACCTAACAAACGGAGTATATCCAGCAACTTTCTGACCCTGACCTTGTGGGCACCCTGATATTTAAAACCGCTTTTTTTGAGGTCTGGTCCCAGATTTGTATGCGTATTATGGGTTTACTAGAGTGCCAGAAGTTTACTCAATGTCAATAAATTTCCTGATGTGTGAGTGGAAACAAGCGGATCACGACGGCACCGATCTCAGTCACAGGGGTTGTATTTGACTTCGCGAATTTGGTAGCGACCATACAAATTATCCTGGATATTCCGGGCTAGGAACGGAAGTTATGCTGAACTAGGGAATCATCGGTTCGTTAAGTAAGAAGAATTTCTATCATTTGTCACCCAATTGCTTTCTATTCCTTTCTTGAAGCTAAGGCCATTTTACCGTTGAAGGTGGTGATTTTAAGTCAATCCGGCATATAATGCGGCACCTGTAAATAAATCGAGTCGGTCGTTCGAGACCATCAGAACGTCATCTCTCCCGCGAACAGCCGGGTTCCCAGTCATAATGCCCCGCCAATTCCCGTACAGTGTAAGCCGTGGCATCCCAGGCCTCATATTTAAAAAGGCGAGTCTTACACAACAATAGTAGTCTTCTCTCGTTGGATTCTTACAGCATTCATATTCATACAAAGCCAAAGCGAACTACATCATGCCGGCCTATCGTATTGGTATATCTCCTTTCAAGTATGACTGACATTGCACTTTGCTAATTCCACTTGATGATTTAGTTTTATTTAAACTGAAGAAAGATGTTTCGGAAGCTCAGGTTGAACAATTTATAAATGAATCCAAGGAAGAGGGACGAAAGGTTCCAGGTAAGGCCATGAGCTGGAACAATCAATATCTCAGTGGGGCTATCTAATCAATTGGTTTCTGCAGGAGTCTTGTCTCTAGAAATAGGCCCAGCTCTCGATATGCAGAGAACTAAAGGATACGATATGGGTATCATCCTCCAGGTGGAGACCCCGGAACATCTTGCATCGTTCGCAAAGGATGCACGTCATCTCAGGTTAGCAAAAGATACTGCAGATATGTTGGATGACTACTTACGTATTGAAGGCTACATGAGTTGCGCGAACAGATTACAGAGGACAGCCTTGCATTCAATCTGGCTTTCTAAACATGTGCTATTGGCGCGGGACCGGAGACGTGCCACGGACGATGCCCATTTATTTATCCCAAATCAGGCGCGCTTGGTGGAAGGATACTATGTAAAATTATGCAGCACCATTCAATGGATACGAAACTTTCGATGGGCTTATAATTTGAGGTTGATATCATACTTCACTGACCAGCCAATACTGTGGTGACGCAAGCGAGTAAGCCCGGCCGCCAGCTTCGGGACTAGCACGCTACCGTATTGTAACTATTTAGACCAATAAATCGCCAACTGGCCGGACAGTCTTTTGTCAGTAGCTGATTAAAAAAGCTAAGAAAAGTAGAAATGAAACTGCTCGAGGATCAAGTGTGAACTGAACGCAAGAGTGGGAGGGAACGTACCAATGGGTTTCTTAATGATCCTAAAATATCGGACTCCGGAAGCGGAGGATGAAAAACGCACGGAGCATATTTCTTCACTGTCCGCGACAAGGATCAGACCAGCAACAATTCAGAACAGTTGAAAAGGCAGATGAACCGAACAACCAGTGCAATGGCACTTAGTTTCCCTCGTCACTCTAGCAAAACACCGCTGAAAGGCCATTGAACAATGAAAAATCGACGGAGCGAGAGTATCAGAACGTTCAACACCGCCGGCTATGGTGGGTTAAGACCGGATGGTGGGTCACCGCAATTCCAGCGCCTATAAACCCACCTCCATCCTCCCTCGTTGTGAAGCCTATTTCTCCTACAGTGTCTTAGTTGAACATTCATTCTGCAGGCTACAATTCCTTCAGAATCAAATGGCTACCGTTCGCATAAAGCAAGGCGCCGTTGAAGGATCTGTACAAGATGGCATCTATTCATTCTTGGGTCTTCCGTACAGCGAACCGCCCACGGGCGACCGCCGCTGGCGACCCGCTTCCTCCCCACCGGCCTGGGAGGGTATCCGGGATGGAACTCGCTTCGGAAAGGCGGCAATTCAGATTGTTGAAACTGGAGCTGAACTTGGTGCCGAGTCCAGTGAGGACTGTCTGTATCTGAACATCTGGAGTGGGAATTTGGATCAGTCCGCACAGCAACCTGTCATGGTCTGGATTCACGGCGGTGGTTTCCTGAATGGATCTTCCTCGATGGATGTTTATTCTGGCCAAAATCTAGCACGTCGCGGCGTGGTTGTTGTATCTGTCAACTATCGTCTCGGCGCATTTGGGTTTCTGCGCCACCCAGAAGCTGGCGGCAATTTTGCCGTCTCAGACTGGGTTGCCGCTTTGAAATGGGTATCAGAGAACGTTCAAATGTTTGGCGGAAATCCTCAGAATGTCACTGTATTTGGCCAGTCCGCTGGAGCAGTCGCAGTCCGGACTTTGCTATGTACGCCGGCCGCTCGCGGACTGTTTCATCGTGCAATCATCCAGAGTGCTGGGTTTGAGGATTACGCTGCTACACCGTCACCAGACTCGGAGCGTGTCAACAACACGAGCGAAAAATTCTTTAATCTCCTGGGTAGTCGAGATCTGGATGTCCTCCGTCGTATCCCTACAGAGCAGATTCGAGTCACTTCATTGACATTATGTGGGACTCGACCACCTCCTGGATACCTTCACTCTCCGGCAAATCTGGTATGGTATCCGGTGCCCGATGACGAGGTTGTGATGAGAGAATTCTCCGGCTGGAATGAACAGGTTCCAGTGTTATTTGGATGCACGCAGCATGAAGCCCGGGCTTTCTGGCGTCCAACAGGTCTTCATACAGCTCCTGGTCAAGACCCGTCAGAGATATATACCGTCGACACTCTGGCCAATATGTTCAAAGTCCTAGCACGCGGCGGCGACCATGAGATGATGAGTCATTTCAGCAATGGCAAGTTCAGTCCGTACGAAGCGCTCACAGAATTGTGCACCGCGGCTATCTGGACGGAGCCAGCAAAGGCTACTTACCACAGATTCTCTGCATTGAACCGTAAGACCTTCTTCTACATATTTTCTCGCATTTCCCCTGCTACCCGTCGCTCGGGTATGCTTGCCTACCATGGCGCCGAGATACCTTATATCTTCGGTAACGTGTCACGCAATGGAGTTTTGAAGCCATGGTTTGGCAGAAAGGCATTAGCCGCTGATATCGGACCATGCCCTATGGACAAATACTTCGATGCGGTTGACGAACAAATTGCGAACGATGTTCAGAATGCCTGGGTGACTTTTGCTCAAACTGGAATACCTCAGTTTTCGGATGGTTCTGCATGGCCTCGTTGCGATACGAGGGACATGAAGCTGACAGTCATTGGGGATAAGATGGAAGCAAAACAGTGGGACGTGGACAGGGTGGTCAGTATCCTCAGTTCTTTGCGTGACCAAGCAAGGGATTGAACCTACGTAGTGAAAATACAGGACACTACATGAGTTTCATTATCACAGCAAACATAAAACTACTTCTGATGATATACATTAAACAGTATCTTCTATTCGTGGATGAAGAGCCTGCGATAAAGTCTATTCGCCTAGGAACTCAGGGATGTCCGCTTAATACATCACCTAGGCAATGTCCCAAAAGAATCTTTCGTCTCCAGGCTCAATGCCAAAAAAGTATGACATAAAGGGCTTCCCAAGCTCGGCCTCGGAGAATGGTAAGGCAAACCACTCGTCCCGGGAAAAGTCGCCTGCCATCGGGAATTGGTCCGGCATAGAGCTTACGCTCAGCATTTCCTGTCCAGATTCTGGAGTAGACATCAAGAAAGTCGGCCCTATATTAGCTTCGTGGCCTGCTATATCTGTTTGAACATTTTGTTGCGCATCCTCGGTGTCGATGATACCTGTGGGGTTGCCGAGGAATGCATTTGCATCGTCAAAGGAGAATGGCGCCTGCATAGGCGGGGGATCAACACGGATAAACCGTTCTCTGAGGCCCTTTGTGTTTTCTTTCAATAATACAGCATATCGAAAGCCGAGATGCACATCGTCGACGGCGTTCAGGCAGAGCGCTTCAACTGTACGATCTAACAAACCCAACAACCGGTCCAACTCGTTACCACGTACACCCAGCGCTAGGGCCTGTAAAATAAAGAATCAGCCTAAGTAATCGAAAACTCACCGCATGATTGGAAGATGTAACAAACATTGATCAAATACATCGAGGCAGAAGCGACCCTAATGAATATGCGGACAGGCAGATATTTTAAGTTGCCATCTCGAGATAGCTCAATCACCATCTCTAGGACTCTACTACTTGCATCGATGACTTCACGAACAAAGTCGGAATCCTGGTTATCCATAAGATGTGGATTTCTTACTCGCCCGTCGTCTTTAGACAGTCGTCCCGCAACGGCTTGCAACGCCACGGAGTTGATGTAGACGCGCACAAAATGATAGTCGACTAGGATGAGCTGCCAGCAAGTGGCGTTGTCTGCTACATATCAGTCTCTGTGTTACGATATAAGCAATAGTTCGAAAAGAATCTGTCTTACCTATACGCCTCTTGAACTTGTCAAACCATTGAGAAAGTAGTGGGCGAAAATGCCCTAGAAAGGCTGCATACCGACCGCTTCGTACGAGCTCCTGAGTCACTTTCTTCGAGGGAAAGAGAAAGTCGGATGATGTCCTTATTAGTCGGCTGAGTTCTATCCAGGAAGTCATGTACTCGTGCCACTCATTGTCCAACTTGGATTCGGGGGGTTTTAATGAGGACAGCACACTGTCGTGAAACGGCGTTCGCGGCAAAGAGCAGCCAATTCGTGACGCAAGTTGGCTTATATATACAAAGAGGAGTTTGCCCACTCGGTGGCGCCGGAGACGAAGGAAATTTGCGAATGACAGTTCAGACGCTGAGTCAAGCATATCTGCTGGGACGTCATCTTCATCTGAGAAGATATCGAGTTCGTGACTCAGAGATAACGCATTTCCAAGGAGCATCCTAAATAGCGAGTGAGCTGTTGAATCGCACGATCAACAGATATCGTCGATGAGATGCAGAGGGGAATTTTGCTAACCAAGACATGCGATCTGATCTGTGAGCGGCTTCCTCCACTTCCCGAAGCCACTTGTTCGGCACTTGATGCCGTTAGTCGAAGTGACAAACTTAACTTGAGAGGGATATTCCGCACCTTTGCTAAGAGAAGTTGTCTGCTCTTCATCAGAGAGAGCCATCTCTGGCTGCCAGTAGTCAGTCTCAATGGGAAGATGGACACAGCGGGGGTGCCATTCCGCAGCTAACAAAAAGGTCTCGATTGTACCAAGGTGAGCCATCTGGTCATTGACCGCTCGCCGTTGCTTCCAGACCAAGCGTTGAAACAATATTTGGCAGTGTTCCCACAGGCGATCGTGGATGTAAAAACACCGTGTAACAGCCCCGTCCACATCCAATATATGATACCGAGCTGATAACGCAATTATAGCACAGCAAAGCACAGGTTCTCGAGAGATGAGGTCACCGTGCTTGGTGTGATCGCTGTAGAAGGAGTGGAGGATTGGCGATAGCGTATTCATATTGCGGAAAAATAGATCAATGTACGTGACTGCTTCTTGTGCAGTGATCAGACCAGTCTTTACAAAATGCCACGAGCTCCAATGGCGTACGGTATCCGGGGATGAAGGTGAGAGTGGATGACGGAGTGACAGCCAGGGCTCCGATGTGGTGGCATGTTGCGTAGAACTGGCATTTCCGCTTCTTATCCTCTCTGTCGGAACTGGCACTCTTGAACTGCTGTTGTTCGGATGAATGTGTGTTTCAAGCCTCAAATTCTGTTCACGCGCAGTGCCAATAGGAGGAAGGCCACTTTCTTGGGTAGAGCGACTGGTTGCAGAGTGTTGATCTTCTCTCTCATGCGCCGGCGATTCAATGTCCACCGTATTGAAGACTGTTCTGCTAGGGATTATACGCCGGCGTTTGCGTGATCCATCCGACACTTCCATTCGTTAACTTGACAATGGCTTGGTAAAAATGCAAAAAGGATCGCAAAATAGTCTATACCAGTGGATTCTTCACAAGATTGTGCATGAATGGAGTTTTCAGGTGATGCAGGCATTGGCTGATGCCTTGGTCTTTGCCTCGTCACCTCATCTGGATGGGCCGACAATTCTATTACGCGTCAATGTCAACACATAATGAAAGTCTTTTTTCCCTCAGATGAGCACTAGGTTGCAATACCTTCAATAACATTTACAGTTCTTTGCGCATCACCGGCGTCATGATGGTTGGTCTGCGAATTCCTTTCCGCACTAAATGTGCAATGGCGTAGTTCTCTCCTGCACCTTGTGCAAGATGCCTGTAAAAGCCCTTGACCATTGCATTCCATGATGCATTTCACTTTTCGGCGGCGGCAGTTAATGCACGCTTGATAGGCTCTCTTGAAATAATGACGACCAACGTTGGAAGCAGGCATGTCTCCTGTAGGGCTTGGAGCCGACATTGTAAATGACTTGTAGGTTCAGTTTTGAACCCAGTTGAGCGTCTGTAGAAGCCGTGGAGAGCTTGGCTAATAAAGTACCATGTTTCGGAGATCAATCACGTGTACATCAATTAGATCTCGACAAAAGTCGGGGTAAACTAGCCCAAGATGGTTCAGGAGACTGTGTGGTGCGGTCTGAATCGGTCTGAATCGAAGTGGCTACCCGATAGTCTCAATTATGAATTCCGTCCCTCCACACCACTTGTGCTATTTGCATTAGCTTTGGTGTCTAGGAGAGCAGTTATGGAGGTTGGGTAGCTCTTCTTCCAGATCTTCTTCCAATAAAGTGCAGTTATATGGATCTGTTTTATATGATTACCTACTTGTGCAACGAGAAGCATTTATGACTCCAGCGTAACAACTGAGCTGACAAGGTTGCTAATTTTGCTCGGTCGACGTGGCAATGTTCTCTTATGGCTCCCCGAGCTCCGACTAACTGACGCGTTCTTTGACTCATTTGGTCTTTGTCGGCGTCGCAAAAGCAGGCTCATCTTTGAGGTGCCTGGCAGTCGGACAAGTTGAGTGTGTAAATGAAGCCCACATTGCCTACGTCGGTTGTCTTTGACATGTCAATGTGAAAGTGGAATCTGAGTCACAATGTTGTCTAAGCAACGACAATTAAATCTCCCGATTTGAGATTGTAAAAGCGTCATCAAGTCTACTTTTACTCCTGCTGAACAACAATTTCCTAGGGTTGTTTTTATTTGGAATTGTTGCAGCCGTACCTCTGTACTCTCTCAAACAAGGCCTGCTATTATCCTTCCCAGATCCACTTGCCGCCTCCAACCGTCGGATCTTCGGTTCGGCTACTTCGGTCATCATCTTCCTGAAATATCCCCTCTTACCCACGACTTGGCGCAACTGGTGTTTACACCACGGAGCTCTACCCCCTTATAATTGAGGGTTTGTTTTCTCGAGTCAATTTCAGGCTGCTCCCTGTGATTCTCCTACTCAGATTCAATTCTCGCCATCTCATTGAAGGTGGTGAGGCAATTGTTTTTGTACTTTCTTTGTCAGCATCGAGGTACCTTGGCAGACCTGATCCATAACTAGCTAGGCGTTCAAATCGCCTATCACACATGGGATGCGGTTAGGTCCAAAGTACTTGAAAGTACACATGAAGTGCAGGGGACTTATTCTTGCACGTATTTTAGCGGGCCAGGAATGTACACTGTGTTTTCCCACGTTTTGATTGGCCGAATGCCAGAACGGTACATGAAGCCTGCCTTACCAGCCATTGTACGGAGTATTCCAGTATGCCAAGTACGGCTCATTGAAAATTGTATTTCCCTGACATGAGTGAATAGGTCTACCGACTTTCTGTAGATGATGCAGACGATTGTTAATGCATCACCAAGAAGCGCAAGCTTTATCTAATTAGGACATTTTTAGCTCTCATGTGTCGTGCACCCAGCTCCATTTCTATAGTAGCTGGACAAATAACGGCACTTCATGGATTTGCGCAGAGTGTGGAGGTGCAGATCCAATATCCCGGTCATCAGATTTCGGAGAGTTCTTATGTTTCGTACAGTTCAACGCGCGGAGAAGGATTTCCGTGCCTATGGGCAACGGGCATGGCTGTTATTGGAGTCATGCGCCATTTAAATGAAGCGCTAGAAGAGTACGAATACAATGTACTTGGGTAAGAATAAGTTAGTCAAGCAAAATAATTCTGCATAAATCGTGTATTCATGTTATATAAGTAAAGGCTAACGGGTTTCCTTCAGTTCATGAAGGGTAGTGGCTTTAGCTGATCGGCAGTCTCGGAACTCTTACATATTCAGCGTCGATTATTACGATGGTCTAAATAGTGTCCGAAGCATCCCATCCATGCTTAGTTCTCTTAGCAACTGCCAGCAGCAGCGCCATTTGCTGCCTTGCAAAAGTCGAGGCCATTAAAGTATTGCATATAACCAATTAGAGGCGAATTCCAGTCCGTAGGAGCCCAATCCATGTAGTTGGCAGTACCAGCAACGTACCAGCCGCAGAGCTTCGTAATAGCAGCAAGAGACAGCGTAATCTCCTCAACATCCCACTCAAAGGGGTCACCGTAAGTGTCATTGGAGTCGGGCCATGTAGCGCAAGAAAAGGCCACAACGCCGCCGCGGATAGCGTAAAAAGCTAGGCCCAAGGCGATGCTCTGGCCGCCGCCCGTCTGCCTCTTGAGTTCATTAACAGCGGCATCGCAGTCGCCGTGGTTAAGGTTGTATCCGCAGCCGCACCATATTTCGAGGACGCCGACCCCAAACCCGTAGTCCTGGGACCTATAAGTTTTCCCGCGTTTTTTCGAGAGACGAGAGAGACCTAGCGGCCACCATGGAGGCGTGGATTTCTTCCAGCTTGCGCTCGTTGGTGACCCATTTGGTGGTATTACTAATTTTTGCCTGGATAGTATTTTCTGGCAAGCTGACAAGTTCGTGTACTTCACGCCCTTGGTCGTCGATATAAGCCTTGTATGTTCCGTCTGGGAGATCATGGGGTACGTTCAAGGAGAGCGCAGCTGTAATGCCGGCCATGGCCGCAGTAAAAAAGAGCTTGAATAGCACCATTGCGAATGAAGGCTTAACTGATCACTATCTTGATGTATTGAGTGAGTGCTATATTGAGAAAAGTTGATGAGACATGTTACAGGCTTTTATACGTGAAGAGCAGCGTTATACCACATCATCACAGACTGCCTCTTGAGGCCAATTGCGCAAATCCAGCAAATAGCAAGATGTTATTCGAACACGTTTTTTAAAAAGCTGTTTGATAAATAAATAAATAAATAAAAAAAAAGATGGACTGTATCTACGGCATATTGCATGGGGTTCGGAGATGTGTTCCTGTAAAGAAGCAGGCGGGACTCCAAAGGAAGCATGTGCATACAGAAAGTAGGACCAACAAATCTCTCACCGACACATAGACTATAAAAGGTAGAACCAACAACACCTCGGTTGTCAATTGGTTCTGTTGTTTGTCATCAACTAATTAGCTTTCGGTTAACCTCCGAACCATAATTACAAGGTTATGAATCCTGCAGTAACGTAAAAACGCAAATTCCGCACGACGGATTCAATGTCTTACGATTTGCTTCAACTAATAGTTAAGTTTTGCCTGTGATGTAAAAACTATAGTGCTCTGCCATACTTATCAGTATAAATTGGTGAACACCGCAGAAATTTCCATAACTGCAGACTCTTCACTATCCAGGCTCGTCTCTCTTATACTGTAATCGCAGCCAATACGTTTCTCAATGATGTTCGGCGCATACGACTGGCAAAGTTACACCAGGCTACAGCTATAGTGTATTTTAATCTACCCTATAAAATGAAAACCATGACAGTTGACTGTAAATACTTGAGAATCACTCTCTAAGGTAATAATAATTCTACCAAATATGCTACTTCATATATTGGGATGATAGCTACAGTGTTGGATATAACTGTACAATACTGTAGGCTAAGTTACCTGTGGTATTGGGCGCAGCATAGGCCTTTAGGCTGCCCAGTAGATGATCTATCAAAGAGAAAACGGCGTACTCAACCGCATAAAGGGCCCGCAGTACATATTCTTTTGTGGACCACTCAAGGATTTCAACAGGAATTTGCTCACGGAGCTTTTTGTGGCTTCTGGGGACCGTTGAAAGACCGTTAACATACGACTTCCGTATTCGTGTCAGATGCTTTCTCAGAAAAGAATTTCCTTGCGGTATACAAAAAACATGTTCTTGCGGTTAAGGTAGTGCTAAGCATTAAGCTAGAAATATCTCTGCCAGTAACTCGAAGATTTAGTAGGTGAAAGCAAGCTGTATTGTACAACATCACCTCTTCGAGAGTCACCCTTCCCCAACTAGCATTCCACATATGTACCTGAACAATAGAACTACACGCTCCTCTGTAGGATCGAGTAACTAAACTAGGAGGGGGATTCTCAGAGCTCAATGTTCTGCCGGAAGCCATCTTCCTCCGGCGCATGGGAAATAAGCCATTCCCCAATTGCATTCTGTAAATAATTAGCAGTGTGCTTTCTGGGATGTCATTCAGGAGCTCATCGGTTGACGTCCACACACCTGACTCTTACACATGTGTTCTACGCCGTACCCATCGATGTCGAAAAATGTGTCGTTAGACTCTTTGTTGATTCCCTCGAGCGTTAAATCGCTAGCGCAGGCAATAGTTTGGCGGAGATAGTCAAAGCAATGCATTAAGTGATGTAGCTTGCCGCTTGCCTCGCTCTGTGGTGTCTTTGTACCATTGGCCATCGAGTTAATGAGGAGGCTTTCGCCGCGTACGACGCTGGAAAATTCTCGACGAAGGATCTTCTGTTTACTAATACGTCAGTTCTTTGCTGTGTTATAAGTGGTGTATGCCTAAGAAGAGTCTGATTAAATGAGATTAGACAACGAACTAGACAATGGTGCTGATGACCCCAGGTAGTGATATAAACTTCGTATTTACCCAGAGAAGGAATTCCCCGTGGCAGGTTATAGTCTCGGGCGTGTTCAATCTGCACCCAGCCGGTGATGCCTGGTAAACCCGCGTTCCACAAAGATTCGGAGGAGGGGTTGGAGAGCTCTTCCCAAGTCCTGTTCCGCTCTATAGTGAGTGCTTGCATGGGAACTAGATCCAATATTAAACATCTGTTCTTGTGTTATGTACAATTTGGCGCTCACTGCTGAGATTCAACTCACAATCAGGATGATACTTGGCACTTGGCTGGGTACTAGTATTGTTCACAATTCGTAGTATAATGAGCGCTTCAATAAGGTTCGCAACAATTAGGATTCCAACACCGAAAACACCGAGTAAGCAATGCCAACTCGTTTGATTTCTTTGGAAAACTACGTTAGCGGTCTCAGGGAGCAGTGGCTCTCCGGCCTCATTGTCAGGGCATTGATCCTCAGATGAATGATGAGCTATGTCCAAAGATTTCTGCATTACGTCTGGCAGTTCAAACAAGGCGTAGTGTCTGGTTACCATTAGAGGGAGGGGAAGGGTCAAGTATGGGGGAAAGACGGTATATACTATAAAGCAGTATCCCTATTGCTTACGGCTTGTCGGGCTTGTCCCGAGGTCCCGCTTCCGTGCGATGGGGATTGCAGAAGTGAATGAGAAGATGTAGATTCTCCGACACTAATTAGGTTCAAAACGGCCGTCGGTAAATGGAAAAAAAAATACGAGATATAGGGAGTCTAGTAGCTGGGAATATCATGGATAAGGTCGGAATGTTAGTGGAAGCGGCTGCTGCGGGAATAGGGAATGGAATCGACATGCATCATCTTAAGCTTATAAGGTTTAAGTTGCCTTCCGACGCTTAACTAGATGGAGTGCAGATCAACAGATCAGTCCCCTTACGGCTTGTATGCCGTGACATAGCCTCCCAAGAGGTCTGCCAAGATAGAAAAAACCGACAACGCAGAGTGAATATACACATACGTTATAGCAATAAGAGCACTGAAGTGACAACTCAAGCGTTGTTAGTTTGTGCGCGTAGAGAGTTTCGGTGTACTGAGTTCTTCTCCGGTTTGGGTATGTAATTTTGCCGACCATTTGCCCCATAACTCGGAGTAGCTGTAAATTAGTACTGCAAACTAGTGCTTATGATGATGGCATCAAATGGGACTTCCCCCCCCCCACACTTTCGAATACTATTTGATTACAGCTGCGAAACGGAAATATATTTCACCATCTCAAAACAAGAACGATTGCTTCTTAGGATTTAGAGTTGACGTATACAACTGACTGAAATTTAACACCGGGAATAACCAGAACTCGGTTTGTCTGCAACAGAATCCTGTCTCAATACCTGCTATTGGAATACCAATTCTGTGCGATTTATATTTACTTCTATAGTAGTCCTAATCTTGACGTAGAGAGAAACTCGGTGAATGGAAATCACATATGATCCTTGCAAGCTAAGAAATACTTTCTTGGCATTTTAAACCTTCAGCGTATAACTGGCGGAAATATACTCCCGGAAGATATCAGAACTCGATACTGCAGCTTCTTATTACCTAGTACTCACGTAAGGGATTCCTCGTGATTTGGAATACTACTACAATGGTCTTGGCAAGACATTGGACATTTCGTATACTGAAGAAAATACGTCACGTTGAGATTCATTATCTCGTACTTTTCGACAAAGGTGGCTCCAGAACGGGAACACTTGATCAGTGATGACGAAAGTATCAGTCTGAAGTACCTGGATAGGTAGGCTCAGTTTGAAAAGTATATAAGAGGTTGCTGTTCCTCCCAGAGACTCCCTCATGTAGAACGACCTAACACTCAAAATCATAGACATCAACAAATAGATCCGGCTAACTCACACCTTATCTTAACAATCCTTATTTACTCCCATCCATCTACTTATCATCCTTTCCTTCAAGATGCGCGTTTCCATCATCTCTACCCTTACGATGCTTGGGCTCTCTGCCCTTGCTATTGCGGCGCCTTCTCCTGTCGATAACCTTGAGGCTAGGGCGGGAAGTGGTCGTTGTCAGTGTCGGCCTATCTGCCACACTGTCCCTGGTGGTATGGGCGCTGGCGGTACCTGGTGCGATTGCACCTACAACGGTAGCATTAGCGGATGCACCAAGGATAACAGTGAGTTGTATCTTGTCCAGTCCTCTTAGATCTGTCAGCGTCTACCGTTTTCTTGACATAGTAAGATGCAAGAGACACAACACTTTGAGCGATCTTGGACCGTTCATTCTGTTTGGATATCTACTAATATTGAGGCTTTTAGGCTGCGATTCTAACTGCGATCCCCTCCAATAAATTCAACAAGCTATATGACTCTATGGTTTCTCTACGTGAAAGCGGAGGTAACAGTAGGGTAATTTCACTTCTATTGTCGACCATGACGGGGCTCTCTATTCAGTCTTTCTTAACTACTCCCTGGGCTACCTTTGTAAAGGAGTGGTGATAGCTCCCCGGCATGTTAGATGTTCGCTCTTTTGTTTATAAAAGGTCAGAAAAAGCGGAAGAAAACAAAAGGATTCTAGCCATTGAGATACGAACACTTAGGCAGAGATGAAGGGCATGGGGGAATTTACGGAAACATTCATGCAAATAATTTCTAGCAGGTTCTCAAATATCACATTGGTCTCCGTCTTCCACTTCGATATAAAAGAGCTTTTCTCAATTGTTCATAGTGAATATGGGAATGTACCACGTTCTCATAGAATGGTGACTGTCTGGCAAGACATTTTCAGCTTGTAGGAGGGGCGATCGGCGTTAAGCCTTTGACTAGGAAATAGCCTTGACCGTATTAACGTAAGCGGAAACTCGAAAAGGTCGATACATTAAAAGAACAATCATCCATCTCCAAACAATACAATGTTCGTAGTTCGAGCGTTGCTGTAGAGACGTCAAAAGAGGTCTTTGAAGGACAGCAGCTAGTTGTCCGAAGCTCTTTCGTGGGAAAAACTGCTTTTGGGTAAATAACATAATCTCTGTTTGAAGACCAAAGCCCCAAGAGACGACGCGAATAATTTTCTGCAGTAAATGGAACGGCATCGGCATGGTTTGCAATGATGGAGCACCTACTGCTCTCAAAAGAATCTTGGGCTGTCTATAGGGTGCATCCTTTGCCAATGACAGCGTTACCGAGGCTGGAGTACCCACGGCCAGGACCATTCCTCTTTTCATAATAGTTTCAAGAGGAGTCGAGAGCGTTCTTCTGATAGTAGATCCATGTTAAGTGACAGCCTGAAATTTCACTGATGCTAGAAGAGGTACATTAAATATAGTAATTTTACTTGGTTTCTACTCTTAAAATCGACTGTCCAGCCAGCTTGCATCAAGATGTAGATTGTTTCTCAAAAGATGGCGTTACCTCTTGAACCGAAGGTGGGCGGTGCAGCACTAGTCCTCAATACTCTCACTGCTCAGCAGTCTAAGCCTGTGTGAGCCGTATCGCACGCATAAACATTCAGAGTGGTCTTTTAGATTGAATTACTCTTTGCCTTAAAATTCTCTATGAACAGAAGCCGCAATCGTAAAAAAAAAAAAAGAAGAAGAAAAAGAATCCGAACAGGCACGCTGAAGATAGTGTATTCGCTTAGCCAAGCCACTTGCTACCTTTAATGGTGCCAGCAAATAACGTCAAATAAATCCCTCAACGGCTACAATTGGGTGAAGAATATGACGCTTTAACTATTTTGCAACGAGATAAAAGCTGGTTGCATGATAATGAATCTAGGCAAGGCCAAAACCGGAGTGTTTACGCCCGGGGCCAGAGAGACTGATTGCTGGTGGAGTCATCTGGGTGGAACGATTTCGTACACACGATAGCGAATTTAGATGTGTAACTGCATAGGCATCATCAAAAAGAGGATCATATAAATAGTACCTTCATGCGTCAGATAAATCACTATCATATTTGTATTTGTCTTGCTGGTAACAACATACAGAAGGAGTGTAGCTTGTATATCTACAAGGATGCATCCACAACGAAGACGGAATTGATGGTGAATCGCTGCGTGGACAGCATATTCGTAGAAAAGAACATCTACACTGGGTTGCGAGAAGGTAATTGAAACATTCGGATGAATTTATAAGTGGACAGTAAGTGATTGTTGTAAATTGATGGTCAGACTTTTAACGTCAATATCTTGGCCCTTGTGGTAAGCAAGAGGGCTCCTACTAACATAATCTATCTGCTACCTGGCCCCTAGTGAGTTAAAACTTCCAGTAGTTTTTCTCCCAACGGATGAGCACTAGCAGGATTCTGTCCAAAAAGCAATTTTCGAGATGGGTCAACAATGACGTGTGGACTCCAAGCCTCGCCTGACTTTTCATATTTGTCGCCGCTAGCCTTGTTAAGGGCATCTTCGAGACTGAAGGGCATACCTGGAGGAACTATTTCATTGGCGGTTGCCTGCTCCTCCTCAAGGTTGCTGAAACCAGTTACTTGATGACCAGCGAGGATTGGTGTTCCATCGGCCAGTTTGACATTGACCAAAGCAGCTGAGCCATGGCAGAGAGCGACAATAATGCGACCAGCATCATGGAATTCGCGTAGTAGTTGAATAGAGGTAGCATCCGTAGCCAGATCGTACATTGCTGTGTCAATAGTATTAGCACTTCCATACCGCCCTTTTACTTTCATGGTGGTGCAACAGAAATTATGTGCGATCAAAAAGTCATAAGTATCCCCAAGACGTACGTCCAAATCCTCCGACGACAAAAATAACATCAAAGTCTTTTGCGCGTCCTAAGAACGAGGAAAGCTTCTCAGTGGTCGTCCAGAGATCTTGCTTTGTGTTGTAAAACTCTTGGCAGTATGCATCATCCTTGAAGAGCTTTACTGAAATAGGATCAACCGTCGACGTGCCCGTAGGCGAGGCTACAAACACCTCGACATGAGGTGTGAGAACTTGGTACGGGTGCGCAAACTCGGGCTGAATGCTCGAATTAATTGACTGTTACTGTCTGGTTTATGAGGGCGCATGGTGCGTTTCTGAGGAGAGAGGGGATTTACGCACAAGATACCATCCTGCAGAATGGGAGGAGAGAACAAAGAGAATCTTGGGCTTGGAGGCCATATTTGGTAAATAGATTATTAGATCAGGGCAATTAGTGAGAATACAAGATAAAGTTGTGGTAATTATGTGGTCAGATTTGGAGGCCACATAGCATCTTTTTATACTCTGCCCTGGCTCTCAAGGCGTCTATTGCGCATACAAATTGGGCAATTCACTTCCCCGCATGAGCACATAGTAAATGAGCAAATGGGCATCCAAGAGATAAACACACAGCAGAAGCTGAGGAAAAGCATGTATTGATTCGTTGCCTTTCCCCCGCCCTTAACTCCCAAATCCTCCGAAGCTAAGGGACGTCGTAAGCTAAGGGACGTCGTAAGCTAAGGGACGTCGTAAGCTAAGGGACGTCGTCATCATAGCATCACAGCTCAAAGCACTAAAGAGCCATACAAAACCATATTTATTCAGGGCGAGGACTTCAACTTTTAAAAACATGAAAATACAGTATTAAAAGATAACAGCAAGCCAATATGTCTCTAATGAAAGCCGTTGGTATGCGTGAATATTTATTCTGACCCTGGTTGAAGTCTAGCTGACGCAAACAGATATCCGAGGTGGCACGGGCGAGCGTGATGCTCTCTTCATCAATGATCATACGCCCAAACCTACTCCCGGCAAAGGTCAAGCCCTCGTTAAGATCAAAGCATTTGGCATCAATCGCATGGACATTATTCAGCGCAACGGCGAATATCCTGTTCCTCCTCAGGCACCGAAAACACTCGGGGTCGAATTTAGTGGCATCATCGAAACATTTGGCCCTGGAAATCACAGTACCTTTAACGAAGGAGACGAAGTGCTCGGGCTAGCTTACGGTGGAGCTTATGCTGAGTATATTGCAGTCAGTTCCAAGATGCTCATTCACAAGCCGCGTGCTGTAAGCTGGGAGGAGGCGGCAGCGATTCCTGAAACTTGGATCACAGCCACGCAATCTCTACATAAAGTACTTGGATTCACTAGCGGCAAGACTATTCTCTGGCATGCCGGGGCCTCCGGTGTATCAGTTGCAGGCATACAGTTGTCGCGACTGGCTGGCGCATCTGCTATCTATGCTACCGCAGGAAGTGATGAGAAATGCGAGTTTGTGACATCTCAGCTTGGCGCTACTGCCGCGTTCAATTACAAGACTCAGGACTGGGTTTCTGAAATAAAAGAGGCTACTGGCGGAAAAGGAGTTGACTTTATTATTGACTACGTTGGCGCAGACTATTTCCAAAAGAATCTCGATGTTGCGGCTCGCGACTGTCGCATTGTTCTACTGTGGCTGCTGAGCGGCGGCAAGGTTCCCGATGCAGACATCTCACAGATTCTTTTCAAGCGTATCCGGATTGAAGGCTCTACGTTGCGAAGCCGCGATGAGGACTACCAGGGCGAGCTGCGCGATAAGCTTGAAACTTATATGCCAGAGTTTGAGGCGGGTAGACTCAAGACTATGGTAGACAAGATACTATCCTGGGAGGATATTGTTGAGGCACACAAGTACATGGAAGAAAATAAAAGTTCGGGTAAAATTGTTTGTACTATTCCTTAACAAATACACTTGATCTGTTTGTTTTGTCACTTAATTCTAGAGTTGCCTCGCTGTGTATAGACGGATAAGTGCTTTGACAAATACCCAAATGAGATCACTGAGATAGATGCGCATGAGCAGCATCAATAATTGCAGCTGCTGATATGTGCGTCCGCATCACCATAGATCTGACAAAGCATCGGAGGATAGAAGGCAAGATCTCGTACTATTCGCTAAGTCTACGCTGTAGTGTAATATAAAGCTGGTAAGACTACGCAGAAATGCATGTTGACTATTCCCTGTCTTCAGAGATCATCCGCGTCAACAGATCAAAATCGTCCACCTCACCGTCCAATGGGACAGATGGCCCTGGTCTCTTATAGAATGAATATTCGAATTCAGGTGGATAGAAGCCCGCATACTCCCAATCAATGATGGCGTTGATCTTGAGTGTGCTTGGGTCAACAATGACATTGTTCATAGAGAGATCGTTGTGACAAAACACTAGGTCTTGTTGCTTCCGCTGACGCATTCTCCATGGTCGCCCATCGGATTTTCGCATAATACGATATGGCGGAAGAACCTGGTAGTGAGTTAGCCTGGCGTATAGGGAATCTTCCAGGTGCTTGGGTACCATGTTATCTGGCCCACCCCAGGTATCAGAGGTAAGGTTCTTGAGTGTGAGTATGTGGCGTTGTAGCTCTTCAGCAACAACGGCTTGGCTCTCAGCATCAAGATCGTTCATTCCAACTCCATCCACATATTCAGTAACCAGATACGCTGCGCCGTCATCCTCGAAGCACGCAAGTAATTTTGGGAGCGGGATACCAGTTTGAGCAAGAAACAAAAGGCATGCACCCTCATTAAGGACACGTTCCACGTTGAATAAAGGAACGTGCATGTAGCCATTCTGCTTTTGCCATTCGCAGGGCCGTAGGCTTCGCTTTACCCACGTGTTGCCAACTCGGAAGTATTTTCTCTCGTGCGAGATGGCGATGCAATTCTTTTCTCGTCTTTCATTCAACTCGCTATTGGTCGGCGGGACCATCTTGACACAAAGGTGAGGTGGATGGATGAAGAGTATTAGGGGGGGGCCTCTGTGAACCTGGTGTATGGATTTGTTTGGCGAGACTATGACAGGATCGCCTGCATTTCAGCTGAGATCTCGTACTCTGCACCATGTCAACCGTGTTCTAACATATCAAGGAATAACATACGGGTGTCGATGACGCTCAGCACCACAGAATAACCCTCGTGTACAAACTTCTCGCGGACATCACGATGGTAAACGAACTTGACACATCTGTTATGTTACCTCAATGTACTTCACGGTACCTAGAAACCGAGAAATACGCGCAAACCCAAAATGAGAATAACAATAACAATAACAATAACAATAACAATAACAATAACAAAAACAAAAACACGACCGCTTATCAGCAAGTGGTTGTGTAACCCAACTTGCATGTCATCACGGGACACCACGTGGCCACAGGACCGTCCAACAATAGGCACACAACGGCCCAAGCTCCTCTTCCCTCGATTTCTTTACTGTTTGCAAAGATCTCACGATTCACATCTATGCCCGTTATTATTTAACAATGGAAATCTCTACGACACTCATCTCCGGGAACGAAGATGAGACTGCAGTGTTTGCAGAGAGCTACTGTGGCGATCTTTCTTTAGCCTTTAGATTCAATCTGGACATCTCCCAGCCGCTCAGCACCAGCAGCCGCATAGTAGCCTGCTTTCACGAGATCGAGGTGGACGACGAGAAGAGGACGTTTTCGGACCGAGAATCCATGCGCCAAGGAATATACGATTTAATATCGCACGTTTGGCCCCTTTGCGCATCAAACCCTTCAATCCGCCTTCCGGATGTCATTGTGGACATCCAGCAGGATGATCTCGGTGAAACGACTTTCAGAATCTCCCACGAGAGTGTCTTTCGAGAGTATCTCGCAAGTCTTTGGCCTGTTTCATCCATCAAAGATGCTCTTATCCCACAAGCTCGTACGACCGAACCGTACTATATATCACTTGGGTCTCTACAGTTTTCCGATACATTAGGTGGGCGCGGAGGGACAACTGTCACGCATTTGAAAGATCAGAAGGATGGCCAAGCATACGTCTATAAAGGACTAAGCTTTCGCTTGTTCCTGGAAGGCGATACAGAGTATAAATCCGAGCGAGATACGTTCTATCGTGAACTCGGGGTCGTCTACTCTCTACCTAGCCATCCAAATATCATGCGTGCTCCGCCCTTACTGGTGACCACTGGGCCACCTCAATCCGCAAATCATGGCATTGCGGAAAAAGACCGCCTCGTGTGCGGAACGTTGTATCCGTTTCTCGAGCGCCAATCATTGCAAGAGGTAATCAGCCAAAGCAATGAAAATCACTCAACCCTCCCTCTGACAGCAAAGGCAAAGTGGGCGTGTCAAATTTCATCAGCAATGGCGACTGTGCATTCATCAGGGCAGTACCATATGGATTTAAAGCCAAGCAATATGCTTCTGAACAACAATAATGATGTCATTATAATCGACTGGGAGCAATGTGGTGCGTCTCCCTTCTTCCTTGCACCGGAAGCGGACGGCTCATGGGACGTAGAGGTCGTCATAAACACCGAGCCAGCCGAGGTGTGGAAGACAAACCCCGGGAAACAAATGATGGTTTATCGAAAGTTCATAGGCCCCCTACGTGATGATTTTGGGATTTTGCCAAGGCGGAATGTATTCCAATTGTGGCAGCTTGAATGCCGAAGAGCGTTGGAGGCTGCAGAGGTCTACAGTTTAGGGTGGAGTTTGTGGGTGATCCTTGAGCAGAGCGAGGATGTGTGGACTTACGACAGGAGACAGCCAGAGGCAAAGGAAGTTGCGTGGACTCAAAGAAGTGAGAGTGTCCCAGAAGTATGGAAGGTTTTTGTTTCTCGATGCATGAGCCTAGATCCAAACAAGCGGCCTACATTCGAGCAGGGAGAAAAGTTTTGGGGACAAGAATGGCAGAAGCTTGAGGGGCAGACGAAGTAGATTTCACGATAAAAAATGCAATTTAGTACCTGGCGTTATTCTAAACCATATGAAAAGCTACAGCTTGCCTGCAAATTATTATCGAATACCAGGTGCCACTATCTCAGAGCGCTTCATTCGAATTATGACATAGGATTATCCAGCTCCTTTTGGTAATTTAGACTTGTGATAGTAGGGATGGTAAAGGTCCATCCCGAGCGGGAAATGAACCGCTCACGATTCTTCTGTGCTACAGCTGTTTATATTTGTGGTGGCAAGTGGAACTCCAAGCGTTTTACCTCTTTCCGAGGGAGAATGATCATCTCTTGCCGTTACTGTAGTCAGTGATACACCAAGTATATTATCTAGCCTTGACGAGGATGCCTGTGTGCATTATGCGACGGAGTGAAACCACACCAAGAGGGCTAAGCTACGTTAAAAATCGTCCTGTATATGGAAAAACAATCAGTCAACCGTCGCCATTGTCCGTGCTTTAGCGCCGGTGTAATTAGATGGCTTGAAGTGGCGTCTCGCTTTTTCGCAATCCTACAAACGGTTGCCTGACCAGCAACCACAGAGGTCTCGCGGTCGCGCGCGTTTCCGCATGTTCTGTATCACCCCATCACTAGGCATTAAATCAACCTCAGCCTGCTCCCTCGTGAAGCATATATAGTTGCTATAAGCTCATTTGATCTATGCACAAGTCGGTCTATAGTTCATCTACTAGTCATTCAACTCTGGATATACAAACATTATTATTACAATGGCACTTGTTCTATCTCCATCGGTTGATCACTTCAACTCCTTGCCTGACATCGCGGAGTCTAACAAAGCTTTCCAAGATGTTTGTACGCAAAATATGCTCTCAGATATCTACGCTGTCTTCCTCAAACACCGAGTCCAGACTATATATGGTCTCGTGCTTGTTCATCAGCATTTCGACCTTGAGTCGGATGAGAAGTTGGTTAACATTGGAAATGTGGCTATTCCTCTGAAGACTGATATTGTTTCCACTTCGATTACTGCAACTAGATGGGCTTTTTCTGGAGAAGGGGTCATCCCTTACGAGTTCTCCACCGAAGGGCTTCAGATTGATATGAACCAACACTACGATTTCATCCACGAACTTGGGAAGCTGATCCATTCCTTTGGGCTATCTGATTATCTCGGAGTGTGTTCGCTTGACAGCATCGCCGGCACAACTGAAGGGCCTACTATGGAGTTTACGAGTGGCCGTGCAAACATCACCTTGCCATTTGACATTGACCCCAAGGAAGGGCAAAGCGTGGAGGTAGCATGGCAAGTACATGAAGGTATAGATGCAACTTTCTTAAATCGGTTGTCCTCCATCATCTGCTCACCGTACAATAGGGTCAATTCCCGGAACGGTAGGATTCGCTCAATGCAAGGTGCGATGCGGAAGAGGTCCAAATACTGGTCATCAGGGACGTCATTTACGAACCAGATCCTAGCTCACTCACTGGTCTGGTTGAGTGCTCTACCCAGCAACACCATGGCACACGGTGGTACGCAATGGTGCACCTACTTCTTTATTTGGCATTAAAGAGTTTATAGCAAGCTCCATACATCTGTTATTATTACTTGTGGCATTCTTTACAAATCACTTAAGTCAAGTGCGGTACCCTGTAGTCCAGATTATTCATATGCTGTATACCGGTAGATTTAGTAAAAAATATACATAGACAGATTTCACATCCAAGCATATTCCATTGCCGGAGCGAATATAGATAATATCCACTTGTTACAGGTTAATAGGCAATAGTGTACCAAGATTTCGAGACACTCGCAGAACGAGCACTTGCTGCAACATGCGTTTTTACTTTTCATACTCTGGTTTGAGCCTGTAACTCGCTTGGATGAAGTCCCTAAATATAATGGAAGAAAGTGAATTAAATATTTTATAGTCAACTTCCAATTTGATACTCCTGTGAAGATTGAGAAATTAATTCACAATGTTCTTATCGGTCCCACCGGTCAAGATCCCATATAATCTGCCCACCCGGCATTGTGACAGCAGATAAAAGTAACAGCAATAATAGGTTACAAAATCGATGTAAACCCATTCCAATCGATAAAATCATTTGAGATACTTACCCCCGGCCCTGTTGCCACAAGATCAAATGGGTGAGGGCCTATAGCATCATTAAACGTACGTGCGTATGAAGTCGTATAATAAGTAAAGTTGGTACCCTCGACCTTTTGGGACAACGTTAACTCTACAGACTCTGTATTCCAACCTCCAGTATTCACCCCCGGAATCTTGTGTTCGTAAAAGATGGCGGTAACATTGGTAAATCGCTCGGCATTCAACACCTTTTGAGTTCGCGTTAGCTTGTGTCTATATCAGCCTATTGTTCGACAGGACGTTTACTAACCGCCACAGTTAGGTTGAGCTGTTGCTTGCTGATGAATGTATTGTCGGGGCCGGGAATGAGAAAGGTCTGCTGGGTGGATAATTTGTATTGGGGCTGAAGCGACTCCCCAGTAGGAAACCCGTTTCCGTTATTGTCGTGGATGACCGAAGCTCCTGTGTCACCGTCGGCAATCTCAACCACGAAGGATGAAGCGCCTTGTCCAGAGGGAACGACTAACGAGTATTCGAAAAAACTAAAGGTTGCAGGGCATTTTGTGTATACACAGGTAGCATGTTCGAAGTTGCCTGCGATACCATTGGTAACGCTGCAGGGCGTCGCATCCGAGCACTGAGAGCCATTTCGAGGAACGAAATGTAGTCGGACTTGGGTATTGGGGCTGGTGAGCAAGGAATCTTCGACCTAAGGCGTAGCCCAAATATTTGTTAGTGGACCAGCGCAATTTTTTAACATCTTGTTAGGGTACTTATGGCAGAACGCACTCTTATGACCCCTGAGAAAGTCATAGTTCCATTGCTACAAATCTTTTGGTCAGCAGGTACTAACAGTTGTACGAGGAGCAATGATAGCTGTCCTTACGCGTTAATGTCAATCTGGGCTGCTCGAGGCTTGACGGGGTAATAGTCGATGGGCTCAGTGAGAACCACCTCCTTTGGTACTGTGTTCAGCATACGTTCCAGTAGGATGCTGCATCTTGATGTGAAGTAGTCGTTAGACTCAGCCAGCTTTCTCATAGTCACACGGCCATCCGAATTAAAAATACGCTCATCTGATCGAGTAGTGACATTCGCTCCAGATGCGAGGGGGTTCTTGGTTGTATTGCTGATGAACTCGGTAGCCCTACATTTCATGGAGATTTAGAAATATGCATCGGATTAAAAGAAAGAACTGAGCTGTACTTACACCTTGTTATCAAAGAAGTGGTATGACGTGTCAAAACTGCTGGTGTGCTCATCATCCTATTCATCATAAGGGATTAGTATTCCGCCTCCTACAACGCAAATATATTAGGTAGCTAGCACATACCGGATCATCATTAGGCACAAAGGGGACGATTTCAGGAAAATCAACGCCATGTACACCGCCAATGGTATGTCCACACGCCACAAGTTCAATCATCTCAGTGGCATTGAAGCCTTGCCTTGCAAAAGATGCGGTGTGAGTGGCAAGGTCTTGCTGCGGTTCAGGGACACCCGCTGGTCCCGCTTCTCTGGCATCTATCCTTCCAGCACGGAGGGGGATGATCATAGTACCATTGGAGCAAGCCCCAATCGCAAAGGTGGCACCGAGGGCGAACAAGTCTGCCAAGGAAGACCTGGTTGTCACCAAGCCGGAAAAACTATCTCGTGTCTCCGAGAAAGCGTTGCCCACATTCTCTGCTCGGTCCAACTCGTAAATGATCGAGCCATCTAGTCCTCCTGTCCCAGCGATGGTATCCGCTGTCGACATGTCGTGGTAAGCATTCCTCCTATTGAGACCCGGTCAGCAATCCGATCAAGACAAAGAGACGCCTCTATGCCATATTGTTTCTCAAGGAACATCCGAGAGGCAACGCATATTGTTGCTGCCGGTATACTGCTTACAGCCATTCTGCCCCAAAATTTATCCCTTGGGTTTCGTTGCCTATGCCAACACAGTCATGAACAAAAAAGGCAATGCCCGGGCTAGCGTAACCACCCAATTGCTCGTACAATAGCCACTCTAAACGGTCAGTGCGAGCGTTCGGCCAGACTTGTTCGCAGAGTGCAGGGGACCAGAGAGAAACACTAGCCAGAGCCAGCAGAGCAGTCTGTGGGAAAACCATCATGGTCAGACGGGGAGCTCTAGTTGTTTTTTCTTCTCGTTGCCTCCTCAGTAGACGCGATCTAGACTGGTTATATACACAGATTTCTCGTGATGGACAGGAAAGTAGATGTCTTGCGAGCCCATGCGATTTCAGATGACATGCAATTTGATGCTAAAACTATGCTTATTGTTAATGCGATTACGGATTAAGATACGAGGTGACCAGGGGATGACGAAGTCGACGATGCAGCATTAAGGGGAAAGCGGAAGCCTGACCGCGTGAGCGTTGAACAGTGTCTTGGGCTCGGCCACGCATTAAATGGCAGCATTCTCACAGAGTTTCTTAGCATAATACCGCTGCTAGGAGATAAAAACTCCGGCGCAGCGGGTTTAGTCAATACGACACCTCGTATATGTGCGGAGCAGATTTGCCAGGGATACTGCAGCGTGCACAACGTTATCTATCCGCAGGGCGTCGGAAACTGTCATATTGTTTTGTGTGCTCCCCTCTAGGTACGCATCGGATGACCCCCTTTCTGACCCTTTTCCAGATACGAAGGTATACGGAGTTGCCGAAACTCGTGTTGCAAGTCAGAATAAACCCGGTGTAGGTTGGCGATTATAATCCATTTCAATTTTGGACGTTGAAGCAGGTCTGCCGCTGAGATGCTGCTGGGCCGTCAAACAAGAAATTTCATGAAGATACTTCTAAAATTTCTTTTCGTCTTTGGCAAAACAGCTCGATTGGCATAATTCTACAATCATAAATTTTGAGAAAAAGACCCTGGAGAGACCGAGCAAAGATGTTATCCTTGGAAGCTCCAAGTTACCACTTTTACGTACCTATCGTCTAGTAAGAGTCATTCCGATGACTGTGGTCAGCTATAGTGGACTATCTTATCGAGGCTGCTGACTGAAACTAAATGGCAAGGTGTTCAAACTACCTATACCTACGCCATATTATACATGGCTGCCCGTCTTTTCTGTTTTTCCTTTGGCATTTGTATGTATACATGTGTATATCTACCTGAGAAGGATTGATACAGATTTTAAACCCCAGTACCATTTGCAGTGATCAATTTTCCGACGCCTGAAGCAAGCGCATCGGAGATTTATGTATTTTGAACCCGTAAATAATTGAACAGATAGATGGATAAACATTATTTACAATTTCTCATCAATGGTATCTACGATATTGAAGATGCAGATAAATGCCAATACGTACATCCTGAACAGCTGATTGAACCACGTGATGCTGCTACATCTGCTCGATCGGCTTAATATCGGCCAAGGATTATCGCACACCATCGTCAATAGTAGAATGACTCCCATCGTTGGCCAGTGCTCAACTATCCATGAGTTGGTCTTCTTTCAAATCTTTGAAGCGTTTGGTCTTGATGCCTCAATGAACCATATTCTACGTTATTCTGTCTTCAACACGTCTAGAGCCGCCGTAAAATCCGTCATGCTTAGTACCAACACATCAGGAGCCGCAGCAGCTCAGCGTCCTGCACCAGATCTCCAGTTTACTGTCCATCCCGGCGCTGCTCCGTTCACAGTCTCCCAGCAGGCGTATCTCGCAGCTCATCCAGACCCGAGATACACTTACATCGCGACTGGATCGCTTGTGTTCGACACCAGCAATCAGTCATGTCCTCGCTTGCTTCTACTTCAGCGCGCTGCTCATGACAGCATGCCTAACAAATGGGAGGTCCCTGGGGGTGGCTGTGACGACGACGACGAGAGTATCCTGCACGCTGCGGCGCGCGAGCTATGGGAGGAAGCTGGCCTTAAAGCAGTCCATCTGGGGGCTCTTGTTGGAAGACCTTATTTCCTCTCAAGTAGATCTGGGAAGAAAGTATGCAAATTTGTGTTCCCTGTACAGGCCGAGACCAATAGTGAAGGCCGCATGGATGTGACTTTGGACCCACGAGAGCATCAAAGCTTCGTATGGGCTAGTGAAGAAGAAGTCAAGGCCAAGAGGTTAAACGACATGGAGCTGGAGTTTACTCACAAGGATCTGGAGTGTATAGTGCTTACAGCATTTAGTCAATTCAAGACGGGATGAAAGTCCAGGAGACTCATACGTAGTGAATGAACGAGTGTAGCTCATGTAATCGGCATACTAAACATACAATTACAATTGCCAGAACCCCTTTACACAATCTCAAACTCCTTCTCGGAAAGTTCTCCACAGTCCATCATATCCAGCGCCTCTCCTTTCATCAAGCCATGGGCATAACATTCTCCAACAAACAGATACTGCTTTCCAATGGGTCGTAAACAGAACGGCAGCTTTCCACCAAACAAGACGCATATAACATCGCCCTTCTTCATGACCGCCGGCCCAAGAACATAATATCCGCTCTCCGTTCGCGCAAAGATGCGATTCTTCGACGCCCCATTAGCCGAACGGCTCCACTCCTCCTTCTCATGCTTGCGCTTGGCCTCAGCTGCGAGTTCCTGTATCTCTAATGAAACGGCACTTAAGTCTCCGAGTGCTCCAACGAGGTACATGGCTGCCTGTTCAAGCCACCTAGAGGCTGGGATCTCGTTGTATGGGATCCCCTCTCGTCCAGCAATCTGTACGCAGCCATTGCTAAGAGTTTGCATGAATGCAAAGAAAGCTTTATCTTCGCCATTGCGATATTCATCATCTAGATTGAAGCTCTTCTTCTGGCAAATCTCGTTCCAGAGGAACTCTATCATGTGACTTTTGCCGTGAAAGTCTTTGTTCTTCAACGGCGGGGAGCACGCTTCAATTGTGTCGACATACACGCCGTGGATGCGAAGTAGAGCGGAGTCGTCGTCAATCTGGAGTTTTGGCATTGAAGAACCATGAGCACGATGCGGATTGATGGGCTCTGAGAGAATGAAGCCTTGATAAGTCCTCCAATCTGGCACCCAAGACGGCAGTCCACTGGCATGAGGCAATGCCGGCCCATCACGAGATGGTAGACTCCCGACAAGGTGCTGCACGGCTGCCAATGTTATCAAAGCTGAATCCCCTTTGCTTCCCTTCAGCGACCGCTTAGCCAAGTCAGTGTAAACCTGCTCCACAGACATCGAATAATTGGGTGTGATTGACGCAAGCTCAGAGTTGAAGAAGTCGGCCGAAGTGAGAGAATAATGGCCGAGAAAGGCAAAGATGCGGTCTCTGTCGTTAGTAAAGTTTAAGCTGCGTGCTCGATGAAGCTCATATATAAAGTTGAATCGGTTTGCGTGGTGGCTAGTTGCGTCCGGCTCAATAAATCTCTGGAACAAGAACTTGATGTCGGAGGTGTTGATATTTAGCTCTTTACGAAGATGGTGATAGTCCGTGAGTGATTCACAAACGCTATGCAATATCTTCCAGTCAATCTCTGCATCGCCCCAGAACATTGTAGCAGGTGCAGCGGTTCCGATCTCTTGTACGATCCAACCACGTTTAAACTACACTTACGTTAGTATCCATTCATTCTCTTTCTATACATGAGCAATCTCTCAGTTTATGCTTACCCATTTGCGATTGGTCAAACTTTGCAACGCCTTTTTGTTCTTCTTTACTTCCTGTTCCAGGTCATCTGCGAGCCGGGCGTAAGACTCACCACCGGCGTTTTGGAGCGTTTGGTGTAGATTGTGTATCAAAGAGAACGCTGAAATGGCTTCTCCATTGCTGTCGAGTCCAAGCCAGACCAGGACGTGGGACGCATCTTTGTAAATCCTGTTCATAAATTGCACCTGCTGGCTTCTTTCATCTAAATCGTTTTGGTTGATACAGATTTGGTCGGCCCAGATGCGGCGCCCTCGATCCGGAAGACGGATGCGCCTGAGCGCTGCAAAGATATTTCCCCCTTCTGTCAGTTCTAAAAGTCTCTCTTCATCATCATCGGTATTGATCACAATCTCGTATTTGCAATTTGGCGGGCCGTCTTCCTTCCAGACATATGATATCGCCTCGTAGCTTCCTATCTCATCGATCTGAATAGCTTCCAGTGTTCCTCTCAGTGGTTCAGATGGTTGCCCGGGGGGCAGGGTAAATATTCTAATAGACACATTGTCCTGGAACGGTTGGTATTGGTAGCCTAATTTTTTGGCGGAGACATTGGCGATGCACGGCTGGGGAATGAAAACACTTGACGCGTCAGAGAATCTGTCTACATCTCCCATGGTGGATATTTACAGTAGAACGCGGTTAGAAGACCAAGCTTAGCGCCTATTGTGGAAACTCGACAACTTTTATTGCAGGGCTACGATCTTTATAGACCCCGCTGCTTCAGAGACGAGAGCTTTGAAGTGTTGAGCGGATCTTGCGTTGACAAATAATAACAGCCAACCTGATGGTAAGGCTAGTTTTCAGCTGGATGCCTTGTCACCCTTGGCGTTTGTGAGAAACAAATAGAAAAATGAGGCGACCCGGAAACTTTTTCTTTTCTTGGTGGTTTAGCAACAAGGATGGTTGGACCCTTGACAAAATGACTCATACAGCACCCATCCTTACAGAAGCAGCATTCAGCTGGATGCAGTGCGACCCTTGATAAGACAGCAATTCTAGGCTACAACTCAATATTGCCTCAGCTTTCAGCCACAGGGGAGCCTTTCGGTTAACTAATGCATACAACCGCCAATGATCTCAAGCCACTCATCTTTCCTAAATGCAGCTTGCATATGGAGTCTTTGGAGTACAGAGAATTTTGTAAACAAATTGCAAACAAAGAGGGTCAGCAGCTGTAGCGAGAAAAGTACCTAGAATTTAGCCGACCTAATAGCGATAGAATCAGGCAGAAGTGCATCAGAGGGCGAAACGCAGCCCGAATTTTACCTCTCATACTCATTACATCAATCGCCAAGTGCAAAATATCCGAGTTTCATAAGCCTATTTCATAACATCTTCACATTTTCACACTTCAGTCAACATCTCGAAACGAACAATGTCACAAATCAGCTCCACTCAAGAAAACCCTGCATCGCCGCCCAAGTTCCTTTTCGATGTCGACGATTGCCTTGGCGAATGGAACGTACCGGTTCAGCAATGGCTCGATACACACAAAGTGCAGCTTGAGGAGCGACAGATCAAGCTAGACAGGTTGGCGACAGGCTGTATCGTGGTCAACCCCGAAGGCAAAGTCCTCCTCATCCAGCGCGCCAGCCATGATTCTATGCCAAACAGATGGGAGATACCTGGAGGTGCTGCTGATGACAGCGATCCCACCATTCTGCACGGCGCTGCACGGGAACTGTGGGAGGAAACGAGGCTTGTCGCCAAGCGTTTCGTCCGTCCCGTTACAGAAGGACCGGAGGAGAGGGACCTGCAAGTGTTTCCAAATAGCACGAAAACACTATGGCTTTGTAGGTTTTCGTTTGAAGTGGAGGTCGAAAGTGCCAGTCAAGTTACGTTGGATGCGGCTGAGCACCAGGATTTTGTTTGGGCAACGGAGGATGAAGTCAGGGAGCAGAAAATTGGTGACCGGGACATTCCTATTACGCACGAGTCTGCGAGGTCTGTTATTTTGGAATCTTTCCGGCTGAGGAATGAAAACTAGCCCGGTGACTACCTATATTGAAGGGGTCTCAGTGGGGGATCGAAGCTGATTGCGCTATCGAAATATACACAAGTTCAATGGTTGCTGGCACACGAGGTTGCCTTCATATACCACAATCAGGTTATTTTATCATTAAGATGAGCTAGATTGATCAAAGGCCGATTACTCGATATCTTTTATATATATATAAAGAATGATACATCAAATGAGACCTTGCTCAAAGAGATACATCTTTCACTAGTAGCTGACTACATGCAAATATGTAAAAAACTAATTTGAGTGCGCGTCAAATGATGTATACTATTCGTGACACTTGTTATCAATAATTAAATAATCTGTGGATAAGAAACAAAATCGGATTGGATATACATAATGTCTGGTTGGTGCAAGAGATCACCCGTAGCTTACACCTTTCAATGGCTTCAGGGTAGGTAAAATATCACGATAATGAACAGTATCAACTAAGCCCATGTAAACATCTAATATGCCTGTCTTGATCGATTATATACAATTGCGGATCTTATGCCAGAGGATAGACTAATTTTTTCCCGCGAACCTTGCCCTTTCGGAGGTCATCAATTCCTTCAACCAATGCTTCTAAGCCGCCTGTCCGTAGCTCTCTTGGATGCGGCTTGAGCATGCCCTGTGCGATAAGCTGCTCTGATAGAGCAAAGAATACCTCGGCAAACTCACGATCCTGAGGCCTAGCTGGCCGTCCATAGGCTCCATCTAGGCGTACAGGCAGCCCTGAGAGTGTGCGGCCAATGACCCAATCTGCACGAACTGTTCGACGGGTGTATTGTATATGTGTGGCCAACGGCTCAAGCCCAACGTAGCGACCACCCGCAGAACCGATGGCGTCGTAACACATTTTCATGGTTCCTGCTTCAGTAACGCAGTCCAAGGCGTATTGAAGGCTATCGTCAGTGTAGTTGCGGATTTCTATGGCACAGTTTGGGGAGTTGTAGTCAAAGATGGCAGTGGCGCCTAGAGATAGAAGGAGATCCTTGTGCTGAGGAGAGCAGGTGGTTACTACAGTGAGGCCAGAACTGAAACTTTTGGTCAATGTCCTTGAATTTGATATAAATCTTGGCGTATTTGGAGATGTCACTTACGCTTTGGCCAATTGAATGGCAATGGTGCCAGTTGCAGTCGCTCCCCCTGCTACCAACACATATACTGGCTTCTTTTGCTTCTTGGCTGTAACCTTGCCCTCGTCGTCCACGACAGGCGGCGGTAAAGCAAGCGTTTGATATAGGGCTAATGTTGCTGTTCCAATTCCGACACCATATGTAGCCGCTTCATCATATGACATCCAATCTGGTATCTTCCAAGCGCCATGGGCGTATGTGACGGCGTAGTCAGTAAAGGCGCCCATCCTCATGTCGTCTGCATTGAAGCCAATAGCAAGCCCAAGCACTCTATCGCCCTTCTTTAATCGTGTCACCCCTTCCCCGACCTCAATCACTTCTCCGGCAAAATCGTGTCCACCAACTGCGCCTGGTACCACGGAAAAATCCACCATCTTCCAGTCTGTCGGATTCAGGGCAATAGCTCCAACCTTGCAGACGACCTGGTCGGGCCCTGCCTCTGGAACTGGAACTCCGTGAACCAATTCATATTGGCCAACGTCTTTGCCCACCAAGGTGCTTCGGACTGTCATAGTTCTAAACAGCGTGCAAGTTACAGCTTTGCACACTTTCCCGTATGTATGCGTGTTTGTTGATCATCACCAGAGTCTTATCCATATTGTCTATATCTGTCTTAGACCTGGTTCTGGAACACTTAACAATTCAGTGGATACTCCGTGCCTTGATAGGAAAGGCAGCTCCCATGAGTACCTATTACGGGATACAGTCAGCAACCTCCCGACATCCAAGCCCGCAATAATCGACCGGCCGGTCGGCGGGGCCATTCCCAACTCCACAGTAAGCAAATTGCACCGACCGTCAGTATCTGAGCATGAAATGGGGACTTGCCTGACATGGCAGCGATGGCCGGAGTGGCTCGCAAGTCCCGTCGCGAGAGCCGGCGTGTCAATGAATTGATAGCTGGATAAAAATGCCCGACGGTATGTAAGATCTTCCTAACATAGGTAGTAGACTATTCCAAAAATAATTCGCATTCATTGCATAGCTAGTGGTGAATACTCAAGACTGTAGCCTCATCCGCTTCTTCGTGACAGTTTAGTAGACACAGTTGGTGTTCCTTAGCCCGTCTTATGAAACAATCTGCCATTATTCACTGGGAATACCAACAATACGTTCCACAATACACCTAAAATGGCAAAATCCGAGTTCATCACTGAACCCATTGCCATTGTGGGAAGCAGCTGTCGCTTCCCAGGCAGCTCAAGCTCTCCATCGAAGCTATGGGAGCTTCTGAAGAACCCCAAGGATATTCTCAAGGAGATACCAGAAAGTCGGTTCAATCCAGAAGGATTTTACAACGACAATGGAGAATATCACGGCGTAAGAAATAACACTAACATTATTCTGGAGAATTGGATGGAAGACTGACAACTGTGTTTTGAACCTTTAGAGCACGAATGTGAGACATTCGTATCTCCTCGACGAAGATTTCCGCGAATTCGATCACAATTTCTTCAACATCCATCCAAAAGAAGCAGAGTCTATGGATCCCCAGCAGCGCATGCTACTGGAGATTGTTTTTGAGTGCCTGGAAGCGGCAGGGTACTCGATCCAAGAGATGAAGGGATCTCAGACAGCCATTTTCGTTGGACAGATGACTCAGGACTACTCAGATTTATTACTGCGAGACGTAGACAGTGCACCACAGTATGCTGCGACTGGTATCTCCAGAGCAATTCTGTCCAATCGAGTGTCGTACTTTTTCGATTGGAAAGGACCATCATCCACGATAGATACGGCATGCTCGTCAAGTTTGGTAGCGTTGCATCATGCCGTGCAAACACTCAGGAGCGGAGAGTCGTCACTGGCGGTGGCAGCCGGTGTGAATTTGATTCTCGGCCCTGATCCATACATCCTCGAATCCAAGGTACGTTTATCGGGACGATCAAATCAGTCTTGGGATACTAACACGGCCTACTTTACAGCTTCACATGTTATCTCCGACAGGCAGATCACGCATGTGGGACGCTGGAGCTGATGGCTACGCGCGAGGCGAAGGCTTTGCGTCAGTGCTTCTCAAGACTCTGAGCCAAGCGATTGCAGACGGTGATCATATTGAATGCATAATTCGAGAAACGGGCGTCAACCAGGATGGGCGCACATCTGGTATCACCATGCCTAGCTCTACATCTCAGACTGCATTGATTCGCTCTACCTATGCCAGGGCTGGCTTAGATTGGCGAAAAAAAGAAGACCGCTGCCAGTATTTTGAGGCTCACGGCACAGGAACTAACGCCGGAGATCGTAAGTAATTTTTATCACTAAACATTTACTACCATGGCAATTAACATCATTTGCAGCCATCGAAGCTAGGGCGGTGAGAGACGCATTCTTCCCAGAGACCGACGAAGATGAAGATCAGACTACGAATCTTGAAGCAGATGAGCCTCTTTATGTTGGATCAATAAAGACTGTAATCGGTCATTTGGAAGGGACTGCTGGGTTGGCTGGATTATTGAAAGCCTCTCTGGCTATCCAGAATGGAATAATTCCTCCCAACATGCACTTTAACAAACTCAACCCCAAAATCTCGCCCTTCTATACCAACCTCCACGTACCGACGAAAGCCAGGGCATGGCCTACACTGTCTCCTGGAACTCCAAGGCGCGCAAGTGTCAACAGCTTTGGATTTGGAGGAACCAATGCGCACGTCATCCTTGAGAGCTGGACTCCGGAGGATATTCACCAGGAAGACGTTCTAGAAGTTCCTTGTGGCCCTCTTACTTTATCCGCCAACACAGAGAAGGCTCTGTTAGCCAGGGCTCGCCATATTTCTGAAGCTTTGAAGGCTGGAAAGATAGCGAATCTCTCCAATTTAGCCTGGACGATGCAGTGTCGTCGCACACAATTCCCATACAAGATGTATGTTTCTTCGTCTACCGCCGAAGGGCTCATCGAGAAATTAGATGACGTGGAATCAAAGTCAAACTCAATCGCTACAAAAGGCATCCATGTTACAGAAGATCTCCCAGCGCGGATACTGGGCGTCTTTACAGGCCAGGGTGCCCAATGGCCTTCAATGGGACGTCGTCTGTATGAGAAGTCAACCACCTTTAAACACACAATTGACCAGCTTGAAGAATCGCTGAAGAATTTGCCTGACGCGCCATCTTGGTCGCTCGTATCGGAGCTGATGGCACCACCTGAAAAGTCTAGAATACACGAAGCAGCCATCTCACAGCCTTTATGCACCGCTTTGCAGGTTGCACTTGTCGATCTTCTCTATGCTTCCGGCATCACGTTCAGCGCTGTTGTCGGCCACTCATCTGGAGAGATTGGCGCGGCTTATGCCGCTGGTTATATCGAGGCTGCAGATGCCATCCGGATCGCGTATTACCGTGGTGTTCACGCTCACTTGGCCGGTGGACCGAACGGTCAGAAAGGCAAGATGATGGCGGTTGGCATGGGGTTGGAGCAAGCCCGAGCTTTCTGCTCGCAAGAGAAACTTGCAGGCAGAATTCATGTAGCTGCCAGCAATTCTCGATCCAGCGTCACTCTCTCTGGTGATGCGGATGCCGTGGATGAAGCCAAGGAGCTACTTGATAGCCAGCAATCATTTGCGAGACTTCTCAAGGTTGACAAAGCCTACCATTCGCATCATATGCAACCTTGTGCAGAACCATATCTCGAATCTCTTCAGAAGCTAAATATTCAGATTAACACTGAAAAGCTAAAGTGCAAGTGGTACTCTAGTGTTTATGGCTCAAACGGCCGCTCGATTGACAATACGGATGCCTTCAAGGATACCTATTGGGTAGATAATATGGTCAAGCCAGTGCTCTTTTCGCAAGCTATTGACAGAGCTGTCACCGAAGAGCACTGCCACGATATTGCATTGGAAGTAGGGCCACATTTTGCCCTCAAGGCACCTGCATCGGAAAGCTTGAAGAATCTCACTGGTCTAGATATACCATATTCGGGTGTCCTAAGCCGAGGGCAGGATGACATGGAGGCCTTTTCAGACGCTCTTGGTTTTATCTGGTCCAAATTCCAATCTCCTTCTCCCGTTGTGGATTTCGCTGGATTTAGAAAAGCATGCCTTGGAGATGATGTTGGTCGAGCCATGACTCTTAAAGGCCTCCCACCCTATCCTTGGGATCATGCTAGTAAGCTGTGGAAAGAATCCCGAAAGTCGCGAATCTATCGATCTCGCAAAAACCCGATTCACGAACTGCTCGGCTATCCCACGTCCCACGGAAACAATCGCGAGGTCACTTGGCGCAATGTGATGAGGATTCAAGAGATGGAATGGCTGCGAGGACACATCTTCCAGAACCAGGTCCTCTTCCCCGCTGCTGGATACGTGTCCATGGCTTACGAAGCATCCATACGTCTTGCAGCTGAGCACGAAGAGGTACGGCTTGTCGAGCTTGAGGATCTCATTATTCACCGCGCTATTACTTTGGAAGATGACGCAGCCGGCACAGAAGTGACTTTTACGATCCGAGTCATAGATCGAACCTCGGATAACATCACAGCTGAATATTCGTGCTACAGCTGCAAAGTGGATGGAGAAGTCACTGAACACTCTGAGAGTACAAACTTCACTGGACGTGCTATCGTCCGTCTCGGAAAGCCTGCGGTAGATGCTTTGCCGCCCAGGATTGCACCGAAGCTACCAATGAAGCCTGTTGGTGTAGATCGTCTTTATAAGTACATGGAGCAAGTCGGCCTTCGTTACACGGGAGACTTTACAATTGAGGCTGTCGAAAGACGATTGAACGTGTCGACGGTAACACTCAAGCGTCTTGATAACGATAGGCTTCGTCTGCACCCTGCAACTCTTGACGCTGCCTTTCACGGAATATTCACTGCGTTGGCATTTCCTGGAGATGGCCAGCTATGGACCCCATATCTTCCAACCAACGTGCGCCGTGTTCGCATCAACCCTGCCGCCTTGGAAGCCTCTGCATCCGCAGACGCATCTTCCGAGCTACTAGCGGACTGCTACCTTAGAGATGCCAACTCAAAGAAGATCCAGGGCGACGTTGATATCACTTCGACTGCCATAGGACACCCACAGATCCAGCTGCACGCTCTAACCTGCTCTTCTTTTACCAAGGCTACTCCGCAGAACGATCGTAAGCTTTTTGCAAAGACTGTCTGGAAGAGAGACATTGCGAGTGGCATTGATCCTGAGAAGATTGAGTACCTGACCGAGGAAGAAGTCGAGTATGGTGATACTTGTGAGCGTCTTGCCTACTTCTACCATAGGCGACTCCGTGATGCCATCAAGCCAGAGGATATCCCCAAGATGGATGAGCATTTCCAGATCCAATTTGACTGGATTGTGAATTATCTTCTTCCCAAGATTGAAGCTGGACAACACCCGCGTATCAAAAAGGAATGGGTCACTGATACGGCGGAAGACGCAGCAGCTTGGAGGGCAAAATACCCAGGAATGGTAGAATTACAGATGATATCAGCACTCGGAGAAGTCCAGCCTTCAATTCTGCGAGGCGAGCTGCCAGCTCTGCAGGTCATGATGCAAGACGATATGCTTACGCGGCTTTACGCTGAAGCAGTTCCATTCCGACAAACTTACAGCCATCTTGTCACGGTAACCAGTCAATTAGCTCACCGTTACCCCCGCTTGAAAGTTCTGGAGATTGGTGCTGGTACTGGTGGTGCCAGTGTGCATATGCTAAAGGAACTTGTGGGCCGTTGCCATTCATATACCTATACGGATATCTCTGCTGGTTTCTTTGAAGCTGCGCAGGAGCGTTTCCGCGAATACTCATCCATGATGGAATGGGCGGTGCTAGATATTGAGCGTGATCCTCTGGGACAGGGCTTTGAAGAACATTCCTTTGATGTCATCATGTCTTCAAACGCCCTGCACGCGACAAAGTCTCTAAAAAAGACACTAGCTAACTGCCGAACACTGTTGAAGGCAGGCGGTTACCTGATCCTCAATGAAGTTACCAACGACGCTGTGCTGCCGCAGTTCATCTCTTCTCATCTACCTGGATGGTGGCTCGGACGTGATGATGGGCGTATCTACTGTCCTACAACTGATGAAGAAAGGTGGAACAAAGATCTACTAGCCACTGGGTTCTCTGGAGTGGACGCGGCGTACAGAGATTATCACGATCCCAAAAGATACCTTGCGTCACTTATCGTCAGCCAGGCGGTCGACGAGCGCATCAACGTCTTGCGTGATCCCACTGCTTGGACGAGCGCGATACCTCCGGTCGATGATTTGATTATTATAGGTGGACAAACATCTCAAGTCGAGAAGATTGTACAGGCCACAAGAGACCTCCTCCAGCCCATCGCTTCCAATGTTAGCCTCATCAACAGACTTGAAGACGTTAGAGAAGTCCCAGATGGAGCCACCGTGTTGGTTCTCTCTGAGCTGGACATTCCAACTTTCCAAGACATCACGCCAAAGAGATTCAGTGGAGTTCAGTCAGTGTTTAAAGAATCCAAATTTGTTCTTTGGGCCACAAAGGGGTGTCGCGCTGAGAATCCGCTGAGCAACATGGTTGTTGGCCTTGGCAGAGCGGCCATGCACGAACTGCCCAACCTGCGACTTCAATTCTTGGATGTGGACACGATAACCCCAGAACCTCGCTTGTTTGCAGAGACTCTGCTGCGTACAATTTGCATCAACTCCGGTGATTTTGAGGATGTGCTGTGGGCTGACGAATGGGAACTTGCCGTGGAGAAGAGTGGTCTCTATATCCCAAGAATTGTTGCCAGCAACGAAATGAACGACAGACTCAATTCCGTTCGGAGAGATATTACGAGTCCATTATCTCTGGCTGAGAACCGCGTCGAGTTTGTGGCTGCTGAAGGGTCGTATTCGTTCCAAAGAGTGCAAAGCTCAATCAATGCTGTTATTTCACCTGAGCTTGCACAAATAAAGGTTCACGCTTCATCTCTGCTACCTATCAGGGCTATGAATAGCAAAGCACTTTATCTCTGCCTAGGAACAGTTGTCGGATCAGGTCGCAAAGTCGCACTATTCTCTCCTTCGGTTCTGTCAACTCTGAATGCGCCGGTAGCGGATTTATTGCCTCTCCCTCAAGACTTTGATCTTGCAACTGAATCCCAAGTACTCCTTGGAACTCTTATTGCCGAGAGCATTATCTGTGGCATCAGATGGCGCATTTGGGTCCATGACGCCGATGTTTTGCTAGCTAAGCTTATTGCAAACGTGGCCGCCGCTCAAGGAATTGAGGTATTCTTTAGCACATCTTCGGAAGAAGACTGCAATTTTGACCCCGCTCAAGTCTTCATTCACTCATATGCTAACGAAAGAGATATTCTATCTCTCCTTCCTGAGAACATTGAAGCTTTTGTGAACCTAGGGCAAGAAAACAGCGTGCTAACGCACATCGTTGAGGGTTTTGAGAGCCCCAACGCAATGAGAAGTGTGCGTGAAGATGATGCCATATTGTTCAATTACAGCCGGGGTGACTTGCTCAAGATTGCGAGGCACCATGCTTCGACTGGAGCGCCAAAATTGAGCATAGACAATGCTTCTATCTCTGTAGCTGAGATCAAGAAGCTGGCTGGCCAAGCGTCATTGACAACCATCCTGAACTGGAATGATGCTGAGTCGGTGGAGTCCAAGATCAGCCCTCTTAGACCATCCGGCCTCTTTACGGCAAACAAGACATATCTTCTCGTTGGCTTAGCTTCTCAGCTCGGCATGTCCATTTGCGATTGGATGGTCAAGCATGGAGCGCGATACTTAGTAGTCACCAGCCGAAGCCCAGGTAGAGTTGATACAGCGGTACTTGAAGATCTGAGACGCCGAGGTGCCAATGTCAAGGTTCTTCCCCTCGACATCACCGATAAAGAAGGTCTGTTGAGATTACATAAAGAAGTCTCTGAGACAATGCCACCTATTGCCGGCGTGGCAAACGCTGCAATGGTGTTGAACGATAAGCTCTTCGCCAACATGTCTTTGGAAGACTTCGAGGTGGCACTACGTCCCAAAGTCAAGGGAACGCAAAACCTAGATGAGCTGTTCCACTCCACTCCTCTGGACTTCTTTATCTGCTTCTCCTCTTTAACTTGCGTCATGGGCAATCCGGGTCAATCTAATTATGCTGCGGCAAACATGTACATGCACTCTCTCGTGCGCCAGCGAAAGCAGAGGGGTGTTGCAGCCTCAATCATTGATATTGCCTTCCTCCTCGGTGTGGGTTTTGTCGACCGCAATCTAGAGCAGTACGAGGACCACTTGAAGAAGTTCGGATACATGAGAATATCTGAACCAGAGTTCCACGGTGTCTTTGCTGAAGCCATTGCTGCAGGGCAACCCACTTCCAAGGAGGATCCAGAGATTATCATTGGTATCGGAGAGGAACCCAATGCGCCGTGGTATAGCAATCCTCGATTTGCAACCTATGTGCGTCACGAGAGCAATGAAGAAGACTCAGATAATCAACAGGCACAATCATCACAGAGTGTCAAGGGCAGACTAGCCGCAGCTAAGAATAGCGAGGATGCTCTGGCCATTTTGCAGGGTGCCTGTGCAGAAAAGTTGGCCATGATTCTCCAAGTCCACGCCGACGTCATTGATCATTCTACGCCACTGTTGGTACTGGGAATTGACTCCCTAGTATCTGTCGAGATTAGATCCTGGTTCCTGAAAGAGGTGAATGTCGACATGCCGGTTCTGAAGATCTTGAGCGGTGCTTCTCTCGCAGAGATATGTCAAGATGCTTTGGTGCTGCTTCCACCGACTCTGATTTCCTCGGCTGAAACGAGTGCACCAGCAGCTGATGCAGCTCCAGCAGTTAATAATGACCTGTTGAGCTCAGCGAATATGCAGAAGCTCAAGGTCCCGTCTTCTGCGCCCACCGAAGTGTCCACCTTGAAGATGGAAGACACTGCCAGCGCGCTAATGTCCAGAGCTTCCACGGGTTCATCTTCAGTCTCAGAGGTTACATCACTAGAGGAACCTTCATACGAACGGGTTAGCGCGATGACTCCAGGCCAAAGTCGTCTGTACTTCCTAAATGTCTATCTGGAGGACAAGTCCACATACAATGTCACGATGTCCGGTAAATTACAAGGCCCGTTCGAGATGAGCAGATTCAAGAAAGCGCTCAGTACTATTACCAGAAAGCACGAGGGTCTTCGAAGCTCCTTCTTTTTGAACGATGCAACTGGAAAAGCTATGCAAGGAGTTGGCAAAGAAGCGCGCATCGCTATAGAGCACAAAAACATCCAAGACAATGCACAGATCCAGGCTACTCTTGATGCTATCAAGACCACAGAGTTCAACTTGGAGACTGGAGTATGGATGAAGATCCAGGTTCTATCTCTATCTCGCACTCAGCATCACATTATCTTTACATTCCACCATATTGCCCTCGACGGTGTCAGCTGGGCCATTTTCCTCAGCGAACTGAACAAGGCATACGCGGGCGGTGATTTTTTATCACCTGTTCAGCAGGCAATTGATCTTGCCAATAAGCAGCAACAAAAGGCGGCGCCTGAGAAAGTTCAGAAGGAGCTGCAATTTTGGAAAGACGTCTACAGCACTCTTCCTGAACCTCTGCCTCTGTTTCCCATCTCTCGAGTCCAGTGTCGACAGTTATTAAAGTCTTATGATACAGAAACGCTCGATGTGATGCTCTCCAAGTCGCTGGTTAGCCAGATCAAACAGGTCAGCGGAGAGATGCATGTGACACCCTTCCACTTCTACCTCTCATCTATCGCTGCATTTGTATCGAGGTGTCTTGGTGTGAATGACTTTTCCATTGGAATTCTTGATGCAAATCGCGCAACTGCAGAGGACATGACAACTATTGGCTATTTCACCAATATCCTACCTCTAAGAGTCAAGACGGCTGCCGATGAAAGCTTTAGCACGCTGGCTAAGCAGACTAGAGATATCACATTGGCTGCCCTGTCTAACTCGAATGCCGATTTTGATACGATACTAGACGTCCTCAAAGTCCCGCGATCTGGTGACCAGAATCCTCTTTTCCAGATCGCTGTTAATTACCGACTGGGAGGATCCAGAACTATGCCGCTTGGTAACTGCGAAATTGAGTGGACATCCACAACAGATGCCCGTAATCCTTATGATCTCATCATAGACATTTCAGAAATTGCAGAGGGGACTATCATCTCGTTCACTACCCAACGCTACCTCTATAGTGCTGAGGATACTAACAAACTCTTGACATGGTATACCCATACTGTGGAAGGATTTGCCAACGACATCTCTAGGGAAGCACTGGACTGTCTCCTTGCGACTCCCTCTGAAATCGAGAACGCCATCTCTCTTAGCCGTGGTGAAAGTCTCGAGATAGATTGGAAAGCCCCTACTCTTGCGCACAAAGTCCAAGAGATTGCATCACAATATCCGGACTCCATTGCAGTCAAGGATGGCTACGGTCGGCAACTTACTTATTCTCAAATGATGCAGCGCGTTGGCCAGATTGCCAGTCAGCTTTCCGATCTCCCTGCAGGGTCTTACGTTGGAATCCTGTTGCATCCGGCTGCCGACTCAATCTGTGCGCTGATGGCCATCTTGATCCTAGGTCTGGTATATGTACCACTCGATCTGAGAAATCCAGAAGGTCGTCTCGCTGCCATTGTGGCGGATTGCAAACCCAGTGCCATCATCTACCAAGAAGAAACTCAGACTACAGCGGAAAATCTCACATCAACTGTCGAACAGAGCAAAGCCAAGCTAGTATGCATCTCAAAACTCTCGCAGGACGTTCAATATTCTGTTCCATGTGTTGCCAAACCTGATGCGCCTGGATTTGCCATTTATACCAGTGGCTCGACTGGAACCCCAAAGGGAGTTTTGCTCACTCACCATGCTCTATTGAACCAGATTTGGGCTATTTCAAAGGTCTATCGTCTTGGCAAGGAAGTTGTTCTTCAACAGAGCTCATCTGGCTTTGACCTCCACCTGGAGCAAATATTCAGTGCTCTGGCAAACGGCGGCACTGTTGTGGTCGCTTCAAAAGAAGCTCGGGGAGATGCCATAGAGATTGCCAATCTTATATTCTCAGAGGGCGTAACGTATACCGTATTTGTCCCTTCAGAGTACCTATATTTGCTTCACTATGGATCTGATGTACTCAAGAAGTGCGCATCTTGGAAGTTTGCATTTTCTGGCGGTGAAAAGGTTACACCTCAACTCCGCCAAAATTTCAAGAGGCTAGGTCTCTCAGACTTACAGCTTATTAATCTCTATGGTCCTGCTGAAGCGAGTCTCTCATGTACAAGATATACAGTCCCGTATGCTACAGATGATTCTGAAGCTGCTAGCCCTGCGGGCCTTGTACAGCCCAACTATACTGTGGTAGTAGTTGATGGGCGCGGAAACCCGCTTCCCGTCGGCTTTCCGGGAGAAATTTGCATCGGAGGCGCTGGAGTTGCTTCTGGATACGTCAACCGACCTGAAGAAACTGCGACTAAATTTATCACCAACACCATTTCCCCCAGACAAGAGATTGCTGCCCGAGCATGGGACAAGCTCTACCGTACCGGAGACAAGGGTCGCATGCTTGAAAGCGGGCTTTTGGACTTTATGGGTCGATTAGAGGGCGACTCACAAGTGAAGATTCGCGGAATGCGCATTGAGCTGGAAGAAATCGGAAACATCATTATTGAGTCAGCTGGATCGGCTATCGTGGACGCTGCCGTGTCGCTTCGCAATTCGGATATGCTTGCAGCGTTTGTTGTCTTCTCGGATGCGTTCACTGAAGACAGGAATGTGTTCCTCAGCCAGCTTAAGGCCAAGCTACCCCTACCAGCATATATGTGTCCAACACACATCATTGCCATTGATGAGATTCCGAGGAATGCTAGTGGTAAGAAGGATCGGTCCAAGATAAACAATCTACCACTTCCATCTGTCGTGGGCAGCGATGGACAGAATGAGGGCCTCACCGACCTGGAAGCACAGGTGATTGCTGTGTGGCAGGATGTTCTTCCTGCAACAATCGAACCCATACAGTTGTCTGCCGATTCAGACTTTTTCTTCGTGGGCGGTAATTCTCTCCTCCTGTTAAAGTTGCGTTCTGAGCTTAAAATGGCTTTTGGGCGTGACTTGACACTGTCCGAGTTGTTCCAAGTGAGCACTGTTCGTGATATGGCTTTGAAGATCCAGGCAGATGGTTCAAAGAATGAGATACAAGGCCAAAGTATTGATTGGACCAAGGAACTGCGCTCTCTTTGCGATGGTCTAACGCCGCGATCAGACCTATCTTCAGCTGCATCATCAACAACGAAGTCAGCCTTGTCCGTCGTCTTGACAGGAGCGACTGGCTTTTTGGGACGACATATACTCCAACACCTTGTCAATGATGAGAGAGTCGGTGAAATACACTGTGTTGCGATACGACCCGCAGCCAATGGGGAACTGAGACACGTCGATATATCCAGTCCCAAAATTGTTGAGTATGCTGGTGACCTTGGAGATCGTAACCTCGGCTTGTCATCTTCGGAATTGAAGAATCTGGTTTCTCGAGCCGACGTTATAATCCACAACGGCGCAGATGTATCTTTCATGAAGACATACCGCTCGCTACGTCAGCCAAATGTTCTGTCTACTCGATATCTAGCCGAGATGGCACTCGCAAGATCAATTCCATTTCACTTTGTCTCGACTGCTTCCGTGGCAAATTTCCATGTCGGCAAGCATCTACCCGAAACATCAATCCAAGGCCTCGATAACCTACCCAAAGATGGCCGAAACGGATATGCAGCATCTAAATGGATGAGCGAGGCACTTCTGGAATCACTTGCAGACGATCACGGAGTACGCAGCTGGATCCATCGCCCAACGAGCATTATTGGGGTCGATGCACCAGAAATGGACATTGTAGCATCATTGTACAACTACTCCAAGCTTCTCAAAGCGGTGCCGCGGTTCCCCAAGGCTGTCAGCGGCACATTTGACTTTGTTTCCGTGCAATCTGTAGCGAGCAGCATTGCTGATGCAGCGATCGCTTCCGTGAGCGCAGATGGAAAAGGCAGTACACATCGTGTATCATATCAGCACCATTGCAGTGATGAAAAGGTGCCTCTTCAGGAGTTTGCAAAATACATGGAAAAGACTGAGGGCGGCGTGTTTGATGAACTGGAGTCGAAGGTTTGGTTCGAAAAGGCACGCGAGGCTGGTCTAAATAGGCTCGTGTGTGAATATTTGGAGAGTACTGTCGGCGCTGGTGAGATTCTGTCGCTACCAACGCTTTTGAAGGGGGGAAACTAGATGCATGCTTTTATTCTGTGGAATATATTGAAGGGTAGAGTAGACTGATTTGTTGTTTATTGGTATATAGTTATTCTTTTCTAGACTGTTATAGAGCGTGTCGAGTTCAATTGGTTCTACATTATATCGCCTACCTGTGCTACATTGACAAAAATACATACCAGAATGCATCCAAGAAGTCTCAGTCATCTTACCGGGAATCGATGGTGCTCTGCATCCTGAGCATCTGGGCTTGCAAATGGTCCCAAGCCCGTCGTTTCGTTTTTTCCCTAAGCTTGCAGAATCTGCCAAGGTTGCAGCCTGAAGCGAGACTAAGCGACAGTTTCTGGTTGGCTCGTTTGTAGATAAGGAAGTGGACGATAACGATGTGTACTTTTGAATTGTGCTACGACTACGGCGAACTACCTTGTACCCAATCACCCACCCAAGCCATCAATCCACCAAGTCTGCCAAACTCCAGCGTATCGTATGCTGCAAGATCTCCTGCAGCGCTGGTTTGTTAGTGCACCTAGCGATATTGCTGGGTCGCACGCGTTGATTGACTGACCTTTGGAAGACTTGGATGTCGGCGGCTACCTGAGGTTGCAAGAAAAACCCTGAAGGTGCCTGAGGCTGCTAGAAAAGATACAACAACGCGTACAAATAGACGAGCAGTACGCGAGCTCGGTCAAGGCAGAAGGGATATCCGGTCTGCAGCCTTTGGAACATCCGCAAGTCGAATAATATTCGCAAGCCTAGGGGATTTATATACTGCTTCAAACTGACTGAAGATGTCAAATGTATCCCGCATCTATTCTTTGTAGATTTATTTCGTGACTGGCGTCAAGAATACATTTAGAGGTCCTTTTTCCCATAGAATAAAAGTGCATTGATCCATCCAATCCTCCTCCTCATTCACAAGCTTCAAGTCAAAGTTGAACAGGATGCGTGCGAGGATCAGTCGCATCTCGGCATACGCAAGACTGAAGATTGTTAGCCCAAATATGATTCAGACTAGATTCTAAAATGAACTCTCTCATCGCATTTCAGCGTGACTTACTTGCGTCCAAGGCAATTTCTTGGCCCTACTGAGAACGGTTGCAGAGCCTCCAGTCTATCGTTGGCAAAGCTGGGATCGTGCATGAAGCGCTCCGGGTGGAATTCAAATGGTTTAGCCCATAGTCTTTCGCTGTGGTAGATTGCCCAATGCCAAGTGCTAACTGTCATCTAATTATTATAAAGTGTTAACGCAAGACATGCTCTTCCTTTCATCTTCAGCATGATTTGTAACTCACTCCTTGTGGGACAAACTGTCCGGCAATAACTGCACCTTCTCTTGGCACGATTCGAGGCAAGCCAAGAGCGACAGGCGGATATAATCTCAAAGCTTCATTTATGCAAGCAAACATGAATGGAAGATTATTGACTGATAAAAGCGTGATTTCATCCTCGGAGGAGAAAGATGATCGGACTTCTTGAACAACCTTTTGTAGCGCATCTGGATTCTTCAGCAGTAAATATGTAATACCAGCCAGGCCTGTGGCGGTGGTTTCGGAGCCCGCAATAATCAGGTTGCTGCTATTTTGCATGACTTGCCGAACGTCCATATCCTGTAAAATGTCAGAATCACGTTTGAGGACGGACATAGAACACGTACCCAATCCTTGGCCTTTTGCAGCAGCCCTTCAATTAGATCCGGTCGTTCAGCCGACATGGCCATTCGCCGTTGCAGCTTCTCCATACAAAGCCTGTTGTGCTCGCGGCGGTACTTATTCAACATGCTCAGCAGAGGACGCAAAGCCCACTCATAGCCCAAGAGCTTCGCACCCAGAATCACAGGACTAAAGCGTACAGCTTTACCAATGGCGGCTACCCAAGGATCATACTTGGCACGTTCCAGGCACCCAAAAGGCTCACCAAATGCTAAGTCTCCGATAATGTCAAAGGTTGTCCAAGCATACCAGGCCGTCATGTTCAACTCCTTCTTAGCTTTCTCGCCCGTGATGGGGTCAAGCTTATCCCCGTCAATACAGTGTTCGTGAAGCCTCTTGATGAGAAGGTCAACGTAGTTGCCAATAATGGGTTCCTGATCCCGCATGCTGCGTTCGCTGAAGCCAAGAGCCAGCTGTTTCCGGAGACGAGCGTGTTTTTCTTTAGTCTCATTCATTATACTGCGTGCCTCGCCTATAAGATGATATGAACGGTCCGGTTTGGCCATTTCATCATCAGGACGGCGCCCGTAGATGTCCTTGAAAGCATCTGGATCCTCAAAGGCAAGCTCATCTGGTGCGATACGCACAATCGGTCCATAGAGAGCATGCCATTTGTGTACGTCATACGACAACCTACCCTGATTAAATCGTATAACATAGAATAATCGCTTCGCGCGAAACAGCCATGGGCCGGGGATATGTCTTAGAGGGTGAAAATAAATGTTGTATATAATCTGCACAGTCTCAAAAAAGACCAGCTAATATGTCCGTTTTGGTTAGCATAAATCGTATAAGCGTTTAACATGGTGAGACTCTACCGATCCAAAGGCCACTTTGGCTACATAGCCAAAGCTGAACCAATCCATTGTAAAAAAGACACTACCTGGGCTCAGCCATCACAGTAGCCCTGCGCAACATCATTCTACATATCCATCGCAAAGGCTACTTAAAAGTAGACGCAAAGTCCAATGGAGAGAGACTCATAGACGGTGTCATCAGGAAGTAAATCTGACCAATATTTTTGTCTCGCCGTTTTTGTACGTAAATCCACCGACAGAACAAACCCGCCGAGGTGGATCCCTACGATGACCAAAGCCATATCACTCCAGACGCTATATGGAGCACAGAGAGCCGTCTTTTCGTTTGATGAAGAATGGGGGAGACTTCTTTTATATCATTGGGGAAGTGGAAAATGTGGTTTCTTTTCTTTGGTAAATTTTAGTTTCATTTTACTTCGTGATAGCTACTCTAGATTGTTACATTCAAAATATAGACCTTTACCCTTGTAGAAATTCCCTTATCTAAGACTTGGACGAGGACTTCACAAAAAGTTCAGGGGCCATTACCACCTCAACTGATGTAGTTTGGAGTTGAAGTAGTTGAATGCATCTTGGCGGAAATCATCCTTCCCGATGACAAGTCCCTTGTCAGTAAATTGCATCATGTCCTTGGTCTTGACATCATATCTCGGCCATTCAGGCAGAGGCCTCGCGCCACCGTCCATCTTGCTTATGACGTTGGGATCAAGGTGATAGACAAAGCTGAGGAGATACTGCGCCATTGCCAAGTACAAAGGCTCTGGGAATCCAGTAGCCATCAGCGCAACATCAGCGCCGTGGAAAGTTCCAATAATGGGCGTCTGTCTTCCATACGCGGAAAGATAGCTCCAGGATGGGATCTTGTCAGAAAGAGCCTCCAGAACGACGCGATGCTGGAACGTCAAGCAAATATCTCCCGTAATAGCAGCATTACGCTTGTATCCCGGGTAAATCTCGTTAGCTTCCCCAGTGCCAAATGGTGATCCATGCTTGGGATCGTCTGGGTAAAACGAAAAGAGCTTTTCGAAGACAGATCGAGGGCAGTCCGGTGCAATACCGTGGATGATATCAACAAGGGCATCCTTGGTCTGCTGTCTATACAAAGCCAATGCAAATAAGGTGCCCTCGTCTTCCATGGTTCCCGCCAGGAGTGATACGGGAGCCACTTTTGGTGGATTCGCCTTGATGACCACATCGGGTGAGAGAGGGAAGAAGCTATCTGAGGGGTCTGGTCGCGGGGTAAAAGCAACGGCGATGCCATCCTGGTTGAACATGTTGGGGATAACATTGGAGGCGTCCATGAAAGCCTCGTAGGGCAGAGCTCTCAAGCAAGCGAGGGCATCCTCTGCTGAAGAGCATCCCGCTGCTTTAACAATTGTATCAAAAGTCTTTTGTGCCACTGGGGAATCAACCTGGACAGCTGGTCCAGCAGCGCCAGAGTTGAGCATAGCTCCGCGGAAAAGGGGTTTCCCATTGTACGTGTGGTCACCGCCGTTGATAAGCATGTGATTGAACACTGACATGCTGCCTCCAGACTCGCCCCAAAGGGTGACCCTGTTTGGGTCTCCTCCAAAGGCCTCAATATTCTCGGCAATCCATTGAAGAGCGAATCGCTGATCACGCAGGCCAAGATTGGTGTTGCCCTCTTTCTTGAGCTCCTTGCCACCGAGGAAACCAAGCGCAGACACGCGCCAGTTCATCTGCACAACAATGACAGGGTGGTCCATTGTGACAGACGAATTGACAAATCGGGCAAAATCATACTGCTGAGTCGAGCCCTGCTCGAAACCGCCTCCGTAAATCCACACGAGGACGGGCAACTTTGCATTTTTGGCGATATAGGAAGGTCGTTGAACATTTAGCGTCAAGCAGTCTTCACCGACAAACGTAGGTTCGTTGAAGTATGTCCCAATCATGGCCGCCAGCTCAGGTGGGAGCTGCGAGAGCATGTTGGGGTCCCCTCGAACCTTGAGAGGCGGACATGCTCGAGGAATCGAGGTTGCCTGGATAGTTCCGAATTTTTCCTGCAGTGGCTGGGCTCGTTTGAGCCGCAAATCTCCTATGGGAGGCTGAGCGTAGGGGATTCCGAGAAATGAATCAACGCCGTCCAAGCTTGATCCGATAACCGTGCCATTGGCGATGCTGACTTTGGGGGGCCCCGATGAAGGACCTCCTGCCAAATAGGCCCCAATGGCGGCGACGACACCAACAGCTGCGGCGTACATCTTACTGGTCAGCAGCGGGTGGTTATTGGTTGAGCAATGCTGCTGTTCCTCTCGAATCAATCTTCTCTTATAGATCACACATCTACATGTTGTTGTTATCTACAGCTAATCGCAGATGCGAGTAACATCCTCGGCGGGGTTGAATCATAATCAATGAATGCTACTCCTACCCCGATGCCGACGAAACGTCCCGAGATCACCGGTCTGTCAGAGAACCATCCGAGATTCTCAAGAAGACAACGAGCATATGAAATCTGTACTTGGCTGAACGGCGATCGGCAAAATTTACTCCCACTTTGTCATAGGCAGTAGAACGAGTAGGCTAATAACGCATGTCAGATAACGTGAGATAGCTGCAGGCTTCAACTAGCAGCGGATTTTCGCCCCATTTTAATACGAACCGGCCTGTACCCGTACACCGGCCGGGAACATGCCGGTGAACTGGGGGTCAGTTTCTCCAGGCAAAGGCAGTGAGCATCGCATGAATGCTGGTAAGCCCCCGCGGAGGCCGTGCACGATCGTCAGCCATCTATCTGCATACTTGTACATCTTACGATATCGACACGCGTACGTAGGGGGTCATGGACATGGGACAATAAAGGTTAAATATTGGACAATGTGGAAACTTCCAATGGTGAATCACTTACATGTGCGTAAACAGCAGCATCGTATTTGTCAGGTTCAAATCGCTCTTTATACTCCTTGTCCATTGAGTCCATGGGAGCCCATGTGGACCAGCAATGAATTAAGGAAATATGCAATTCTCCGTACCTTGTGTCCTGTACTCGTACCTTAGAGGCGACGTCCGACCCCGTCAGCCCTAAGCTTAGAATGCCGATGCATATTATCCGCTTCGGGAACACGATACCAGCACAGCTCGTCGTTTCACGGATAATGGAGATGCCAATCATAGTTAGCGCTCACGCCATTAATGCTCGTTAATATAGGGCGTCAACGAGCTTGGAGCGGCATATCAACGCGAAAGACGGCCTCTCAGCGCCTTTAGGCGTTAGCCAGGGGCGAGTCTTATGATGCGCGCGCACAATACACGTCAGCAATATTGTTTGTCTCAGCATTCACTGGTTTCCCCAGAAGAATCGGAGAATTAGGGTTCCGGTCAGGGATGAAGGAGAACGGTCTTAGTGCTGCTTTATTTAAACTCCGTATCACTGTTTTTACTAATCGACGTAATTCTTCCCCTTACGTATCATTGACAAGAAGTAAAGAATTCAGACTCACATCCATACTGTAGCGGCAACAGTATCCGGAGTCTACTCTGGGCGTATTTCAGGTACTCGTACCTACTGGGTATATACCGTTGCATTGGAAGCTGACAAGGGTCGGAGACTTGGGACGGCCTTAAGAACCTTCTCCGTACCTCAGCACATTACAATCTGCAACAGGGAATGGATCTACAGCTTATCCAGCACAGCTCAGAATAAGCACTGCAGCTTGCAATTACGAGCACAACGTACTACTCTTTATTTAGCTTAGTGGCAGCGATGTGTTCTTCTTGGGATATGACTACCATACAAACTACCGATTTAAACACGGGGCTGCTGTACTAAATATCAATGGGTCCAAGGTGCTTTGGGTGCCAACGGTGCAAACAGTTGCGGATTACCGAGTGCTACCAAGCAGGCAGATACATGCCGAGAGGGGCCACTTGCAAGGATCTTAATAAAGCCAAACTTACCCTAAAAAGCACAAGATTTTACATTCCAAATAAAATACCTGGTCTAAACTGCATCTACAAATATAAATATAGATAGATATAATAAATAACCTGATGAATACCGAGATTTTATGCACGAAAGTGGCTCTGTTAACGTTGCTTTGACAGGGAACGGGGGATGCTGTAGCTACCTCATCCCTACTAGTGCTGGGTAGTTACCAGAGGACTCTGTATAATGCTCTTGGGCTCACGGAAAGATACCTACATCATATTATTTATAAGCCAATGCGTCATTTTCCATTGTATCAATAGACAAGGCTCTTTGGAAACTCGTTCCTACACTGGGATTGACCAATCCGCTCTTTCAACAGTGGCGTACTCCATTAGAGTGACGTGTTGTTTACGGTGCAGGTCTTCCAATTCGATAACAAGCAATTGTAACGAACAATCTTTTCAACACTCCAACTCATACTGCCGCGGACATAACCTTATTCCTACCGTGACAACCAACAATGTCACTCGCAACAACTCCCGGAGAGGCTCACATGCCATTCCGCCGGTCGTGTGATAGATGTCACGACCAAAAAGTCCGTTGCATGAGACCGCAAGAGTCCAACCATCCCGTTCCCGATTCTGAGCCATGTGTGCGGTGCAAGAGATCTGGCTCCATATGCATCTTCAGCCCTCAGCAAAAGCCCGGCCGGCCGCCTCTCGGAAGCCATACCCGCGAGACAACATCATCTGCTATGTATTCACGAAAGAGACCGAGACAGTCACTATCACTAGGTTCGGTGGACCTGCCGCAATCTCCTCCTCCGACATGCCCGTCTTCCGTGACCTCGTTGCCCGATTCGGCACCAATAGTGGGCTCGCTAGACTTAAGTTCAACGTTATTTTCACCTTTTACGACTGTTGACGAATTGGGCGACGGCTCCTACGACGCAGAATTTTTAATGTCAATTCCGACAATGTCAACAACCGATTCCCTGTCGTCACAGAAGTACAACAAACCTGTCTGTGAACGAAACGCTACGAATCCCATCGTGGATATGATCGAGAGAGATACGGAGGAACTGGGAAACCTTTGCCTTCAGGTCTGTCACGCAACAAGGGCGCTGTCTTCGTCTTATCCAACATCACTCGCTGTATCTTCACCATCTCTGAACGAAATCTTCGCTTCCACTGAGGCCCTAGTTAGCATTATTCATCGAAACACCAGCAGCGGCTCTAATAGCAATAAAGATGACCATTTTTCGAATGCCGACCCTGCTGGTTTCAGTCATCAGCCAGATTGGGATGAGTTTAATTGGCTTCAAGGCCCACCACATAATCAATGGGCGTTACCACAAGCATCCCCAACAGTCAACAGGGCCCCAGATACGGGTGTCGTACTAATGATCCTGGCCTGTCATCAGCGCCTTCTCATTACCTTGGGTGGTATTTTGTTTTACATTTCACGGCATCTGCGTCAGCAGAAACCCCGGGGGTTACCAATCGGAACCTCTCCCTTCATAGAAATGCCAACGACGCAGGCTCTCATCATCGTGAACCTGGTCAGTCACCAGCTCGACCGACTGGATCGAGCTGTCGGGCTTCTAGCCAAAGACGGGGAAACCATAAAGAGGCAGTCGGGCTCTGCGGCACAAACGATTGCGACAGGGGCTCTTTCACCTCTGTCTCCAGAGCAATTTCACTCTCCTCAGTCTGTCTCAGCTACTGAAGAACAACCATCCCAGAGCAAGCAGAAAACCGCAGCCAATGGTGGTGACAAGCGCGGTAGTAGCTCTAGCATCGACAGTTCGTCTAGCGGGTCTCATAAGGCAATTACTTCAGCGATAGATATGATGATATACCGTCAAGAACAACTGCAAAATCAGATGAAAGTGGTGAAGCAGCAAATTATGAGCTTTGATTCAATTTGATGAAGGAGAGTCAACTTCATTGGCAAGGTAGGATGAGGAGGGAACATGTCGACCTTATATCCTTGGATTTCGGGTCGGATTACAAGACGTGTTACATATTCCGACAAGTTCGGTAATAAGCTGTTGGCAAAACAAAGCTCCACACCATACCCAGGCATGAGATATTTTCTTCGGCAGAAGAAATCACCGAAGATGCTACACAAGCGACTTGGGAGGAGCCAGCTGATGAATCACGCACATGAATCACGCATTGCTTTACCCCTAACCGCCCGGTGAGGTACCAGACTAAGCTTGAATAAGGCTAAGAGGCGGATAAAGCTGGATGAATGACTGTATTGATTTTTTGCCCATGAAAACTATGCATAGATTTCGCTCGAGTGAGGCACAAATAGATTTGTCAATCATTATATCAAGATACATAGCATGACCGTTCCAGAGCTCTTGATATTTTTCAGGTTTATTATTCGTAGCTGAAATAGATCATATTTCATACCATCGTGAATTATTGTATAAAGCATTTGTAACTTTCAAACTGGGTTGTATGATTTGATCAAAACCATATTACACCCATCACGAGTATTATGAAAGGATCATAGTGGAAGGATACATCGTATCTAGGCGAATAGACTGCTTTCTATTTCGTAATACTAATGCAAACCAAATATTCTAATCTAAATGCATGATTCATTACGGGCGTAATAAGTCGAACGCTGCTCAGTAACTACCAACACACTTTATGATAGGTAAAACGGCCACACTGACACAAGTATATCGCACCCGCTGAACTCTCAAACATCCATTTCCCTAACACTTGAAAGAGCTAATCAACAACCAGTTTTACCGAGATTATATAATGATCTACATATAATTCTATCAGTATGGTGGACAAGCTGCATATAAGCCACCCCACTCATTTGCATGTGGTCGGTGGATATTATCAGATATCCTCCGACACCACAAAATTTACCGTCAGCCCGGTGGTATTTTGGCGACCAAAAACTGCGTAGTAATTAGAGGAGAGATTGACTGCTATTCCAAGCTGAGTGGAAGATACAGACGTCATATCATTTATCATCTGACTTGTTTGTCATTTCTCATGCTTTAGCATACCCTTAGTAAATTCCATTTTCACAGGTTTGGAACTTTGTTGAATAGCTGCAGAAACTAAATCCCATCATTGAGGTATCACCGACAACATGGCAGATGCAGCAAGCCAAGCAGCCGCAAATCCGGATAGATTTGTCTACCATCAGCTATTCACGCCCACGTTTCACCATGATGTGTATCCGACAATTGACCCTAAGAATCCTAGCCTAACACAAGAGGGACGCATCATTTTGATCACAGGCGCCAGTGGCCCGATTGCATCTGTAAGCCTTCCCCATGCTGTAATACGGATGGATTTAAGCGAAAGACCTTTCAATATTTTGAAATGTTCAATATTCATGTGGGTATAGGAACATGCACGATTTTTTGCTCAAGCAGGAGCAAAAGCTATCATTATTAGTGCTCGACGTCTCGAAAAACTGGAAGAACTAAAAAAGGAGATTGAAAGCTCTTATCCCAATACCGAAATTGCGCCTATTCAGTGTAACTTGACCTCTGAGAGCGATGTTGCCAATCTCTGGGACACGACCATATCCAAGTTCGGTACAGTTGATGTGGTCATTGCCTGTGCAGCCTCTCGTTCGCAGATGAAGAAGATTGGAGAGACGGATATTGCGGGGTGGTGGGACGATTTTGTAAGTTCCATCTACATGCTCATTGGATGTCTAATGAGGAGATATTAACTTATCCGCACAGGAAACTAATGTCAAGGGACTCTATTTGTTGACACGGCATGCTGCAAATGTGAAGCCGGAGGGGGCTATCACCTTCATTAATGTCACAAGCAGCATGGCTATTGAAACAATTCCAACAAGGTCAAACTACGGCATTACTAAATCAGCAGGATGTAAACTCATAGAATATTTGCATGCAGGTAGGTAAAATCCCCTTCAAGGTTTACACTGTGTAAGTACTAATGGCTACTTGTAGAGCATCCAAATGTCCGGGCCTTCAATCTTCACCCCGGCATTGTCCCTAACGGTGTCGTATTTGGAATGCTTGCAGGGGCAAATGTAGATACAGGTGAGTATTAACCCATTGTATTGTTCAACTCGAACCTTTACTTATTGAACTTTTAGCTGGTCTATCATCTGGCGTTTCATTATACCTCACGACGCCAGGTGCCGAGTTCCTGCGGGGAAGGTTCATCTCTGCCAATTGGACAATAGATGATTTGGAGGCTAAGAAGGAAGAAATAGTGAAGCAAAACCTACTTACCACGTATATGAGAGCAAAGTTTGGGCCCGGAGGTCACTTTGCTCAGTAGTAATGAGGAGTATTATGAGTCCTATAGTCTTTCGATAGAACAGTTCATCATAGTCAATCGAGGACAATATAAATAGAAGTCGCATAAACAAAAATTATCTTTGCTAAGTATATAAAATTGATCGTTTGAGGGAAAAGATCTCTTCTATTCAGCTTTGCCCCCCTAGTCTCTCAGACTGAACAGTATGAGAATATGAGCGTCAATAGCAATCATTGCCGCGAAACCGCCACAATGAAACACACCCAAGCCCATAGATCAACCGTCAGCGACCGAACAGTGTGAATCTGTAACCATCTCGCTAAAAGCGGCATGATATCCTTTTGAGCAGCGATATTATCCTCCATCTTCAAGATCTTCATGATCGTAGGTATAATAATTGGTGCAAACAAGGCATGGCCTGCAGCCAGCCCCAATCCAACTTTATACCACCACAAAGACTCATTGGCCTCCAGGATCTGTCGCTGTGAATAAATCGTTGCAAAGGACGTTGACAGAGTGGTGATGTAGGTGAAGAAAACGCGGGCAGAGGCGCCAGGATAAAACGTTTTCATGTATGACGGGAGAACTAATCCGGCTTTTGGCCTCACAGTCGGCGTTGTAAATAGATGAAGGAAGTAATACTGATCCCAGGCGAACCAGATACAGAAAGATGAAGAAACGAGGGGCGCGATGCGCAGTAGCATAGATGTTTGCAGTGAGGCCATTGTAATGGCTTGACGTTGCCTACTGTTTTTTTCAGTGTTATCCTGGTTAGGCGATTGCGATTAGAGCCAGAGCGCTCTGCTTAATTGATATGTCGTCGTGATGTGTTCCTGATGCCCAAGTGACTCTTCCTCCCAGATTCTGCATTCAACCATTCAGAAAATAGTGTCCATATTGACCATCTAACTTAAGTATAATTGTGCGTTTTGCTTATTTCCACCGATCGTTCGATGCCTCAAACAAATCTGGGTGTAAATCTCACCACCGCGTGGCAGATGCTAGAAACCCGCCGAGATCCACATAAGCAGCAAGGGTCGCAGGCAGTGTCGCTTTTATTCTACCCCGTCAATACGTACAAAGAGTCTCATTTTCACTAATTATCATCTATAGAGAATCTTTACTGAAGGTAATTCTATATAATTTTAGGATAGAAAGTATAACAGTGGTAGTAATGAGTTACGTGAATAGTCCTTAGAAACCTTGTATAGCCAATTCCGCGACACATTAGGTCAGGTCTAAATCCGAGTATGTACAATTACTCGTGCACCGTAATAGCCTCTCTTTTAATGCCAAATACATCGTCAAGCCAGCCAAACGACTTCGTATGTAAAGCCGCCAACGCCGCCACTTTTGCCTGCAGCGAACCTTGGCCAGGTCCAGTTGGAATCCAAAGCTCGTGCTTCTTCTCAGAGCCATGAGCTCGTATCAACTCATCGTAGATGCGTTGCGGTCCTGCTTCCCATGGGACATACATGGTATCACGAGTGCCCGTGACTAACACAGGACACTTGAGCTCACTCAACCGTGTCTTGCCGTCTGGCAGTGCCATGCTGTAGTTTTGCCATGTGCGCATGGCTGCTGCAGGCGATGTGATACCAGTCGCCAAAATGGCGTGTCCCATTTCCCACTTCTTCTGAAAGTCAAGTGCCAGGACTATGCTGAGAAGCGCATTGAAGATTCCATCTGCAATGTATTGCTCCTCTATAGCGGTCATTAGAGGGCCAGAAACACGCGCTCTTGTGAGGACAGACAAGTCATAAAATCCGTCAATTGAGATGCAGGCTGAGATTCGCGGGTCGAGAGCTCCGCGCAACGCGAAATAGCCTCCCATCGATGCTCCCGCAATAGCGATGCGGGTCATGTCCAGATTTCGCTCTGGATGTTCTCGAATAACGACCTCTAGCTGATCCAGGACCTTGCCGACAACGGCTTCCCAGTCAGGTCGCAGGTGAAGCTTATCTCGGCGAACCACAATGCCTTGACCAGGCCCCTCAAACGATAGTGTTGCATATCCTCTAGTCCTTGCCCCTGATGCAGTAAAGTAATAAAGTTCTTCTTGAATAGAGTCGAATCCTCCAGTGCTGATGACAATCGGGATTTTTCCTGGTAGGGTAGACGCCTCGGTGGGCATGAAGAGATACGCCGGTAGCTTCGCGCCATTCTCGTAGGGAATCTCGAGGAAGTATACTGGACTGTCAAAGAGCTGGCATGCTTTCCTGAAGTTGCTGATTGACTGAGAGATTGCAGTGACCAGCCTGGAGTCGTTTGGATTATGATGTAAAAGGAATTCGCTGGCTCTCCTGTAGTTTGATGAGCGGAGGAACGCCCACCGGGCAGCTTCGCGATCTCCGGTTCGAAGCGACGTCTCCGCTATCTCTTCACTTGTTGCTGCCGCCTCGGACCACGCTCGAAACCAGCTTTCGGGGTCATTGCTTCGGATCTTGTGTGCTGCTTCCAAGCACTCGCCAACCTCGGATCCTTGGAAGGGCGCGGTACCAAGGACGCGGAGATACTCAAAGTTGAAGAATTCTGATGAGATTATTCGCTGCATCTTGAACTATCGCTTCCGTTGTCATTACACCAAGTTTCCCTAATTCTATACTTAAGCTGTTTATACATCATGTTCAAGGGCCGAAACCTGGTATATGCTTACTTCCGGCCGAAGTTCCGGCATCGGTGGGTTGGATCGGTGGGTTTGCCCCGTAGATGCCTTGGGTGCGCCGCGATGGTAAGCACTCTATATCGATTACCTAAATCCAGAATTTTAAGATTTACGAATTGCTTTACGTGTAAATTTTTCTTATTTGCTTTCGATCGTAGTAGTCCATAATATTCTAAAATTGTGTTAACTAGCAGACCAATTGGCAACAGTGTGCCGACGCCTCATGAGTATATAGATGTTGATCTCAATTCACTACACAGATGTTCATCTAGGCTACAATAGCAATAAGAGACTTGTAAATGTGTATTCTCCGCAATAGGTGAGTCAGTTGTGTTGTATGAAGCAGACTGAGCACAAGTGTCCCTGAGGCAGGGCGCATGAGAAGATGTACCCGGATGATAAGATCAATGACTGACAACACTCCCATTTCTTTTGTTTACTTTAGACGCTGCTAGCATTGAACAATCTCCGATGCAAGAATTATAAATATCTGACATGAAGAGCATGTGTTTCCAAAGCCGCCCATACTCTGGCAATTAATTACCTTCACTTTCGCCCTTTCTATCCAGGGTATGTCGTCGAAGAAAGACGCGGCCCCGCACCCTCCGAAAAGTTACCTCATAGCTTCCGAGAAGTCAGTTAAATAACGTCAAACCTCCGCCTCTGCAGAGCATTCGGCCTCTTATTAGGCGATAAGGTTGTCAAATACAACACAGGGTCATGTATGTGTCGAGTCAGTATTTTATTATCTCACTGTTATTCATCCCTGGGCTGCCTACTGCGCTGTGGTCTATAACATGCTATTTTAATGTCGGGAATTATCATGCATCAGTTCCGATTCTATTTTAGTCCACTGCAGCACTTACTCGTGCAATTCCCTTTATCTTCATTATGCGCCAATATCTGAGTCATTCGATGATTACCCGAGACTCTTTTTTTGGTCGAACTACGATTAACCCAAGTTCTAACAGCAAGACGCTCACGTTACTGCAGCAGTGAATAATACCCAGTCTTCCTTTAGTTATTATTTCTGATTACTATACACAATCTTTCAGAAGGCTATATTACATGTCTGAGTCTGAACTTGATTCAATGTCGTGCCATAGAGGCGTCCTGTGCGACATCAAGTTATTGTGTCTGTAAAGCTGGCTGAAGTTTGATTCACCTGACAGCTGCTCGACCACCCGAGGCGTTTTTTCTTGTTTAGTAACGAATTTCTAAATTGCGATCGAAGGTTAAGCCACTGTGAATTTACCTCCAATCGCCTATCTGACTAAGTAGAAAAGAGTTCATAGATGCGAGAAAACAGTGTGTTAATCTAACCAGCTCTAGTGCTTATATTTCCATGTGTAACCATATTCATATTTCTTAAATCCTTTTGACCTCTGAGGGTTGAGATTAATAATTAGATATATATAAGGCGCGTTCTTATTGCCTTTCGCTAATTAGTGTGAGCATTATGGTAAAAACTAATCCTCATCAAGCCTCAAATTCACCAACAGTCTTACCGTATGGCGTTTCTTTTGTCTCATATCTCCGGGTTCTCATGCAATATCATTTGCCACTCGGACGAATGATTACACTAGGTCCGATATCACCCTGAAGAGCCTCCAGCTAGTCCAAGCGAGAAATATTGACTTTTTAATTAACAGCCCCAATAGACACAGAGACGTATCTTTCGAATGTCTTTATTTATATACTCAATATGCCGCTCATCTTACACTCTTATCGTTCTGCCCGGCAAGAACATCCTCTACCAGGAGCAGTCTCTCATCCGTGATATAATCCCAAAATGTCTGTTCAAGATATTGAATCCAAGTCGTATGACTTCGTCATCATTGGCGGCGGAACTGCTGGCCTCGTATTGGCATCACGCTTGACAGAGAATCCCGACACTCATGTGTTGGTGCTTGAAGCTGGAACTTCCAAATTAGATGTGAGCATCAACATTCGTTGTCTGTTTTATACTCTTGCAAATCACTAAATTCCCACGGGAAGGATCCTAAAATCAACATACCAGCTCTGTTTACACAATTATATGAAGAGTAAGCATCTTAACAATGTTGTCTTTACTCCTAATACCAACGTTCCTTCTTCCAACATGCTCGATCTTTCGCCTTATAACTATTTACCGGTCAATATTGACCATAAAAACAGCCCAGAGTATGATTGGTGTTTTAAATCTACCCCTCAACATGCACTGAACAACCGAATTATTGCGCAACCGCGTGGTAAAGTGCTCGGAGGTAGCTCCGCCATTAATTTTCTGATGGCTTCGCCTGCGACTGCAAGCGAGTTCCAACATTGGGAGGAGCTTGGGAACCCAGGCTGGAACTGGGAATCCATGCTTCAATATTATCGCAAGTCAGAGACTTTTAACCCTCCAACAGCAGAGCAGGCAGCGCTATATGGTACTGGGAATTATGATCGTAGCCTATACGGTTCTGATGGCCCGGTCCAGCTCACCATGCCCATTGGTACGGCAGCTTCTGATGCTGCCTGGCAGCCAACATTACAGGCTCTTGGTATTCCCTCGGACAAGGATCCTAGGGTGGCGGGCAGTCTTGGAGGCTGGCCAATGCTAAAATATACTGATTCTACAGGGAAGAGGAGTTATGCAGCGTCTGCCTACTATGCTTCGATCGCTGGGCGACCGAATCTTACGGTACTGACGAGCGCATATGTTACCAAGATGCTCCTTGATCCACCAGAAAAAGCTGGAGGGTTAGCAAAGGTAGCAGGTGTGTCTTTTATTCTTGACAAAGTAGAGCACATCGTTCGCGCTACGAAAGAAACGATTCTTGCCGGTGGCTCATATATGAGCCCTAAACTACTGGAATTATCTGGCGTTGGATCTTCTAGTCTACTGCAGAAGCTTGGTATAGATGTTGTAGTCGACAATGCCGCTGTAGGAGAAAATTTACAGGTAAGTCGGTCGACCAAAGTTAGGAAGAATATTGAGAATCACAGTCTTCAAGCTGGCAACGACGGACTAACGGCAACTAGGATCATCCTATGGTACCATTAATCATCGAGGCCCAGGACGGCGTAATGGGCGCTGAATCGTTCCGGCAACCAGAAGTTTTACAGTGGGCATTGAACGAATGGATGTCTGGTCGTGGTGGCCCTCTGTCTTCGGGGATCAATGGCACATCATTTTTCTCAACACAAAGCATTGCCCATCATATCGGACAATCGCCTGATTTTATGCAGAGTATTGGCACGAACCGCGATGATGAGCATTCTCCGTTCTTGCGGAAGCTTCTCTCAAGCGACAGCGAGGCCGACTTGCAATTCAGCTTCGCCCCTGCTGGCTTCGATCCATACAAAGGCGGAGAGGCTCTCTCACGGCTATTCACGCACCCTGATCCTGGAAACTACCTTGGTTCGGTTGCTGTACTGACTCACCCGTTTTCACGAGGCTCTGTACATGTCACTTCATCCGACCCTCAGATCTCACCGTCTATTGACCCCAATTACCTTGATCACCCGGTAGATTTTGAGCTATTGGTGCAGGGCGTCCTTTTCATGCAAAAAGTGTTTGAGACAAAACCTCTTGCGGACTACGTCCGTGATCGGGAAGATGGAAGCGGAAAAAAGATTCAAGAGAGCTTCAAGATACCCACAAGGATTGATCGAGGTATCGCCGAGAAGCTTGTAAGAGAAGGAACTATTCCCTCGTGGCACCCTGTCGGTACATGCGCCATGTTGCCTCGAGAGAAGGGAGGAGTTGTTAACCCGCAGCTGAAAGTATATGGAGTAGATGGGCTGAGGGTTGTTGATGCGAGCATCATGCCTGTTCTACTTCGGGGCAATATTGCGAGCGTAGTATATGCCATTGGAGAAAAAGCTGCGGATATCATCAAAGAAGAGTATAATCTATGAGATGTATACTAAATGATTTAATATTATTCTTTAGAGATTAATGATGAGCAAGTAATTAAGCAAGATACTTTCTCCACAACTTGAACGAATCTCAATATCAAATGCTGGGGGGTGAACCTAATTTTGAGTCGGCTTATCTTTCAACATGAGGCGTAGACTTCATTCAAATGAAGAGTAGTCTTCTTGGTCTCGTCTGAATTCTTCCATCTCAGCGAAGTAATACTGTTTGGTCTCGCCACAGTCTCTACCTCGACTCCAGCCGTCTTCGAAATTAGGTCCATTGCGGCAATCAATTCAGCACTCGGTTCCCAGACGATAACTTTGGGATACTTCCAGTTGCGGGCTTCTTCCAAAGCATTGAGCAGCAAACTGGCCAATACTTCGGGGGAACCCTCACCAGCATCCGGAGGGGTTCGCACCCTCGATATTGCCAGATGTTTGAAGCCGTAATGCCAGTATATCCAAGTGTCGGCAGCTTCGCACATCGCGCCATGCACATATGGCGATTCACCACCACGGAGCTTGGTGTTGAGAAAATCACCCCATTCGAACAACCACGAGATCATCTCGGCCGATGGAATCACAGCGACATGCACCTCGTCTGGTCCGACTGTCGTCTTCTTGAAGTTTGCCTTCAAGTCTGCCACGTCGCGCTCGCACAGTGCCGGGATCTCCTCGTTCGCTAGGAGACGAGTACTGGGGAGGCCTGCGCGATCTCCCGACTGAAGGTCATCAGGGATATTTGTTATGTTTGATATGATTGAAGGTATCATCTGCCACCCGGAACGGACATAAAACTGCGAGAAAGTCAGTAACGGGCGGTTTGCGGACATCGACACTGCCAGCATAGTGTTTTCACGTACGTCGCCCACACTGGTATACAGCATGCTTGCCGCCGCGTCACCTGGTCCATCCAACCATTTTGCAACTTGTTCGATGAGCAGAGTCGCGAGTCCTAGCCGTCTATATTGAGGATGGGTAGCAACGGTGCTGATGCAGTAGCCGCTCTCTTCGCGCATCGACTCACTATCCTTCACAAGGAACCGCCGACGTATCGTCTTGCACAATGCGAGAACGGATTTTGTATCGTCATTTAAGGATATGCACCAAAATCGCGTGTTTTGGTTGAGGGTTAGCGGGTGCTGCGATAGATACTCTTCTTGTTCAGCGATAGCGGAGGCCGGGAAAGACGGCGCATAAGAAGCAACGATGACCTCGCAGCATGCAAGGTGTTGCTCGGGAGTTCCTTCACCAAAGACAACACTCAAAGGGCCGCTTGGTCCCTGGACGGTAGTCGAAAAAGAGAATGCCATTGTTGCGCTTGCCGTTGTTTGCCTTGGAGGCGCGAAGCTGGCTGCGTTATAAAAGTTGCTCAACGCTCTGGAGCTTGATCACGACTACTAGCTCGTGTGGATCTAGTACCCGATTAAATATGATCCTTCGTTGTTAATGTATCCGAAAGTAGGCTATAGCGAACGAGGGAGAGATGTTTCGTAAGACGCTTACGACTCCAGTAATTTGTTGTTTTTTATGGGCTGAAGAAGTTGATTGATTTGAGAAGAGACCGGGGGGGAAAAAACTCCCATTTTACCACAGATGTCTACCTCATTCTTGATGAACTATAGTGCTCTGCGAAGCAAAAAAAGAAACAGCTCAGTTGACCTTCTTGACACTTTGACGTTGCGGGACGCGAGCAGAGCCAAAGCCAGAGCTGCTAAAATCATCCGAGGGCAGCGGACTGAAATTAGGCGCTATATTTTCTAGGCTACCAAGCAGTTTGTTCTCAACCAAAAAAAAAAAAAAAAAAAGCGACTGCAAAATGAATACGCTCGCCATTCTAAATGAGTTTAGTGTGGCGGGTATGTGCGGATTGTCTGTTTCTGTATGCTGATTAATTCTCGATTCCCTCTTTTTCTGCACACCTATTGGCCATGTGCGGGAAATTGAGACTTAGATTTCCAACAACCTGATACAACTGGTGGCGGGGTCATCCGCAGTGTTATTAGGAGGCTATTGGTTCAACAACACAGTCTATGAATCCTGCCTGGGTCGATTCACGGCGAACAAGAAAAGCCGATCATATCTCATGGGGAGTCAATGGAATTTTGTTGGGCAGGATCTCAAAGCGCGTAGAAGATGACGCAAAAGATGACGACGCTAGATCCAAGATACTGTTTAATGACTGTAGCACGTACGTAGAGCTCCATCAACTGGTCCTCATCTAAGTATCCAGTCACCGTAGATATAGTACAGAATTTAAGCATTCGCTCTCTAGAATATGAAGAACACTCTATATCCTCACCTAGCTAGTTTGTAAGCCTGCTGAGCACTGTTAATACATCCTAGTCCCCTTGCCGACGCCGCCGCGAACACCAAATAATTGCTTATGCACTCCGCCGTAGGCACCGCACGTTTCACCTTAGGTGCTGCAACGTACGAGTACAATGTCAAGACAGAAGCCCTGGCTGGGCTGAGATGTGACTAAGTTTTTGATCTCAAATTCTAGCCATAACCCTGCAAGTTCTTTAAGAGGAGTCAGCAACCTATATCTCATGTGACTTTTTGATATGTACATAAATGGTGGGGTACGTCGCGAGATGTCAACAGCGCGTGCATTCATGTTGTAGAGAGTATGTGGAACAATTGTAAGGATACTCCGTATGCTTCTAGGACATAAAAGGAATATAAGTGTAAGCTTATATTATAGTTTTATTCATTTTTAAAAATAAACATGCTAAGTTCGACTTTGGATATGTAATCATTTTCACGATTACTATTGTACGCGCAATTCTCAAAAGCTTGCCTTGGCATAAGCTTTCAGCTATGATGGCTCATACTGAGGCCAACGCTCCTTGTCTCATTGGCTAGGTACTGGCGAGCTTTCGTCTTCTAGAGGCAATAAATTGGTTTCACGTGAATTTGTTAATAGGCAATACAATATAGTAGACGGTACCTATAAGTAAGGGGGTCTCAAACCACGAGTATTGGGTGATGCAATGCACCACCCTGATTGCGAACGTGAATGACAAATGAGGGAGATCCGAAATCACAGATTAGAGGGGTGGGTGAGATGCAAACGGAGCCATAAATATGTGGTAACACTGTCGATCTAATGCCAACTGGAGGAATATAAGGCATAGTCTAAGCATTAGCGACAGCTGGCAACATTACCAACAAGAGGCAGCTCCCTCCACTTGAGGGTCAGACACAAGTGAATTAGTGCAATACTCTATTGACTATTTAAGTAAAACAACCACCTTATCATTGGCTGTCCTCTTCTTCGGAACTGAGTGGGCATTAACAACTGCCAAGCCTATGCAAGATCGTAGCACAGTGTAACCCCTTTTTCCGATAATGCGGTTCACTATTAGCTGTGTACAACTAGTTTGCCAAGGCCTAGAGCCTGAATCATCCTGTTTACAGCTTTGAGATTGAAAAGGGAATGGTAATTTGTTATCAATGCTATAACGGCAGCGGTTTCTATGAGTGTCAAGAGATGGCCAATGGTTGGGACATTTTGGATTTTGCGTGTTATTTATCTATCTATGTGCACAAGTCCAATAAAGATTGTTCTCATTGTTCACCTTGACTTTATCCTACAGATTATTTTGGCAGGGGGTTGGTTTCTTCTTCTTCAAATGAATATAGGGTAATCCGTTTCAGAATAGTCAGGACTACCTAGTATTAATATTAAAGCATCTACGATGTCAATCAGGAAAAAAAAATTACATAGACTTCTCAATTAAATTTGGGTGACTACATATATCCCATTGCATTCATGTTCAGTATAATCGTAATATACTTGTTGCTGTGGAATAGTATTGCTAAATCTCAAACTCACGTCTATCAAAGCTGCTAAATGTCTAGGAAATTTGGACTGCTACCATTAGCAATGACTAACCGCCCGACCAAGAAACTCGTTCATAGACACTTTCTTCAGGCAGAAAGTTTACAAAGGTTCCATTGCGTCATGATAGAATGATGCAATCCTCATACGGAGTACTCCGTACGTTCATTAAATTGTCAAACGGAGAGCTCCGTGCGTGAGTTGGGATCTTAAGAAGGCATAATAGCCGCAGCGCTACCAGCCTCGGCTGTTTTGCTACTCATAGGTTTACAATCCTGATAGGATAGCAACATTTCCCCTCCTCACAGTTGTATTCAAAGTGGAAAGCTGTCTTTACTTAACTTCCCTATTAATCTACTTACTTAGAAGAGATTACCGATCCCAGATTGCAATACTTAGCTCCTTAATATGGAAGGTCGCACAAGCTTTGACAGCTACGATTAGCGGGTCAAACGCGGCGATCTAGCTGCAAAAGGACAACAGCCGTGTTCCGTGTTTATCAACAAAGATAGACAAACACGACAACGAGTGGCTGAGTGAATCGGCAATTGCACATGATAGTCACATTGACTAAGTCTCTCGGCGCATAAATCAGCGATAATGCGATCAAAAGATCCCTTGGCATTGGGACTCAATTGCTTGGCATACATCGATTGCCTATTTTGTATGTGGGGTTGATATTTTTAGTCGTACAGATTGTTCCAAACAACAACAATTGTCCAGCTTTTTTCACGCTGAAAGATAGTGTTGAAGGATTAGGCTTAAAGGTAAGCTAAAGTTAAGCCTACTAATTAAGACTATATGTTATTTTTATAGTAGTTGTGACTCCATCACGATGAGGGGTTTTGAATAGACTTCGTGGGAGACTTCTACCTTAAAATAAAGGTAATGTTGCTACCTTCCGTTTCTAGTTAAGAGAGCGTTGAACTTCGGAGGTTATTTTGGGAAGGAGATCTTAGGAACTTTTTCATCCTGCCTATAATGTGATTACCGAAGAACCAAGCTGCTAGTACAAATCGGTAACAATTCGTATATTCATGATGATATCAATTGATGTCTTCAAGACACTGCCTTGGAGATTTTATATAAATATATCCTCTTCACCCGTCTCAGAGAAGGAGAATCATCTACTCACTCACTCCTCAAACACCCTTGCAGACCATCACCTTGGAAAAGGACCAGATACTCACAATGGCTCCCGTTCTCGCCATCGCCTCCGTGCTTGCAGCACTCCCCGCTCTCACCATGGGAGCTGCCATCACTCCTCGTGGCAGTGATATCGTCGGAGGAACCACTGCTTCTCTCGGCGAGTTCCCCTACATTGTCAGTCTGTCCACTGGTGGTTCGCACTTCTGCGGTGGTGTCCTGATCGACTCCCGCACTGTTGTCACCGCTGGCCACTGCACCATTGACCAGAGGGCCTCCTCTGTCAAGGTCCGCGCTGGAACTCTTGTAAGTCCATATCACATTATGAATCCCAAAAGCACACTCTTCTTGAAATGATACTAACAAGTTTTAAAAGACCTGGGCTTCCGGTGGCACCCAGGTTGGTGTTTCATCTCTGGTCCTTCACCCTAGCTACACTGTCGACAGCCAGGGTGTTCCCGACAACGATGTTGGTGTTTGGCACTTGTCCACTGCCATCCCTACCAGCTCTACCATCGGCTATGCTACTCTGCCTGCTTCTGGCTCAGACCCTGCTGCCGGTACCACCCTCACCGTCGCTGGCTGGTATGTGTATCCAACATCTTTTCTCAAGAAGACTGATTCTAATTGTGACACAGGGGAACTACTTCTGAGAACTCCAACTCTCTCCCCTCCACCCTGAGGAAGGTTTCCGTCCCCGTTGTTGCCCGAGACACTTGCGACAGCGACTACGATGGCGAGATCAGCAACAACATGTTCTGCGCTGCTGTTGCCGCCGGTGGCAAGGACTCCTGCTCTGGAGACAGCGGTGGTCCCATCATTGACCCCAGCGGAACCCTGGTCGGTGTTGTTTCTTGGGGTCAGGGATGTGCTGAGCGTGGATTCCCTGGTGTTTACACCCGCCTGGGCAACTACGTCAGCTTCATCAACAGCAACCGTGGTTAAGTCACGAGTTGAGAGTTGAGCAAGGTTTAAAAAACAAGAAAAATGTTGTTCGAGATCTGAGTTAGCCTTATAAATATACCTAACCGACATGATCTTATAAATGAGCTTTACCACCAGTACACCGGATACCGTGACTGTATAGATGTTATGTCTTTAGTATAAGTGACACTGCTCACTGACATTGTAACGCAAATGATGTATTCGGGGTTATATGAGAATAAAGGGTTTGTCCTTTCCGCTTCTTTAACTTGAACCTCCACCACTAGTTTCTTGTCTTGGCTAGACTGTATAAATTGACAGTTGGCTGCCCATCTGGGTCTCCGACTGAATACAGAGCAATACAAGGTTCGCGATAGGGATTGTGGGACATTCTGCTTCCAAAATGTAGACAATGCATATCGACATCGTGGAAGGACCCTAGGATGGTGCTCTCGGTCGGTTTGCGTCTCATATGTGCATCGTCGCATGAGGAATTGGCGCGCACACATTTTATGATGTCGTCCACCGTAAACTTTTTAACCCATGATCATCAATAATGTGCAAACTGTCTCAATGAACCTAGGTGAACGGATCGGCGCAACGTGCTATGTTGACTTCCTCGACGTCCAATTCTTCGATATAGAGTATATGCAGATACAGCAGGGCAACCATCGATCAAGATCACCCCACATGCGTTCTTCTGCAAATAAGAGCCCCTGGCCTGGCACAACTAGCCCTGACTAGTGGCGCCCAGGGGAATTTCCAGCGGCTTGTCGTCATTAACTGTCCTGCCTGCAGGAGCTGTCTTGGTGTGGCAAAGAGCTCAGCTCAATTATTAAGCATTGTTCATCATCCCAATTACTCGTACTTTTCTACGGAGTACCGAACTCACGGAGTACCGAAGTAGCGCGCTCCTCTTTTTTTGCCTCACGTTTAACTCATTAGTTACTGCTCTAGATCAAGCTCCTTCGCTCATTCGTCCACTTCTCGCTCTTCGGTCTTTACTGCGTGCGCAAGGCGAAAAGGCGAGGCTTGGTGGCGGGGCACGGGACGGAGGAACCGGGAAGATTAAGCCACTTTAAGTTAACAGCTGACAACAATAAACGTTATTTAAGTTGTCTGATAAGAGTGACGACAGCTTCGAAAATTAAACACATCACAAGCTGCACATTGTTAACTATTATCCATTTCGCACAACTTCTCGACACTCAAATCACCCCAAAATCCAACGCCTTTATAATGTCTACAAACAACATCGCTTTCACAGCCCCTATAAACCCTGCCGGAGCTGGACCGGCTCTCAAACGAGAGCAAGTATGGGCCGCTTTGCGTCTAAAAATTCGTTCTGCCGAGACCTTTGTCCCGCAGGCCATCGAATCCACAACCGTCATTTCTGAGTCAACGGACCCAAATGGAAACCCAGTCACCGTCCGCGACATCGTTTTCACAGCAGACAAGCGCAAAGTCAGAGAGACAGTCACAGCATACGAGCCTTCTAGAGTGCAGTTTATCCAGCCAGACGGGAGCTCTGTTAATAACATCGTCAGCGAGGGAGCAGACGGGGAGCTCTTCATGACTTACACCTTTGAATGGAGGCACCCGGACGCGTCTAAGGAAGAACTGGCGGCATTATTGGAGAGAGAGAAGGCGATGAGCAAAGTAGCTGTTGAGGGAACTATTACTGCTTTGCACCAGTTGGCCAAGGAGGGGAAGATATGAGAGCTGTAGTTATTTTACAAATAGATAATGTAATCAAATAACTCGGCCAGAAATGGCAATACAAAGATTTGAAGATTTTAATCGAATTATATTCTCAATACGTCTAACCTCTAAGCCCATTATCGCTACCCTGGGAATTTGGTCCTGACAATGTATTAACGGCCTGGCTGAGATCTCCGACTCTCTATATAATCTACAACATCGAAAAAGCTGCGTTTATATGTCCTTTGTTGCGTAGTGCGATTAACATATTGCAGCCCAAATTGAGAGTCAAAGCTACCCCATTCCCAACTGTCAACAAAGCTCCACATAAAGGCTCCGAGAACGTGAACATGGTCTTCCCAAATAGCCTTGAGCATCTCCCTCAAAAAGGATATATAGAACTCAGAACGCACGGTATCGTATTGAATAGCGTTGAGTTGTGGCGGATTTGCTGTACCGTTTGTAGAGTGTCCAAATTCCGTTACCATGACTGGAGCACGAAATGTGTTCCAAAGATACGATATCTGAGTGCGTAGGTAAGTTGGTGTGGTATACATCTGTATACTATTACTGGGCTGGCCAATCAGCCAGCCATTTGAAGTTGTCTCAGTGACACCGACGCAATTGGGATACAATGCGTTGCTAGTTTGGTTATTTGCGGCGCAGGCAGCGATGTTGTTGGTAACAGGGAAAATGATAGGGGCAGTGTAAACGTCCATTGCGATGAAGTCTAAATGATTCGAGTTACAAAGTTAGCAAAACTGTCTTCATATCGTGTATTGCCTCATAGAAGAGTACACCTTTAAGCGGGGCTTATAACGTACCTAGCGTTCCTTTGAGATTGCATAGATCGGCCTTGCTCAACGGCACATAATCTTGAACCGTCATCTTATACGCAGCAGGATAGTCTTCTCCAAGAGCCAGGGGATAGAGAAAAGGTCCCAGCTGAAGATCATTAAAGTGTGCAGCTGCAGCAACATGGGATTTTTGTGAGGGGTCAAGGGGGACACCCGGAGGAATTTCCATCTTCATGGATATTTTGCCAGTGCCACGAATTTCGTCTTTGTAAAAATGATACAACTTGGCATGAGCCTTGAGAACGTGATCGATGCTCAGCCCATTGACTGTTCCTACCTGAGGTTCGTTAAAGGTAAACCAGAAGGGCACTCGATCTGCAAAATGGCTCATGACAATTTTGCCATAATTCACAAAAGCATCCTCAAAGCGGTCGTGTTGAAAGCCGAGATTCGATGTCCCAAGATAGCACCGTGCGTTGGAATTAGTAAGTATTTCCGTCTGATTATCTCCAAAAAACTGCAACGGGGTGTCAAAGTGATGAAGAGTCACAACGGGACTGATGCCTTTGGAAATAGCAAAGTTGATCAGGTCGTCATAGTGTGCTAGTGCTTGGGAATTGACAGGAGTGTTGGGGAAGACAAATGGCAGTATGCGAGACCAGGCAATACTGAACGAGTAGTATCGAACCCCGATGTTGGCAAGACGCTCGATATCCTGCTTATAGAGATAATAATTCTCATCTGTAATGTAGTTCGGCGATATGTTGGTAATACCCAACTTGGCGGCTATCTCTGGTGGGAGGAATGTAAATATCTCTGGGATAGCCGGCGCCCTGCCCTCATCCGCAATGGCACCCTCAATCTGTGCTGCAGAACCAGCAACTCCGAGGATGAAATCATGAGGAACTGGGTAGCAGTCCGATGATTCAAATAGCAGCGGTGGTGGAAGGACAAGCTCTGCAGTGGGCACCGGAGTTGGACGCACAGTAGTTGAGTAGAGTCCTCTCGAAGTGAAGTTTGGCACACCGGCATTTTCCCAAAGTTGCGAGTAGGCAAAATGGCCGTATGGATCTTTCGGGTCATGAATGGGCGCTTTGGATGGTTGAGCATACCAGTTACCCCACGATGTCGTTGACAAGCTCGGAAGCAAGTGCTTTACTTGAGCATAGTGCGGAGCGTACTGAGGGATAGCGCTGAATGTCGGTACTGGTGATGCCGTGCGGACCGTTTCTGTATTGGTGTATCTGAACTGAGAAAATTCGTATTTTGGAGTCTTGCCGAAAGCTTGGTGCGTGGGAGTTGCTTTGCATGCAGATGGGACATTTGGGCCGTGTATATGAAGGTAGACTTGTTGGCCAAACGCGCCGGCGACGAAGAGTAGCAGCGCCGCCAGCATATTTGTTACTGAACAAGCCATGAGGGGACTCTCCAGCGAGCTGGGAAAATGAATATCAGTCTGTGTGAGTTTTCAGACCAATTATATCATGATTGACTTGTGAGTTTAGGAAAAACTTATATGATTTAATTGCTATTATATATTTTCAAAGAGACATACAAGTCTCTTTGAGCTTCCGGAGTATTTCTCATCGTCAGCCCGACTCTTCACTTTAGTAACGACCGGTAAACCATAACCCTTTTCAGCTAGACGCCGGAGTTTCCTGCTTTTTTTGCGGGGCTGTCAAATTACTAGGCGGCCTCTTGTCATTGACAAAGCAACAAAAAGGCCCGTCTTCTATGTTAGTATAGAATTCTAGACGGTCACTAAATAATTCGACTAGAACTACATGGGTAAAGAAGGTCGCAAGAATTTTCAAATACGAGTAGAAGGCGCGTGACGTTTAATGAACGCATGAGAAGAGTTGGTCTATGGTTGTTGCGCCTTCAAGTGGTGATGTAGCTCATAGAGTAGATGATGCAAACAAACTAAAGAGATTTCACATCTCAGCATCGAAACCAATCAACAATTTAGTCAGTAGCCAAGAAACTCAGTTATAATACAATTGACGATAGAGAGGCTATAATTTGCATGACAACTTTGCACTATTCCCACCTCGCTGGCTGCGGGGTAAGATCCCCAGATCGTGGAGAATAATGCCGAGGATGGCGCAGTGCTGATCTGGGGTACGCCGGCAACTAGGACCGAATTCGGCTTAAGAAAAGGGGAAGCGGAGGCCTCGATTTTTACCCCTCTAGTAGTGGCAGCGTGTCGCGCGTGTGACAGGCTGTGATATTGGTGAATGTTTGCAATTCCATTGTGAACATCTTGGCATTCACAGTATCGCCAACTTGCGCCATCATCGTTGCAGTCGTTACAGTTGTTGAACCTCGTGACTGGAGAATCCCATCTGCCACACTGATGGCGAGGCTAGAGGAGAACGAGCTCAGCGTTATGATAGGCTCACCTGCGCCCAGTTGGAGGGGTGGTCGTGTCAGCACGGCTTGCGTTGCGTGTCATCGTCTCAAGGTTCGTTACGAGCTGGGTTGTTGTGCCCTGCTGAAAACAATTTGCAATGTCAGGGCTCATGCTGACGATAACTAGATGAAATGCGTGCGCGTTGGCGAGTCGGCTTGTACGCGCTGTCAACGTGCCAAGCGCAGTTGCTCAGCAAGACTGCCGCCATATCCTGACGAATTCGAACTTGTTGTCAAGACACCCAAGAACTTTAATGCTCCAAAGCAACCCCGGACATCCAAAGACGTTTGCCGCCGGCGGTTTAAAAGCAGACATCACAATAGGAGAATTGCTCCTGCTAACTGCGATGGACATGCCGTTATTTTGAAGCACGACAGAAGGCTCATCGATGACCTCCCGTCTATCTATTTAACCGCTCCTATCTTGGCAGTTTTGGGCGATAATGTTGTGAATGATGCTTTGGATATTGATTCACATTCAATTTATAGCTCGGCAACCTCCCTCAGCATATGCTCAAGCCCTATACTGTCTGATGGAAATGATTCACCACTGTCAAGGGCAGAAATGAGACAGCTTTTAAAGATGTAAGTCTAATATCCTATATTGTGCTGGGTTATACTAAATAGAATAGATTCTGTTCTCGGTTGCTATCGTCTATACCCGTCTTCACCAAAGACGACTTCAAAAACCCAGATGTCATAATCGAACAGCAGCCAGATTTAATCCATGCAATATGCTACGTCACCGCGAGATATCTACCGGGAGGTTTATCAACTGTGCGGCTAATTTATCCTAAAGTCTTGAAATTTGTTCAAGACAAGTCTGCTGGCTCTGTATGGCCTGGAACAGCAGACATAACAAGCTTTAGGGCACTCGTGGTCCTTTATGCGTTCTCAGAAATTGCTCTGCCCAACATCGAGTCTCCGCATTCTCCCTATATACTACCAACGCAGCTCCTTAAAACAGTGACAGAGATTTACGGAACCCAGCTGGGACTCCACAGATCTATTGACGGCGCCAGAGCCATGCTGAGCCTACCTCATGACCAGTGGCTGTCCAGCGCTAGCTATAAGCGATATACATATTCGCTATGGCTATTCACAATGTCTCATCAGTAAGTTCTCATTTGATGGCTCTAAACTGAGAGTTGTGCTAACATATTCGAACCACTATTAAAGCAGTGCTATCATTACAAGAACGCCGCCTAGCATTCGAAGCGATAATTCGATACGGTCGGCCCCAGAGTTGTTTGCGGGCATTAACATCGAGCCTCGTATGCGTCGACTGCTAGGCGAAGTGGAGCTATGTCTACTATGGGAAAAGGTAATGCTAAGGTAGCTCTAGGTGAATCTTTTCTGACAATCTTTCATCTAGGCAAATGCTGTTGATTCAACTTTCGGCGAATGGTGGTGTCCATCGGAGCAAGCTGGCCCAGCCTGTCCTTCACCGTCAGCCGTAGTGGACATTGTTACGCGTGATTTGACCGCCTGGAGAGCCAAATACGCTTCTTTCATTGAGCATGGTAGGGGCAATCCCCCATATATTCACAATTTCACAGGACTAAGGAGTTTTAGGCGGATTTGGCATTGGACTCGATTTTCATTATCGAGACTCTCAGTTTTGTCTCAGTACCTACGCCGTTTGTCACTATACACATGTCAGTGATATTGACAAGCGAGACCTATTGGTAAGAACAACGCTAGATCACGCTGTCGGTATGCTCTCTTGGCTCCAAAAATTGAGTCCTGTGGTTCGAGAGAGTCTTCGGTACATTAGTGATTTCGCATTTGTCATGGTTCTCTATGCATGTATGTTTATTCTGCAAGCCTGCGAATCGCGGCACATGCTCTCCGAGCAGAGATGTAAAAATTTGAAGACAGTGGCGACAACGGCTCAGCTCTTGGTTGATCTGGGCATTCACTCGTTACACTTTCCATCGATTTATGGGAAATTGTTACAGACGCAGCTGGGGAATCTACAACCAAATGTGTGTGATGGTGTAAAAGCAGATTTACAGCCCAAGAGCAACTCGCCAGAAACACCCGTCACCATTTGGACAGAGTATTCTAATATCAAGGGAGATGACTGGTACCAGGACGATTTTGGAAGCCAGGGGGATTTGTTTGGCGAAATGTTAAATCTGCCTCGGCTTGATTGGTTTGAAGCATTGGAATGAACTCGCAGTCACGGCGCTAGAATTAATTCAGATCTCACAAAGCACTCATTAATCATGCTACTCCTCATATTAACTATCAAGACTATGCTCCATACACTTAATTCTGTCTTCCATATACCTCATGCGCTGGAACATGAAAGATGACTCCAGAATTCGCAATTAGTTTCTCACAATGGCGCTCTGAGAGTGCCAAAAGTCGCAGCGATCAGAAGCATCGGGATCTCTCTGGCCCGCAATGCTCGTATCTGAGACATTCAGAATCTGGTAATTCTTTGTTCCGTACTGTGGCCAATGAGTTCGTGTCTGATGAGAGACAGAAGGAAAGGTATTTGGGTCGCCGCGAATGATGAATGACAGAAAATAATCTTTCACTGCAGTTGCCACTGATGAGTCGACGGTGAAGATATCTACATTGAAGATCGGAAAATCTGCTGCCGAATGCACATAAACTCCAGCATCAAAGATGGATTTATATGCCGGGACGCCATATTTCTGTGCAGCCGCCGCAAAGTAATAGGTAGGGCAGTTGATGTTCGCATCGCCGTTGATTTGTTGAGTCTGCCACAGAGACGGATCGACGCCTGGAGCAGAGAGAGGAGCGAGAAGAGCAATGAGCGGAAAGATGAGGCTGCGAAAAAATGGCTGCTCGTAATATGTGGCTCCAAAGCTAGACAGCGGATAAAGCTGACTTAGACTCGACCAGAACTTGGGTGTAGGCGAATGCCACGTCTTTTGCCATTGGGCTTTGTTTTCGTCGAATGAGGTTGTTGAAAAGTTGGTGAACAAGATACCTGTTAGGTTATTAATGAGGGAAGATGTGATATACAAACGATGTGGTCGTCTTCATACCTTCGAACGAATCATGGTTTGTCATGAGCGGAACCCTGGCAAAATGGCCCTTGTTGAATTCTACAGATGGTAGATCATGGACGAAATCTCCATCTACTGAAGGTCCATAGAACATATCTCCATAAGAGTATAGTCCGGCATCGTAGCCAGTATAGTAGCTTTTAGTTATCGCCGTTTCCAATGCGGATGGAGATAAACTTCGAAGACAGGCGACGTTACCGCACTTGGCATCATTTAAGAGATTCTGATACTGTTTTTGCAAAAAGGTGTCGTCGTGGTAAGGCTGCAGCCATGGGAATTCTATGTGGTGGATTAGCCCGATTCAACTTATATGAGCAGCTTCACCAAAGGAGGAATGGAACTCAAAACCATACCTGCAATCGCACCTCTGTACGGTGGTTTATTCTCTCCTCCCTTGTAAATCATTTGGTTCACAACCGATCCACCGCCTGCGCTCCCTCCCCAAATCGTCACCTTGGAGGGATCGCCACCAAATGCAGAGATATGACGCTGAACCCATTCAAGGGCGAGGCGCTGATCGAGAAGGCCAGCATTTTTTACTCCGGCGTGTCCATCAAACTCCTTTGGGTTCAAAAATCCGTATGCACCGAGGCGGTATTGAATGGAGACCCAAATAACATTGCCTTGGGCATACTTTGTAAAATCTGAGCCATCCGAGGAGATGGAGTTACCAGTGACGTAACCTAGCAGAGATTAATTAGACCTATAACCCATATCAAGCAGATTCTGTAGCTACTCACCTCCTCCATGAATATAGACAAGAACAGGGAGAGATTTGGATTTCGGCGATACCGGCTTAAGAACGTTGAGAAGTAAGCAATCCTCCGACGCTGGTATTTGAGGACTAGCACCCAATACTTGAAGGGCCCCCAAATTAGTGCCATTTGCCCATGCCGTTGGGCCCTGGACACACTGAGGCCCTACAGTAGTAGCGTCAATAATTCCCGAGGAGTGTTTACCATGAGACTCAATGTCTTGTGGTGCTTGCCAGCGCAACTCGCCCGTCGGAGGTGCTGCATAACGAATGCCAAAGTAATAATCGAGGCCATATGAAGCATTGCGAACGCCTCGATATTTTGCATAACCCAGGTCAACTACTGGGTTGCCATTAGTGCTGTGAGACGGCGCGCCAAAGGCACAGCCGCCGAGAATGGAGACTAAAAGAAGAGATTTGATCATGGTTGTCGTTCAAACTTTTGCATCAAATTCTAGAATACGTCAACGACGTTTAATTAGGTCTGATGAAACAAAAAATTCGCCGACATCTTTTCAGAACTTTTTATATAGTTACTCAGAGATCATAATGTTTCGATGACATCCATATTGTTTGCTATGATTTAGCAGTGTCCGGTGAAGAGGGTCGATACCTTCCATTTTGGGTAACAGTTTACCGGTGCAGACCGGACTCTTGGGGCCACTTGAAGTATGCTTTACATCATTTCTGACCGCTACAATGGAAAGCTGAAGCTGTGATTGGCATAATTGTAATGTTGTTAGCTAATATGGAATATTTTGTTTACAAAGACGAATGCTCCGGTCAACACCGTGAGAGAGTCGACCGGCAGCACTTTGTCTCTATGAGTATGCGCTTGAGCCCAGAGAATGATGCAATAGGTTGGCACATACTCCGTACAGTAGCGCCCAAAATGCGTGTCCGCTTTATTAATTCGAAATTTCTCTCTGCATGGAGTTTTGTGACGCATTATGGCTCATCGCAGCTTCCTAGCAGATTATACCCTCAGTGAAGGCCATACTTGGAGCCGGAACTAACCTGTATTTGTGACGCCAACTTGCTGAAATCGTCTACTACTACCGACTTCCGTTGCCTCGCAAAATTGTTACCAACGACAGACAGCACGATACTAGGTAGTTTATAAACAAGTAGTACACACTGCCGAAATTAGAATCCCGTAGGTGCCGACAGCCCGATGCCTGTCCGAAGGATTGAGCCGGCAATACTATTACTACCAGGGGTTATAATTTGGTCTTTGTTTCGCAAACTCTTGCTCCCATTGACGGCATGTAGTTTCCAAGCGGCTGAAAGGAAGCATTGGAACTTAGTAAAGCGAATTCCACTCAATTCAGTTGCTTAAAAAAAAAAAGACTCAAGTTACTGCAATCAATAGCCTGTTGACATACTACTATTATGGTTAAAGCCCAGTTAAGTTTGGCGTAAACAGTGCTGCCTGGAAGGATTCAATCTCGCTCATCATACCCACGAGGTAATAATAACCGACGCTAACCACAAAGGTAATGCCTAGCTACTCAATTATAAGCAGTTCCTGGACTTTGAAAATAGAACGCGTAATCCTTGTAAGCTACGGCAAAACTGAGTAAAGAGTAGTAACTGAAAGCGTAAGGAATTTTCCATTTGAACTTGATGGAACTATGAACGCTGCCATTGTAAGAAGATAGAAAAGAGACAACGAACACATGTATTGAGGGACCTGAATTAATGTCCCATAAATCATTAGTCAGTACATACCTATAATTCAGATGATTACATTTATACAAAGAGGCACACGGCTTGGAAACTATCTCATTGCGCCACCCTTCTCCTCAATCGGAGTTGTGTTAAGCCAGCCTTCGGGCCTAAATACCCCGGACCTGGATAGACTGATGTTTTAAGCTGCATATGGTACCGAAAGAGAAGGTTGTGATCTTATACCATGCTCAAATCGCGGCACAGCTTTGCATCCGCACCAATCATGTTCAACTAGTATAACTATAGGATTCAAAATGCTACTATTACTATCTGGTGGTGACCAAAAGTGGACAACCTCAGCAGTTGTTGTTGTTCAAATTCTTGGAGAGACTCTATTGTCAGCATCGACAAGATCAAACGGGGCGAGGGCAAGGGTTGAAAGAGAAATCAGATTCTGGTATCGGTCAAACAAATTCACCAGACGATTTGGAAGATGCCAGTACAATACTCAGCCATAGAACCATCTATAAAGAGAGTCTTCCCTCCAAAGCGTTTCTCATAATATCTCCATCAATCTCAACAACTTCAATTGCCTTGTATCAGAGACTTTCAACTCCTTTTGGACGCCGTTCAATTCCATCTGAAATGGCTCGCTTGACTTACATCTCCCTACTTGGTCTTGCCAGCTCCGTTCTTGCTGCTCCTCAGCCGGCATTGACTGGAACTGAAGGCACGATTGCTTCAACCGTCCGAATTGCCGGCCCTACAGCTGCTCCCAACATTCACGGTCTCGAGATTGCTGCCGCTCCCCAGTTCTTGACCATCACTGTCATTAACAGCCACGGTGATGCCATCTCGACCTCGCACGCTCACGATCCCAACGGACCTTCTGCCGTGTCGGGCAATGTAGGTCCCGGCACCATGGCCAATGGCGCCACTGCTGCTTTTGCCGTTCCAACTGGATGGATTGGCAATGTCGCCATCAACGACGCTGGCTGGGCCATTACTGGCGATGATTCCCTGATTGAGGGTAACTTTGTTGTTCCTCAGGGATCTTCTGAAGCCGTGGCCGATGTTGATGTCTCTTATGTGTAAGTTACAGACCACCATGCGCATTCCTTGTTCCTATCAAACTAATTCTTCTCTAGTAACGGATTCTCTGTTGCCATTGTTTGCTCTTGCAACGGACAGGTTGTGACTGGTTGCAACAAGAACTTGTTCAACCTCAACTCTTGCGGCGTAGGTTCAACTTGAAGTACATCTTTACAGTAGACTGAAGCTAACACGATATAAAGAACAACGACGGGCAAAATGCCTGTGTTAACCCGCTCCGAAGCGATGAAGGAGCCACGTCTGCTGCCCCCTTCTTCGCCCCCTGCCAGCACGCCGCCTGGACGTATGTTAACGACGGCGCTGCCAACTCTTTCGGACAGTGCCAGTCTGGCCAAATCACTTGCTGTGTTGGAGCTGCTTGCCCTCCTAACCCTAGACAGCCATAAAATCTTGGCGATTGAGGCTTAGACTTGAGACGAAGAGAATGTTGCTGGTGCTACTATAAAGTAGTGTTGGGAATCTTATCCCTGTCTTTGATCATAAATTGTCCAAAGTATTTATTCTTCTTCACAGTCGTTATGTAAATAGCTACGCAAAGTACATAGTTACATGGGATTATATACTTGTTACATAGACCAATGCATCTTGATTATCACAAACCTTTTTTGTTTTTTTGTAATCCTTTGAGGAGAAAATTAAGAAGTCAAACGGTTTATATTAAAACACCTCTTTACGGGGACCTAACGACTTACATCCTACATTTCCAAGAGGCTTTGGTACCTACTAGCCACCCTAATCAAACTCTGTCATAATCTACATACCCCCAGGCTACCAGCTGTAACGCACAAAACTTCCCTGTATTATTCCGAAATATTCATCTCAAGCACTGTATTCCTTTTCATCTGACTATATGTCTTAAAGTAATGTATTTACAGTATCATTTCTTTTTTACATGATTATGAGCTTGAAGATGTCATATTTACACCAGCATCTTTTCCAATGTCATGACCTTACACACTGCCCGAGCCGTAAGGGCTAAAAGCATATTGGATTCCTAGGGAAGAAAGGGAAGGTCCACCGTTTTGTAACAGGTCCTTTCCATTGTCCGCAGTGCCAAAATAAGAGTAGCGGTAGACGCAAGGGTTGTTATCGAGGAACGGGATCGCCGATTGCAAGAAAGTAGCCTCCTGGTCAGCGTTTCCACCTGCTTGAAACTATTCGAGTGGTTAACGTCGGCAATCATTTTTTCATGCTGGTAAATTAACACTGTTATGAGCAGCATACCTCTGTGATCCAGACCTGGCGACCACCGCCAAGGGAGCAGATACTGTTGACCCAATTTTCAAAATCCGCTTCCAGCGTCCAATCGTTGTACCAGTGGATGGGGATGAAATCGATGTGGCAGTCGCTGCAGGCCTGCAAGAACTGGCTGATCCAGTTATAGCCGTCATTGGAGACAGCAGGAGCACCGAGCTGCGCGTGGCCGTAGAAAGGCTCCATGTATTGCCTCCACGCATTAGCAGCATCGCCAGGGCTTAGATTGGCCTGGCTACCCAGCTCTGGCTCGTTAAAGGCCAGCAAGTGCCCCGAGCCTCCATTGTTGATCCAGTACCAAGCATTGTCGAACCATTGAGTGGTATGGTAGCTCTGGGTGCCCCACAGCATGGGTACAAACTCGGCCCAGCTTTGCTTCTGGGAGGTTGTGCTGTCCCAGTTATACTGCCAGTTGACCTGTGAGCCATGGCCATTATACGACCCGCCAAACTGCGAGATGGGAATATCATCGTTTGCAGCTAGGCCACGCTTTGGCCATGGATCAGCAAGGGCCAGGGTGAAAAGAGAAGCGGTAACGCTTAACCTTTTGCTGGAGAAAACCATGTTGGCTGGGTGTATGTGAGACTGCGAGAGCAAAGAGATTGGATGTGCCACAAGCTTAAGAGCGGTGGTGAGTTCTCCTATATTACAATGGCAATCTATATGCTATATATACGTTTCCAAACACTCAATTATCTTGTGCTTTTGATTGATTGCAATATTTTGAAGGATGGTTGCAATCTGTCGAAGGATGATTGCAATCTGTCGAAGGACTTTTAGCTCTTCCTCTTCTGTTTTCACTTTCTGTTTTTGAACTAACCGGTAAGCATAACAAACCTGTTTGTTAATACGCTTTCACTGTAATGTGGAGCATGTGCCTCGTGGGATGATAGTCAGGCACGTTTTCCTAGTTGGTTGCTAAAAGTCCTAGTTGACAGGACGCAACCCCGGCCCACGCTATGCGATATGCGGCACAGACGGCTTATACTATTTGCTAGGATATCATGCTGGAAGCTGCTGCCTTGCATCCTTCATAGGTGGATACATATTTATTGTTTCTACAAAAGGAAGGTAAAGATATTTTTATCTGCAATAGGCATACTCATTTGTAATACGCTCGAATGGATCCCGTCGATATAATCCCGCAGCAGACCATCTCATAATGATACTCAATCTTTCCATTGCTGGGCATAATGATACGATTTTTGTTTTCAACTCATCTCCTTCTATATTCATCATAGGCCACTTTTAGTTATTAACTCGACATGGCTGCTACTGCTACTCAAGAGCCGGATGTGGCTACAACTTCGCCAGTTAGCTCGGTCCTATTACAGCACGCCATTGAAGTTGCGGGACTGACGGATCCTATCACTACCCATGAACCTATTTGGCAACTCGAATCTTACGGCGACTATCTAGACGGCGGCGATTGTGAGCGAAGAGTGAAGATGACAAGATAGCCTTGCTTCATGGTTGACTACCCTAGTTCCGCATGAACATGCGATAGAGATGGAAAAAGTATATAAATGAAGACATTGCTTCATCTCGTCTATCAGTCCAGCCATCCAAGAAGCATTATTTCAACCAAGATTAGCCATCTATTCATCTGATATCATCATGCGTGTCATCTCTCTTCTCCCGTTTGTTGGCGCTGCCATCGCGCTCCCAACTGAAACCCCTGGAGCAGCTCCCGCCAACAACTTCACCGCGCCTGATGTTAATGCCATCAAAGCCGTACCCCAAGATTCCTTCAAAAGCTATCAAACTGGTGGCTTGGTGCGCCAATCTATGAAGTCTGAGGGATCAAAGTCCAAGCGCGATTGGACCTGTAACACTTCGCCGACTTTCACCTGGGGCGACGGCGACAATGGCGGCAAGGGAATCTTCATCACCAACACCGACAACGACTGGCGAGGCTTCTACGCCTTCCACAACAACTGTGACGCGATTCCATACAAGTACGTTTGGGTCGCAGCCGGCGCGACTCAATTCCTGTCCTTCCCTGATGGCTGGGCAGGCCGCATCCAGCGGGGCGTTGACGCAACCATGAACAATGGCCAGGCTCACTGGCTCGGCACATGGTTCGAGTTCAGCTGGGACACAAACGGCTGGGGCTGGAGCGACGTCTCTCTCATCCGTGGCTGTGACGGCGGTGTTCTGGTCAGCTCTCAGGACGGCTCTGGAGCGTGGAAGGGATTCACGCAGGACATCTTGAGCAATGCGCCCAGCAACGCTCTTGACACCAAGGATGATGGACAGAGGGTGCTTGCGGCCACCGAATTCATTGGCGGTGCCATCAACACGCCTCCTCGCGACTGGGAGCTGCAGCAGGTTGGCTCTCAGTACGTTTATGTCGATGATGATCACGGCAGCCCCGTCATTGCATCTACCAACGGCCGTTTCGGCACCACCTGGCCCGCCGGCCGGGCATAAAGCTGGCATTTCGAGATGAAGCCTGTTTGATAACCTTGAGTATATATATGTATATATATGTAAATACAGATAGCAGGAATTGTACAAATTATTGTAGAGATATTATATGCCTATTACTAGTAACTAGTATTTGAACGTAAACAGTTTTCTGCTCATGGCGTGTCAGAACCTTTCGAATCAGGCGAGCAATATTGAAAGCGGTGCGTTGTCTAGTCTGCCAAATATGTATTCGTAGTATCTTAATGCTGGAACCATTGGTCTATTATTGGCGATTTTTCAGAATCAGTAGCGAAAAGGAAATGTCAATTGAAGGAGTGTTATTGATGACACGGCAGCAAGGAAGTTCTTTTGATAATGCGTTGAAATGTGTCGCAGTATAGGAGGCTCTGGAGCAATGGTTAACTATAAACAACTGGGTTTACGCATACAAATACTACTTTTGTACACAAGTACTGATCATCAACATAGAATAGAAACGGCATTGCTTTGTGATGTATCTGATGGTTGTAAGCTGTTCGCGTTACTAAAGAAGCATGTAAAAGCTCTTGACCTTTTTTCAATTGTAATAATATTTAGTTATGGAAATACAAAAATGCAGGGTAAGCTGTGGTCACAGTTGAGGTTGCAATGAGGCTAGTTCGAAATCCGTCAGGATTCAGGATTCAGGATTCAGGATTCAGGAACCATTGTTCCAGCACGTGGCGTAAGATGAGCCTAGACTATCCTGGAGCAGATCAAGATCAAGCACAGCGCCCACACAATCCACTGGCAGGAGTCGAGCCTTCGTGATGCCGTTGCTGCAGAAATTCCTCCCAGTGCTCTGAGTGGTACGTGCCCCTCCTAATACTTGACATTTTTCCTTCTTATAAACAAGACTACATGTAATTTTTATCTACGCGCCTTCATGCTAGCAATAGGCTGCAGCTTATTACTTATAAGCGTACGGCATTGTTTCAATGCTTTATGTGTACGTTGAAGCGCCAAATGCATGCCTACAAGAGCCTTTCGATTTTGACTGACTCAGTCTCCAGTTCGGTGAGACATTCAGGCCTGGCAGTGCTAGCCCACATTTTGTCCCTGCCGCAAACTCCCTTGCCGGGAATTGGTGGCGCTCTGCAACCTTCCATGGCATTGAGGAGCCATCTCAAACAAAGGTTGAGGAGTTGACGTTCCTCTATAGTGTTGGTTGGCAGGCAGAGAATGTGTGGGCAACAGCACGGCACAGGGCGCGCGAGATGAATTGAGCTCGACGACATTCTAGTCACCATAAGACGACCCTCAAAACACTTGCGCTGCCAGAGTCGTCATTCCTTACTGCGCGACAAAGCTTTTCACATCAATCAGTCGGCCATGGGCAAGCCGTCCAACCACACATTGCCCCAAACCCTGGCATGTAGTCCCGCAGAAGCGCAAGGTCACCTTGGCCCGACCAGGAGATTGCCTTGCCCGCGCCGATCTTGTGCTCGTAGCCAATCCCCCGCCTAATCCCGACCAGCCAATCCACCAAGCGTGCCAAACTCCCTCCAGTTATAGCGGCGTGCGGCGTCGGACGTGTGGAGCAGGATCGTATGCGGTGAGATCTAGTGCAGTGGTGGTTGCGCAGGTTTGTTAGTGCAGCGACAGTGCTGGATTGCATGCGCTGATTGACTGACTTTTGGAAGAACTCGCCAGTTGTGTGAAATGGAGATGAAGGAGATGAAGAAGTTTGAGGAAATTTTGGTAAAAGAAAGCCCTACGATTGCCTGCGGTTGCCTGAGGCTGCTGAAAAAGATACAGACGACTGTACAAATCAGTACTTACCTAGTAGGTACCTACGAGGCGGGGGGCCTTTTTTTGGTGAGATGGATGGTTCAATATCATAAGCGACTTGTGGGAGCCACAACCTAGGCGAATGGAAATGTGATGCGCTTCCAAAACTGTGTTTACTTCCATTATGCGCGATGCAGCTATTTTCAAGTGAATCTCTTGTGGAATTCTTTTATCTATAGTAGCAGAGACTCCGGAATTTGCGACTGATCGCCATCACCTGCTGACGATAACCACCTGGGCGCTCTATAAGTACATGTACGTGCATGTCGCTTTATCAGCCTCAAGGCACACTGCAGGTGGTCACAGCGACTAATCCAGATCATAGCGGCCAACCGGCGCTCCAGTTTGGGTGCGGACCTCGCGATACAGCGCGTTACAGCGCCCCAAGCCCTATAAGGACGTATCGGCACAGCGCTCATGGCTGTAATTCAGATCCCCGGGCCATCGATCCATCAACCCCCGCTGTTCCTCTGCGGTCGTCCCAGTACTCCTCTGGGTGCATTTCCCATTCATGGTGTGGTCAAGGCCTACAACGAACGGGTTAGTTCGTACAGATCTCGGCCTCGTGGGAGCACTTCAATCAAGCTACATGTACGTTATGTTCCCGCATTTATGCCATGACTAGCAATCATTATTAAAATTGAAACGTCTATTACTGTACAACCGGTCACTGCTTACTTCCGTAAGAGGTTGCGACATTTCTTACCAGCGGTAACTATTTGCCCCAGCTTGAACATCACCACCGCGCACGAAGGTACATGTAATCACACTATTTTTGATACCCTGCGGCGACATCAATTGCCATGGACGCATATCCGCATGAGATATCTATTGATATAAAAACACCACCGCCATTAGCGTCGTGATGTGTCAAGTCTTGCCCTGTGATAATGTTTCTTAGCCACTCAACCACCATTATCGCCGCCCAGACTGGAGCTTCATCAATTTGTACCACGCTCTATAACAGCCCACCTCTGCTGCTGATGGGTAGAGTGGAATCTATCTATAATACCCCGGCTTTTTTTTTTTTTTTCTTTTTCTTTTTCTCAGCAGCGTGGGAATGAGGTTGGCATTGTTTGGGGTTCGCTGGAGAATTTGGCGTATGGCTTGCTGCGGCGTGGATACCAACATCCAGCAGGGACATGGAGTTTCTGAGTGTAGCGTTCCATTCTCATTAGCGTTAGAAACAATCTGTAAACTGCATATTAGCTTTCCCCAGACTGTTCAAACGTGCCTTTCCCTTGGCTACATGTACTCTCCAAACCCACGTGGCTGGTATGAGTGGGACCTACAAAACCTCCGCCTTTTCTTGGGAGGAGAATCTCATGCTGTGAATTTCCCATTGCCCATTTCCTTTCTCATTCATATTCGTAGGCGACTGTGCAGCATTGCTGTCAGAACTCAGGATGCTTACGGATCTAAACGCCTGTATCCAAAATGAAAACACTTCGAGTCCACCACTGCAGCACACGAGCCCCCGAAGTCGTGTTCGTACTGGATGCCTCATCTGCCGGGCTAGGAAGATAAAATGTGATGAGCAGCGGCCGAATTGCCAGAGATGCTCAAAGGCCAAGAGGAAATGCGTATACAAGCGGAGGCCACCTCTGATGCCCTTACAACCAGCGCCGCCAAACATCGACAATCAGCAGCACAAGAATTCATCCAGCAATCCGTCCATTTCTTCACAGCGGAGTCGGACTGGAGATAACATTATTCATGGCCATTTATTGCCTCCTGATTCTACCTGCGATACGAGAGAAGCGGCAATCTTCAATACTGCTGGTGGTATGACGTGCAGTAACCATGAAGACATCACCAACTTCCATCAAGAGTCAAGCTCGGAGAATGCAGACTCACCATCCGCTCGATTCTACACTACTTCCTTACAAATCTATGTTACTACAGCTATTGATTTGTTTTACCCTTCTGGGATAACATCTCGATCATCCTCATATTTCATTGACCAAGTGGATTCTCCTACAATTTCAGCCTTTGACTATTTAAATTGGAACAAGATAAAGCTCCATATCGTACAACTAGGTACCCAGGACCCGTCAGTAGCTGCAGCTATTGAAGCCGTTCAAGGCATATACAGAGCCCAGGTGAACCGATTAGCCATGTTTCACGCTACCTCGGAATATCAAGCTCGTCTTGCCACTTTTGAACCCCTGGTCGCCGATGAGAAAATTGACTCCGACACTATTCTGGCCATCTCACTGCTTCTCTGTCTATGCGAGGTTATTTTGCCCAATGAAGATGGCTCTTCTTTAAGTGCATTTGGCCCAGCATTTGAGGCTAGATTAACCATTTGGCTATTGAATACCGATCGGTCCCCTATGTCCTTACGGATATGCGCCTGGCTACAGCTCTTACACGTCGCTACCAAACGATCGGGGTCCTGCGGCTTAATACCAGAAACAACGTTCGATCTCATAAGCAACCATATTACCGAGGTTCCCAATCTCCCTCCATTAAGCAACAGCCCCGATTCAACAAGTGCCATGTACGACATCATAAGTGCTCCGATATTTTCTTTTTATCTGCAACTTCAAAGAATTTCGAATGAAATACAAGATCTTAGTCACTATCGTCGATCAAGGATCACCCCAGAAGATCAAGAAGAAGTTACTGAAATCGTGGCCAACCTGAACAATACTCTGTCAACTCTATGGATTGCCCGCCCGAGCCCACTACAATTCCAGCCAGGCCAGCTGCGGGAGAACTTCTGTCCAATGATTGCAGAACCTCTTATTGCTCTAGTAGGAATTTGTACAGCGGCATATTATGGGGAAGTAGTTGGTCTTAGGCGCACACTCGGTGATGATCCATTTCCTTCTCCAGAGTCTCAGCAACCCATGAGCCGAATTCGGGATATTATTGAAGGAGAATGGAATGCTTTAAGTAAAGGCGCTCTTAATCCAGGATACATACGGCCTCTCTTCTTGTATTGTATCGAAAATCTTGAACAGGATAAGACAGAATGGGCAGTGGCTCGCCTGAGGCAAGTTCAGAGTCCTATAAGTAGAAGTGAATTTATCGCAGCTTTGGGAGAGGCACTCGGTAGAGAGCAAAGAACGGAAAAGAGAAGGGTGGCCACAAAGTACTTTTGCAATGGGGCCTTTAATGCGATGGTTCCACGCATGTAACAAATATTTCCTGGGCAGCACTATTAGAAGCAGCAGGATTAGAAGAAGCTGCATGGCAACATTATACGTTTCCATTTATTTTATTTCATTTTTCCGAGTGAGCATACTCTGTACTGAAATCGGAAGTATAATGTATGTAATATATATACCCCTATTTCGGCGGACTTTCTAGCTATCTTCGCGTTCTACTTAATCACCTTATCTCTCATACAGATCGTCTCACGCGAGTCAATTGTCAAGTGATATAGACTACCTCTTCATATTTAGTATGAATGTCTAAAACTTTTGTTTAATTCAGTCCTTGAGCAGCTTATGAGCTTTATCCCTGATTCTAACCATTTGTGAGACGTCATCACATATTATTTGATCTAATTGACCTTGAAGAATCCACTCGACGATTTCGGCCTCCATATCTCTGCCGTATCTCTTCAGAAGCTCGAGCACCTCGGGCCGTGGAATAAATAAAAATACTGCGAACCCCTCTTCATGAAGTTGATGAGCTTCGCCGCTCGGAAAATGTTGAATCTCAATATTGATAGCATCCAGATTGGCATCTCGAGCAAGACCAGCAGGGTCTATCAATCGTGAATGTGACAACCCTACTGTAGGTACCTCGGGAATAATATCTTTAACTGCCCTAAGTTGTACAAAGTCGAACGAAGAGAACTGAAGGAGGTCGGCGCACTTCAATTCATCAATAAGCGCCCTCAATCTAGGGACTATAATATCATTCTGGTCGTACACCTTAAGCTCGAGTTGGTAGATGATTCCAAGTTCACGAGCAAGATGCAAGGCATCTCTAAGCCTTGGAACTTTTTCACCAGTAAATTCTTCGCCAAACCATCGGCCTGCATCGAGCTTTGAGATCTCCAGATAGTTCATATTACTAGCCAGACCGTGGCCATCGGTGGTCCGATCGACAGTATCGTCGTGAAGCAAGATGAGCTCCCCATCTTTGGTCACAGCAAGATCTGTTTCGCAGGTGACGCCTTTGCCACCCATCTCGCGAGCTTTTCTGAATGCAGCCAATGTATTCTCTGGAGCGCCGGCACTGTGACCTCGATGTCCAGCGACGCGAATGGCTTGTATTGTCATTCTTAGTGGATTTACTTTGGACGCCATTTTTCTTGCTGCTACAATGCAATTGGCAAGACGCAGGTTGTATAAGCCCTGTAATCCAGTTTGGTGAAGTAATTATTTGAAATGGCGGACTTCTGAAGAAATGTCGTTTTGGTCCTTGGGAAAGCCCCGATAGATGGCAGCTATTTAGCCTCAAGTCGCTGAGAGCCCAGAAAAGGGCTCGTGGTTCGGCAATAGTGGATTGCTCAGAGATCAAGAACGTGCCTGGAGCTCGGCTCCATAGCCAATAGCAACATTCAGCCATTGAATAGCGTACAATTAGTTGAATATTCCAGGGAACCAAATGGGCGCAAGTTCAGGTGGTGCGCCAATTAAGATGCCGTACTGGTGCTTACAATCTTGCCCCCTGTCTCGGCAAAGGTGGAGTGCTCAGAAGTGAGAATGTCTTCGGCTCCATAGCCAATAGCAGTATTGGAACTTGGACTGTATGAGGCCATTGAGCCAAAAGACTTGCGCTAGGAGGTGCGAGATCTCGTTGACAAGGCACGCTCAACTTTCTCCAACTCTTTGCTTTACGAAAGAGCTGTTACGTCTGACCGCATGGTCAATTGGTTGGTTCTTGATCGTCGTTTTTTATTATCATCATGAAATGCGTAACTTCATCTTAGAGAACTTAATGAGGCGCTCTTGAGACCTTTAGCAGCCCTCCCAAAAGTGTATATTAGGCCGGCTGCACTTGGTCTTTATATATGTCAAAACTCGTCTATCAAGTCTTTGGGCCCAGACTGTATAAGTATTGAGACGGTTCTTGTCAAATTGTTGTTATTCATCGCATCCAGCTTGTTTAATTTGACGAAACACTTCTCATACCAACATCATGAACTTGGCAACCAACGAGGGGTCTGGCATAGCCGACCAACACCATATACACGCTGTCAACTCTGCAGCAAAAAATACCAAAGGTCAACCACACAATTCCAGAATCACCTCGGACAGAGGGATCGCTGGAGATGAGAAAGATGGCACATTTATATCTCCGATAGATGGAACTGTCCATAAGTCACCAGTGGCGGTATCCAAGTTGGCGGACCTGAGTGCCGACGCTAGCACCGCTGCCGACAGTGAACGAAAAATGAGCCTACTAGAAGGTATAAGGTTATACCCAAAAGCCATATTCTTCTCATTTGCTCTTTCGCTGGCCGTAGTCATGGAAGGCTATGATACATGGCTGTTGAGCAGTTTCTATGGCATGGCGGCGTTCGCCAAGAAGTACGGTCAATACACTGGCCTCGACAAAGAAGGCAACCCAACATATCAACTCAGTGCCACATGGCAGAATGCTCTCGGAAACGGAACTAGCGCCGCTCAAATTATTGGACTGTTCATCAATGGTATTGTTGCGGAAAGGATTGGATACCGCTGGACTATGATTGGAGCTTTATTCGCCATTACATGCTTCATTTTTATACAGTTCTTTGCTGTTAATGTAGAGATGCTTCTTGCTGGATATATCATGTCTGGGTTGCCATGGTAAGTTTGGAAGCGTTTCCTATCTGTTCTGGGCACTGACTCAATCCTTCAAGGGGCGTCTTCCAAACCTTGACGACAACATATGCAGCAGAAGTCTGTCCGGTTCCTTTGCGCGCATATCTCACTACCTATGTAAATCTCTGCTGGGTCATAGGACAATTAATTGCCTCCGGAGTCTTGAAAGGGTTCGTATCTGGCGACACTGAATGGTCTTACCGTATTCCGTATGCCATTCAATGGGTGTGGCCCATTCCAATCGCCATAGCTACTTTCTTCGCTCCTGAATCACCATGGTAAGCCGAAAAATTACTCGATTATACCATACATCAAACATACATGCACATCTAACTTTACTTGGTAGGTGGCTCGTACGTCACGGAAAGATAGAGCAAGCTCGTGAAGCTCTCCTCCGCCTTACTTCTCAGAAGACCAATCCGAATTTTAATGTCGAAGAAACTTTATCTATGATGATTCATACCCACCAAATGGAGATTGAGCAAACATCTGGCACCTCATACTGGGATTGCTTCAAAGGTGTTGATCTTCGCCGAACAGAATTAGCTGTCATGACATGGGTGATCCAACACACGTCCGGCTCACCCATGATTGGCGCTGGCACATATTTCATGGAACAGGCTGGCCTCTCGCCCTCCAATGCTTTTTCGCTTGGTGTTGGTCAATCCGCAATGGCTTTCGTCGGTACAGTTGGGTCATGGTTTTTGATGCCACATTTTGGCCGCCGAACGCTGTACCTCTGGGGACAAATTCTCATGTTCACAATTTTGGTGACTGTTGGTGTTCTTGGGATACCAAAGCTCAATTCCGGTATTAGTTGGGCTACCGGCGCACTTATTCTCATTCTCACCTTTGCCTACGACCTCACAGTTGGACCAGTCTGCTACTCACTCGTGGCTGAGCTACCATCAAATCGCCTTCGAATCAAGACTGTCGCTTTATCGCGCAACTCATACCTTGCCTCTGGTTTCGTCACTAGTACTCTTCAGGCGCGTTTAATAAACCCAACTGCCTGGAATTGGCGTGGAAAGGCAGCTTTCCTCTGGGCTGGAACCAACTTGGTTGGCATTGTTTGGACTTATTTCCGTCTGCCAGAACCTAAAGGTCTTACCTTTGCTGATATTGATGTGCTCTTTGAGAAGCGCGTTCCGGCGCGTAAATTCAGCAAATTCGCCGTCGATCCATATCACTCTGATGATATCGCTTCCATTGAAGAGGAAGAGAATGTCGGTGATAATTATGCGAAGAGGAAATAATACTGGGGCACGTCGTGTTGTATCTTCAATCTATATTCGTAGGAGCATGCACAACACGGGATAAATCGGCGGCTTACATGTGTAACTAAACTGATGCAATGTAGCCATAGCTACTTCTATCGATCAATTATATTTCAAGCCCTATTCTATAACAATCCCAACGCTAATTTTGAAACGATGCAACCACTCTAGATTATCTGCCACCGTCTGATTCCACGGATCATCACTGAAAAACGATTAGCGGAGTAAAAGGACTACACAAAGTGATAAGTTACTTACTCATCATACACTAGAAAGCGAGCATGATGCTGAATCTCCTCGTCGGACGGCACATGGGAATTTGGGTTATTGGGAGACATAATAGAGGTAACCCAGCGGCCCAACTCCCGGCCTAACCACTTGTATAAATTGGGATCATGGAACATATAAGACCCGGTCTGAAGGCCATCGTTATGTCTCCGCGAACCTCCATCCACATGCTTCATAAGAAACGCTGTACTGCTCACTTCCGGATCAGGACTACCAATTGCCCTGGAATGTCTTCCTTGTCCGTGGCCAAAGAGTTCCTCGCTCATCGACGGGGTCATGGTGGGAACAAATGACTCCGATGATAAAGGTATGTTAGCTCCGACATTTGTTGGCGCATGTTTAAACCCAATCGAATGTGAGTCGCTGGTTGCCTCTCCGCTAGATTGCCGGAGAGGTCCAAAATCGTGAGTCCCGATATATAAATGGCTGCGAATTGCGCAAGATGTGACTCCTGGAGTCCAGTGCCCGGCCAAGCTCGTAGATACAGGTGTGCTACCACTTGCAGTGAGTGGAAGAGACGAACGTTGTCGAAAAGAGTTGAGCCAATTCGTGGGCGACGAGTAAATTAATGTCATAAACCATGTGAAAACGAAATCGGTTAGGGGCAGCTGTAAGGCTTGTTGCATTCGCGTGATTACTTTACAAGCCTCGGCCTGTAGTATCTCGTCGGAAATGACGGCCTGGTTAGCCATCGCCTCAGTAACGGCAAAATTATAAAGTTGAGCCTCAAGAGGGCAATCTTCGAATAGCGATTTCTTTCCCCTAATCTCCAAGGTTCGAAGCCTTCCCTCAGACGGTGTTCGTATAGGAAGAAACTGCGCTTGCGTGGCAATCGTCTCATTCGACAAGACTAGGTCACGCAGCCATGATGGTTCGGCGTCTACTTCTAACGTCAACATCTCTGAGGCAAATATTATGCGGCAGGCTTCGATATGCATGGCGTCATGGCTGGGAAGCTGCCTGGCCTTGTACTGATATGTTTCGACAAAACACGAGAGCTCGACGACGAGTAGTTCGTACGCGGTGCGAGGGGATTCCGGAGAAACATCGCTTGCTTCGAATGGAAACATGCTAGTACTCTCTTTGCCAAGGAGATCTTTATAAAAAATGATGATTAGCTTGCATCAAAGAGGAAGTAGGATGGGACGTCTTACAAGGTGGAATGGCGTCCTCAAGCGTATCTGTGATGGCATCTTCAAAACCCCAATCACCCGTCCAGCTAGCCATAGTCTTGCCCATTTTAAAATGGTCGGCCAAGTGTTCAACCCGATCACCCCATGAATCTAGATAAATCTCGCAAAATCCACAGCGTGATCGAATGTTTGGGGTAGATGTTTTCCAACCGGTTGTCACCGCGTTTGCTAGCTTCGCCTTGTGTACCAAGTGTAAGTGTTGCTTAAGATGGTCTTTCCTATTAAATACTCGTTCTTGGCACGAATATGGGTTGTGGCTGTTTATATGACCATCAGTTGGCTCTGATTCGCCACAGAATACACAGAGCGGTCGGCCAGTTTCGGGGTTGATGGCGCGCGGTCCGTCAGGGGAACACAGCCATCGTTCAAGAGGTATATGAAGAGTTTTTTCATGTCTCTGCCAGTCGTATTTCGTTTTGAATGTTTCTGCGCAAAAGGTACATTGAAAAGGATACTGCATCTTACCGACACGAGACCTGTGCGGTCTTGACCGTAGCTTGCGCTTTCGACGTGGCCTGCTACGTATCAGAGCTGGAGCCCCCGTAACAGAGTCACTGGAACCATAAGAGTATGCTGAAGCAAGTGAGCTACCACTCGAGGTCCGATAGCTGTTGTCTGATGATTCGTTGATAGACTGGCCGGACTCGTCATCTATGGGCGTCGACAATGGCCAAGCTTGGTGCACAAGTTAATTTTCATTCTTGCGCGTTGCTCAATCAAAGAAATAGTCTAGATACGTACATTGTGATGATTCAGCACATTGAACTGCATTGGCAATAGCAGTGACCGTTGCAGGCTCACTCTCTGGAGGAGAGTCAACCCAGCGTTCAAGAGGTCCCATGGTGCGGCAATTACGCCTCTTCTCAACTGTCGGCGTATCGGGTCGTCTGGGGATATTTATCGACGGTGTATTGGAATCAATTGCGGCCGTTGCCTTCTGAGAATATTGTGTGCTGTGGTGCATCTTTTCTCGCCGCCTGGTATTAGAGAGCCAGTTACTGATCTGCGTCTTGGATAGACCGGTCTGGTGTTGTAGCATCTTCATTTCTTCTTTACTCGGATATGGATAATGATAGTGGTTTAAAAACCACTGTTTTAACAGCTTGGATGATTCCCTAGAGAAGCGCGAGCCTATCTTTGGGGGATTGACAGAGTTGCTATGCGTATTACCATGGTCTGACCCTACGGATTGAGGGCCCGATTCCCAACCCGCATTAGGGAGTGGCGATCGAGTCGTGAAAAAATCATGGGCCAGAGAGGCGAAATTTTCCTGAGCAATAATTTCATCGGCCGAACCCAAACGGTGACTTGTTAGTGGAACATGATGAGCGCTAGAATGGACACTCGATCCAGCTACAGCATCAGATGCACAGGGTGCCGCCATTGCTACGTGTCCCAAGCCCCAGAAGTCATCGGAGAGACTGTCCGGGTTCATTGACTGATCTGTATTTGTAGGCTCATAAGACTGCTCCGAAAATGTCTGGTTTAAAAGTTGAGTTGAGATGCTCTGCTGTGTGGGATCGTCTTGGTGCAGTGAAGTGGATTGATCCGTTTGCTCCGAAGCTGGACAAGTGTCGGGATCCGGGGCATCGTGAGGCTGGACAAATTCACAGTCAGCCCCCGACATGTCATAAGAATTGCCGATTACTGATGAAATACGGTTGTCAAACAACAGCGTAAAGTGACGATCGTTCAATGAGACGGAACAAAGTAATCGTAAGAGTGAGAGTCAGAACATGGGACCTAGAGGTGGCGCTTCGCCACTTCGGATCTCTAGTAGTCCATCCACCGAGACCCCCACCTGAGTCAAGAAAAACGGAACGGCAAAATGAGTTTAATCTTCTTAAGGAAGAGCTTAGCTATGGAAAAGGGACATTTAACGGAGAACTACCAGCCAACATCAATACATTGGGCCGAGTTAAGTTATTCACGTGTAAACAGACATATTCGGCCGACATGTAATGACTAGTCCTCGATAATACGAATGACACTTTCAACAAGTTCCCTCAAATGCGACTGTTATAGTCACTTCTAGTAGTTTAGGGGTCCAATAATGATAATGAGTTTAATCACGCTTTAATCCAACTCTTCCAGTATTCCGTAGACCAATTGCACCCCATAAAGTACATAACATCATGAAGCCAAACATGGTCCAAAAGCTCGCTCTCAGGCCCTCCAGCCTAGCCATTGGCAGAATCTTGTCGCTGTAATCCTTTGTCACAAGTGTTGAGACAATTTGCATTATGCCCAAGGTAAGAGCCTGGCCCAGTTGGCTTGCCGTGTTAAACACAGCGCCCGCCAATGCCTGCGTGTTATCGGGAAAGTTGTCCGAAATAATAATGAGGCCTACTGTGAAGAGAACATCGGTGCTCATAGGCGCTAGCACCTGTGCAATAAAGGCGTTGGCCCAGTACGGGGATTGCACTTTAATTACTGCCATGAGAAGGGGTGCTACTGAACAAATGATGGAAGACACAGTCACGATCCACAGCGCAGGCACTCTGTGGACAAATAAGCCTGTAGTGACGTTAAGAGCAACTCCTACGAGCAGACTTGGCATGATTCTGAGACCAGTCTGAAGAGGAGAAAGGTGCTGGACTTCTTGGAAACTATGCACATTTTTGTTAGTAGGTAACAGCGTTGGAACTGCATGGTTGTGACTTACAATAAACTGGCAAAAAGCTCCATACACGTCGTCACACCAAAAGAAAGAGCCACTGTACCACAAATGCTAGAAAATGCCGTGTCTTTCCATAGAGCATTCGGAATGAGTGCTGGTTTACCCAGTTTGACTTGACGATGGACCCAGCCAACAAACAAGGGCAATGACATAGCGATTAAGCAAATGAACACGATACTCTTTGGGTCTCGGATCCTATTAATGTCCACACTGATGGCACTGCAAATTTATGAGCCTATGAAATACGCACCAACCAGGAGAGTGAGCTTACGCAAAGAGGTATGATAGCAATGTCATGAAGATAGAGGCAAGCAATGCCCCAACCCAATCCACTCGCACTTTCAAATTGCGCATAGTACCCTTGAATGTTCCTTCATTCTGGAAGTTTGGCAAAGCCCAAGCGGCGACGACAGAGAGTGCAAGGGTCAGGCCTCCATATATGTACCAAGCTGCCCTCCAACCAATGAGATCTTGAAGGATGCCTCCCAGAACCAGGCCGAACGAGAAGCCCAACGGCTGGCTAAGACCAAGGCAGGAGAAGGCAAAATTGCGCGGCCTTCCACGTGGAAGTGTATGGGTTACAATAGCGACAGACGACACCAGATGCATGGCGTAGCCGATACCCTGCAAGGCACGCATCACGATGAGCTGAGGGCCTGTTTTGCACGCACCTGCGGCTAGTATGAATGCACCCGTCACTACACCACCGGCAATATTGACAGGTCGCGGTCCTATTGAGTCTGCTACAGAGCCAGCGAGGAGGATTGTGGAAGCGTTTGCCAAGCTGGAGACTGAAGTTGGCCAAAAAGCCAGTGACGGATCCAGTTTGAGATCGGCGGTGATGGTAGGTAAGCCAACGACGACAAGACCATTCACAGCGCTCGAAGCGAAGTTGACGCCTGAGAGCTGTATAATAACCGCCAGTTTGCGGAGGAGAGACATTCGTGGAGCTTCATCATCGGATTCGGGAGATTGGTTGGCGCTGCTGTATTCCAGTGATTGCCGTGAACTAGAGTCGATTGCGGTAAGAGCCACAGTACATGTTGCCATATTTACTGACAAATGTACGACCCCAAATCTCAAACAAGCTTGGTGTGTCTCTCAACCAACGATGGGATGCAACCCAAGATATATCGCTGCAGATCGAATCAATATTCTCTTGGGAAACCCAGACAAAAATAAACAACATACGAGTACAACACTGACCACAGCTTAGTTAGTGGACCAGTCTCCGCTTGTATGCATAAGGCGTGCTTAACACCCTGCCATGTTTGCGCTAGATTGTATGGTTAGTCCCAAGATGGTTAACATAAGGCGTGTTTAACATGATGCTGTAAGATTTCTAGTGGAGATTTTCAGGCGTATTCAAAGCGAAAATTCGCCCGTATGTATGTAGGGTATGTCACGGCCAAGATGGTAATATTCCATTTCTCCTCCATTTTATTCCAGAAACGAGGAAGAGAATTTTTCGCATGGTTTCTTGGCATCGATCCTCAGTTATTGGGAAAACGGGGAACCTTAGTCTGCAGGCTTATGGCATATAACTAGATACGTCGAGCTTTGGCGTGCTGAGCTTTGTCGTGCAAAGCCATAGCACTAGGCTGCGTTATCTTACGTAGAGGCAAGGCTGACTTATGCATCCCAGGCCCAAGAGACAATGGGATAAAACACTACTGTCAATATCATTGCACGCAAGTTAATGATAAAACATGGAAGACTGCTTTTCTAAAGGCAAAGTTATTACTTTAGAGCAGGGACTGGATCTAAAGAATGTTTATGCTGACCAGATGTTGACTTTTATGTCAAGGAAGGAGTCTTACGGGGCATTGCGAGATCTTTTGTTGAAGATGTAAAGAAGTGGACAGATGAAGCTTAGATTGTGTAATTATAGTTTGCTCTCTTGTTATCTATTGTTACAGTTAGGAGCGAAATCGCCGTCCTCTTTACATCCTTTGCGGATTTCTAAGGACAGACAACCGGTACCTACATTTATATTATCCTAGTGACTTCACAGTAAAAGCATTACTGTGTACTGTAGCGTTCAGTAGATAATGAGTGGCTGTAGATAAAGAAGTATACATGTAATTAGGCGCATGACGATATAGAACCGTCATCAATTCTTGCACAGTCGAAACCCCACCCCCAAACTTTATCATAAGACCGTAACGAGCCTTTAAAAACCTACCTCCCTTGAACCTCGATACCTTTTGAGGATGCCTCCTATTTATAGACACAGTTATTTACTTGAAACAAAAATGGTGTCTCATTTTCCCTCTTCAAAGTCGAGTGCCTTCCTAGCTGTGCCACTGGAAATTCGCAGGCAGATCTACCGATACTGTATCCCACAAAAACTTCGCTTCGATGTTTCCAGTGACATGCGCTATCAAAATCGCCCCGACCCGCTCCATGAAATACATGATTACCATCTCCATGACTTAGAGAGTGGTGGCATTTCTTTGATGGATAGTGAGGATGATGAAGAGGGCGAACATGAACTTTCGACAGATACTGATGACGAAGAGATTATATATAATCCTTTTGTGGAGGGTGGTCGTCAAAGTGCCTTACCCGGACTCCTTCTATGCTGCCGCCAAATTACTGAGGAGGTAATGGATATGTTATACGGAGGGAATACTTTTCAAGTCAATATTCACGGTGACGGCGAATATACTCTCGCTCATTTATTCAATTCCAAGACCAGAGAGAAAATACGCAAAATGGTCCTCATATTACGGCCCATGGGAGTCTCCTACCACCGTGATTTCCACATGGACCCGAATATTTGGGATGGTATTCTCGGTAACCTTTCGATACTAGGGGTTATTGCGGAGCAGCCAGAGTCTCTCTCTCTACGCGAATGGCCTAAAGCAGAAGCGGAGAATGCCTTGGAGGAATGGACTGCATGGATAACACCAATATTTGAGTACCTAGGCCGGGCTCTTCATAGAGAAACCAAAATCGTGGTGGATGCAAATGAGGAAAAGGAGACGGTACAGGTATTAGAAAAGGCAATACCAGGGCGATCTCGCTTTCAGCGCCTACCCATGGCCGATATCATATTTAAAAGAGGGAGGTTCTCTCTAGAGTCAGGATACTGGGATGACAATGACGATGGTCCAACCAGCTGTAGGGACATCATCAACGACTGCGACTATGACTACTACTATTCCGACTGAGCCTGGAGGCTTGCCACTGATATGTCTTGATGTGGAATCCGGTTAATCCACAATATTCGAAATGCAATGTAGGGTGTACTTTAAGGTACTTCCACGTCTTTTACTATAATTTATTGTTAGGCCAATGAATTGAATCCAGCAGGACATATTCTACTTGATTACTTACTTTTCGTCGACTAATTATCCCTAGCAAACAACCACACAACCCCATGTAACACTCTCTCACATGCTGCCCAACTACCTACCAAGCGTCCTCAATATTCTTCTCAATGATAGTATTCCAATTCTCCTGAAGTGCCTCCCTCTCGCTGTCATAAGAACCGTCAAGGTAGTCGTAGTCTAATTGTGCAGCCTTCCGTTCCCAGTATCGATCATCCCTGTCTACTGAAAATTAGTTTCGTTCATATATTGGTATTACACGTTAACTTACCAAGTAGAACTTGGTTCGGATTTGTTTGATCATTGATCGCAGCTGCGGGGATTCGATGAAGACAAATATATGCGCCGTGAATGTGTTGCTTAGCCGCATCGGGGATTTGTACTTGCTGATCTTCCACTAGCTCCTTTAAACTGAAGAAAACTGCATCTTCTAATACCTCTGTGTTGATGGTAAATAGAGTCCATTGCTTGGTAACTGGATATGGCCGTTGGCCCTGCCAGGGCTCTTTAAGTCCCCAGTTTTCTGCGTGTTCACGCCCAGAGAAAAGGCTGATAAACGGTAGAGGACCTCGATAATCCCAACTAAACTGTCTCACTATATCCTGTTTGAATTCTTCCTCGCTATCTTCATTATAAATCTTAGTATTATCCGCGGCTAGGAAGCCTCCATTTTCGGAATAGGTGGTTCGACTTTCAGGATGGTGGATCCGATAGAGCTTCCCTGGGAGACGCGCATTTGGGCAACGATATTTCTTCATCTTTACTATAATACTGCTTAATGTGGGATGAGAGTTCAAGGAGACAGAAAAAGCTGGTCCCTAGATCATTGGTTTCGTGAGTGATCTGTGGATTGCCGTTCCCCATTCCAATCCACGTCATCTTGTTTAAGTACACCGAAACTAGCTGAGATACATAGTGCAGAAACGCGTTCATACGCACTGTAAGTATCACTATGCACACGGAGTACACTTAACAGAGTTTATTTAAAAAGGACACCCTTTTCGCTCCCAACTGTATATATAATATATATGTTATATGTGCTATTTAATGTTCATAAGGCTCCTCGACAGATAGTCCAGTGTGCCAAAAATGATCTCAAATGTTGCGTACCCACATAGGCAATGTTGTGGGACACATGGCTCCACCTGCCGCTGTTCGACACGCCCTGTGCTATTGCATTTGTAAGTTCTAGAAGTATTCCTTAAGCCTCTGTCGATAGAAAGGCGCGTTCAGGTAAAAAGAAAGCGATGAGATCTATTCTTTTGGACAAGGTCCCGATTAGGCTATGGCAGTTGTAAACTATATAAGATTCTTGGGTCTGAAGATGATAGAGCTTCTACAATTTTTCTGTATTCTCTACCTTTTCGCCCGGTCATATTTTGGTCTGTGTGTCTTTCATTCATAAAGGCTCTTACATATCCCAAGCAACAACGAGCCACCTTTTGCTGTTTATTCAGGATGACCGTAATCAGCACCATGCAAAAACTTCTCAACGCTGCTCATGTAGCCCCAGAAATCTTTGAGCTACGTCCCGATTATCGCGCCCTGTTGATGGTTGTTGAGGGCATTCGCCCGGGCCCTAGTGACGATGCCAGCGAGACTCTTTTGCGCGAGGCGGAAAAATCTGTCAAAGGACTGTTGTCGGAACGTGCAGTTACTGAACTTCCACATGTCGCCGCGTGGCGCGAAACCTACAAGGCCTTTGGAGCGAAGCCTCAGAAAACACGCAATAGCCTGGAAGCACTGAGTCGGCGTGCAGAAGGCGGCCTTCCGCGTGTGAATCGATTGACGGATATTTACAACGCTATTTCCGTGAAGCACCAGGTCCCCATCGGCGGCGAAGATCTAGACAAATACAACGGATCACCGTTTCTTACCCGTGCCAGCGGACAGGAACCGTTTGAGACCTTCTCTGGTGGCCAGGCCCAAAGCGAGTGTGCCGTGCCAGGGGAGCCTATTTGGTGTGATGATGCGGGCATTACCTGTCGTCGCTGGAACTGGCGCCAAGGCCCACGGACTGCATTAACAGACGATACAACGCGTGTGCTGTTTATTTTAGATGCATTAGAACCACTTTCAGACGAATCTCTAGTCCAAGCTGCTGACGAGCTGGCTTCAGCCTTGAAGCTCTTATCACCAGAGGTTCGCACAGCACGGAGAATAATCAGCGCTTCACCTTCGGCTCCGTCTGGCGAGTCTTAGCCATCAGCATGAAGTAAATGAAAGTTAGTATAGCATTTTGTTTGCAGTGGAAGGCGAATTAAGTGCCAAACGATCGGGATACGCGACGGATACCCCCGCTAATTGGACAGCAAGTCGGGTACGCATACAATTCTCTATGTATCTAAGACTAATTCGCTAGGCTTCAATCAGCACTTCCTACATTCCATCTACCAAAATATCGATGACTTGTCGCTGGTGAAGTCTAAAATTACTCGTCAACCTTTGAACCTGCAATTCCACGATCGAAAGGGCAGTGGTGTCTTGATTATACTATATAGACCCGATCGCGCCAACGGATCAGTGCAGGCTCTTGACTTTCGCTGCAAAGAGCCGGAGAGGAGACATTTATCAGCGTTATTGCGCTATTGGAAAGGATAAGAGCCAACGAAATCTTGAGAAAGACTCCACAGTCAGTTTGAGAGACTTGATGGACAGGCCAGAGGAGGAATTGTCTTCTCGCCTTCAGCCTCTACAGACTGCTCTGAACGTTTGCATACAGCAACACCAAGGAAAATGCGACAGGCAGCGACATACACTGTTACCGACGACAGCTGAGCCTTCTCAGGGTATTCAAGAACCTCGCGGCATCAAAGTGATTGATATAAAAGAAGAGAAAGTCATAAAGGCTTTGCCGGGTTGTCGTTATATTGCGCTTTCTTACGTGTGGGAGCCACTCCCGGCCGGCCAAAAACCTGATGAATACAAGGAGGATTCACCTTTGAACCTTTCACGCCTGCCTCGAACCATTCTTGACGCGCTCGATGTTTGTCGAGCCTTGGATGAGAGATACTTATGGGTTGATGCGCTTTGCATCAATCAAAAAGATGAAAGAGATGAACTCCAAATTGGCCAGATGGACAGGATTTACAGCTTTGCAGTTGCTACAATAGTAGCAGCCTGTGACAAAGAAGCCACAGAAGGCTTACCAGGCCTTCGGTCCCGTAGCTCGGTACGCTCAGAGCCTCCACCAGTCGATATCTTGGACGGGACTCTTTGGAGCTCGAGAGGTTGGACTTATCAAGAATTTGTTCTCTCTCGACGGCTTCTGCTCTTCACTTCTGCTGGAATATATTTCCACTGTGCCGGAAGCAAAAACCACACATTGAACGGATGGGAACTGCCAAGCATAGGTTTCGCCACTTGTTGGCGTGCTTACAACGAGACGCTTGCAATCTACTCAGGACGAAGGCTTGGAAGGAAGTCAGACACCCTGAACGCTATTACTGGTGTACACAGAGTATTCGCTCGCTACACGGATGACACTTATCTGTGTGGCTTACCCGCACGGCAGATTTTCTATGCCTTGCTCTGGCAACCACTAGCAGTTTCAGAACGTCAGCCAAGTTGGCCAAGCTGGTCGTGGGCTGGATGGACGGGCAGTGGTGATGATCTGTGCGTTGTTGGAAATCCTTGCCAGGAAGCGGTCACCGATCAGTGGGGTGATTCCCCTGCGAGATGGGGAAGCACTGGCCGGGTATTTATTCCTCGACTGGAGAACCTTAGATTCCAGGCTTCGAATGGTATGGAATTAGACATCCCTCTCTTCCCGGATGACGAGGCACTCAAACAATACTTGAGCAGTCAGCATGATAAAGCACTACCAGCTCTAGCAGAAGACCGACCTTTTTGGGAATCCGGATATCTGAGGTTCAAAGCAACAAGCAAGCAATTCTCCATCACTCCCGATGTCAGCAATCCTGGGGTGTCCAAGGACCATCCAAGATTAAAGAGGTGCCGGATATTAGATGGTGACAGATGGATAGGAACCATTTTCCTAAACCCGGATGGTGGTGGCAACTATCCAGACATCTCAGGGCCTTGTGAGTTCGTAGTCTTGACGACTTTCAAGGCCTATAACCACAAGATCGCTTCTTCTTTCTTAGAAGGACTCCTAGACATGTCTGTTGAAGACAAAGAGCCAGCCATATTCCCAGAGGAATACTACCAGGCAGGCCGTGCCCAGCAAGAGCGCCAATTCCGGATGTGGATGGCTGGTAAATTCCATTCAAAGAAGGGGTACATGACCAGAGGGGGAAGTAATTGGGGGAGAACCTGGGAGTCGGAAAGAGACCCCCATAGGGGCATGCCATATCCTGCGCACTTTGATTGCTCGCATGTTATGTGGATTGAACGAAAAGGAGACGTTGCTTATAGGAAGGCAATCGGTATTGTTGGTGGAGACCATTCGCACGGGTCGTCCTTGGAGGAGTTCTGCTTAGGATAAATCAGGAATTAAGTTGGCTGTATTTTTTTTTTTCTTATTTCGGGTATCCCGGGGATTTTAGACTCAACTGTACCGAAAGCAATATTGCAGCGACGAGTAATCACGATAGGTAGTAACTGATAACTCTGCTACATGGGCTGGTGCGATCACAGGATCTCGGTGATTTATCGCCGAGGGCTATTCACCTTTCACGTCGTCTCTTCCGATCGACTATTTTAGCTTCATCAATACTTGATAAGGTTGTTCTTTTTCACACTATATATAGGTGTCGTTTTATCATAATTACTCTCTTGATTTGCCTCCGACATAGATATTTTGTGTCCCGGTGCTAGCTGGAGCCTTCATCTTATAATTCTTCCACACTTCTATCAAGTAAAGTGCTAGAGGACAAACCCAACCCTTGGGCCATCGTAGAAAGACGATTAAGAAAGTCAGCCACGCTCTAGTTCTAGCCTAAAATATGGGGTAGCGTAAGGTTTAGTGTGTTTCCTGTCAACGCTTCGAGATAGCATATCTCCAGCCCGGGGTTTCGGCGCCGAATCGCCATCATCCTGTGATGCTTGTAAGTGCTGATAGATTTGACAGCACGTATACGGCCAATCTGGATACAAATGGAATGATGACCCCATGGGGAAGTTAAATGAGCAAGCCAGATCGTTTATCTATCCGGGCTTCGTGAAGATATTCTCCTCTCGATCCTACAATACTCCACACTTCCATTTCACACTTCCAACAGAGAACACCCCTTTGAAGTATGGAAACCTCGCCGAAACCGACCTTTGATCAAGATGAAGGTGTCATTGGCACCGCGATACTCGCGGATGAAGCCAACCAAGCTCCGACAAATGGCCAAGATGGTCAACTCAAGAGAAGCCTCAACAGCCGGCAAATCAACATGTTTTCGATCGCCGGCTCTATTGGCACTGGACTGCTGATTGCAACGGGCTCTGCTCTAGCTAATGGAGGGCCTGCATCGATGCTGATAGCGTTTGCTATTCTGGGGTTCATCTGCTACAACGTGCTTGTTGCTTATGGAGAGATGGCAACGGCCTTTCCCATGGACAAAGGATTCAGTGGATATGCGGCACGGTTTGTAGATCCTGCCTATGGGTAAGTATTCGGCTATTCATGGAGATCTAATTATGGTTAACTAACGAGTTACAACTGGACATAGATTCGCCACAGGATTGAACTACTTTTGCAAGTATGCCGTTCTTTTAGCCAACAACTTGACAGCATCCGGCCTCATCATGCAGTATTGGCTGCCTCATGTCAATGTTGGCGTCTGGATTGTCTCATTTGCAGTTCCAATCATTTGTATCAATGTGAGTCTCGATCAACTATCCAAGCCAAACAAATAGAGCCTAACAACCACCTAAGCTTTTCCCAGTCAAGGTTTTTGGAGAAATCGAATTTGTCGCTGCAATTATCAAGACTCTCGTGATTCTGGGACTGATGATACTCTGCTTGGTCATTGATCTTGGCGGAGGCCCGAATCATGACAGACTCGGATTCCGCTACTGGAAAGATCCCGGAGCTTTCAATGCTCATCTCGTCGAGGGACCAACGGGGCGATTCCTGGGCTGGTGGTCCTGTATGGTCAGCGCGGGCTTCGTATACATGGGGACAGAGGTCGTGGGTGTGGCCTTTGGAGAGGCAGATAAGCCATGGAAGGTGATTCCTCGCGCTATACGACAGACATTCTGGCGCATTATGTTTCTTTATGTAGGGGCTGTTTTCCTCTTGGGTTTGGTTGTGCCGTACAACAGCCCTAACTTGATGACTGCAACTCACTCAAAGACTGGAGCTGGTATGTTGACGCTATTGCCCTTCTGAACCTCCGGACTCTTATGCATATTTACTCACCATGTAATAGGCGCGTCCCCTTTTATTGTGGCAATCAAGGATGCGGGCATCAGTTTTCTTCCGGGCTTCATCAATGGCTGCTTGCTCGTTTTTGTGTTGAGCGCGGCAAACTCTGGTGAGTGCAGCCAATGAACATGATGGCGCCGCATCGCTAACAACAGGTAGACATATATATCGCATCACGAACACTCTACGGCCTGGCTCGTGACAGCTACTTGCCCCAAGTATTTACCAGAACTTATGGCGCTGTCCCCATTGTGGCGGTTGGCACGGCTTCAATCTTCTTTCTCTTGGCGCTAATGAACGTCACGACTGGCAGTAACCAGGTATTCAGCGATCTTGTATCGCTTGCCACTATTTTCGGCTTATTTAACTGGATTAGCATCATGGTTACTTATCTGTCATTCCGGCGAGGTATGGAGGCGCAAAATATGCCCCGCGCTAGCCTTCCTTATACCGAGTCGTGGATGAAGTTGAGAGTCTCCGCAAGCCTTTTCATTACATGTCTTGTTGTTTTGTTTAATGGTATGTTGGGAATTTACTGCTTTCCGGATTTGTATTGGCAGCAGAGTGGGCTCTAACATATATTCATTCTCTAGGCGTAAACAACTTTATACCGTCGTTTCAGGCGAAGCCATTCGTGTTCGCTTATGTGGGAATTCCTATCCATATTGTGCTCATATTGGGCCCAAAACTCCTCTTTCGATACTCTCGCGTGCAGCCAGCATCAATGGACCTTTTCACCGGTCGAATTGCAGCAGAAGAGAAACAGGCTGCAGAGAGAGAGGAGAAAAAAAAAATTTCTCAAAGGGACTGGCGTGTTTTTGCGCTGTTTCGTCAACGGAGACTAGAATAAGAACAGCCATATGGGCCATGGTATTGGAGGGAGTAAAGTAGTACTGTAGTAGCTAGTAAATTGCACATCCAGCGCTGTTCCTAGACCAGGGAGTCGCATACCGATCAACGCTCATTGCGAAAAATTCGAGGCACATACTGATTCGAATACAGGGCCATCAAGCTGCTCTTAAAATACCCAACTATAGAGGAACTCCCCAAGTTTAGCCCAAAAAAAGCATCCTTTGGTTCCATGGCGTCTGCATATCGCTAGTATCTGATAATCCATCGGGCTCCTACTCCCTGATATCCGGTTAAAATCCGTTTGTTCGGTTTGATCAGAGAGCCAACCGGCCTTATAAAATTCCGAACACATCCCCCGTGGAGGGGAGGCCTGTTTCAACCGCTATAAACAGACGGGGTTATAGTAGATCGACTTTCACCAGCGCCCATTACGCGTCAGCAATAACCATGGGATATAACGGTCCTAGCAAAGGTTGTCGGAGATGTGTTTCTATTAAAGTCAAGGTAACAATGTTTTTTTTCTAGAGATTAAGTATTGCGTTCAGAAGAGTCTCAGGACGGGCCTGGTGTCACTTATCTCAAACTGGATGAACTGTGCTAACCATACCAGTGTGATGAAAATAAGCCTAGCTGCTTGCGATGCAGAAAGGCCACCCAAGTATGCGAGTATAAGGACACATTCGACTTGATTCTACGGAACCAAAGCCATCATGCAGCAAAGACTGCAAAGGCGAAATGGCGACGACGAGCAACTAGGTCTAGGCGTTCTCCTTCGCCTCCAGGGACGGACACCATTCAGTTAGCATCATCGCAGCAAGTAGGCCTATACCCCAGTAGCGTTCCAACAGTCCCCAAGTCGGTTTCTTTGCGTCCATCGCTTCAACATATGGTTCAGTTGCGTTTCCTCTACGACTTTGCAAGCGCACAAGACCGCGCTCCAGAGATCAGAGGCTCGCTCGATCAGATTCCTCAAATGATGGCAGACTCGTCGCCAAACTCATGGTTTCATTCTGCATTGTCGGCACTTTCACTGGTAAACTTTGGTGGCAGGCTCAAATCCCAAGAGGCGAAGGATGCTGCCGTTGTGTTCTATAACGATGCCCTCGGTCGATTTGCAAGCGTAATCTCTAATTCTACTGCTGGGGAAGATCAAGATGGAGGAAGTTCTCTTTGGCATTTTCCTCTTGGGCATCTACGAAGTCAGTCGTGTCTCAATTTTGTATCGTAAACCTTGAATACTAATGGTAATTAGGTCATGACATCGACAGATTTTGATGGGATTTACGCCATTCACTTGCGGGGAGCCATTTCCATCCTGGAACATTTTTGGGAGGGCGGCGAGGGGAGGAAACGACTTGACAAACCCTGTTATGCGCCCGTCCTCCACATGCAAACTGTATGCGTCCCGTTTTCCCTCGACTTCAAGGCCGCAAATATCTAGATGGCAAACTTTTGCTAATCTTTCTTTAGCTCATATTTTGTCTTGCCAACAATGAGCCACCACCATCGTTTCTTGCAGATATGAAACTACATGCAACAAGCGATCCTAGATCCGACTTGACCATTCTTATGCATAGAGCATGTCAAATTCGATATGAGCTCACGCAGCAGTCTTTATCAATCGAAAATGAGAAACCGAATGAAGAGCTACCACAGAAACTGCACCCACGACTTCAGGAGCCTATGGATCTTGATGAAGCGCTGGAAGAGTGGTATCAGCGAAACGCTAGCCGCGGGGAGTGGGCTTCTACTCGAGTTTGCAACGTGAATGCTCAGAGCCGACCACAATGGGCTCGAGATCTCTTCAGTCTCCCAGGGTCTCCAAGCGAAATGCTCATATACGATAGCTTCCTAGCCGCATTATCCACAAACCTCTACCGTGGGACTCGTCTGTTGCTGAATCTCTCTATCCTCGAGTGCACTCACCCAACTGTTGACTCATTACGTTCCGATACTAGTATATCTGGAATGAATGAGTCCATTGCTTCGTCTACTGCTGCACTGCTGATGGAGATCATCAATGACCTTTGTATGACCGTGCCGTCCATGCTTCAATTGACGGCAACAGGTGGTCTGGATGACCCGCAATCGACAGAAGAGCTGTACAGCCTCAGAGGCATGTTAATGCTATGGCCTCTTTCTGCGGCTATGGCGTGTTTGCAAAACAAAAATGTTCAGAAATTGGACGTTGACTTTAGGCGAGGTTGGGTGCAAGGCGTACTCTCATTCTTAAGGGATTCAATGAGTTTGGCAAAGGCACAGGCGTTCATTACAAAGTACAATTAGACCATCAGTTGTCAAGTGGTATATAGAATATACTTAATATGTTTGTTAAATACTGTAATTTCTCTAAACGCAGTTACTAAGTATGAAATGTGCCTTTATGCTGTAAAACAAAATCCCTTATGCCGTGTTTGATACTGAATATCATATAAGCAGTCTCAAATCCCTTCTTCTACTCCATTTCATTATTTATGTTGGTCCACCAGTGCCCATGATTTCACGACCCAGAATGTGGTATACTGGCCTTGATGCGGCGACCATGCGATGCAGATGAGACTGGTACAGATGTAGTCCTTCAAACTGCCTCGTAATGTCGTCTATTCACTTTCTTTCACCACCGTTCTGGTCTTCTCTAACCGGCTGCCAATTTCCTTCCATCAGAATGCGGACCAATACGGCTATTGCTTCAACCAGGTCTGCAATATTGAGAGAGTCCAGAAGTGCACGCCAAAAGGGCATACGGTGGCATTGGCCATCGATGTTTTTGGGCGCATACTCCTTCGTTGAGAAAGACCACATGAAAATAATCGTGAAAATCCACGCCTCTATACAGGTCAGAGTAGCAGGAATGCCATAATACAGGTCATTGAAAGTAATAGACGCAGTTGGGTGAGAGAGTCGGCCATTCAGTAACCCAAAGAGGATCAACTGTACAAACTGAAGGAAAACGAAACCTTTAAAGGTCCACAGTTTGGCTCCAGGCTTGCGGGTTGGATCAATGTGTTCCTTCATCCGGCGCTCGAAGCGAATGACATGCGGCACGGCCAACACAATTGACACAACATTTATGATCTCGCACCAAAGATGTGCATGGCGCGGAGCCAGCGAATTGACGCAGTACACTCCAGCGCCTTGCGTGGCAATCTCCACAATCGAAGAAGTTGTCTTTGAGATTGGATATCTGTAATGCAATTTAATTAGCAAACGCGATAAAGCTCTGGCTGCTTCTGACATACTGAAAAACGAAGACGCAGGTACGTTTGAACCAAGTCACATCGCCGCCCGCAATGCTGGCCTCTCTACTATATGGGTCTTCAAGCCGATAAAAGAGTTCCCGCCATGAGTGGCTACCAGGGAAAACATAATGAACGTAGAGTATGAAAATGGCGGGAATGGCGATGGATTCGTAGATCTCGGCCAATGGACGCAAATATATGGACGTCTGGTAGAATAGTACAGAAAGAAAAGAGAATATGGCAAAGACAGTAGGAACCAAGATTATACGAATTATTTGTCGCTGCTGGATCGGAGCGGTGTATCTGGCAAGATGTCTCGTAATGTGGATGATGCTGTTGAGAAGAGTCAGGCCAAGAAAGACGGCCGAAAGAATCTTCAATAGTGTGTGCGTCGTGATGCCAATGCTTAAGACGTCTCCATTATCGTCCGTGGTAGGGCGAGCGCAAGAATCATCATCATCATTTCCTCTGGCAAACAGGAGAATACGAGATGACTGATCTATGGCGACCATGACGGAAATAAAAAGATATAATGATGAGACAAAAGATATGGGTTGTTATTCTCAAAGAATCTGGTGTGGGTAATATTCAAAAGTGGACGTGGGTTATAGAATTGAACATGCAAACGCTTCAACAGATTCTCGCTTTTATAATGAGTCTGATGGGCCCGAGTTGTGAAGGCATCTGAATGCTAATTATGCGTCTAAGTTTACTCTTCTACCGAATAACTTGATCTTGGCTTAGTATTTATAGGATTCGAGTTGATCAAATCCTGTCAAACACTCGTAGGGTAATGATCAACTCGTATCGCTATCTCCAATAGGAAAAGCTGCCCAACCGCAAGAATGTCCCCAAACGGAAAAGCTGATCCTACCGCAGCCGTTACCACAAAGGGCAAAGCGAGGCAAAGCGAGCCTACCAGAGCCACAGCCCACCGCAGCGATAGCCACAAATGGAATAGCTAACTAACCGTGGCTGAAGATGTGAGACGACGTATACAAGGTAAAGTTTCCAACTGATATGGAGCATTCTCCAGTTAGTTCACATCATATCTGTGATTCTAGTACCAGCATCATGTTTCTGCCTATGGCGATTGACGTGGCGGAGCAGGAGACTTGTCATCGTTCATACAGCGGTATTATTGAGGCTGTTGTTTTTGGCTCTAACTGTAAAGAGAAGAACGAGATCGAGCTGTGCTGATGGTACGCCCCACAAGCATCATGAAGGTGAGTTATGCAGTTTACTGGACAACATAACCGGAGACCATCACCAAAAGTACTTTTTCTATATAAACAAGAAGATAAAGTACTGCATATAGGAAAATGAGAAGGAAATTTAGAAGTATTCAACGTGAATACTCAGATCTTTACCTTTGCTATAGTTAGAAATAGGCCTGTCTGCTAGAAACATGGTCTGAGGAAGCGTGAGTTGCTGTGTTTGTAAGATACCTGTTAATATCTATATATTGACGTCCTACAATCTCTGCTACTAAGCTAAGCTAGGTGAATATTAGTTACTGTAAGAATCAAATTTGTACCATGTTAACCTTTATTATGCTTGTGGGGTGTAAATGGATCAAATTCTAGCCAAGTGTTGCATTTCAATAATACAATCATCTCATGACTAACATTCATTGCGACTAACATCTCTCGTGAGCGGCTTTGGTATGAAGATGAACCTCCGTGACGCGTATACACCGGCGCCTCCTTAATGACTACGAGAATACTAGAGGGAAATGGTGGACTCAGCAGTGCAGAAACATCTTGGAAATGTATATATAGAGGAGAGATCCTACCCAGAGCGATTGAAAAGCAATCAAACAGAATCAAACAAAACCCAATATCATCTCATCATGGGCTTGTTCCATCTTTCTACTTTGGTTTTCCTCTCTCTTCTTGGGGCTTCTTCTGGCACTTTGGCTGGATGTAAGACCGACACTTCACCGACAGCTACCATTGATTCAGGCATTATAATTGGTGTCGCTACCTCTTTGTCTGAAGGCCGATTGCCTATCAACAAATTCCTAGGAGTGCCTTTCGCTGCCTCTCCAGTTCGCTTCCAGCCTCCAGCAACACCTAAACCATGGACTCGCCCTCTAGACGTGTCAAACTACGGTCCGGCATGCGTCCCAGCAGCTTGCTGCCCAGGATGGAATTCCGCCAGCGCAGGTTGCTGCGTGGTCTAATACTCCACCTCCACCGGCTGGTGAAAGTGAAGATTGTCTCAATGTCAATATCTACGCGCCAGTCTCGCCGGGAGCAAAGCCTGTTATGGTCTGGATCTATGGCGGTGGATTTGCACTCGGCTTCAATAGCGATCCTCGTTGGGATGGGTCTTTCATGGCTGCAAACCAAGACGTTGTTGTGGTGTCAATCAACTACCGGACGAATGTCTTTGGCTTTCCATGGTCTCCTCAACTGCCCACTGAGCATCAGAACTTGGGGTAAGCACCGTGAAACATACTAAAGGAGAAAATGAGCTGACTCTTGTAGTTGCCTTGACCAATATTTTGCACTAGATTGGGTGCAACGTAATATACATGCGTTTGGTGGAGATCCGAAGCGTGTAACAATATTTGGAGAATCAGCTGGAGCGGCCAGGTAATGATTATTCCTACCCGTAATTCCACTTCTTGTTGTTGTAACTGTCTGCTAATACCTTGTAGTGTGGATGCACTAGTAACTTCATATCATAAGAATCCACCATTTATTGCGGCCATCATGGAGTCTGGGCAACTGACCTTTTATCCCAACAACCCCAACCCAACTGCCTCTTGGAACAATATGGCTGCAAAGCTCAACTGCTCATCTGCGTCCGACGTGCTCTCTTGTGTGAGGAAGATACCTGCCACCCAAATTAAATCAGTCATTGAGGAGCCTGGTAACTTTGCATTTGGCCCTGTCAGAGACAACATCACCTTCATCTCCCATGCAGGTATCGCTAGAGAATATGGGGAAATCGCTCAGGTGCCGATCCTTATCGGCAACAACTTCCAAGAGGGCCGTCTTTTTGTGGGTGCATACAATTCAACCCAGCAGTATTTGCAAACGGTCTTGCCGCATGTGAGTCAGTCGTTTTACGACAAAGTGTTGGCCGCTTATCCTATTGGCTCTCCGGGCATCTCAAACGAATGCCAGCAGGCAGCGGCCATTGACACTGACTACCGCTTCATGTGCACCGCATCTCAGATCGCCAACTATTCGTCTATTGCAGGATTTCCTACTTGGAGGTACCTATTTAACGCTTCGTTTCCAAATACCCAGCTGTTTCCAGGTGCCGGTGTTTATCACTCGAGTGAGATATCGGAGATATATGGTACATATCCCAGGGGCGATGTTACGACTAAGCAGGAAAAACTGAGCCAATACATGCAAAAGGCTTGGGCAGATTTTGCAAAGAATCCAACACGTGGGCCAGGTTGGACAACGGTATCAAATGTTGCTGTATTGGGAAACTCGGACGAGGAGATGAAGCAAGACGTAGCAGGCACTAAATTTGACAACTTTACTTTCTCGCACAAGTTGCTGGCAATAGAGATGTAGCCCTGACAACCTGTTTCAAAGTCAACTTTACGTATCCAGTCAATCTACACTTCATTTCTTCAATATCAACGACTGATCCCCCCTGTGACAGTTTCTACAACGCCTGCCTGAATGCTCCAGGCATAGTAACATTATTACACGAGACGCAAGATGATACTTATTTGTACAATTTTTTAATCTCATTCCCCCCTCCTAGCAGCCTAATCCCTACGTAGCTGACAATCACTTTCGCATTCTGTAACAAGCTTCTCCGCTCCGCTAGCTCCCGCATCAATGTCCGCAAATACCGCGTCGCCAGTTGACGGTACATGCAATGCAACCTTCTCTACAATCTGTGTATCTTACACCGCAAAAACAATTGAGACGAGTCGAGCGGACACAGCGCATGAAACAAATGAGAATCAATGAGTATCACACATTGTAGCGATTACTACGGGAATACTGTTAACAAAAATGACTAATGTTGATGCCATTGAGGATTTTGCCTCACAAGCCTGCGTTCCGTGCCGCGAAAAGAAGCGAAAATGTTCAAGAGAGTTACCAACATGTTCACTCTGCCGCAGAAACAGGAGACGATGTAGCTACCCTCCTAAGGCTATAACTCCAACTACTAGTAGTGTTGATTCTTGCGGCATGCAAGAACAAGTCAGTTTTGAGTCCCGCTCGATGCACACTATGATCGCCGCTGCTTATGCTTGTTGAATGAGATTGCTAACGGCATACTAGGAGGAATTCCCAGCTTTGTTTTTCTTGGACTTTTATACATTCACCCAGCGCAAGGATATCATATCCACGCCAAAACCCACACTCCCTGAGAATTACTATAAACAACTTGGCAACAGGGAGCAGCTGCGCTCTGACGTCGATACGTATTTCGCTTCGGTCCATGTGTTCTTTCCAATAGGTTCGTATATATCTCTCTCTCGTTTGAATGAAATAAAAGGGCATAAAAAAGATTGAAAGATTTGGGAGAAACTGATTCAGCCTCTCTTAGTATCAAAACTTCGAATTTACCGAGTTCTCAATGGAGATGCCAACATACTCGATCCAGACATGGTTATTCTATCTCTAGCAATGAAGATGCATTGTCAGCCCAGGAAAGAATACGACCTTATCCGAACAGAAATGTATGCTTTGGTGAAACAGGGCTGTTTAGAAGCCGAACAGAACAATGTGCTCTCTGTGAAAATACTACAAGCGCTCTTGCTGGTTGCATTGTATGAAATTGGAAACGCTATATATCCTGCTGCATATCTCACCATCGGGCACTGCGCAAGACTCGGATATGCTATGGGAATTCATAATCGGCTGAACGCGCCTCAGATGTTCTCGCAGCCTGGTAAGAAAGCTTTACGGAGTGAAATTTGTTGATCACAACTGATGAAGATTAGTCTCGTGGGCAGAAGCCGAGGAGAGACGTCGGGTGTGGTGGGCAGTTATTGTGTTGGAGAGGTAAGAAATGTCAACATGCCTCTATTGGTGATAAAGTATTTAAAATATGCAAGATTTGTCAATATTGGCGGAGGTAACCGCCCGTTTGCCGCCCATGACGCAAAATCCGATGATCTACTCCCCATGGATGAGGACATCTGGGACAAAGGAGTATGTATAGGCCCAATCACAAAAAGAAAGGCCCTGCTAAAGAAACCAGGACTTTGTAGTTATTCAACCCTTGGCCGTATCAGAATACGCCACACTGCGAACCTCGGCGTTTGCACGTACATGCCAGGCCTCTCATCTCTTGTCACATGTTCTTCGCCACTTGAACGAAAGAAATGAAGATGTCAAGATACAATATCATGAAGCTATGCAACTGCACCATATCATAAACACCTTTAGACATGCCTTGGATCAGGAGATTGGGAACACAAGCGACCAAATCTACAACCGTGGATGTAGTGTCGCTCACTTTACTGCCATGGGCATTTGCTATAGTGCTCAGATAGCGCTCTACGATGCCTATATGTGTGCCGACGCAGATGGCATGCAGGGAGTTGGGATTCCAGAGCAGTTTGAGATGCAGCACGTCGCCATATCAGGCATCAAGGACACTTTTGTTTCCGTTCATCAGCTCGCGAGCATGATTTACTCGTCGGTTCAAGCGGGTGATATATCAAGATTGAGCCCATTGATCGCCGACAGTTTATACCAGGCAGCACTTCTTATTCAATCGTATATCTATGAAACACAAAATAACGAGTATACTCAGAAAATGACGGATATTATAGAGACACTTAAATTACTTAAAGGTCGTTGGAATGTTTCAGGCAAGTAACCCACATTTCTTCATCATGTACTCCGTACCGCGTTGCTAATAATGTCACAGATGAATATCTCAACATTATTCGCATGGAATTCATACGAACACGCTAGATATTGTTAGTTATAGGGTTTCCATATATTTAGTTAAATATTAGGGGACGGTAGAGCTTGCATACATTCTCAGGCCGTTAATACATATTCCTCAGTCTCCTTTTCCAAGATCTCCCAAAGCTTTTTACCCGTGCCTCGATGATGAAAACCCGCTTCAATGTCTTGCCGTATTTTGCCCACTCTCCCCCAGGGAATAATGTAGACCCCGTTGTTGTCTGTTCCAATTGCATCCGAGAACCCCGCATAAAGCTCAGTCAAAGCACCAAAAGATGGATCATGTAGAACAAGGCCTTCGAATCTTTTGGCCAAAGCCGAGTTGGAGTGACGCTGCAGATTCGTTTTCAGGTGACCTGGATTCAGAGACTGAAGTAGTAATCAGTCGATGTTGAATAGTGACTCCGCAGTATGTGATGCCTTACCACACCGATAATATCTTCATTTCCATATCTTTTTGCAAGTTCCATTGCAAGGAGCACGTTTCCAGCCTTACTTTGACCGTAATATGTCATGGACCCCTTTTCCCCTTTCCATCCTTCGGACTTTCGAGTGGTGATGTCTTCCCAATCGATGCCATCCCCTTTTGGAGATAGCAAACTGTGACCGTCACTACTCACCCACACAACTCTGACGCTCCCTTTCGGAGCCACCTGCGCTGTAGTCAGCAGTATGGGCATGAGCAACTTGTTCATCACAAAGTGTCCCACTACATTTGTACCCCACTGGAGCTCGTAGCCTTGCTTGCTGATGCTTCCACTGGGGACCTTCATCACACCGGCGTTGAACCACACTGTGTGAAGGAGAGTCTCTTGCGCTAGGAAGCTTTTCACTGCTGGAACGACCGTTTGTAAGTCACCAAGATCCATTACCAAATAACGCAACTCCCCATGGCTAGACGCAGCCGACTCTTTTATCTCGCTAATAGCCTTTTCCCCAGACGCCGCGCTTCGTGATGTGATGTAGACCTTTGCATTTTTCGAGTAGAGGGTTTTGGCGAGAATGAATCCGATTCCAGATGTCCCTCCTGTGATGAGATAGACTTTGCCGCCAAGATCCTCTAGATCTTTATCAGTGAAGGTGGGTTTAGGTGGGTAGAATTCGCTGAGAGTCTGGCGAAGAGACATGGTTGTTGAAAAGAAGGGAGGATTGGCAGTAACCGCGTCTAGGGAAAAAAAAAAAAAAGAGTGTGTAAGTCTTAGAAATGAGAGTTCTCCTTCGGGATGTAAGAGAATACTTAAATAATATATTTGGTCTATTAACTTGTACATGCGTAGGGAGAGAGCGCGGACTATGCGGACTGCATGCGGACTGTCATGGATATTTGCGCCGTGTAGACGCGGACGCTAATCGGTAGATAGGGAAGTGCACAAAGCCAAATAATGCTGGTGTCCATATTAAATTGGGAGAGAATCAAGGGTGTAATCGTATTGCATAATGTTTGATTGCATCTCATATGCGTATCACAGATTAATTTGGGACTGCGATTGTAGATAGGCGATGGAATAAACACTGAGCGTGGGTGGAGGCGGGGCGGTTGTCTTGCAGCCACACAGTTTCTTTCTTTGGGTTGAGCTGACCTATAGCATATCAAAGTAGAGTAATATTATCTGGTACTACAGCATAAAACTGTATATGGGACTATCTATGCTGTCTGAAATACTTATGGTGGCGAGAATTTTCAAGAGAATAAGTTGTATTCTGTGCCTATGTTGGTAAAATCAGCCAAGAGGATGGGAGAAATACTCATACAGGCGTAAAAAAAATGATTTGGTCTTATCATCATGATAACGACACCACAAAGTACGAATGAATAAAGAAAGAAAAATATATGCTCAACAAAATGTCGAGACAGCTGCATGTAGATGATTATGTCCATTCATTTTCGTGCAAATTGATATATTACTACAGATTTCTCATGACCTTGTCCCAGTTGGTCGCTTGGCTATAGCAATATCCCGTGGCTTTTATCCAGGCTCATTCGAGCAACCACTAAGCCGGTATGTAACTGCATTGTACTTATACTGACCAGAAGTAGAAGCACTGCATTCTAAGATATACAATTAATGATAGTCATAGATGTATCTCAATACAGCTACGGACTATTTGCTCCAGGATTGGACATTTGTAAAAATCACCTTGGGTAGGTTACCATTCCAGAAGAAGTGAAGAACATGGTATTCTATGTTCATGATACTGGCACTTTACTGAATAGTAATCATTTTGAGCTGAGAGAACGGGCAGTAGAAGACAGGTCTTCCGCGCTCCCCGGCGTGACGTTACCTTGGACGACGCGTAATGAGCGGACAAGACTCGGCTTGTGCAAGGATTTGTGACTTGCGTGCTCCTGCGCCACATACCTACTCGTATTTTTCACGGAATTGCATGCTTCGGTTTCAGCGGTGAGCTTTGAGAAGATCTATACTGACTTGCGTAGAGTGAAGCAAAGAGCCGAGAGAGAGATGATCGAGATAATGGATGCTGCTATAACTTAACTGAGAAGTGATGATATTTCCCCTTAGCTCTTTACGGAACAGCGCTTTCTTTGAAGAAGAGGAGAAAGAAAGCCCTCCACTGCCTTAACGAGAGCTCCGTACATACGTAAGTTTTTTTTTCTTGTTTTAAGTGGAAGACCGGTTTCTAGTGTCGTATTGTTTCCACTACGGAAGTTGTACTAACTCGGTATCTTCCCCGCATCTGCCAGGTACTGAAGGATGCCAAGATGCTACACAGCTGCTGCTTTGAGCATAGCCCTTCGATCCCGCTTCATCTTTGAAAGTGACAAGCAACGGCAGAAGTTGCTTTGAAAGGACGACATGTTATTTAACCGATTATCGATAGCCCTACCTGAAAAGCCAAAAACTCTCCGTTAATATCCCGTAGATTCTCTCGCAATCTAGCCACAAACCGAAGTACGCCGTTGCCGCCGCCCGTTCCGTCCCCAATTAATTCGTCGGCGAGCGTTGCGGCCGCAGCCCTGAGTAGGTCTAGACCAAGAGGCTAATTGGGCGTCTTTAGCCAGGGCGCTGATGGCAGCTTCCAGCTAATTGGGATTGGCAGTCAAGCTGTAACCGAGGCAGATTGGTCTAACTGTAGATGTCCTGGGGTGCTTTTTGCATGTGCTGGAATTATTCCAGAGCTTCTTGCATCACACAATCTGTTCATCACCTTGTTAAGCGATGCGATCTGCTTTGTCTGCAGTTAGGAGAAGAGACAATGGAGTTGAAGAATTCCTGGCTAATCGCCTCGCCACGGGGAATTAGACGGGCGCAAATATTACTGGGTCAGACCGCTAGGGACCACTGATATAAAGATCAATGGATATCTTGACTCGGGCAGACGGTAGATTTCCCCCCTTGCTATCTCCATCTTTGAGGCGGTTCGTCTCATGATAGGGGCACTGGGAATGTGGGCGGACACGAAACGCCACTAAATTACCGAACCGACGTTGTGGCAGTGGACCTCTCTTTTCAGCTCCCGGAATTAAATCAAGACACAAATATTTAGGGGCTCTCCAATTTGTTGGGGGCGACGAGTAATCGTATTACTGGCGGCGGATGAAGTCAACATCTAATACTACAGAGTGAGCGGCCCAGTTGTTTCGATAGCGATGCCAGCCTGATACCAAGACAACCAATGTTTCGATGTTTGAACCTCCTGGTTCGTGAGGGGATGGACCGTGCCTCGGCTGCAGTTGGCCGAAAATCGCTTCCTTCAGGGCTGGAATCCAGTATCTCCGCAAGTGGCTGCTATCCCCTGACATGACTCGTGGTATCCTGGACAGTTCCCCAGTTTTATATCCAAACTCCGATTTTTCAACGCTCGTAGGGCCGCCACTGCGGCAGTGTAAAGTTCTCGAAACTGTTGAGACGAGCAAAGCGAGCTTGAGAAGATGGAGGGAATGCTCCGTTATAAAAGGCATATCGGCCACCGATCAGCATGCTAACTTATATATTAGTCGGCCGTATAATACTAGGGACTATGCGCTGGCGCAGACCCCGTTCGCCCGTGTACTGCAATGTCGACTGCGAGCAGGGGCAAAATAGAAACGTAAATTACCCATGCGCAACGAAAGCTTTACTCGTACCCTTCTGTTGATGCTATAAGACATGTAGTACAGAAGCCGACGACTTTTGTTTACTTCCCGCTTCGTTTGTCAGACGCCGTTTTGATTACACATTTTCCATTTACAACTACCGCCGACCGACCGATCTGCCGGAGAGCGTGAGACGGAATGGCTGAAGTTGTTCCGAATCGTGGCCCACAGCTCATTGCTGTGATAGCGGTGCTGCTGGTCTTCTCATTGACGGCGATAGTGTTAAGATGCTATGTTCGGATAAGCCTCGTGAAGGCTTTCGGTGTGGATGATTATCTCATGATCTTTGCCATGGTATGTAGCAAACCAACTTCCAGGCACGGATTCATAGCTACACAATCCGCAGCTACGAATTACTTTACTCACTCCTCCCCAATCGCAGATATCATTTATCCTGTTCTGTGCTGTTGCTGCCACCGGTGTACATTATGGTACCGGCCGTCATTACTGGGACCTCCAACCAGAGGATATATCAGAAGCCTTGAAGGTGTGTACTCACTTCTCTTCCATGCCTATGATACGATCGTGGCAAAGGGATTAACATATCGCACAGTACTGGTATTTCTGCTACATCTGGTATTGCGTGACGATGATCTTAACAAAGATCTCTATCGGATATTTCCTGCTGAGAATCACCGTCGAGCGGATACACACCTGGATCATTGGCAGCGTCATGCTGGTTACCGTCGTCACCGGCATCATCTTTTTCTTTGTTACAATGCTGCAGTGCGCTCCGGTCTCCTACTTCTGGGACAAGACTGGAAATGGATCCTGCATAAATATCGACGTCATCATCATTCTCACCTACGTATACAGTGCTTTCAGTGTCATCTGCGACTTCACTTTTGCACTGCTTCCGATTGCCCTCATCATGCAACTTCAGATGAACAGCAGGACCAAGATTGCATTGATCCCTATTATGCTTATGGCATGCGTGTACGTTCTGTCTGCCCTTCTTTCATGCCTTGTGCCAAACTTTTACTAAACATCTTCGATATAGTGCGAGTGCTGCAGTTGTTGTCAGATTTCCCTATGTAAAGGACTTTAAGAACATCGACTTCTTGTGTAGGTTGCTACCCTGTAGCTACCATTACCACGAGCCCTGACTAACAGGCGGTTTTTAGGGGCGACCACCGACATTGCAATCTGGTCTACTACTGAGCAAGGCCTAGCCATCACGGCCGGCAGTCTTGCCACCCTCCGACCGCTCTTCAGGAAGATTGCATCCAAGCTGGGATGGTCGACAATGCGATCCACTGGAGATGTCCCGGGCGGTTCTGCGAGTAACCGTAACACAACTGGCCGTTCGAAGAAGAAGGGATCGCGCGACCCATTCAGCCTCGCCACTTTTAACCGAAACGAAGACGACGATGAGGAGGCAAGAAATCTGAGCGAAGACGGGCAGATAAAATTGGTGAACGGATATCAAGGAGGTTTCCAAACAACAATCACCGCTGGACCAAAGTCCGTGTGGAAGCCAAAAGGACGCGGATCAGATAACGAGAGTGAGGAGGAGCTTCGGATGGAGGGATCGAAAGTGAAGAGCTTTCTCATCACTGAGGAGACCATATGAAAACCTTGCCGTACGACGCCTTACCGTACGATAGAGCTCACGACGCAGGCTGTCTGCATTTTCTTGCTTGCTAGTTGTCACGACATAATACCCCAGGCAGATCCAGCAGAGCAGCGGGGAATGACAACAAACATAATTACGTTGGTCGGAAGAGGCTCTGGTCTCAGGATACAGTCATTCTCCACTGCTGCTGTAATAGATCCGCAGCTTGTATCATATATAGAAATACCCAATGTTTACGGTGTAGAAACCAACCTTTAGCGTCCCAGCTATGTCAGTTGCAAAGTTTTCATCTAACGTTCCAAAGAGCTTTGTAAAAAAATTAGACCTACTATCGTTAGTACTGTATTCAAACTCCTCATGCTCATTTACCCCGCCAACAAACTCTGCGGTCTGAAGACAGTTTCGTCTAGCTAAGTCGTCACCGAATGGTGTTTTGTATAATTGCGCGAGAGACGATGCGCTCCAGGTTATAGAACAATATATGTATTTCGTTAGATATATCCCTTCTTATTAGCAAAACATGCCGCAAGAGATGTATAGTGGCAAGCTCACAATTACGGGCGGTATTTGTTTTCGGGGTCTATTCGCAGTCAGTCATGCGGTAGTCCTTCGCCTATCTGCACAAAAAAAAAAAAAAAAAAAAAAAAAGCCTGCTTTTATAGTTATGTCGTCACCGTCGTCCTCGTTAAGGCGATCATCTATAAACTTTGGAGTGGATATCTCTGCAAGTAGCATCTCAATGTACTGCACTGAGTCGCAGCACGACTTAAGGGAATAGAGCTTATATACCTTAGACGTAGTAGGTATGTTGGGTTGAAAGATGTCGCTTTACTTGCTTCCTTTGATGTTTTTATTCAATAAAGAATCGCGCCTAATTATTCCACACGATTGAAGATCTGTTCGCTAGCTTCAATTAGCAACTTCGTAGACTCATCAACGTTGCCTTTTAGACTAGTGAACCGACCACAGGCGCTTATTCTGACAAAGCACCGTAAGCCTTCTCGTTATATCCCGGGTTATTGCCAAGTGACTGACTAGGGACCAATATCCATTTTCGGCGTGGAATATGGATACCAAGGTTCTACCTCCATACTGTCTATGCAGCATCTGAGGTTGCACCTAAGCATTCCATATCTTTATATCATTTAGTAAGCTGAATAGAGACCTATATCCGTTTTCGGTTTAGGATGTTTGGCACCTATCTCTCATTGCGTTCACGGTACTACCCTATCATGTCTATATTCTCCCTTAGGATTGGACAGTATTGGAACCCAAGCAACCAGCTGAGAAATCCGACCACTTTAAACCCTTTGAAATGTCCCAAAACAAAGGCGCTGAATAATGATTGGTAATCTGAACATGTCGCTGAATACCAATAGTGATGATCAATCAGGAGCGAAAACATGCCATCTTTAGCATACCATCATGGATTCAATGCTTAAGATGGACCCACCAAGGACTCTCGGCTTAATGGCAGAAATCGCCATATTTAAATCAATGTTCCTCGCTGTGTTGGGGTAGTCCTCTTTTGCATTTACTATCTTGTACTGTACTATATTGTATCATATCAGCCAGACTTTGTCTCAAGTCTACAATCCACGCAAACAACTAGATCCCAATCTTGAACTAAATACACCGCAGTCATCATGGGATCAATCGCCAAAGATGCGGCTGCACCTTCACAGCTCTTCACACCCTTCAAAATCGGCAACCTGGAAATAAAACACCGAGTCGTCATGGCTCCCTTGACTCGCTACCGCAACGACGAGAACCACGTCCCCTTGCCATTTGTGGCAGATTACTACGCCGAACGAGCCTCTGTTCCGGGCACATTCCTCATCGCTGAGGCGACAGCCGTCTCGCCTCGTGGAGCAGGATACTCCAATCTCCCTGGAATCTGGAGCAAAGACCAAATCGCGTCATGGAAACGAGTCACCGCCGCTGTGCACGCCAAGGGAAGCTGCATATTCCTTCAGCTCTGGGCCCTGGGTCGTGTAGCAGACAAAGAAGTCGCCGACAAGGAAGGCATAAAGATTGTTTCATCAAGCAATATCCCCATGGACAGCGAACACCCAGAACCCGAAGCTTTGAGTTATGAAGAGATCCAGAACTTTGTGGCGGATTACGGTCAAGCGGCGAAGAACGCGATCGAAGCCGGATTCGACGGCGTTGAGATTCACGGCGCAAACGGCTATCTTGTCGATCAGTTCATCCAGGATGTTTCGAATCAAAGGAACGATGATTATGGTGGCTCGATTGATAAGAGGAACAGGTTTGCTTTGGAGGTTGCAAAGGCGGCAACCGATGCTATCGGTGCCGATAAAGTTGGATTCCGAATCAGCCCCTTCTCGACCTTTCAGAGTATGAAGGTGGCCGATCCGTATTCTCAGTTCTCTGCGCTGGTCAAAGGTCTCAAGGCCCTGAATCTGGCGTATCTTCATGTCGTCGAGTCGCGGATTGCAGGTGATGACGCTGGTCACGGCACCGAGAAGGTCGATTTCCTACTGGATGTCTGGGGAGATGATGCCCCCTTCTTGGTTGCTGGTGGTTGGAAGCCCCAGGATGCTCAGGCAGCTTTTGAAGGTCAGTATAAAGACAGGAATGTCGCTATTGTCTTTGGCCGGTACTTTTTGGCTACACCCGACTTGCCCTTCAGGATCAGACGAGGGCTCGAGCCAAACAAGTATAACCGCGACCTGTTCTACGCGATCAAATCAAAGGTCGGGTATCTGGACTATAAATTCAGCAAGGAATGGGAAGAGGCCAGCAAGCATGGCCTAGAGAATATCTTGGCATAAAATAATTGAATAGCCCAGACTTACTTCATTAGATGCTATACCATGAGAGACTCATTATGCATCCCCTCCCGTGTGCAGAACGTATACGTAATATCCACTCTGACCGCAGACTCTTGTATCCAAGATAAAGCCTCGACTCTCTGCCACACAGCGATTCCTTCCATGCTCCGTATCATTTCTTCCTTCTCAGGCCCACCCTCTTCAACCTCGATTACCCGCTCAACTATCCTGGCAACAGAGATGCTGTCCCAAATCGCCTCTCGTATCGTTTGCCGCCGTAAGATACTCAAGACTTCTCGTCGGACGACGGGATGCCGGCACTTGACTCCAATTATGTAAAGCACGGGAAGGACACCAATCTCTGGTGTAAAAGTCGGCTTTAACGACCCCGAATACTGCTCATGCGCTGCCGCTAGATCATCCGCCAAAGCTACGCATTGCTGGAACTGGGGCAGGAAGTTGTCATATTCCATTTCTCTGCCAGCCCCGTAACTACTGATGAGAGTCCATGTGATGATGTATTGTAGGCGCAGCAGTGATGTTAGAGGATAGGCTTCAGAATCGGTATCATGGTAGTTGCCTTGTTGCAGAGTCTTCTCGAAGAGGCTTGACCACGTTTCCAATTCCCTGAGAATATTACCCCTAATTGATGATGGTGGTGGCGGCAGCATCTCACCCGTGAAGTACATTTCCTGCTCCGCATTGCGCAGTCCCATTACACGAGCGACAAGGATCTGGAGGTGGTCGGCGGCTTGGTTAAGGGACCCAAAGGTGTTGTTAGAGGGCAGAAAATTGGACATAAGTCTCTCTTGGACATCAACGGGAGTCCAATCGACCAGGAACGTTGCAGCCTGCGTATCGAGACGACGGATCTGTCTTGTAACTTGGCAGATAAGCGTGCGAACCGCTGAGGTATCATATGTATTGTTGTTCAGGATAGTCTTATCGATGTTGCGTGAGAGCTCTACGCCTCCGCGTAAGTGCTTCATTGCTTGTACGTAGTTGCCTGCCAGATGATCAAAGCAGGTGAAGAGGTAGCAGACCAAAAGCGTAATTGCTGTTGTTTCGTCGCTGTCACCAGATTCTTGGTTCAGGAGAAGCTGAATGGCCCGATTATAGTAAAACAACGCATCTTTGTTCGGTGAAGGTTGGGGCAAACGGTCTCTGGAATTGCGATCCAGGTAGCTTCGGTTGGCCAAGGCCAATGCGATGGCGGCATATCGCACTGATGGCACTGTTTGAGAGAAGAACATGAGAGTCTTCCGCCATGTTTCGTTGGGACGATATTCATTAAGATGTTTGATCGAAATATATTCGAAGAAACCCATTGCCTCTGTTTGCGCTGGCCCAGTGGCTGGTAAGACCATGAGGGGCCCGAGGTTATGCGAAATCAGGTCGTCGGATTTTGCGTGCCATTGTTTTGCCCGATGCCCACAGATCGTAGCGCGAGGGTGATAATTATCCCAGCCCTCTGCTATATCGATGTTCTCGTCCTGATAATGGCTTGATCCAATGTCGGTCTTGAAAGCGTAGGGCATTTCACCATAGCCATCACAGGTGCGACCTGTGGACTGGCATTTCATGCATGAAGGCTGGGAGAGATCGCATTTTATACGTCGGATTCTGAGAGGCGCACCGATGTCAAGTGTCAATTTTCATGTCTGAAATCGCAATTGATCACAATGTAGCAACGCATAGAGCTGAGACTCACTTGCAAGTCTTACAGCCTAGCCTTGACTTTGGAGCGAATTTGCGAGGCTTGCTTCTCCATGCTTGACTGGCTGCCCTGGCGCTTTTGCTCTTAATGTCGTCCATCAAGTTGATGTCAGCTATGCAAATTTTGCAGTAGACAGTTGTCTATTTGTCTGTTCGTACAAGCGGAGAAGTCATCTAACCCATCCTTCGCGATGAAGGAGTTGGACGGTATATAAACGAATCCTGGAGAGACCGAATAACGGGAACACGGGCCAATCGGCATAAATCCTAATAGAGACTAGCATCTAGAATGACAGATATTGATTGGTTAGTTCGTACAGGCGGGGCGTCAGTAAAGGAGATTTCCTAACTAAGCAACTAAGCAACCAGGGTCGAAACAAGTTTCGTGGCTGAAGGGGCTTAGCGACGGACGCGAGGGGCCGCAAGTTGATGCTATCTAACTAAACACAACGAAGTGTCAACCAACCGCGAAATGTCAGACGGACGCCAATGAACATTATTATTCTACCCTGTCATATGAATCATGTAGTCAAAGTGGGAAGGGGATTAATAATAAAACCAGGCTGTGTCACAATGGATATCCATTGGCCGCTTCGTAGAAGCGGAGTGCTAGACGAATCTCTTGGAAACTTCAGCAGGTATAAGTAGCTCCCTGATATCGCAATGGTTCTGACTGCAATGATAAATATTATCTCTTTATTGCAAGCAACACAATAAGACACATCATGGAGATGAAAATGAAACTAATCGCGAACGCGCTCATCCTTTTTACCGGCTTTGGATGCAAAGCCAATTGCACACATAATCCAGGCATGGCCTATTCATTTGACAATGTGAGCCTTGGACTTTGCCAAATCCCTTTCCTCCAAAGACTTCAAGCTCTCTAACTAGCCATCTAGATTGTACCGTCAGCCAATCTCACTTGGACACCATGTTTTGATGACTTTACGTGCTCCAAACTAGAAGTTCCGTTGGATTACTCAAACAAAAGTCTGGGCACGACGTCAATTGCTTTCATAAAGCTGGCTGGCAAGAATGCCACTATTGAGTCCCCAAGCATCATCATCAACTCCGGTAAGGAATTAATGAGATCACTTACGAAAATTACGTGTGACTGGACTGACGCTTCGTTAGGCGGTCCGGGTGGTTCTGGAGTCGACCTCCTCCTCACAAATCAGGCCCTCGCAAGTCAAATGTTTGGGGATCAATACAATGTCATCTCCTATGATCCTCGCGGGGTAAACAATAGCGGTCTAACCGTCGACTGCTTCTCGGGGAACACAGAAGCAAGATTGGTCTTCAATCGACTACACAGGACGGGCAGTACCAACGTATCATCAACCTCGTTTGAGGAACAGTACTATTCAAGCTCCATCTACGGAGACTGGTGCAACAATGCCGTACAGAACGAGTCAACTCATGGCTATTATGTGACTACACCGGCGGTCGCCCAGGATTTGCTCACATTTATAGAAGCCGAGGCCGAGTTGGCAGGTCAGCCGCCATCAGACGCCAAATTGTGGTTTTATGGCATCAGTTACGGCACTGTCGTTGGCGCCACTTTCGCTTCCATGTTTTCTGACAGAGTTGAGAGAATGATACTCGACGGTGTTTTGGACGCAGAGCAATACTATGATAATACCTGGAAGGATAGCGTCGATCAAATGGATGAGGCCATGGAGAAATTCTCAAGCCTATGCCATTCTGCAGGTCCTGGAAAGTGTTCTTTCTGGGGACCCACGCCAGCCAACATCACAGCCAGAATGAACAACATTATCCGCCAGCTTCAGAACCATCCGGTCCCAATAAGCGGAGTCCCAAGCCGAGATACGCCGACGCTCGTCACTTATTCAGATCTGAAGGCTCTTTTTGTCACTACCATCTACAATCCACTATTGTCCTTCCCAGGCATGGCCGACATCCTACACCAGGTTGAGCGCGGGAATGTGTCCGCTCTTGCGGGTATGTTTAGCGGGCAAGATATTACGTCCGACGCCGGCCGCATTATCCAGTGCACCGACTCATATCGGAGGAACAAGCTTGCTACCATCGAAGAGTTCAAGAGCTACGCTGAGTACACGGTTTCGAAGAGCAAGTACATCGGCGACATCTGGCCAATCGTCGTGGAAACAATCTTGTGTACATCATTCCAACCACAGTTGCCTGATAGCATGGTGATTAAAAGTAAGGCAACCCTCCTACCTGTCTCTCTTTATACCACTTCTTTCTTTTCTAGTCATTTTCCGGACACGAATATTTGCAATGGGCGCAGAATCTAACCGGCTTCTTCTTTACTCAGACCCAGTGAATGGACTGGGCAAGCCTACCCCTTTCCCGATTCTGGTTGCGAGTAATACGATCGACCCTATAACGCCTTTATCATGGTATGTTTCGACCCACTGTCTCACGCGATAGTATTTCACTAAATAACGGTAAATCTTCACAGGGCGCGCAGGACGTCTTCTCGATTTCCCGGGTCTGTACTTCTACTGCAAGAAGGCATTGGGGTAAGTCACTATTGACTGCCAATCGCACTATCATCTCAAACAGGACTCTTAGCTTACTCGTGGGTTACTTTTCTCGATTGCAGCATACGGTCGTCAACCAAGGGGGATCAGATTGTTACTTTGAACATGTTCAGGCATATCTTCAAGGCATAGTTCCCCCATCCAACACGACATGCGTGCAACAGTACACTCCTTTTATAGATAGCCCGATCTGAAAATTGCTCAAGGCGCGAAGGAGAGATTTAGTAAGTTTTTAAGATCGAATGAACTAGTGTCCGTACAGCGCTTAACATAATCTCTAGCATTGCACTCCTGGCGGTTCCATACGTGGCGCTCAATGTTAGAGGCTGGATTGAAGGTCTGTTGCTTGGTTTAAATGTTGTTTGGGTCTTGAGGAGGGTTTACTTTCTACATAGCCAGGGTATATACTACAAAGCTCTAGCCAGCTCTGGACTTAACCCTGAGCTATATACTTTTTAATATAGTAATTTAAAATGCCAAATCGCGATTTGTGATCGTTCTTTCAAGAGTTTTCAAGAAAGGCGTTAGTGAATGTACTTATATGGAAAGAGGATGCAGAATTGTCTTGCGACTCGTCGGGGCCAGTTGTACGCCGTTAGCATGTGGCGCCCCTACAAAGTAGCGAGTATATAAAAAGGGACGCCAATTTCCCGGTCAGTTGGGACGATGCCCTAAGACGTCGCGAGGTCGGCCAAAGTAGGAACCTTTGTGACATCACACGAGGGTTGAAATGTTTTCTTCTGGAGGCTTGTGGTTCTTGATGAACCAATTTTTACTACTTCTGAGACAAAGATAGTGCAGGTATAGGTCATAAGTGTTTTGTCAGCCATAATTAATGAGTTTCATGAGAGCAATGTAGAGTTTAAAATAAAATGACATTAAAATGATTAAAATAGTTTACTTGAAGATATGTTTAAGCGAGTATCTACCAAGCCATTCTCCCGATGAATCCTCTAGGGTACCTTCTCTTTACCATTTTCCTAAGCTCATCAATGCACAATAAGCCAAGACCTAGAGTCATAGGAATAAACCAATGTTCAACCGGAACTGGGGCACAGCCAAGATAAGTAATGTCAGGAACCAGCGTGAATATTAAAGCGATCACAAGGGCAAACAAGATAGCAGGAAAAAGGAGCCAGTTCTGAGTAGCAGGATTAAAGAGTGGTGGATGTGTGAAAATTGAGAGGTGGCGAGTGCGTAGTGCCATTGCATTAAACCACTGTATTACCACCAAGGTGATAAAATAGACAGAAGACGCGACTGTCAAGTGCGTGGCAACATCGTCAGCGGTTTGTCCGTCGGGAGTCGGAATTGAGCCGAATGAGAACCACAACGATGTGAAAGTCAACCCGTTTCGCTGGAGGTACCAGTACGACATTGTGAATGAGAGAACTGTCTCCAATGTACCAACAAAACCGTAAGCTTGGAGGAGAAGTTTCCAGTCGACAAGGCGGTCATTTACAACGTCCCGAGGAGGCTGAAGCATGAGATTTGCCTCGGGCTTTTCGTAAGCCAAGGAGATTGCGGCAGCACAATCTGTGAAGCAGCAGATAATGATCATGAGAAATGATGATAAAATTTGGGGCAGACCAAAGGCAACATTTGTAAAGACTGGCCAAAATTCGGACCAAGAGCCAGCCGGTAGCAGGTAAGCAATCGTTTTCTTAAGATTGTCGAATACTACGCGACCGTAGAGCACAGCTTCGGGAATAGCAGAGAATGTATCCAACAAGACCATGTCTGCAGCCTCAATGGCAATATCGGAGCCAGATGCAGGCGATATACCAATGTCTGCTTGCTTCAAACTGGGAGCATCGTTCACTCCATCTCCAATCATGGCCACGACGTAAGAATGCGATTGGAATTCCCGTACAATTTGGAGTTTATGCTCCGGCGTAGTTCGAGCAAACACAATTTCCGAATACTCTGTTACCAAAGTGTGCCACTGGTGTGGAAGCAGCGTCATTAAGTCTTGGCCAGTCAATACAATCGCCTTGGTTTCGACTGGCAGATGATTGGATTTGTGATTCTTTCTGGGCTCAATTTTGGGAGGCACGCGTGGAAGATTATCGACGCTGTGAACCTCGCGGTCCGAAACGCTGATAATACCACAAGAGCGAGCAATCGCTTGAGCCGTGAGCTGAAAATCTCCCGTAACCATGGCAGTGCGGATACCAGCCCGGTGCAAAGTCTCAATTACACCGGGAACTTCTTCGCGCGGGGGGTCCACGATGCCCACGAGTCCGATCAGCGTGAGGCCTGTACGCGCAAGTTCGAGAGCTTCTTTTTCGAACGAATTCTCTTCTGGATTCGATTGTATCTCGGTGCCAGGAAGAGACTTGCGTGCAAGGGCCAAAACACGTTTACCTTGGCTTGACCATGAGTTTTTGATTGCCTCAATAGACGCGCGAGTAGTTTCGTCAAAATTGTGCACCTCGCCGTCGCCGCCAACATACTTTGTGCACCGAGAGAGTAGAATATCCGGTGCACCCTTGATCATCAAAATGTAATCCTTTTGAGCATCAAAGCCACTAATTTCGGAAGCAGAAAGTGTGGATTCCAGGGCAGAGGGGACGCTGGGAGAGCTGACGCGTAAGGAGAACTTATTCTTTGAGTTGAATGCGAGATCAAATCGTTTAATCCATAAGTCGCGAGACTTATTGACGGGGCCCAGCGATTCCGATAAGCGAAGAATGGCTTGATCTGTCGCATCAGCGATGATCTTCCTATCGGAGATGGGAAGATGGATGGTCGTTGGGTCAAACTCTCCAGCATTGCACACTGCAGAAGTGACACGAAGCTGCGTAAGAGCAGCCTTTTTGCGTGAAGTAGATTCCTCTGCAACTTCTTGAATGGCTTCTGTGGCAGTCAAAGCGCTGGAGCCAATGAGGCAGTCTGTTACAGCCATTTGGTTCTTGGTTAGAGTCCCAGTTTTATCCGATAGTAGAACTGAAACGGTGCCGAGGGTCTCAACGGTCTTGAGAGATTTGCAGAGGATATTGTTCTTCTTCATAATTCCCGCGGTAATTGTGAGTGAAGCTGTTAAAGCTATTGGCAGACCTTCAGGAATAAAGGCAATGGCCACACTGACACAATCCACGATTAACGTTGATACTGAGATATAATCGGGATACTTGTGACGAATGAAGCCGGCCCACAAAGCAACAATGACTACAACCATGAGTATCATCAAGGTTGCGATAATGAGGACAAATCTGAAAATCTCTTTTTGTAGGGGAGTTTGGCCAGACTTGGGCTTGTTTGTCAGTTTCGCGATATGGCCGAAAACCGTATTGTCCCCAGTAGCAACGACAATACCCAGGCCACTTCCAGATGTACAATGAGTGCCCTGCATTCCAATGCATTTAGTTTCGAGGTAGTTGCTCTCCATAGACTCAGTCACTGCAGACAGAGGATCAGATTCACCCGTAAGGATGCTTCTGTCAAACTTGGCATCAGTGGACACACTGACGAACCGAACATCAGCGGGCAACTTATTGCCGGCACTGAAAAAGAGAAGATCTCCAGGAACCACTTGAGATGCAGGCACCAATCTCTTGCTCCCATCACGAAGAACACTGCAATCTTCAGGAAGCATACCCGTAATACTCTTCATCACCCTCGAGGAGGAGAAATCTTGCCAGGCATTGAAAGCGGCTTGCGCTAACCACACAATAGCCAGGACAATACCCAAGGCTAAGTTGGCCACTGCAGGAGCCGGTTCACCAAGTGGTTTCCATGAGACAAAGACAAGAATGCTTCCACCAAAGAGGATGGAGCCGAAGCCTCCAAAGAGATAGAAGAATATTTTCTGAAACAATTGTGATTTCGGCGGTGTTGGAGTGTTTGCACCGAATTCTGCCGTTTTATCTTTGACTCCCTGGGTTGAGAGACCAGTTTCGATGGAGGTATCCAGTCGGTTGGTAACTTCTTGGATAGATAGAGTGTGCCATTCGAGTTCTCCTAGCTCTATTATAACAGGTGGGTCAGTCTCTAAGAGTTTTGTAGCTGTCGTTGAAAACAAACTTACCTGCCATAGCCTTGTCTCCAATTTCCGTCTTTTTGATCATCACATCCGATTTCTCTTGGGTCCGTGCCAGATCCATACTCATAGTTCGGTACAAAACAGGGAGGGCAGAGGCAGGATCAACCACCCGTTGGCCACTCCTGATGCTGGACAGAGAGTGGATAGAGTAGGCTGAGCCCTTTCTTTTGAGTTTGCCATTGTTGTTTCCAGGAAAAGGATCAACCGGCTGGATCTCATCTTGGTCGTCAAAATATCGGATTCGACGCTTTGCAGCAATACCTAGGCCATGATCGCCCTTGGTTTGAGCGGAGGCTTTCGCCGTACCCTTTTCAGGATCGCTATCGTCATGAGTACCAGCAGCCATTTTACCGCTGACAAGAGGAAGTAAAGTGTTGGAGACGTGGTAATGGACTTAGAGAAGATGAAATTTTAAACCCTTTGGGCTGAATAATGCATCAAGAGAGAGGTTGAGGATAATCGTTTATATAGGAAGTGCATCCAGATGGAGAGGTCTGGTGATTCAAGCAGGGCTTACACCGAAGATATGACGTTGATTCTCCTCACTCTTTGCCCAATTCTGACCAGTCTGGGGGAGCTGAATTGCAGTATGAGTGATTTTCTAAATGTATCTCATGCTGTGTCACAGTATGATAGTATACATATGGAATGGGCAGATATCTGCGCCATGAGTTCCAATATTAAACTCAAAACAATTATCAACCCAAGAACTTTTGAACTAGCCTGACATATGAGCAAACATTTATGCCAAAAGGATGCTTAATCCTATTGAAACAATGAAATCTGTCTAATTATGCAACTACAAATGCATGGTGCATATATTTATCTCGATAACTTTATCCTCCTCTATTCATCTTTTTCCTTTTTTCTCCTTCTCCTCCTCCTTTGTCTATTTCTCTTTGACACGGCTATTTGCATATCTTTTTGAACTCAATAGCAGCCTAGTTATGCACATATCTATTGTTCTATGAGTGATTTAATTCATGGTAAGATCTTTAAGCGGCTGAATTGCTAAAAGGAGGCCTCTTTGATGAGGTCAGAAGGAGGCCTCCGTTCGAGACTAATCCTCCATCTCCATCGAATGGGATAAATCTGGACTCAGTCTACTGTGCTAATGCAAGCGACTGGCACATTTTGAAAATAACGCAGCAAGTACCGGTGTGTAGTAAAGCTAAGCTTTTCCGGGAGAGTCTAGTATTCGGCAGTGATCCGAATGGGCTTACTATGGAAGACATTTAGCCACCTACCTAATGCAACTACCAGACTTGGCTTCGGCTGGGTTAGCGATCGTATAAACAAAAAGAGGAGAAAACAACCCGCTCTCAGTGGATACAGAAACTTGATAATGCGGCTTGCCAAATTGTAATGCTGAACTTTGTGTCTTTTTATATGGTAAATTGAGCAGTCACATTTAGCCACGAAATTCCAGTTCATTACAAGAGCAAAATACATAATTACGGTTCAACTCTATGCTGTTGAAGCTAAACCTTCAGAGAGCAGTTCCCTGAGGTACAATTCAAGCCCATATGCTTGGTACCTTGTGCCGCCTCAGTAAAATGCGCATGTGAGCTAACAAATCTCTCATTATCAACAAACAGCGGGACGGGAAGGCTAAGCCTGGAAAGGGAAAATGTATTGAGCTGATCATATCGCAGCCGAGAGAGAATAAATTGTCGAATATTGGTATTACATCATACCTGCATTGCTATTGTATTAAGATGGAATAAAGATACAAGTTATGCATTCTTGCACAGGCTTTCTTCTCCCTCAACATAGGCATCCACCTTGTAACTCGCAAACTCCCTTGCCTTGATGCCACGAGCGAACAAAATATCCAACTCTTCAAAAGTCTTGTCTTTTGTTTCGGGGAGCCTGAACCAGGTCCAAACGAAAAAGACAAAAGCCCAGAAGCCCCAGAAGAAGGCAGTTTTTCCGCGCCAGTCTCCCGCGGTAGGGTTAAGCATGTACGGGTTGACGACGTTGCAGATGATTTGAGCGATGTAATAAACAATTCGGCTGAGGCAGACACTCTTGTTTCGAAGTCGAGTTGAAGATACTTCGCCTATAATCGCGTAGCAGATGGGGCCCACAGTCATGTAATAAACTAATAGCCACAACAGGATCATAGTAGCTTGGGCGTAATTACCTCCGGCTGAATTGGCAGCTCCAACACTGATGAATCCGACAACAAGCAGAATCGTGGTCAGAGTACCCAAGCCCCAGAGGTACATGGTACGTCTTCCAAGACGGTGCATCAAGAACCAGGAGATGATTGTTCCCACAGATGCGAGACCCAGCCCGCTGACCGACATCTTGAACGAGATCGAAGTCGGCAATCCAGCTTGGACAAAGAAGTAAGTCGGAGTCCCCCCCATGGCTGATCCACAAAATGGCTGAGCAGCAAAGGCCATGCAGGCAATCTCCGTGCGGTAGCGATCGATGCCACGGAAGCAATCCAAATACGATGTTCCCTTGTCGATGGACTCCTCCAGCTCATTTGTATGGACCATCATGGCCAGAGTCTGCTTAGCCATATCTCTATCTGCGCCGAGACGAATAATGGTCTTTTCCGCATCGCTAAGTAGGCCTTGGCGGACATAGAACCATGGCGATTCTGGAGCAAACCAGAGAATGAAAAATAGAGGGACGGGCCAAGCCCATTGAATCGCAAAGGGGATTCTGTAGGACCATTGCGTCGTATTATTTTCGAACCCAGACTGGACTCCGGCGGAAATAAGTTGACCAAAAGCCCAGCAGAGGTTGACGTAGACGGTCAAGTATCCGCGGAGGGCCATTGGGCAAACTTCTGAGGCATACGCAGGGGCCTGTGAAGTTGAATGCGTCAGCTTATCAATTTCACAGTTACGACGAATAGCAGAGACTCAGCTCCCTTTCATCCATCTACCAGTACTACCAATATCAGAGGAGTGAAGAGGTGAGAGGGAGAATTTGGGGCAACATCAGATCTTAAACATGTGACACTGTGCCAAGGGTCTCAATCAAAGAGGTTCAGCACGTACCATGGTTGCAAAAACTCCCCAAGGAATACCGCAAAGCAGCTCACCAGCCAACAGAACCCCAAGATTGGGAGCAAAAAAGGGAATAAACACAAAGCCGACAACGAGAAGGAGAGACGCCAAGAGGACTTTTCGATAACCGAATTTATGCGTAAAGTATCCGTTAGCAAAGGCACCAATGATGGTACCAACGCTCACCGCGTTGCTGAGGCCATTCTGCCATGACGCGGAGATCTGATAGCTGTTGGATCCAGGATCGAAGTCGCCGTATCGTTTTCGAAAGGATGGCTGTGCGAAGAATGAAGAGATGAGAACAATGTCGTAGCCTTCCATGATGATGGAGGTCGATAAGAGAACCGACCACAAGACGGCCTTGGGATATTTGCGAATGGCTTGCAAGAGACTGAGATTATGTTCGGCCTCGGCTGCTTGCCTCGCGAGTATAACATCCTTGCCACCGGTTGAGTTTTGGTGCTCCAAGGCGACTACGTCAACCTTTTCATCGTCGTTTGCCATGATGAGTTACAGCAAGAGCATGAAAAGTAAATCAAGCCGGGGATAAAAGATGATGATGGGAATGAAGTAGGATTCTTCAGGGCTGACAGACTTCAAATACATGTTTCGCAACCTGCTGAGCGTCGATTCATACACCGGGAGCTAACAGAATGCCTAGACCAATCCCCGGGCCTGTCAATCACCCCGCAATCTAGAATGAAGCTTACATGCGGGAGTTGGACAAAACGGGTAGGAAAAAAGTGGATGGAGAGACATGTGGTACGATGGGATAATCGCCTCAAGTGGCAATGGGCATTAAGCTTCAATCTGGAGATGGTTAGAAGCCCTTCATTCAAGCATCATCCTTCGATGACTTACGGACTTCGCTTCAACGAGGAGTCATCAGGTCCGGTGGCATCGCGGTGGGGTAGCCTTGACAATCCGGGGACGGGAAGCCAAACTGCGATGGGGGTGGGTCTGGGGAAGACAAACGATACGACATCACCATCTCGGAGAAGGAATCATTAGTCTTATGGCATCCTAAGAACGAATAAGAACGTCTCGGTGAGTTTTGTTACTTGGACAACATAAGACTTGGCATTCAGGTGGTACGTTATAGCTACGAGTCAGGTATAGATCGAACGTAATCATGCCTGCTTCTGCTCCATCGCCCGAGCCAAGGCAACCAACACCTCCATGTAAGTCCGCTCTGCCCCCCATGTGCTCATTTCAGGTACGACCTGCCCACCAGCATTGGCCATTGACACCGAGCCACCAGCCGTGGCATTTTCAAGGAGTCGGATGCCTTCTTGGAGGATTTTGGCTGGAGCAGAGGCTTGCGTTATGACTCCAACTCTTGCCATGTGCGCAGACATCTTATTGCCAAAGCGGAGGTACATTTGTACCATCTCATCATCACACGGCCGATCGATAAAGAAGAAGGGCAGCTCTGAACACAACTCTTCATCCTGTGTAGAAGTTGTTGGTTGCTGGCATGCAGCGGCCACGGTTTGGGCTTCAGGCGATAGCGGCCCTTCCATCGAAGGTGCGGCTTGGAACTCTTCCTGTTGTCTCGCAAACTGCACCGAGACACTGTAAGCCCAGATGATGAGCGTAGCCATGTAGATTGTAAAAGGTTCCAGAAAGCTCCTTGTCGAGTATCGTCGTATGTGCCAAAACAAGGCGCCAGCGTGAATGATGGCGAGCCTCGCCTTGAAAGAGTCATTCATAGCCCACTTCAGCACATGATTGCTTGCATCCGTATACCCCTGGTTAACAGCGAGATTTGTGGTGTTGGTGTTCCTGGGATTGGTTGCCAAAGTTTGGATCTGCGCTACAGGCGTAAGCAAAATCAGGCGAGATAGATGCAAGTACATGATGGTAGGATGTTCCAATCCTCCGGCGGTGGCTGCCTTTGCATTAGCTCTCCAGTGCAGTATATCTAGACAGTCACATGCACTGTTGCGCCACTTTGATAATATTGGATTTGAGGGCGGCCAAGTTTCTGTTGATGCGCTCTGGTGGGCTTCTCGCGTTTGGATTGTAGCACTAGGAATCCAATTCGCCAGTTGGGTCCGGTTCTGGTTGATGACTTCCTTGGTCCTCCGCCAAATGCTGTGGATAATTAAAATAGTGCTGAATTCGCTGAGGCTATCTGGGAGCCGTTTTTCGATGTACAACATTTCAATTGCGGCTAGCAATGTGACTATAAGGGGAAATTGTCAGTTGTCTGATCTCATATATGGTTCAAGTAAAATCGCATGTAATATACCAGATGACTTTTGTTCTGCAATGACTTTCTCTGTCGATGGGTATTCCCATATATGATCCTGACATGGTAAGAGGACTTTTGCATCCACCAACTGCATCACTGGAGTTACGTCGAACTCGTATGAGATCATAGCATCAAGTAACTGGAGGCAATTTAGCTGAGAGAGATGGTAAGGCTTGAACAATAAGACGCACCCATATCATTAAGCCAGTCCTTGTACGAGACTGGTTCATTGACCAGTCCTCAACGAGTTTGTTATAGTCGTGGTTGATACGATTGTCCTCAGACTCCCTGCATAGCAGATTTAATTCGTTGCAAGCTTCAACAAGGTAGTGCCGTTCGAGTAAAGCATGCCTTGTCATCTTTGACTTGCCACTGTGAAGCGCGCAGATTAACGAGAGGCTAGCCGCCTGCAATGATGGCATTGAAGGGATGCCGGTTTCCGCTAGTCCATGGTGGCACATTTGGCTGCCAGATATGCCGTCCAGAATAGCTATGAACTCTGGGCTTAGCTGTGGCTCTTCATTAGATGCATTATATTTGGACCCAACGACAGCCACTGCAAAGAGGAGCTCCCAGTGTTTCTTCGACTCTTCCAAAAAAGACTTCTTCCGAATGAAAGGGAATATTGGGTGAAAATTTGCAAAATATGACCGGACGCATGCATCAATACACTGCAAAGACGGGAAGAAGTTGGTATCGACAACCAAATTCTCCCTCCCCAGTTCTCGTATCAGGTTATTATAGCCGTCCACACTCACCAATGGGCCCTCCCATAACCCGCCTGGTCCACCGTCTGTGTGATTGGTTATACTACTTCCAGGAGTCGATGCATCGTTGGTAGCCATCATCCGTCGGTCTCTCCATTGTCCAGCAGTTTGACCACGAAACGGCGCTCTGGATCCATCACCATCCACGTAGTAGCTCCCAGTCATAGATTTATTTCCCTCCGATCCAAGTTTGCTGGGAGTGTATGCTGAACGGCTAGCAGTGCTGATGCTGGCGTCACGTTGTCCAATGCCAGGCTCTAGACCATTGCCAGACACGCACTCACGATCAGGATCGGGCAGAGCGCCCGAGGCAGGGAAGAGAAACGGCATATATAGATCGTTCTTGTCATCGTCAGCATAGGGTGGCGCGGCAATGACTCCGTTCCATCCAAATGAAGCAGAATCAGGTGACATCCAGTTCATTGAGAGTAGATCCATGACCTGTTCGTTCAAACCCGAGATGGGATTGAATTCATAGATACGCTGGGTGCCGGGATCTACTGAGCCAACAGTCTGCGAAACTTCAAACAGGGCTGGTCGCTGGGTCCAAGCATCAGTTCTGGGTGCTAACTGGTTTCCATTTGCTCCCTCAGGGACACACTCGTTCAGATTGGTGCTGTTGATGTTTACGGATGTCCCAGGTCCCATCGTAAGCAGCGGGGTCTCATCTTCAGCCTGTCTGCCATCTGTTTGGTGAATTGCTTCCAGGCTCATACCATCACCCTCCATCCTCGAGTCGACAATCCCCAGAGCCTTGGGTTTCCGTGCTGTGGGAAAGATACAAGTCAAGTTGCGTTCAATGCACCGCCTGCACGGATCACTCCGGGAGCAGCGAGCTCGGCTTGTAGCACATTGCCTGCATGCCCTAGAGCGCGTAGTCGTGCGTGCTTCTTCGTTGTCCTGCTGGTGCGATGTGCGGTGACGATTCAGGACATCTCTATCGCGTCACAAATGTTACTTCGTGCGTTTAGACATCGGAATAGAGCTCAGAAAGTGAAGCGGGACAAACTTACTGGCGAGCAAATCCTTTCCCGCAGATGAGGCACTTGAACGGCTTCTCACGGGTGTGGCTCTTGATATGGCGTACAAGGTGCTCTTGCCTGCTAAACGTCGCGTCACAAATGTCACATTTCTTATCCGTACCTGGTTTTGATACAGCTGGGCTGGCCGTCACCATGTCTGAAGTGCGGTTCTTTTGTTGATGAAGAGTCAAAGGGTAGGTGGTTGTGCCTTGGCCTCGCGACGATCACAACAAGGTACTGCAAAGCTTCCAATTCGCCAGCAGGTGTGCTAGAAGATAGTTTAGGCCTAGAATTGAGACCAAAATCCGGGGAAGAACATGAGGATTTCTGGGGAAGCTGGAGCTGTCGATTTTAGTGTCCACATGTCAGCACAGCATGCGTCGTATTGATTTCTTCCATCACTGGCTGTTCAGTAACTTGTCACGCAACACATCAGCCAAGCCTTGGATTATTCACACCAACTCATTCGGTGGCCAACCCCGCAGAATTCGTTCGTCCCCACTGCTATGAGCCTGTCTAGAGACGGGCTGTAACGATACGTGACTATTCCATTTACAAAACTTTTGAGTGCCGCTTGGATCAGTTATTTAGGCTGATGATTGATTTCAGGCGACACTGGCGTTGCTCTGGCTTTTGTACGTCAAGACCTGGGTCTCCATAAGCTCAAAACTGCACCAGACTTGGTGCTTGGATCTCTTATCGAGGACACGCACAAGGCTAGATACCGCCTACCCTGTAATGTTCATAAACCAAAAAAAAAAAAAAAAAAAATTAGCCAAACTTCATACTCCTGTATAGCCTTGAGGGCAATTGGTGCAACCCGACAGGTACTTACCTACACATGAGGTACGGAGCATTCTTGCTGGATGGGTGGAAGGCTTGTAGACATTGCAAAAATTGCAGACCGGATGTATTTTCCAGAGTATTTGCTGTATGTTGGATGCCTCTTATCTTATCGCTTCTGCTTTTACCGAGCTCGTGCATTGCTCGTCTACTTAGGTACCTAGGTACCTAGGTACCTATTTGTACACTTGGCTGTATCTTTTGTTGTAGCCTCAGGCAACAGCAGGCAATCCCAAGCCTTTGCTTCACCAAATTTCCTCAATCTCCTTCATCTCCTGCATCATCATCTCCATCATCAAATGCCATGTCTTCAGAAGGTCAGTCAATCAGCGAGTGTAATCCAGTAACATCGCAGCCCTGGAGACCCTAACAAACCAGCGCTGACCAGCGCTGCACCAGATCTAGCCGCATACGATCCCGCTCCACACGAATGAGCGTCCGACGCCGCTATGCTGGAGGGAGTTTGGCAGCCCTGGAGGCTTGGTGGGTTGGCTGGATGGCTGATGGCTGATGGCTGATGGATTCGGCGGGGGATTAGGCTGGACTGCATCTGTTATTGTTGATGCATGAAAATGGCAAGCTTGTTCGATTCCGTCGTCTTGTTGTCTTCGACACTCTCTGTTCAATTTACGGTCGGCTTCCTTCGCTCAATCTCTATTTTCCTCTAGACTACACCACGCGATATCTGCAGAATTGGCTTGCGCACAGCGAGCAGGCTAGCAAGGTCGCGAGTCGTACAAATTCCCGGCGGGGGCGGAGGTGAAGAGCAGGGCGGGGGAGATGAACCAGGGCCTGAGGGTTGTCAACCGAACGACCATCACAGCGCTGTCCGGTTTGCCGGTTCCCGATTCCCGGCTGTGGAGAAGTGGCCCAACTCTCGATGAGGCAATCAGGTCTGCGAGAACTTGGTACATCCTTCTAGAGTCGCTCGCATTTTGCTCTGCGACTTTGAAACATGAGACTCGGCTGTTGCATCGCACCGCAGAGGCAATTGATGGACATCTTACAGGGACCAGATGGTGGGTAGAAGAAAAATGATGGGGTTTGATCCCGGTGGGTTGACTGGTCTCAGAGCTCTCGAGCTTCTCGAGAAAGCATGATAAAGAGGCATGAACCATCCTCATAGCCGTGCTGTCTTGGAGCAAGGCAGAAATCCAGAGTCACTTTGCCCGAGGTTTGGTTTATGCCACAATGCTTCTTCCCATCTTTGCCCTATCTTCGCTGGTGGTCGTCACAGCTAGTCCGACGGCTCAGCACATTCGACAGTCATCTCAGGGGACTGCGACCGTCGATATCAGCACAACACACGGCCCGGCGACCTTTCTTGGGTCTGGATTCATATACGGGTGGCCAGATAATGGCACGTCTATCTCGACTCTGATTCCAGACTATCTGGTCACTGGGATCAACTTCAATGCGAACCGTGCCGGTGGAGCTCAGCTTCCCGTCGGAGGATGGGCCACTGGTGGCTTCAGCGGCTATACAACGAGATTTCAGTCGGCCTTGTCAAACTACCGTACCACGCGCAAGTATGGCGGAGAGTTCATCCTCCTCCCTCACGACATGTGGGGTGCAGACGGCGGCTCGGGCTCAGCGTCTCCGTTCCCCGGTGACAATGGAAACTGGACTGAGATGGAAGCCTTTTGGACCCAAGTCATGTCAGATCTGGTGGAAAATGATATGCTGGATGGCCTCATCATCGATTTGTGGAATGAGCCTGACGGGTCAGGTTTCTGGCCCCGTAGCTGGGACCAATTCCTCGAGTACTGGAACCGTGCCACTGTGCTTGTGAGGTACGCATACTTAAAGAGATGAGATTGAAGTGAATTTGTTCTGCCATAATGTATAGTAGAGCTAATCCCTTGTGCAGAGCAGGACTACCTGGAACTCTGATCAGTGGCCCAGCTATGGCGAATGCGCCTGGTCTCCAGAATGAGAACTGGCTCACCTGGCTGCCATCCATTGTCGGTAACAACACTGTGCCTGATCACTACTCCTGGCATCAGATCGGCGTATGGGAGCGGTGCCCGGATTTGAATGTGCCAGACTTTAACACACTGCTCGCTGAATTCGGTGCGCCGGCGAGACCGATCGACAACAACGAATATGCTTGGCCATCGGAGCAGAACCCGGCAAATGCGGCGTGGTACCTATCCCAGATGGAACGACACGACATCCGTGCTTTACGTGCCAACTGGGCTGGCGGCTCTGACCTTCATAACTGGATGGCTAATCTTGTATACAGCAAAAATGGTACATACTATCCCAACGGCGAGTGGCAAGTATACAACTACTACGCAGGGATGAGCGGCGAGAGACTCGTGACCACCGCTTCTTCTGACACTCAGTTCGATGCGTTTGCTATTCGTCAGAACAACAACATCAAGGTCTTGGCTGGTACTAGGACGATTCAGGCGCCATATGATATCAGGGTCACCAACCTCAATCAGATCGGCCTCGAGGAAAATGGAAGTATCAATGTCCATGTTTACCGATTCGATTGGGATGGTCCGGAAGGAGAGATTGACGGCCGTGTTGATCTCGGGACAACAACGTATTCCTATACTTCAAACGAGGTAGGTCTTCTGGCGCCCGTTACACATGAATCACATGGACTAACCAATGATACCGATATAGCTCATCATCACGCTGGATCCGCCAACTAATTCGACTGCCTACGCGTACGAATTCTCTGGAACTGGCTAGTGCAAGGCTAAGCACATGATCTAGGGAGAATTTTAATGTGTCGTAGATGCAAAAGTGTTCTGGGCCTATCTCTTACTATCGCATGGGCATCTCATTGTCTAGCTCCTGACATATATGTTAAGCCTCAGTATAGCTAGGTTAGCTAGGCTAGCAAAAATACACTACATAAAAAGACATTGTGCCTGTTGTAATGTAATAATGCAACCTGAAGTAGCAATAGGGCATGTGCTGCTGCTGTTGCAGGTCTCTATTGACAATAGTTGTAGTTCAAGTATTATACAGTGGGCGAATTAGTTGTAAGTGGAAATCCCCTAACCGTGTCACATCTCATGGCAAAATTTTGATGGAGGTGCCAAATCATGTCTACGCAGAAGCCAAGTATTGTCTATAGGTCTTTGAAGCATACAAACTGAAAAGCGAGACAGAACTTTGGTTCACTGGCATTAAGAAGCACGACGAATTGGGCATCGTGATTCTATGCTGGGTGAATACCTAGTAGTATAGACTGGAAACGGCCAGCTGGAGGCAGAAGCTAATGCGTCATCAGCCTCGGCCACCTACCTTCTCTCAAGAAATGACTAAGACATCATTAAAGGCACTTAACTTGGGGATCCACGAATGAGGCCTGGTCTTGGTGATGCTGATAGCCCGGGTGGTAGCTTGTAAAGGGAATGACAGACGTCAGTGTGATTGGGCCGCATCTGAACGGGATGGACGCCTCCAGCTAAAGTTCAACAATGTTGTCCCCATCCCTTGGGATATCATACCCCGCCGGGAATAATAAATTATACAGCCGGGTTCTCTATTTATGTATGTCGAACTAAAAGAAGTCATATGCGGTTATTGGCCTCAGTATCATACAAAGTACGGAGAATCCCAGGACGCGGGTCCCGCCAAAACTCCGGTGGGGGTGGGGCTGGCATGGGGAGCTGGGATGAAAGAAAAGGCGTGGTTGAAGAGCTTCGGGGAGCCTTGATGAGGGGCAGTTTACGGACTTCATCGGGGAATGTTCGACCTTCTGTTAGATACCTGCAGCATCCCCAAGGAAATCTTTGCCTCGCTACATGCTACACCGAAGGAGTTGTTGAGTTGCTCCGGTGGTGTGGGGAGAGATAGATGCAGCCACTCTCCGTATAGCCGTCATACTGATATTTCCCCTCAATGTGTTACCCATTCACTTTATAAGTCCGACCAATAACGGAGAGGCCCTTCAATTTCTCCTCTTACAATTTCTGTTCGCGGTATTATTGCCATTCATCTTCTTGTTTTAGATCATAGACTTTTCACAAGTTGTAGACTTTGGAGATTCTAGAGATTTGACACCAAAGAACCAAAGGAGCAGGGGAAGAACCGATTCACCAGTTCACGATGCTATTCTCCCAGGAAAATCGCTTGGTATATACTTACGATGCCGAAACTCTCTGGATCGAACCATGGGGTGAAAATTCTCTGAGAATTCGCGCAACTAAGCTGCCTTCTATGTCGGAGCAGGACTGGGCACTCCAACCGCCTTCATCATCAAAGTCTGGCATTGAGATTACCGAGAATGCGGGCACCATCACCAATGGCAAAATCAAGGCCATTATAACCAAGTCTGGAAAGATTACAGTGTGGAATTCCAAGGGAGAATTACTGCTCGAGGAGTATACTCGGAACCGCAAGGACGTGACGGATGCCAAGTGCAGTGCGATTGAGATTGAGGCTCGTGACTTCAAAGGCATCCTTGGCACGGACAACTTTCACCTCACAATGCGTTTTGAGAGTGTTGATCCCGATGAAAAGATCTATGGCATGGGTCAATATCAGCAGCCATTTTTTGACCTAAAGGGTCACGACCTGGAGCTTGCTCACCGCAACTCCCAAGCAAGCGTGCCATTCGCGCTCTCATCTCTGGGATACGGTTTCCTCTGGAATAATCCGGGTGTGGGACGTGCCGTCCTCGGCCGTAACATTATGACATTTGAGGCGTATTCTACCACCACACTCGATTACTGGGTGGTAGCAGGTGACAGCCCAGCAGAGATCGAAGAAGCCTACGCTAATGCGACTGGCAAGGTCCCGATGATGCCAGAATATGGACTTGGATTTTGGCAATGCAAGTTGCGCTATCAGACTCAGGAAGAACTCCTTGGAGTTGCTCGCGAGTACAAGCGAAGAAAACTGCCTCTAGATCTTATTGTGATTGACTTCTTTCACTGGCCGATGCAGGGCGAGTGGAAGTTTGACCCCACGTACTGGCCGGATCCAGATGCAATGATCCGGGAACTTGAAGAAATGAAGGTTGAGCTGATGGTTTCAATCTGGCCGACCGTTGATAAGAGATCTGAGAATTTCGAAGAAATGGTTGAAGGTGGCTATCTCATTCGTACGGACCGTGGTATCCGCATTGGCATGGACTTTCAGGGTGACACCATCCACTTTGATGCGACGAACCCAAAGGCAAGAGAGTACGTTTGGAGCAAAGTGAAGCAGAATTACTACAGCAAGGGGATAAAGGTGTTTTGGTTGGATGAAGCAGAGCCCGAGTACTCAGCTTACGACTTTGACAACTTCAGATACCATCTTGGCTCTAACCTCAGCATTGGCAACATCTACCCTGTTTCATATTCGCGTGGCTTTTATGAAGGCCTCAGGAAAGAAGGACATGAACAGATTGTCAATCTAGTTCGCTGTGCATGGGCTGGCAGTCAGAAATACGGCGCCCTAGTCTGGAGTGGCGATATCGCGTCCTCATGGTCGAGCTTCAGCAACCAGCTCGCAGCAGGACTTCACATGGGTATCGCAGGAATCCCATGGTGGACCACAGACATTGGTGGATTTCACGGGGGTAACCCCAAGGATCCAGCTTTCCGAGAACTGTTTGTTCGCTGGTTTCAGTGGGGTGCCTTTTGCCCTGTTTTCCGACTTCACGGTGATCGAGAACCGCACAAGCCTCAACATGGTACAACTGGCGGAGCGACGTGTCTGAGTGGCGCTGATAACGAGGTATGGTCTTACGGTGAAGAGGTGTACGGCATTTGCGAAAAGTACATGGCTCTGCGTGAAACTCTGAGGCCATACACAAGAAAGCTCATGGAGGCGGCTCACGAAAAGGGTAGCCCTGTGATGAGGACTCTGTTTTACGAGTTTCCAGAGGATAAAAGATGCTGGGAAGTCGGCAAGCAGTACATGTTTGGTGACAAATACTTGTGCTGTCCGGTTTTGAAGCCTGGTGTAACGGAAATGGAGGTGTATCTGCCAAAGGGAGCGAACTGGAAGAATGCCGATGGTGATATTTTACCAGGAGGCCAAACGGTTCAGGTCAAATGCCCGCTGGACTATATGCCGGTGTTTGAAAGGGTTTAATGTCGTATTAGATCAAGTGTTAGAGCAATGTTCATTCATTTTCTTACTTACGTTAAACGTGTGGCATGCTTTCTGAATTGATCAAGAATGCAAGCTACTAAATAAACACTGACATAAATTCAGGTGTAGAGAGTGTAGAAGCTCATACTCTGAACCATTACAGCATAATTATTAAACAGAGCTCGGTCTAAAGGCATTCTTGTGCGTCGGCGGGGTTTTTTGAGGCATTTCTTAGGAAATTTCCTTTAGAGGTGATAGATTCCGACAGACTGTGAATAAAAAAAATTTTTTTTTTACGGCGACACCTTTCCTTTGGAGGTTATGAGTTCCTATTATTTGCCTTTAGAGGTTACAACTTGTGGACTACAAACGGTAGCGTGACAAGTAAGGCGCATTGGAGTGGTGAGGGGTCAAATGTTTACAGAAGGCGTTGGAGCCGGCTGCTGCACCAACAGCCGCCAAAGGGAATCTTGAGCGAACTGATGTCAGCTTGATGTTTGGACTTTGGTCCGATTGATAAATGATTGACAGCAGATACAAGGTAAACCATGACTCGAAAGATGCCCTTATTGTGGGATTGATACGCCAACCTACGTTGCTTACATATTTGAACTACAGTACTATCCGATTCGCAGTGGTCGAGGCGACTACAAAAGCTGCAATAATCTCTCTACTATTCACCATTCCTCGTCTCAGTGTTCAACTTTAACCCAGGGCTACATGTACTTGTTCCTTACCGAAAAGCCATACTGTCTCTTTAGATCATCATGACAACGGATATTCATCCTTTCGACCCGCTGCGGCCTGAAGAAATCAGCCGGGTATGTGTCCTAGGCAATTTTCCAATGCAAACCAACACTAACAAACATGGTGACAGGTCGCAGACATTGTACGGCCCGCATTCACCGGCCAGGGTCTCAATTTCCGAGTAATCACTCTTAGGGAACCACCTAAAGCTGAGATGGTAGACTTTCTCGAGCGTGAGCATCGCAACGAATCTGAAAGAAAGAGGCCATCGCGTTCCGCACGTGTTGAAGTGCTGGTGAAGCCTCAAGCTGGCAAACACCAATTGCATGAACTTTTTGTCAATCTCGATGAAAGCAAGATCACATGGCAAAAGCATCTTATCGGAAAGCATTCATATATCGATGCGGCATACATGAAAGAAGTAGAAGCCGCCTGTCTAGCTGATAAGCAAGTGCAGGAGGAGATTCGCAAGCTAGACCTCCCGCCGGGATCAACAGCAATTGTTGAGCCTTGGGCATATGCAACAGATGGCGCGAATGACATGTCTGAGCGCACCACTATGGTGAGAAACTCATTATTACACGTGTTTTAACTGAATGCTAATGCGTTCCTGAAAGTGCTGGTTCTACTGTCGTCATTTTGACCATCCGGATGTCAACTATTACGCTTACCCTCTTGACATATGTGCCGAGATATCAGAGCAACTTCAAGTTCTTCGAGTCTATCGCCTACCTGGAGCACAAAATGAGAAAATTAATAATGAAGATCGCCCATATGATCGTCGCAAGATACATGAAGCGTCGTCCAGCGAATATCATCCTGATTTACGGCCGGAGCCACGATCTACCACCAAGCCCTACCAGGTGATACAGCCTGACGGCCCCTCGTTTCAAATTCAAGGCAATCTGCTGAACTGGGAGAAATGGAGTTTTCGCGTCGGTTTCAACTATCGAGAGGGCCTGACACTTCATGATGTACGGTACGATGGCCGAAGTCTTTTCTACCGCCTCTCCCTAGCAGAAATGTTTGTTCCTTACGGTGATCCACGCGCTCCATATCCACGAAAGGCTGCTTTTGACCTCGGCAACGATGGTGCCGGTATAAATGCAAATAATTTGCAGCTTGGCTGTGATTGTCTAGGTACCATTAAGTACTTTGATGCTTGGCATAATACTCAATCCGGTGAACCTATGAAGCTGCCCAATGTTGTTTGCTGTCACGAACAAGATGACGGAATCCTATGGAAGCACACCAACTTTCGTACCGGCAATGCGGTCGTCACTCGCTCACGCATCCTCGTGTTGCAGACGATTATCACAGTCAGCAATTATGAATACATTTTTGCATTCCAATTCGCTCAAGATGCGTCCATCTTCTATGAAGTTCGGGCAACTGGCATTCTGTCCACCGTACCGCATCACCTGGACCAGAAGGACAACGTTCCATATGGCACAGTAGTCGCACCCGGCGTATTGGCGCCTTATCATCAGCATCTGTTCAGTCTTCGGATTGATCCAGCTGTCGATGGCCATAAAAACACATTGTCAATTGAAGAATCTCACCCTATGCCAATTGACGATCCCGCAATTGACAACCTCTTTGGAGTGGGTTATCACACCGTGAATCAGTACGTGGAGAAGGAAGGCGGTTTCGATCTGGATATAAGCAAGGGTCGCGTCTTCAAGTTTATCAACGAAAACAAGATTAATCCCATCACGGGGACACCTGTCGGGTTCAAGTTGCTTCCACAGCCTAGCCAGATGCTACTTTCACATGCAGACTCATATCATGCGAAAAGATCTGAATTTGGCAAACATGCTGTCTGGGTCACTCATTATGAAGACGACGACCACTTCCCGTCAGGCAGGTATACAATGCAGTCTTCTGGCGGCGATGGAATTGCTTCGAATATCCAGAAGCGAAATGCCTCGGGTACTTCTAAATCCGTTAGGAACGCGGACATTGTCGTTTGGCATACGTTTGGATCAACGCATAATCCTCGCATCGAAGATTGGCCTGTTATGCCAAGTGAGAAAATGACGGTTGGTCTTAAGCCGGTGAATTTCTTTACAGGCAACCCGGGCTTAGACGTGCCTGTGTCAACACAAGAGAAGAATAAGAGCGTTTTATACACAGAGAATCTAGAGAGGAAAGTAGAGGTTTGCTGTGGTACTCAATTATGAGCAACATTTTGTGTTAAGATCAGGGAAATCCCCGTCGTTATGTCACGGCACGGTGAGGTATATACTTTTGTGACAATCTAATATTTTATGAGAGCCGCCAGCATATAGAAGATGACCTTAGACTCATATTTATTCGCTCGCTCATATCTACTGCGGTGTTGCTACCACTAAAAGAGGTACCATTGCCCCCGGAGCCACCCAGACCTCCTTGTGTCCAGTAAGAGCGTAAAGTGCTCTGATGGCCCCTGAATGAGCTGTAAAGGAGATCACAGTATTTTTATCATTATTAAATATGTCGTCCAACAGTTGCCTGACTCGCATGACATGCTCGTCAAGAGTTTCTCGGTAGTCTGATTGCCAAAGCTCATCTTGCTCAGTAAAGGCTGACTCAATCTCAAACTCGGCATAATTGCTCTCTATCCAGGAGCGAGTGCTGCGCCGATCGCATGTGTGTTTCCCTAGCCTCTCACGGAGGGCTTCCTTGATCATCGGTCTGAAAGGTTGGTCTGTTGGCCACTCGAGGCCTGAGAAGGCAAGTCGCGTTGTCTCCAGGCAGCGAGTGAGGGGGCTTGTGTAGCATTTTACTGGCATCGGAACTTTCATCTCTCGGATATCACGTTCCAGCGTCGCTTTAATTTCGAGCGCTTGGGATTTACCCGTTTCCGTCAACTTTGCGTCGGCCCAAGTCATCTCATCGTCACCATCTAACAAAGCCCATTTGGCCTGTGGTCTTGGTTAGCTCACATGGTCATATTGCACTAGCAAATGCTTTTCTCACCTCCCAGTCCTCTCTGCCGACTTGCGCTTCTTTGACATTGTGGAAACCTTGGCCATGTCGAATCACAAAGATTAATTTGTATCGGGCTCGATCACTTGCTTCTTTATTAAGGTGATTAAGAAAGTGCATGAAGCGCTCCCATTGCGTCTGCTCATGTCCCGAATCTCCGTCTGTGTCGTACCGACGATGGATCAGCCCAAATCCAGGTAGAGTTGTCTGCCACAGTTCTTAGTCACTTCATAAATAGCAATGAAGGGGCTCAACTAACTGCTCGGAATTGCGGCCCCTCGGGTTGCTCGTCATGTTCAAAGTAACCCGGCAAAGTCGAGTAATTCAGGGAATGATTCGACATTTCTGGTCTGTTTTGTGCTCCGTTCTCTCCGTTCCAACCTTCCGATGAAAGCAAAGATATAACTATCGCAAGACCGAGGAAAAATGTCGCTCTATAAATGTCAACTGCTGCCTGCTGAGTCTGGGCTGCAGTAAGTCTCACAGGAATCGTGGAATCGAGAAAATCGAGAAATCAATGCACATTCGTGCGACGTCTGGCGAGTTCTGTGTTTTTGTTTTGATAAGATTTTACACTTTGAATGAAGGGACTTGGCTGCCTGTATTTGTATTGGCATGGAGATTGTCACGTGAAGCCACCGCATATTCATCCTTCCTGCTCGTCTAAGTTCTGTTTATCACCGCAACCCAGATTGCTATCATGTTGAAACAAAAGTTTAAAACCCATAAGATTATTGATGCTTATATTTCAACATAGTTATAGGCTTTACTTCTTATCACATACAGATTTTACCAGGTCCGACCGATAGTTCAAGCCACCATGGCTCGAAGTCTCTACAGAGATCTGCCCCTCACTTCGCCTAGGTCGATTCGCATCCTCACGACAGGAAGCTTTGATCCAGCTCAGCCTTCGCGTGGTAAATCTAGATGACAACCCATGCTACAATGCACTTTCCTACACGTGGGGCCCTCCGAGCCGTGAGGCTGCGGCAAGAGGAATGGATAGCACTCCAGCGTGTCGTATCAAGTGCAATGGAGAGTCGATTCTGGTGACACAAAACCTCTTCGACTGTCTGCAACAGTTCGCCCATGGCAGTAATCCCATGGAACTTTGGATAGATGCGATCTGTATCCACCAAGGGGGCGAAGAGCAAAACCAGCAAGTGAATTTGATGGCGGATATATACCGCCAGGCGAAGAAAGTGACCATTTGGCTGGGTAAAGCCGACGAACATACTCATCGAGCATGCGCTGTCATAGAGGAGTTTGCTAGATCACAGTAAGTTCGCTGCTTTCCTAATGTCTCTCTAATCTGATTTCCCCGTGACACGTTCCAATAAGTACTCATAGTTGCAGCCTCTGCTCACGCGAGAAGAAATGTTACGCCCATGTCCACAGGCTAACGAACCATGTTGTAGCAGGGCTAGTGGAACGGACCGTCAAGTCATGGTCGACGAGCTCAAACAACGTGCACAGTTGACGGCTTTAGCATCGTTCTTTAGCAGAACTTGGTTTACGCGGGTATGGGTTGTGCAAGAGGTTGTCCTTTCTCAGACAGCCACTGTGATATGTGGTTCCTGCGCGTTCAACTGGGATGACATTACAGAAGTGTCCCACTACCTGGCCACAACCGTCTCCAAGCAGGAATTTCATGCGGCTGGCCTTGAACTGCAGGAGTTGCCGTACAAGAATCCCGCTAAAATGGCTGCTGTGAGGAGAGATCTCGTTCAATTGGCTGTGGTGGAGAAACATCTCAAAACAGAGTGCACCATACTCTTGCATAGCCTCATTAGGTTTCGCAACTGGGATTCTTTCAGAGGGCATGACAAGGTCTACGCTCTTCTCGGGATTCACAAGGCTGCCTTGGGACTGGAGGATGCCGAGCCTGATTCTCCCTTATATCCACGGTACGAGCAAGATATGTGCAAGGCATATATTGGCATCGCAAAGTATATCCTAGAGAACACTTCTGATCTCTTGCTCCTCGTACACGTTGAGGGCGAAGACTTCCAGAGCATGCCCTCGTTGCCTAGTTGGGTTCCAGATTGGAGTGTCAAAGGTACCCTGGGCCTCGGAATCACTGGCTATGAGCGCTTTGATGCCGCCGCCGGCACAGAAGCTTATGCGAAGCCTAAAATTTCGCATGAAAATATTCTTCTGACATTGAGAGCAGCTAAACTCGACACTGTAATCACGGTGGGGGAGACGAAAGAAGAGGTGGATAGAGGCATGCCATTCGTGAAATGGCTAGACATCCTCAATGAGACCAAAGAGCTCTACCCTAGTACCAAAGAACAGCGGCAAGACGTCCTTTGGAGGTGCCTAATTACAAATACGGACAAGAACGGCAAATTCCCTTCATCTGATTTAAGAGAGGAGTTTTCGAGCTGGATTCGTGGCCGCACGGAAACACGAGACTCTGAGTGGATAGAAGGCGCTCGCAATTTTCACAGTTCTTATTCTCATTCACTGCATCTGCGCTTGTTTAGTACGGCAGAGGGTTTAATGGGGGTTGGATCGCAATCGACGAAAGCGGGAGACTCTGTGTGGATTGTTCCCGGCTCGAGGGTGCCCCTCCTGTTACGTCCGTCACAGTCACCTTCACACGAAGGGCGATCGAGATGGAGGCTTGTGGGCGGCGCATATGTTCACGGGTTTATGCAAGGAGAGGCATCAGAATGCAGCTTATCATTCGAAACTATCTGCATAGAATGAACATATTACTATAGCTATATTTCTTTAATACCTGCTACTATATCTAAATTTCTTAAATAGCTGCTACTACATCTACATTCTTTTATTTAATTGCTACCATATCTGCATTTTTTTGTTTAACTGCTACTATATCTACATTTCTTTAATAACCGCCACTATGTCTACATTTTTTTTTTGTTACTGCTACTACAGCCTACTACCTCATTTCTTTCTACACAGCACGAGATGTTGAATAACAAAAACGGTGTTGGGGAAGCGCTCCCTCACAAAAGCACTTTTCAGTGAGCCTATTGGCTGTTTATGAAAGCTGAATTAATGCCGGTATTTATTTTCCCGTCTCACTTTTCTGACTTCCGCTTCATGCTGTCATTTATCATGTTGCATATGCCCAAAATCTCCATTCTGCTTTTCAGCCGCAGCAACTAATCCACTTTACCGACTGCCTTGTCCAATTAATTCTCATCGCTCACGCATACCATATCACTCTGCAGCGGTTTATTCCTCGTCCTCCGCCATGCCTCAGATAATTGGCTCTAGAAGTGGCCTGATTTTTATAACAACTGCGATAGGTACGGTTAAACGGTTTGGGTAGCAGCGATCCCCGCGAAATAGCCCAACATGCACGCTGTCGTGGCATTGTCGAGGCATCCTCCTGTCACAGCGTAGCAGCCCAATTTATCGTACCTCAGCCCCCCCCCCCCCTTGTCCGGTCGATTGAACAGATTGATATTAAATTCCGACAGTCTCTCTTGGTGTCATCATAGGCGAATAGGCTACCTGCGATGAAGTTTGACCTTGAGAACTTCCAAACTGTTTTCTTTCCCTGATGCAATACAAACTTCAATGCCCCCCTAAGCTTCAATATGATTCGCTTGATCAACATTGAGACGTTGAAGCTGGAGACGTTCTCTGGCAAAAATATTCCCAAATATACTATCCTATCCCACACCTGGGGCCCCGATTCAGAAGAACTCACTTTCGATGACTTCCAAAAAGGAATAACCGACAAGCCAGGTGTCGGATCCATCAAGCTCAAGGGATGTTGTGATCAAGTCAAAAAAGACAACACCAAAGAAGAAAAAGAAGAAAACAAAGTGCAATATGTCTGGATTGACACTTGCTGCATCGACAAATCAAGCTCGTCAGAATTGCAGGAGGCTATCAACGCCATGTTTGATTGGTATGCCGATGCTTCTGTCTGTTATGCCTATTTATGGGATGTCCCTGAAGATGACAAGCCACCGTCTGATCGTGAATCCAAGTTCTTCACTAGTCGATGGTTCACAAGAGGGTGGACTCTACAAGAGCTTCTCGCACCAAAGGAAGTACGTTTCTACAATACAGAATGGAAACCCATAGGCGACAAAATCACACTGAACCGTACTATCGAGGACATAACTGGCATCTCATGGCTGGTTCTGAAAGGTATCGACAAAATACAGAATGCAAGCGTTGCACAACGTATGTCATGGGCGGCGCGAAGAGAAACAACGAGACCTGAAGATCTCGCATATTGTCTGTTAGGCATCTTTGACATACATATGCCGATGCTATATCCAGAGGGTGGTAAAGATGCCTTCTTCCGGCTGCAGGATCTGATTATGAGAAAGACCGGGGATGATTCCATCCTGGCATGGGACCACAACGAGTCCCCCGACTACCCGAATCGGATTACTAGCGGGGAGATATTCGCAGTCAGCCCGGCATATTTCGCCAACTCTGGAAAGATTGTGGCCCGAAAGCCCGAGCGCATTTTCAGCGAAATCAATGTGCTTGGCGGTAGGCTTGGCATCAATTTGCCGCTCCATATGACTGAGTCTGGTGAATTGTTTGGATTGCTTAACTGTGGACCTAAATCGACCAAGGAGGGAGTTCAATGTGTTGGAATTCCTCTGGCTAGAGCATCCTCCGGGGCACCAAATGAGTATATCAGGCCAAAGGAGCGTTCTTCGAGACTGCTCCCAGCACTGGCATCTGAGTTTTCGACTGATTGGATTCAAATAAAAAAAGATGGCCAAAAGGATGTGACGATAGAGCAGCAATGCTGGCTTTACGAGGATGCGTCGTTTGCCAAAATTCACTTGGAATTGACGGAGGTGCAGCCGTCAGATTGGTGGGACAAGAAAAAAGGCATGATTTCTCGAATGGATCCTGGCGATGCTCAGCCGATTAATCGAATCTTGATGCGATGTCGCTATTCCAAAACGGAATCCCCGGATTTTCTCTTCATACTCGAATTAAACCAGCCGGGTTCCAATGCTAAGCATCTGTTTCATACTGCGATATGCCACAGAGATGCTTCGCTGCGAGAGCTCGCGGAACATTTTCGACCAGAGCTACCAAACATATCCGGATACGCTAGCAACGGGATATTCAATTTGCACATTACACTAGACTCAGAGGATGGAGGAGATAGAATGTCTCTGACACCCGGCGAGGCGCCTGATTCGCACGATACTATTAATGCATCTTCGGAGACGGAGAAGCTAGCGGCTGTTTCTCAATTCACAAAGCTGTTGAAATCTAGGAAGATGGAGCAAGCGATAGAAGAAAGGCTCAGAATGGATACAAAAGCCCGCGCGCGACGTTTGCAATTCGTCAAGGACCAGCGACAGACGGTAGACGACGAAATAAAAAAGCTTGAGGCTAGAAGGGCGATGCTAGTTGAGGAAGAACAAGACAAGACTCGTGAGATGCACGATCTAGCAGAGGATCAGACACAAGCCAGACAGCGACGGGACAACTTGTTCGAAGAGCTAGCAGTTGCACATCAACGGCTAAGAAGTGTCCAGCCCATCGAGTATTCTGAAGTGGACTTTTATGACTTTGACGTGGACGAGAATGATTCCGACGCGCAGAGAAAGGATGACGATGTGGGCAGGATGTTGTTTCGAGAAGCCATCAAGAATGGCGATATTGAAGTAATGAAGATTCTTGCAGGGTCTGCCGATGAGGACGCTGTAGGCAACTATGGCTGGCTGGTGCTGATTTCGGCGGCCATCAGAGGAGATGCCGACACGGTTAGGGGGCTCCTCGCAACCAATAAAGTTGATCCTGACTCCAGAGACAAAAGAGCTGGCCGGACGGCGCTCAGTTGGGCAACTGAGAATGGTCACACTGAAGTCGTGAAGCTGCTTCTCGATACGAACAAGGTCAATGTGAACTCAGTGAACGGTGACGGAAGCACGCCGTTACATTATGCTTCGTTGAGGCAACATGATGATATTGTCAACCTGCTTCTTGATACGAAGGGCATAGACGTTAACTTACAAGACGTCTACGGGTATTCGCCGCTGCATTTGTCCTCCAGAAGGGGATATGAGGCCATCGTACAACTACTGCTGAGAAAATTTGAGGTGGATGTTAACCTCCGAGATGGTTACAAATGCACTCCGCTACATTATGCAGCATCGAGCGGGTATGAAGCTGTTATACAGCTGCTTCTCGAAAGACGTGATGTGGATGTCAATACTAAAGATGACCATAAAAACACTCCGCTACATTTGGCTGCAGTAGAGGGGCATGAGGCAGCGGCACATCTACTCCTTCTAAGAGCTGAGATTGACGTCAACGCGAGAAATCAATATGGCAACGCTCCACTACATTTGGCAGTATCTAAGGGATACGACAATATTACATACCTGATCCTCCGAGAAAATGATGCCGATATGAATGCCAGAAACAACGATGGAAGAACACCGTTGCATTCAGCTACAAGAAAGAATCAGCGTTCTATTGTGAAGCTACTCATCGACGCGAACCCTATGGGCCTCAATTCACAGGACAGTGCATCGAGCACGCCGTTACATTATGCCTCGGCCGGGGGTTTTGCGGATGTTGCAAAGATGCTTCTCGACACAAATTTGGTGGATGTCAACGCGCGAGATGCTGATGGAGCCACGCCGTTGCATTTAGCTTCGGAAAGAGGCCATACGTCTGTTGTGAAGTTCCTTGTTGACAGGGACGACATAGAGCTTAACCCACGGGACGTGACTGGCAAGACGCCATTACAATGTGCATCTGATGGAGACTGGGGCGATGCAAGACAGCTGCTGCTTAATCGAGGCGCATTCAATATCTATCAACGGACGCTTCAGGGGGGTCATGCCGACAGTATCGAGGGGGTGGCCTTTTCACACGATTCAGCGCTTATAGCATCAGGATCATCAGATTTTACGGTCGAAATCTGGGATAGGATCACAGGAAGATGCCAAAAATCACTCGAGGGTCATAATGGCATTGTCAATGCGGTGGCCTTTTCGCACGATTCAACGCTTATAGCATCGGCATCGGATGATTCTACTATCAGGATCTGGAACACCACAACAGGGCAATGCCAACAATTGTTACGTGGCCCTAGATCGGACATCACTGTAGAGGCGGTGGCATTCTCACATGACTCAAAGCTCATAATATCAGGGTCGAGTGATAACACCCTCAAGATGTGGGATGCATCGACAGGCAGGGCCCTAAAATCGCTTACGGGCCATAATGCAACCATCTACGCAGTAGCTTTTTCACACAACGACGACTTAATGATATCCGGATCAGGAGATGGTGTCGTTATACTTTGGAATCTCGTTGAAGGAACCAGCAACGTATTGGAGACTCATACTGGAATCATTGGTTCCGTCGCCTTCTCGGAGAACTCATTGTATTTCTACACATCGTCACAAGATGGTACTGTTAGAAGCTGGAGTTCTACAAGTGGCCAATGCCAACAAATATTACGCGGTCATAGGGGTCCTGTTTCTTCGGTGGCCATTTCACCCACTTCGCCCACTTCACCTACCTTTATAGCATCAGGGTCGCTTGACGAAACAGTCAAGATTTGGGAGGCTGATACAGGGATATGCAGACAGACGTTTGCTAGCAAAGGTGCTGGGGTTCGTGCAATAGCCTTCTCTCATGACGCGAATTTCGTCGTATCTGGCTTGAGTGACGGCACTCTCAAGATTTGGGATATGTGGTTGGCGTTTTACGCTTCCAGTATGAATCCGCAGCGTGATGAAGAACAGGTCGAGAAGAGGCTTTTGGAAATGGAGGTGCAAGGTAATGATCAGATTCAAGAATTACGAATCCTGCTTCGGCATAACTAACGAGAGACACTAGATCGGAGGCGCATGAGAACCCCAATGGAAGGCAACAGTGGTTTAGAGGATGACGAAGATCCTACGGCCTCCGGAAACGACATGTCCCCCAGCTACATTAACAGCTTTGCCAGGAATATTATGGACGATACCATTTCTAGGAATATGCTTCCCAAGGTCATGTCTCCCAGCAACGGCATGGCTCCTAGAAACGTGCCTCAGAGGAACATGTCTCCTATGAACAACATGGAGCCCATAAACCACTTGCTGCCTATGAATGGCATGGTTCCTGGAAATGGAATGCTGCCTGACATGTACACTGCAAACGACATGCCTCCTATGAACATGGCGTACATGAACAACATGACTCCCAGGAGTATGACCCCCATGGACGGTGTGCCTCTCATGAACAATATGTCTACCATGGACCAGAGAACCCAGAACAATTGGATACAGGGCCAGATGGCACGGAGGGCGCGGGGCAGCCCTGGTGCAGGGATGCAAAATTGGCAGAGTTGAGTACACAGAATGGATTATAGTTGTGAGAATCTCATTCCACTCAAACTACATATTCAGTAAGCTAAGATGGATCATTTCGAGTTCTTAATGATAAGCTCCCGATATCTACCCAGCTTGGGCTTTTAGGTCTTCAATGCCTTTGAGGACTGCTTTCTGTTTCCCATCGTAATTCACTTTTCTCATCCACTCCTCCAAATTCTTAATCCGCCCAGGGTAGATTCTGTCCAAAAGTGCCATGTCTCTAGTCGCACCTTTGCCCTCACTCCAGTATCGCCACCAGGCCGTGAAATTCTCCCTCCAAGTCATCACCGACTTGTCACGAACCGCATTTGGACCTGCAGCCCAGTTTGCGGGCGCGTTGGGGTAAGGTTCGGCCATTTCTAAATATTCTTCGAGAGGCAGACGCTTGTGAACGGCCTTCTTGCCAGTGACTCTGGTAAACGTCTCTGCAATTTCCACCATGCTGACCTGGTCTGTGGCGACTTCAAGATCAAGTCCAGCTGATTCGTCTGGGTTGTCAAAGATCCAGAGGTTATAGAAACCAACATCTTCAAGTGCGATGAGGGGAATTTTTCCGTCGCCTGGTGAAGGATTAGAAGACAAAAACTCGAACGACGGGTGGATCTGTCAACATACTGGCAGGAGTAGCCCAAACAAATGATCCGTCATCCTGCTCCTTTGGCACGTACATGCCGTCCCAGAGCATATCCATGTATGGACCGGTAGTGAAGAGCGTCGTCTTCATGGTTTCTTGGCCGTGACTCAAAATCAAGTCGCCGATACGGCCTTTCGCATCATTGTGCCCCCAATGATATTTTTCATCCCAACCTGCTTTTTTAACTGCGTAGTCTGAGTTTGCCCAGATATAATGCTTGAGACCCTCGTGTCTTGCAATTTCATAAGCTCTAATGCCGTAAAAACCCTCATTTTTCTCGCCAAGTGTGAATCCATCCAGATTAACCCATGCACCATATGCACCATTGAAGGCGCCATGGAGATCGTCCTGGTCGTCCTGGTTACCTTCAAAGAGTGTAACATTTGGCAAAGCAGCTAGCTGTAGGGCTCGAGTCGAGTTGCGGTTTCGAGTCAGGACTCTCACGCTGTAACGATTACTTTCAGAGAGCGCTGGTGCAATGCCATTGTTAGTCTGGCATGAAAATTAAAAGTAATTTTTACTGACCTTTGACAACTGGGATGCCCTGGGCACCCGTTCCGCCAATGACCAAGATCAGCTTCAAGTCGGCCATTGTAGGAAATGAAATCTCGGTCGTGTCCTAAACAAAAGTGTATTCCACTGTAGTTCTATCCAACGTAGCAGCAACTTGTGTCGACAGCAGCTGAATTGATGCAATTGAATCCTTCAACAAGCTAAATATATACTGTAATGGCCTTTAAACAAAAAGCTATCTGTATTATAAACGCTGTTGTATTTCCAACCCCTAGCCACTGAAATAATGATTAGTGATCTTGCTTCAACATACAAACAGCATACCACAAAATGATTATTAATTCGCCACCTTGCGACTTACGATTACTGATCATATCACCGCCAATACTCAATCATTCAGGTATTTCTTGTCTGAATGACTAAAAATTGGCGATCATTATGTTTTATAGAAGCATTGTATAAGTCTATGATTGGTTGTTAATAAAGCACATAATTCCGAACTGGGGACACGGAGGAAAGAATCCCCATCATTCGGTGCGCTTAGGCAATTGACATTACTGTGTGTCTTCGATTGGGTAATATGAACTCATTGATGAACACGATAGCTTTGTTTATTGCGGATACTCTCGAAAGTCTTCCCAAATTTGTTATTCCAAGCATTTACAATCTTCCTCCCGGGTAACTACATCTTCAACAACACATTTTCATTACGATTGTATTTATTTATTTGCTTATCAGGAAAGTTAAATATCGATTGGCCCATTGTATCTGTTTGTATTAAAATATATAATTAACTACCTAGGTAGTCTAGTGATCTGACAACTTGTCTGGAAAGCTATTTTTAGTACATTTACTCGACATCATCTATTAAATAGTTACGGAAACCTCTCCGAGACTCAAATTTGCTAATCCATGGCATAAGACGGGCTGTTGCTACGACCTCATCCCAAGAGTTCAACCTTGACTGCTTCTGTATTCTCGCAATCATCATCTGAATCTCAGGAAGAAGAGTTGTGTCAGGATATGCAATTGTACAGAGTAGCAGAAGCCACAATTGCAGTGTAAAAAGAATTGAAGACTTGTGTGAAGGAATATTGGGGATGTCCCAATATAACACAGCAACAGCCTTCGCAACATATGGTGACGATGGCGCAGGACATGCTCGAGACTGTTGCTTAAGTATAATGATGAAAAGAGCGATCCCAAGGCGGATAGACGTAGAGATGGGCAAGTGTTGCTTTTCGCAATCTTGCTCTAATGTGGAAAGCAAGCGATGAGCTACAGGGTGGACTAGACAACCTAAGAAGACTGCATCGTGCCATACATCGTCGCCTCTTGTAAACAGTTCTGATTCGATGGTTTTTGCAATCGAAGAGACTTCTCTCAATGCGTCGAAGAGTTCGTTTTGTTCAACATCCGACTGACATTCAGTTTCTTTGACTAAGCGCAATAGATCCCAAATTGCAGATGTCCCGGTTCGTGGAGGAGTGGGGAGGAGAGTCGCTGGTAGAGGAAACCGTGGAATTCGCTCAAAAATTATAGCTGCCGTGACATCGATCCTGTTTTGAGTAAGCGCCTATTTTCCGAAAAAGTTTTGCAAAGCATACCAGAAAATCATTAGTTGAATATCAGGTTTCTCCAAGAAACTACTGTATCCGCCTCTTGAATGTATCATCATATTCAATCCTTCAAGATGACAGCGTGCCTGAGTCAAGTCTTCTAATGCAAACTGACCAAAGATTTAGCTTAAAAGGACCCAAACAAGGTAACAGGATACCTACACTGTAGCAGATAGAGTCAATGACAGCCATAATAGTGTCATCGGATAAGGCCATGTCCAGATTTGGATCAGATAATCTTTTTCTTATGCATCTCAATACCTCCGTGAACCGTGTTATAGCTATCATGATACTTTTCTCTGGACTCGAGCGTATAATCTCTGCTACTTGTTGGCCGGTGAGAATTCTGTGGTACAAAGGGGCTTCTTTGAACGCAAACGGAAACAGGAAACTTCTCCCCGGCGCATCTGCGGAATATTTAGTCACATGCTGGGGGTGAACGATGAAAAGGATGGATTATGCAGCTTACGGTTGACCTTGACATTCTGCGTCACGGCGTATGCCAGGCTGTACGCTGGAAATCTACTCGTGTCTGCCAATCTCCGATACAACATAGTGAGTGGGTGTTGATCCAGTGTAAAGTCCACAAGAGGTGTGGGTTTCTGGAGCTCTGTCCGACACCTGTCAGGGGTGCCCAGAGTACTCTCATCAATCGTAGAGCCACTTATATAGGATACAATGCTGCCAGTTGCACTTTCATGATCTCTCGATTCCTCAGACTGACCCTCGGGTGCACTAGCGTCAAGCGTTTTCGCATGCCTCATCTTCTTCTTTGAGTTGCCCTTCTTTGACTTGGCGCGGCGATTCGGTGGCGCCTTGCGTTGCGCTTTAGTAATGTCACGCATAACATGTTGTCGGATTCTTGTTTGAGTGGAAGGCCCCCTATGACGACCATCTGTTGGTCCCGATATATTGACAAACAGGAACGTGTCATCAGATGGAGTAGGGCCTGATGTGTTCTTTGTGGTCACAGGAGCCATTTGATCCGTGGAGCTGTGGTCCCTTGATAGCGAAACTCTTGCTGGCAAGGATGTTTGATGTTCAATTGGCCAATTCCAAGACCGGACACTAATGAAATGCTTTCTGAAAAAGGGTGAGGAGATGTAACTGAACGCAGTGAAACACTTGGGGACGGCAATGTTGATGCGAGAAAGACAACCAACTCCGACCAAGGCCTTCACTCGGATGAGCCGAGACTTCTTCGTCTGACATGATTATTCAGCGATACTGTTCGTATAACTTGGAGGGCGTCTAAGATTCTTAAAGCTAGCCAGCTCTGCTTTAAGCTTGAATTACGCGCTTTACCAAAAGTGGCAAATGGATCCTGTCTCTTTTCTTAGCAACCTACAAAAGCTACGTGACGCCGTCAAGTGGAAACGCGAGATGATTTAGAGTTGCAGATTCTTATGATAAAGCAAGTTGATAAAAGCCTCTTTGGGCAAGTGGATGACACATTGAGTGAAAAGGAACATGATCCATTTGCCATATTAACGCTTTGGAAAAAGCGAATAAGCCACACACTGATGACGTTCGGCCTACAGCCCGGGTAATTTCGTCTTACACGATTGGACTTGTACACACTTTGCCTCTGTTGATTGAACATCGGAATTTTGGTACAACTTATAGACTTTGCTCCTAATGAAAGAGAAAAAATCTCTTAGACTGTCGTAAATTTTTTGCAATTTGTCATCGTCTTTTTTATTTTACCTCTTAAGGATTTGAAATCACCTTTAAAACACGTATATAAGTTGTAACTGTTCTTTGGTCTCTATATTCCTCCTCTCATCATCGCTAATCATATCATTTTATTCAGTCGTTGAATATAACATTTCTACAGTCAGACTCGTCATTTTTGCTTCTGCAAACTGCTCAACTTCGAACTAACCATCGAATACGATCGAAATAATACTCAAGTCCATCATGACTGTCAATACTGCATCCAGTACTGGCTCTGAAACATTTGCAGAGACCAAAGAAATTCACGAGCCGGAGATAGAGCCAAACACAAAGTCGTCCACTCCCAGCAACAATAATGACATGGTAGATATCGAAGCTGTAACAAACACTAAACCCAGCCAATTGTCTATGTTCAAATGGATTCTTGTGTGCTTTTGCGTCTACATCTCGGACTTCGTTTACGGCCTTGACACTACCATTGCCGCCGATATCCAAGGCGCGGTAACCCAGACTTTCGGAACTGTCGATCAACTTGCATGGCTCGGCGCAGGCTTTGCTCTTGGTTCCACAGCAGTCATTCTTCCGGGCGGTGCCTTATTCAACTCGTTCAACTAAAAATGGCTATATGTGGCTGGTGTCGTGCTTTTCGAGGTTGGTTCTGCGCTGTGTGGTACTGCACCAAGTATGAGTGCTCTCATTGTCGGCCGTGTTCTCGCTGGCGCTGGAGGGACAGGCATCTATCTTGGAACTCTCAACTTCTTCTCATCCGAATTGGTCTCGCCGGAGCGTCGTGGAGCTTATATCTCGGGTATTTCAATTGTCTGGGGCCTCGGCGCCGTGCTTGGTCCTGCTATTGGAGGTGCCTTTAGCATTAGCAAGGCAACTTGGAGATGGGGATTCTATATCAACTTGGTTCTCGGTGCACTTGCAGCTCCCATTTGTGCATCCCACCAAGGGCGTCTCAATCAAGGACCGCCTGCTGAGGCTGGACTTTGTCGGCTTTATACTGAGCGCTGCTGCTTGGAGCATCTTCACAATCGTCTTTATTGCTGGTGGCAATAATTGGGCGTGGAAAGATGGGCGTACTATTGCAAGCTTGGTCATTTGTGGTGTCTTGACTGTGGCGTACATTCTGCAGCAGTACTTTTGCATTCTAACGACGCCATCAACACGATCGTTTCCCGGCCATTTGCTGCGCTACAAGGTTCATATTCTTCTAGGGACCAGCACTGCGTGTGCAATCTCCAGTCTCTACGTCGCTATTTACTACATTCCTGTCTACTTTCAGTTTGTGGAATCCGACTCTCCATTGAAAGCCGCTGTCAGAATCTTGCCGCTTGTCCTGGTCGCCGTTGCGGTCAGTTTCTCAAGTGGTAGCCTCCTTGCCAAAGTCAAATACTACAAGCCGCACTACCTCGTCTCCGGCATTCTGATTACTCTAGGTAGCACACTCTTCTATGTTTATATCGATCCTTCAGTCTCAGCTGGTGTCATATACGGTGTCAGCGTTGTGATGGCTCTGGGAATTGGTCTCACGTGGCAAATTGGATACACTGTGGCCACTCTCAAAGTATTGCCTCAAGATATCGGAAATGCTCTTAGCATTCAGAACTTGTCCCAGATTGGCGGATCTACCATCGCTTTGGTCATTGCGGGACAGGTTTTCCAGACGGATGCGTTCTCCAGATTGAGCACGGCTCTTAACGGTCAAGGATACAGTGCTGCACAAATTCATGATGCTGTAGCAGGTGCACAGAGTGTTGTGCTAAGCTAACTCGAGGGCGAATTGAGAGATCGTGCTCTGCTTGCAATCACAGACGCAATAAGAACCACCTGCATTCCGGTTATCACAGCTGGGGCGTTGATCTTTGTTGCAGGCTTGTCCATGAAAATGGAAAAACTGTTTTAACAGGAAAGCCAACTCTATGCCAAATGTCAATGAATTGAGTTCGGCAAGGACCACGATCCCTACAGATTTACAGTTAGAAGCTTGCTCAGTTTTAATGAGACTCCTGTTTATCATTGTCAGATGACACTACAGAGCTGAGCTATCTTCATGGCTGGATGGGTTTTCACATTTCGTTATTGTAACAATCTTAAATAGATTTGTAATCTATATTTATTTACATAATATCTTCTTTTGCTTTAACGGTGGTGTCTTTTTCTGCTGTCTCTAATTCAGTCAGTATGGAACCAATGTCTTCGCAGTTTAACACGTGAATTCAGGGATTTATGACAACTATTTTCCCTTCTGCACAGACTTTTGCTTTTTCCAGCGCCTTATCATAATCTTCAAGAGGATACGACCCCAGAACCCCAAGGCCACCCTCTGCATTAAGCTTCAAAATACCCGATTCAGCCAGCTTTATAAGCCCTTTAACGTCTTCGTCCTCGTACATGAGTGAACCTCGCAAAGTGATGTTATTAAACATCATGAATAGGTATGGTACCGGCAGCGTGGTGTCTCCTCGACCACCAAGGAGGCACACACGGCCTCCCTTTCGGACAGAGAGGATGCAAGAGGCAAGATAAGAGGTTCCAGTAGCGGCCGCCGGTCCGATATCAACAAAGGCATCGATGGGACCTAGAGTTTGGATAGCGCTGGCATCCTCCTGCTCGCCTTTTAGCTGAACCGTTTGGATACCCGGGAATCGAGCCTTGAGTGCATCCAAGCTCTCGGTATTGCGACCACCAGCAATGACGTTGAGGCCAAAGGCTCTCGCAATGGCAATAGCGCCATTACTAAAAATACCAGTCGCTGGGCATATCAAAACTGTCTCTCCCGCTTTAACATCAATCCTCCTGAGACCTGCGTACAAGACGGATAGATAACCCAGATGCAAAAGGTCGCGAGTTTGTAACCCCAACTTGCCAATGAGCCTGTCATCGTTCAAGGCCCAGGTATTCTCCAATGGGGCTCGCACATATTCGGCCCAACTTCCGTCACGCCAATTGTTCTTGACAAACTGTTTCGTTTTCGGATCGAAGCCATCGAAGCCGCCCCAGACCACAGCTATGTTAGGATCATCACGAGCTCGCAAGTTGGGTTCAATGAGCACCAGCTGGCCTAGACTGAATGCAGTGGTATCTGGCCCAGTGGCTGCAACGCGACCAACAGCTGCACCCCCAAAAACCACAGGATAAGGCAATGTCATGCCAGCAGCGGCGTTGGCTCCGTCAAAGAAGGCGGGCGTAGTCTTGTATAAAAGCACGTCGATTACGCGGACGACGATGCTTCCAGGTCCTGGTTTTGGAACGGCAATGGTTTCAATGGCGCCGTCACCGGGGCCTTTAACAACGAGCGCCCGCATTGATGTAGGCAAGTCCGCCATTGTGCCCTAGCCTCTGTATTATAGCTCTCTTTCAGCGAGTAAGAAAAACTTGGTTGGTTGAATCATCTGTGAAAATAACCAATGATTCAATGCTGAGGCGCTCATTATGTATATATACGCAATTTATCTTCTAAGTTAACTATTATGTTGTTGCTCAATAATACATCAATTCATCATTGGGATTTAGTAATGTAGGTAAAGAAGTCTTTACCCAAGTTGGAAATCGCAAGTCTTGGCAAAATACCCTCATAGGCTACTTACTAATAGGAGTTTCCGTCCAACTCAACTTGACCCATAATATAGACTATTTGGCAACTCATTTGGATATGTCAGACCAGGTCAGACCAGGTACTTTGGCTGCGGTTTGAAAGCAGCAAAACTAATTTGAACTTAGCTCTCTATAGCGAGTTGTGCTGTGAAACAGCCCCTGCGGTTATTAGACGCTGACAAATGTCGCCGGTGGCCTGTCTTAAATGTGACAGGGCTGCCCACCGAGATTCCTTCACCAATGCCAAGACTCATTGTTTCCAGATTGGGAGCAATTGTTGAGATCCGATAACGTCGTCCCCAAACATGAAGCCGATTGCCACAACACCATTTATAATTGTAGCCAATCCTGAGACGGAAGGGCTCTCTTCAGAACAGCGGACTGTAGTTCACTCTTACGCTGCCCGAACAGCCCATGCCAGGGTGAGGATTGCTAGAGTCAAAGCATACCAATTACTCAAAGCTACTGAGTTCCAGCAAGAACAACCACGACACCCCCGAGAAGACGAACGAAGCGTAAAGAAAACTCCATCAAGACCGGATGTGGGGCTAGAGTTAGACACCCCAGCTGTCCTGATATCGAACAGCGGTCCAGGTGGTCTAGGTTCAGGGAGGGGAGATCCTTTTGTGAGCTTCGTAAGGCCCTTGACGAATATGGATCAGTTTTTGCTGGATCAATGTGAGTGGAGTTGGGCCAGATCATTCACCCATAGGCGGCAAACCAACAGATTGACAATGCTTGGCAGATGTGACAACGGTCTCCCCATATCTCCTAGAACACTGTGCCAGGTTTAGATTTCCTGGATCGCCATTTGTGGATAGCATGATCGAAGAATGGGTACGACTCAGTCTCAGTGACATAGGGTTTCTAAGTGGTATCTTGCTTATTGCGTCTCGGTACCTTTCCATTTTCCACCAGCCATATCACCCACACCAGAATCAGATGTATACCGAACAAGCTACTCGGTACAAGCTAGTCTGTTTGCAGACTTTGAACGAGGCCATCTCTTTCAACACGGGACAAGGGACATTTAGCGACTCAGTTATAGCCGAGACGATGGTATTGGCATTAGATGAAGTGAGAATCCGGCTTGAGGTGCTTCTAAGGTCGTGCATTTTTCAGAGCTAACTATAGGGTTTCAATTCTAGATCTCGCTGGGCGACTTGGAGACGTCTAGGCGACACATGCAGGGGGCTATCAAGATGGTAGAGCTCAATGGTGGCCCGCAGACTTTGGGCTTGAATGGGTTTCTCGAGATGGTGTTAAACAAATTTACTAGCCAAGTAGGTCTGTCGAATCGGTTTTTGGCACCTGCGAATGCAAATATCGCATCCAATAATTGACTTGAGGACTGCGCATCTTTGGCTTTTGGGGTGGAACAGAAAAGAAAGCTTAGATTGTGCTATAGGAGCCCAGTTGATCGCATTCAGGTATTTTGCCTAATCTGCTAGTATTACACAGCACTAAATTATCAATCTCTTAATATAAAGGCCTTGAAGGATATCTCCATCTATTTTCTGACAGGAAATTGGCTGGCGGTGGCCAAGGCCAATGCCACACTAATTTTATCCGGAGGTTACCAGCGGAGACACAGCGTCTGTATTGCAAAGCACCTGCACTAGGCAGTCCCAACGCTAGTTTGCAGGTTGGCTCGGACATCTCCTTGATGTTTTACAATGTCATCAAGCCAAGTCCAGCAGGTTGTTCAAGAAGCACAACTGGCCCAGCCTTGACAGTCGTTAAAGTCGGGGCACCAATCTTATCTGTCACTACAGCGATAATAATACCTCGCGCTTCAAAATGAGATGGAATCCTAACTTCAATATCCGTATGGGGCCAACCAGCTGTATCAAGCGGTACACTAATGTTAGAGGGACCGTGGAAAAAAGTTGCGTAATACTGTATACCCCGGCGGAAATTAGGTTGATTGGTTGGGTCGGTAAAGTTCAGGACGATGCTGCTACCCGGCTCCATTGATTTGGTCGAGCGTGCTGGAGAAAAGGGAGGCAGATTCTGTCTTGGTAATGGGTAAATGGGGTTTTCAGGCGGACAACTCCCAGGAACAATAAATGCATTGGTCAAGTCGAGAATCTCGTTAGCATAAGGAAAGACGGTGTCAGAAGGGCCCGCAAATGGATTTGTCTTCCAGATGTCGAGAAGAGTCCACGTCTCGTGCCGCGTCTCTGTAGCAGCAATCGCCACCATGGCACCATGAGCGGTAGGCAGCTTAGCCATTTGAACAAGCCCTGTCAGGAAAGTCATGCTCGAAATCTCAATCACTGTTGCAAGCGCCAGAAAGGATGCTGGGCCGTCAAACGGAAATGAGTATTTGCAAGCCCCAGGCTTGACAGAAGTGGCGGAAATTTCGTTCTGGAATATCCGCAGATGACCAGCTTCATTATCACGGATCTCTTGAATACGATCGTATGTCGTGTTGGGGTAGCCAGCCTCAACAAAGGCCGTAGCATTGAACATCTCTACCGCCTTCTGGTAGAACGAAAAGATGACCCACTCAGCAGAGAGTAAATTCTGCCAAACGAGGTCGTCGATTCCCGGAGGGCCATCGGCGGTGGGCTTGATGGGATCGGTGATATCTGCCGGGAAAGGAGGAGCCTTGCCCCTATACGAGCTGTACAGCGGGTCTTGCCCAGGCACTGGGCCATAGTTTGGGTTTGCGAGTTGCTGAGCATTTGGTTTGTGATCAGAGGGTATAGACGCCGTATTAGCGACTGAGTGCAAATATGCACTGAGTAAAAATGCTTTGAGCAAGTTCATGGTCACTGGGTAGGACGAGATATATAAATCAAGTGATTGTGATATAGTGAATGAGCAATGTGATGAATTGTTTGAGGTTAAACATGATTGATGTGCAGTTTATTTACGTCTTTATATACCTTGGATTGAGTATTAGCTCCCTAATTAGGACCCTGAAAATAACGTATCTCGGCATTCCCTCTGGAGTAAACTATTTCGACGGCAATTGTACGTTAAGCTACTGCAGACGTCACTGCTCGCAGAATCATCTGTTTTAGGAACTTCAGGGGCTATGCCAGGAGTGGCGAAGTATAGTTGCTCCACAAATCCTACAGACTACGTCAATCTCAGGTATTTTGACAGAATTTATTAATTGAATAGGATGATCTACATTAATTAAAGGGGTTGGAAATAATTAATGTCAATAATAAGCAAAGAGATTTTAACTTAAACTTATGTGAGCTAGAGGAAGTGTAAGCACTTCTGCCTGATTTTGCGGTACCATAGCCTATGACTGAGTTTGTAGCAGAAGAGTATCTACCATAAGAAAATTAACGTAGTCAAGTGCCTTGTTATAGACATGGCTTAGCATGTAACATTGCATCGAAGAAACTCCGACATTATAGTTGACATATGGAGCTATAAGTCTCGCATCCTTGTTGCATCTTGGGTCAGTCGGAGTTTAGGGTAGTGGCCGCGTTTCTATTTGCAGTCAGAGGCACAAGCTTCTCCAGGGAAGGTGTAACTGGCTATATCTCTCAGCAGATATAGGGTTTCAGCATGGTGAATAGTCGCAGCTGGTTTCATTGTCATCTTGTATTCACTCTCACACACTGGGAATCGTTAGTACGGCTAGTGAGGGAGAAAAGAGATATTTGTAGAGAGAACAATTGCAGGAAATATTGCGCGAGATTTACTTATTAAATACTTTGGAACTCGATCAAACTGCCCTCTGTGAGACTGGAAACCACCGTATAGCGGCAATTCACGGCTGCAAAGTAGATCATAGCATTTGTAGGGTTCTAAGTGCCGGAGGTTTAACTAATTCAGCCGATTGCAGAATCCCCCAGCCAGGGAGTGGCATAGTAACAGACAAGAAAACTCCAAAGTAGAATTGGATGCGACCACGGATGGCCTGTCGATCGTTGGCAGTATACTAGGCAACCAACGTATCCGAAATTGGAGTTAAGCACAATCCCCAAGACCAACTCACTCATACTATCTATTCTAAACGAATATCCTCAGGGTAGACTAGCCTCAAGAGGAGGATTCAGCGATTCAGCCTCAATATCCCCCTGAATCGTAGCAGCTTACATGTATTCATCAGGACAAGCTTCGACCCAAGCCTAGCCACATCGGGAGGATTATGCGATATGGGCTCACCTTGGCCTCTAACGTTGCCTGCCTCCCAGTTGTTTTCCCTCACGTATCTCTGCATGTATTTTCAATGTGTCTTCTGATGAGTACTTATAATCATTGAGCTTTCCACTTTCAACATCCAACACCAACATCCAACATCAACATCCAAACCCAACATCCAGCTCTAACATTCTCTACTCAACGTATATCCTAGCCGGCTTGAATCTTGTCTGCCTGTCAAGATATGACCCTCGATAGCCACGGAAAACTTGCACTGGTGGAAGTGATTGTCTACATCCCCATCGGCCTCTTTTGCATTTACAATAACATTCGACATGGCTTCAGAAGGGACGCTGGATGGATCTATCTCACCATATTTACCATCAGTACGTTTTCCGTCTATTGCATGTTCTTATTGTGGAAACTTTTACTTAATTAGAAACACTCTTGCAGTCAAGATAGCGGGATCCATCATGACAATGGAGATTGAAAATGGCAAAGACCAGAATCTAACAACGACGGCTGCCATTTTGAACACGGTCGCACTCTCGCCTCTACTCAACGCTTCATTGAGTTTCTTGAATGTCGGGTATGCATTGGCCTATCCCATAAAGCCTGGGACAAATCTAAACATGACTAGATTGAACAAGTCTCGATCGTTCACACGTCACATTGCAGCGGCATTGAAACCGCTTCATTTGCTCATCATCTTCGGCCTCATCCTCAGCATTTCTGGCGGTATCAGTCGAACAAAAACATCGCAAAACAGTCTGGATGACGGCGCGCGGGAACTCCAGGCCGCATCTGGCGTGTTTGCACTTACTTGGGTACTCATGGCCTTCGCATGCTTTATATATGTGGCAAACATTTATCATGTTCAACGTTCTGCGAAGAGAGTGCGTATAAATTACACCATCGGATTATTTTAAGAAATGTCAACTAACTTGAGCTAATAGCTGATTGTATCAGTAACTCTGGCGATGCCCATGTTACTCATACGAGTGATTTGCTCGGGGCTAAATGCAATCAATCTCGATACTAGCTCTTCCACCGGACATACTGCAAAGTTTAACCCTGTCACTGGTGACTGGCGCATATACTTAGCGCTAGGCCTCGTCCCAGAATTTGCTGTTGTTCTTCTTTACACAATCTGTGGAATCATCAACTCTCTCAGCAAGGCTAAAGATACTGCATCTGAATACGAAGGAATTGAATCCCCCTAATTCACGATGAACTCAAAGCGGTGCATTTCACGACTGTAGCTTAGCAGCCAGCCACGTGGATCGCACTGGCGGCTGCTTAGCCACCCTCCTAGTCTACTATACATGTGAATATTTATTATTGGTATAGAAAGGTGCCTGTTGATGATGTATAATAGATTTAATATCTTCCCAAAAGAAATACCTAGCAGTAAGAAAGCAATGTACCATTTTATGTATACTGGTAATTGATTCAAAGGTACAAATCTGGTTAGCATCTCGTATGATTATCCAGGCCAAGTTAGCGAGACACTGAATACATGTAAGAGGCATCCAATGCCATGCTCATCGCAGCAGCCCTTAACCCAATTTGGCTCATTCCGCGACGTGGGTTTAGTAAGAGGCCGCATCACTGCTGCTGCGGCTCGCAATCATGTCAAATTCTCAATTTTCCTCTTTTTTTTTCTTCAGTTCTGGAAGCATTTATGTTCATACAGTATACAATTCTTCGAAAGATAGACAGCTTTGGGCCACGGAGTCACTGCAATATGAAGCATGGTTGGCGTCGGCGGTAGAAGTCGCGGCTGCAAGACTTGTCGTCGGGCTCGGGTGAAATGTGGTAAGGAGTATAATCTCGAGAACTTGCGAAGCCTGATCTCGGCCTGCATGGCAATTTATGCTAACATATCTAGATGAAACTCAGCCTACTTGTCGCCGCTGCGTTCGTCTAAACCTACCATGTGAAGGTCTCAATGCTTTCCCCGTCTTCATAGACGGTCTCTCCTTTGCCGAGATTCGGGAGGATGACAAGAAACCCAATAATGTCATGACAAAGATTTCGACACCCACAGTCCCCAGTAATCCCAAAGTCGATGAGGACGGCTTGTTTCTGAACTACCTTATAAGAAGTCTCTTCACAGCCTCTCAAGTCGAGATTTCGACGAGCAAATCCAGTGTGTCTCCCTGGCTAACTGCCTCGATTCGGGCGACCAATCACAGCCGCATCCCGGACCTTGCCATTCGAGCTTGTGCTGCTATGTATTTTGGAAAGACACACTGCCAATTATCTGCAGTCGAACGGGGCGCCAAGTTATATACCCACGTCCTCCGTGAGCTTCGGAAAGAATTGATCGACTCCGAGCGAGTCCGGCATTCTGATACTTTAGTGACTACTATATTGCTAGCACTATATGAGATGATCTCCTTCAGTGATATGAACGGATGGCTAAGCCATTTTCTGGGAATCGGACACCTTGTAAGGCATTAAATGGAGACTTTGGCTCTGCAAATCTGACTGGGAATTGTTCCGTCGCAGATCAAGTTTCGAGGGGCTCAGAATCATCAAAATGGCAATGATAAAGACTTATTCCTTACTACGCGCTCTTCTATTGTCAGTCGATACCATATTGCCACCATCTACATTTTAAACTGATAAAGCATAGATTCTTGCATATCTCGTTCGGAACCAACGCTGTTTTCTTGAAGAAGATGCTTGGAAAGTGGTGCCGTGGGCAAATGACCCAACTTCCAAGACAACAATGGATTGCCTTGTTGACATATTCTGCCACTTGCCTGGTGTAGTGGAAGATATGAAAGCGTTAAAAGCCAGTACGGGTGCAACAGAAGAACTCTCAGTATCCTACATCATCCTTGGCTTCCAAATCAAGGCACTCGTGGCAAGACTTATTAGTTGGAGGATAAAATGGGAAGAGGATCACTCGAATACTTATTTCAATGTCGGATGGGACATTTTACAGCAGTTGGGGGTCGCGTATCTGGACTCGTACCCCTTCCCCACAGCAATCTTCTTCTCCGAACCTATTCGAGTTACGGAACTTTGCATGTATGATGCTCTCTTAATTCTTCTGCAACAGCTCTGGAAGCAGCTTCCAGACTACGTCGGTCTGACATCTCCATTTGATGAGGTTAACTCTTGTTGGCCCCAGCCATCAATTTTCTTAGCTCCCGGAAATGGGTCAGCAAAAGAGGTTGTTGGAGAGATTTGCAAATTAGTTTACTCCCAATTTCTGAGCCATCCCGGGAAAGGCGGTGCCCTCCACGTTATGTTCCCTCTTCAAGTTGCGCAACGCAGCATTAGCTCCGAGTCCCTGGAGGCGCAATGGCTAGGTAAGGTCGTTTGCCATATTGCAGATGACTATGGATTTAATGTTGTCAGGTACTCTGAAGAGTTTAGAAAAGGCAGAATTATTATATGAGTATCATAGGCAGCTTTTATAGTTGCACTATAAAGATTAACTTAAACTTCACCGATATAAACGAGATGGATTGGGACAAAACAATGCTTTGCGCTAAACTAAGCCAAGTTTCCTAACCTAGTTGTCGGGCTGAACATCATCCGTGAAAACAACTCCCTTACTTGCTTGACCGGCCGCCTTCTTATCCAAGCTGATGTTGTTGTTGAGCTTGGTCTGCTCCTCATCAATCTTATCCTGCTCGTCTTTGCCCTGAGCCTGCTGGATCTGGAGCGCAGTCACCTCCAAGAACAACTTCAGAACCTTGTTCTTAATCTTGCCATTTTGCAATGCAGTCGCATCGGCACCACTTGCCGCCTTGATTTGGCCGTTGAATGCATCAGTCTCGGCTGCCTCTGCAGTCTCTCGGGCGGCTTGGATAATGGCCAGATCGCTAGCAGAGACGCCCTTCAGATTGCTTGTATCAATCTAGAGCCAATTAGCCAAATAATACTGAATGGCAGAAATAGAAACTTACCGGGAACTTTGCTTGAACTTCAGCCAAAGCATTTCCGGCCTTGCCGTCAGAAACCTGAAAATCGGCGTATTCGCGGAATTGCAGTGCTCTCCTCTCGAGGGGCGTGATGCTCATAGGCAGGGCGAGAGCCGAAGAAACCAAAGAGATGGTGACGAAGATGTTTGAGAAATGCATTGTGAATGTGGTTGAATGACAAAGAATTGTGGTGAGTAGAATAATCGTTGTGCAGGTTCAAGGAATGAAAGCGAAAAGTAATTTTGGTGTGCAAGTATAAGAAAAGAAAGTAGCAATGCCGTACCAGACGTTATTGCTATGTGAATATTAAAAGTAAATGATGTTGTATTGGAATGGAATGTCTCAGACTGTCGAAAAGCATTATCGTCAACTGTGCAATAAGTGAGGATTTATATATTCGGTCCCGCGGTTGAAATGAAACCGAAAACTAGGGACACACGAGAGACTCGCTATACTAGCACCGAGGCAGGCTATGTCTGGCGTTTCAGGTGCTGTTACGGAGCCGCCTCCTTGAAGCTTCTGGGGTATTCCCTGTAGCTGTAAGCGAGTAAACGGGTGGATATGAACAAACACGGGTTTTGAGGGGGGCTGTCATTGTTAATTGAAAACTGGATCAAACCGGCGGTTATTGTTTCACTGTAAGGGGGTAAATGATAGATGATATTGGCCTTGTTGCTTGGTGTTGTTCTCGTAACCAGCGGATTGTACGGAGTAATAACGCGGCGAATTACCAGTTCCGGGGATGCGGACATTTGGTGAGCGAGCTTGGCGCCCGGTGGAGATGAGCAAATGTGAAACAACATCAGGCCACAATCATAATGAATACAGAGTTTACCTTATACATAAGTGATAACTATAATCGTAAAACATTTGTTTAGCGAGAAGTTACCGCGGGATGTGACAAGAGATCGGGATTCGGGAAATGGGCATAGAATTGTTGCAGGCTGGGCAAAAAGAACCCAGGACTCCGTAAATTCCGCTCAATTGGCATTACGATAATTTCAAGACTAGTCTAGGTTAAACCCAACTAAAAGATCCAGGACATCGACAAAGATATCACTTCCATCTATGGAAACTCTCTCCGAGCGCAGGTACACATCGGGCATTGGACTTCTCTGCACATGCCACTCATCGGAAGGAAGAGCCATGGAACGAGTAAACGTGGGAGTCGCTTGATTCAATGTCGTAGACGAATACCATGTCATATCGCCACTCTCGATTTCTTTGCCAGAGAAACTGACTGGTATGATTTCTATGAACATCTGGACATCAGTCGGCAAGCGATGGAAGACAACAGACATTCCTCTGTCATCCTTATCTGATAGCTTGTAATTCAGCGTAAGCATTCTTCCATCTCTGTGTTGGGGGCTAGACGAAGACAAGAAGCCGATGGCGCCATCTAAATCGTACCAACTGCCGCCTGCCATATTGTAACCTATATTCTGGATTGGACTGCTGCATACCATTCGACGGAAGATGACATCACCACTGCGGAAAATAATTTTCATTTCAGGAACAATAGAGACGGTCTTCTTCTTCGAGACTGATGAAAATATGATGCCCTGCCTGCGTCGGTAACACAATGTGCGAGGACGACTCACCGTCCAGCCTCCATTCGATAAGAGGGGGAGAATTACTGAGCTTGACGATGAAGGGTCATCCTCAAAGTGGCATAGTAAAGCAGCGTAGTCGAGGACTCGAGTTTGGGCTATATCCGGCCCCTTCCAGTGATACAATGCATGCATCGTTTGCTGCCACATTGGCAGATCGAGGCGAAATGCGTCGCGGCCAATCTTCGTGGGCACGTTTGGATTGTCCGGGCTCTTGTAGAATCGAGCCGCCTCTCGTGACACAATAATATCGCCCGAGTGCTCAAAGTCTTTCGGGGACGCGGCGAGCAAGCCGAATAATTCCAGCTCACAAGTGGCCGTGTCTGGCTGCGAAGGCTCCTTTTGATGAACTTCCGAGTAGTTTGTAACCTTGGACGCGATATCGGCCTCGTCGAGGATTGGCCCCCACGCAAACAGACTGTGATCGTCTGGGGTTGAGGTCATGATGGCTTCTTGGAGTCTGATAAATGCCCTGTCGCCTTCGCCGTAGATCATGGGCATGTTGATGTCAAACAATCCCAAGAGGCAATACGCAACGTCTTCTAGTCGCGAGGTCTGGCGCAGTGCTGCCCATGACATTTTCTGCGCGACGCTCGCATGTCTCAAGTCTTGACCCTGTAAATATTGTTTGTTTATCCTGGTGATGGATGAAACAATGTCGACGAAATCTTTTTTAGAGCCGAGCCGTGTCCACTCTTTGGAGTAGAAGATGAGCTTCTCTGGCGGTGGCGCGAGGAGCTCCTGCAGAGTCCATCCGCGAGTGAACCATCGGCTTTTTGCCATGCGCTCTTCTAACACGGCATGATCAGACGTTGCTTCTACATCCGAAAGCACAACATAGCACACGGCAGCCATTGAGTACCAGCGAAACATGGAGTTTATCGCCTCGGTAAGCTCGGCACTACTTGACTTGTCGATGCAACATCTGTAAGAAGAATGAGAATTTGTATATGTTCGTTTTTCTGTGGCAAGACTATGTGCCTAGGGAAACACACGTATCGACCCAAACCTATTCCAGCCCATCTCGAACGGCTTGCTCGCGACACGCCAAGATCTTGGCGCATCCAGCTTTGAGTTTGACATCGGAGATCGACAGGTTCTTCCAGTCGTGATACGTAACCTCGTTGAGTCCCCAGGTATGTGAAAGGATCGCATATCGTGGGGTGGCATCGTCCGAGATGAAGTCGGCCATGTGCCATTTGCTGGCGTGGAGCAACCTCATTGGATCAACAGTATATAGGACTTAGCTGTGACAATAATTCCATTGATACAAAAGCTTTAATTTGATTGATCATCGCACGCAAATGTCGATTTTCACAGCTGAATAGACGATCTACGCGAGTGGGGTAAACAAATTGGTAACCTAAGCAATGTGACGCACTTGACCCAATAGTGTTGATGCTATCGCGCGCTATAAAGCCGTTACAGGAACACAAGAGTGTCCAAGTACACGAATGCAACATACGGTGTATAGGTAAGAACTAGGAAGCGTTAGACTGTGTGATCTTGCAGGAAATTCCAAATACAATGATCTTTGATCGTCATTAGAATATTTAAATGCCCCGATACGAACGTCAATTAATCCTACTCCTGCAAAAATGTTGCATCCCATGGAGCGTCAATTTGATCCTCTGTCAGCTGCAAATACGCGGGCGCAGACTCCTGCATACCCACCCTACACCACCAAAGATGATGGTCATGATGAGCCTGACTCTCTACGACGAAAGATAATTGATGCGCCCAATGTATCAGCTACAACTTTACCCTCGGCATCTCTTACTCAGTAGTAGTATAGTTTCGGAGGGTTATCTTGGTGAACTAAACAATTTACAAACTTAGTTAATACCCGTACAAGGTAACGGAGTAGATGAGGAGCTGCTCTACTCCCTTCCCTTGGGATACCAGGACTGTGAATGAATTACATCTCACATGCATCCAAGACCATCATGCCCTTTGCCTTGGTCAATATCAGCCCAACAGGTGTTGTTGAACACCCCATAGCTTGCACCTTGAGCCTATTAGGTAGCTATGCTCTGACTGTTATCTCATCCGTACTAATTTCTGAGGCTTGTGCCTTTCCTGGTTCGGATGACCCCAGCGGCGGAAAGATTCTCCGTCAATAAAGGCGAGCCAGCGTATGAACGTAAGAACCATCTGCTCCCACCCACCCCCCTTGCTTGTGCAATTATTCCCATCAATCCGACCAGTAATGAACAGCGAACATTATTTATAAGAAACCTCAAACAAAATGGAAGACAACCATGAAAAGCAGATGAAGCCAATCCAATTCACTGCGCCCATTGAAGGCCAGCCGGGGCCTGAGTGGCGCGACAACGAGACAATTGTCCGCTCTCACGCATTAAAACATCATATATACAAGCAACGTTATCCATTGTCGGTATATAATGGACGGACTGAGAGCAGCCACACACCTAAAGATATGAAACATTACACGGGAAGATACCGATTAAATCCGACTCAGAAGCCCGTTAAACAGACAAAGCGGAGAAGCAAAAAGTGGCAAAAACAGCATGCCGCCGATGCAAATGTTTGACAGCGATCCCTTGTACCGATATAACCAGATTTGTGCTTATTCTCCATCTCAGGACAATATTCAATATGATTTGCCTGCAATGATCGGTGGGCGACTTGATCCGTTCGACTCATTTGCGCCAAATCTGAACCCTATGAGCGACTCATTAATCCTCTACTGTAAGCTGCATGTTACCTTTATTTCCAAGTCTTCCATACGCACTGTTGATTCTAAATCCCAAGATACCCTTGCCTTCGCCCCATATACCCCTCATATGTGCTGATACTTCAATCTGTAATGAAACACAGATCATCAAGTTTTCTCCATGAATTCTCCCATCCTCAACTTTCCACGAGATTGTTTCCTCCGCTCTACACCTGACTTGGCGTGGTTTCATTCGATTCTGTATATCGTATCCGCAGATTACGATGTGAAACTTGGCGTGTCCGATTCCAGCTTGAGCCTGTACCACGGCGGCGCCAGTTTTAAATTCATCAATACAGAGCTCCAGGAAAAAGTGATTCGCGATTCAACAATCTCGGCAGTGGCATTAGTTGCTTCCAGAGAGGTGCGTTACCCTCCCGAGAATTCTTGAGTTTTGCTGAAATCTCTGTTTTTTTTGTTATCAAGGGAATATGTGGCAACTTTGAAATGTCCAAAGTACACATGGAGGGACTAGAGCGAATAGTGAAAAAACGAGGAGGGATACAAAACATAAAAGGAATACATGCGCAAATAGCGACTTGGTAAGTTGGACGATGTTCGTTGTCAGTTCATTGTCCATTCAGCCACTCACTGCATATAGGTGTGACTTTTGCTACTCAAATATTTGGAACCTCCAACCGCGGTTTTCTCGTCTCTATGATGTACCACCAGAGAACAGCCTTAGAGAACTTGATCGAACCACCGCTAGATCTCCGGTATTGGGAAGTATTGCTGGCATAAGTTCAGAAATGGCTTGTATATTATGGTCATTTCATGATGTGTCCTCCTCTTCCACCAATGCTACTCCTTGCCCTTCTGATCTTCAGAAAACAAGCATGCAGATCTATAACATTGAATACGATCTGCTTATGCTTAATGAGACACCAAATTCTCAGAAGATTAAGAGATTATCGAATGAAGCCGCCGCACTCAAAGTGGCTGCCCATTTGTATCTCTACCTGTTGTTACGGAAACTTCCAAGCGGCTCACCAGTCTTTTCTGAGCTAATTACTCGATTAAGAAATGCCTTGGACAAGTGTGATGAAGTATCCGAGGATTCACAATACGACAGGCTGATATGGCGTCTGTGGATCTTACTCGTTGGCTATGCAGCTGCTGCGGAAAGGGAGGATAAGTGGAAATTCGTGGAAGGCTCACGGGCGATATGCAAAGCTCTTCATATTACACGTGGAGCCCAGCTGAACAGCTCGTTGAGAGCAACAGTGTGGCAAGAACTAACGTGCGAACGTTGGGCTAAAAGTCTTTGGGCAGACTGTTTGCGTGTGCGATGAGATGCGTAATTGGCATGGTGTGCCTGTGAGATTTGACGGCCAAGGCATAAGTCTTGCCAGCATCCTGCCGATAGAGTAGACAAAATATTGGAGCAGTCTCGTTACTACAAAGTATGCGAGTATTTTATAATATAGAACTTGATTGGTATCCATATTAGCATATTTGAACCATTGGACTTTCTGTAATGGTGGACTTGGGTAAGCCAAGTCTAGGCATGGCTGACACTAGAGGTAAACCCAGTCATATACCTGCCAAGTTCCACTCTTTGAGAGCATTCAAAATTACTAGATCCAGTATGTGTTTTTACGTTCGCGGTAACGATGACTCTGCCGCAAGAGATCGCAGACTGGGGCATCGAAATTACATACTATGGAAGAAGAGCTATAAATCTCTTCTCCCGCAACCCTACTGTCTGGTGAACACTACTATCAATTCCCAATTCATAATTGAAGTTACATCAACATCATGGAGTTGAACCTCGCAAATGTCATGTTTTTTGGCCACGGCGTTATCTTACTCGGTAATGGGCTGTACATGATGCTATTCACCGGGAGAGCGCTTAAACATCCTATGATGAACAATACACCAAAGCAAGTAATTGTTACATTGGGGTAAGTGCAGAGAAAATTATTCAGCAACCTCAAGAAGTCTAACATTACCGTAGCATCCTATGCACAAGTCTAGGCTCAACGTTTCTCTACGCCGCCTATCAGAATAATCGAGGTATAATGGGGATCAGCATACTCAATCGTGCTATAGGGGCGCTGGGCTTGTTTTCGACGGGGATGCCGGGTATGGTGCTCTATGAACTTGGAATGGGTGGCAGCCTTTGGTTTGCGATTTGGCTTAATAAATAGTTTAGAAGATCTCACATTGTGATGGGGCTGCAAAGCCAAGAGATGGTTTGGGAAACTTTCTTCGACGTAGTAAAGCGAGATGTGCTTGTGCGTTTTTTTCTTTTATTTTCCAACCTTTCATTACCTATTAACTAGCACAAATAGCATTCATGCTTGATATACTTATTCTGGTTAACCAATATCTGAATACAAGGGAAGATTCGTACTATTTGAACCGAGTACAGTACTAGCCATAGGTCGGAAGAACAGGGTGCCGAGTTCTTAGATGTAACTTAATTTCGCATGTTATACCTCTTAAACATCAGATACGATGTGAGTGTGCAAAAGCAAGCATGAACAGTGGCACTTTTGTGTGTTGCACTTCATTGGGGAGAGGCTCAATCTGAGGGAGATAGCCTCCGAAGTGTCCTACAATGTAAGCTTTCGTATCTACGGAGCATTTTCTGGTGCATTTGGTACCCACCTACTGTATCAGGCAATTTTTTTCTGCTGTTTTGTTGTGGAGCCGGCTGACGAGGCTCAACACCGCCTCTTCTCTTCCAATTGATTGTCTGCCAGCGGGTCCGAGGCTGATGTCCTTGTCATAGCGCTGGCTTGTGCGAGCATCTAATATTGTATAGAGCCAGGGTATGTAACTGGACAATTGATGTTACAGTTGTATCTAAATGACTCACCGTATTTTACAGTTACCCTCTAGTTTGCCTAGCTCGACAGACCCTAATCATGCCGATGAGAGTTGAGGCTATACCGTTTGGTTGCATCCTTCTCTGCCAACAAACTAGTATGCCTTACTTTTATGAAGATTTATGTGTTCATTGTCAGCAGGAGAACAACAAAGGAAAACTCGCAATGTTGGTAAATGCGCCAATGTGATCCAATAGTTGCAATAGCGATAGAAACCAATCTTTTCAATAGACTCAAAGTTCTTATGCGCTTTCGTAAAAAATAAATATGCGATTTTGCACATTCCTTTTGACCCCACAGACCCAAGTTGTAGGAATTATTAACTAGAGTCATGACGGGGCTTTGTGTAGCTAACATCTGCAAAACCGCACGACTCCCTTTCGATAATGATATGTGTGTTTAACCCCGAATTTGTTGTCGGCGAAAGAAACAAAATCTGTCTGCTGCTTAGAAATAAGAGATGGCTTAGTGAGCATTGAACATAAGCCAGGAGGACGATAAGCGCTCAACTTCCGTTCGGCCGGGAAAGCGCACGGATGCATCTATGTGATGTCACACGCTTATAAACCATCAATTACCTATTCGATATCTGGCCTCTAGGTGATTAATGTTCTGCTGTATAAAGTACAAGACAAATGGGATAGGTCTCTGTCGGATCTATACTGTGCAATTTTTTGACCTCTGATCGAAAACGTATCTTTTGCTTTGCCAAATCAAGTCATATAAAACACTCAAAATGTCGCAGGTGAAGGTTTTAGTAACTGGAGCATCAGGATATATGTGAGTAGCTTGTACAATTTGTTCAAACACACATTCTGAGTATAAGCAGCGGCGGTAGTGTGTTACAGACGTTAGTGGATGACTTTGGAAGCGACATCTCTCTTTCTGCACTTGTTCGATCTAAAGCAAATTATGATGCGCTTAAAGAAATGGGCGTGAATCCAATTTATTTCAACGGTTTACATGATCTCGAAACCATAAAGAGAGTCGCATCTGAGCATCAAGGTAAGTGGAACAAATTTATATACTGATAGATCTCTATATAACTTTCTGCTTATATACAATATTATGCCCTAGCTGTTGTCAGCTGCGCGAGTTCTCTTGATGTGCCGTCCTGCTTGGCTTTGGTAGAGGGACTGGGGATCGGAAAACAGGACACAGCGCAAGATGTATTCTACATCCATGTAAGTACCTTACCTCAGGAAAATGATCATGCGAGTCTAAAAGTAGCTAGACTTCTGGTACATCCAATTTTGGAGATCATCCTATCACGAAGACTGAGCTCAAGGACGTGACTATTAGAACCGATAAGGATGACAACTACGAATGGGAGAAGAATAATGCCGATGCCTGGCCTTCCAGGAAGGTTGATGTCACAATTATTGACGCCGGTGAACGTTTTGGTGTCAAAACTATCATTACAAACCCCCCACTGATTTGTGCGTTCACCGATGAATCAGATATTTAATGTCGACATAAGTTTACTCTGGCTAATATGTTGCTCATCTAGATGGTCGGGGAAATGGAATAGGCAACCAAAGGTCAATTCAAATCCCCGCGCTTGTTGAAATTTCTTTGAAGAAGCAGCAAGCTATTGTTTTAGGGAAGGGCGAAGGTGTAGGTTCACACAGACAACAAAAGTTATTGGTCGAGATAGCTAACTCGGTGTCCGTTCTTAGCTTTGGACAGTCGCTCATATCTCTGATGTCGCTGCATTTTACTCACTTGTGTTGAAGAGATATCTCGAGGGGCAATCCATTGACTCTGGAAAAAGCGGCTACTATTTTCTTGAAAATGGCGAGATCTCGTGGCTAGATATTTCTAACAAAATAGGTGAGGTAGGATACTCAGAGGGCTTGTTTCCATCGAAAGAGATAAAAGAGATCACTTTGGAGGCATTTTCAGAGGCGCTCGCAATTCCCCATTTGAAAGACCTCAACATGACTGAGGTAGTTTGGGGCTCCAAGTAAGTGAAAAGAAAATCTCAAGGTTATTGATCATAGGACTGATGCAGCCACTCAGTGCTCGCATTTCAGCTATTAAAAGTCGTGAGATTGGGTGGAAACCTCAGAATGACCTCGCAGAATTTTACAAATCCATTGAAGACGAGGTAAACTCTTACCAAGTTCAGGGAACTCAAGACTAAGGACTCTAAAAAGCAAAGAATTGCGATGTGATTTGCTTAACCGATGCACTGGCAACACATAGCTTCTTATCCAGCTAGCTATCATAGCCTTATATTACAAATATGCACATTCAAAATAAACATTAATATAAAGGACCACACGCACTGTACTAACCATCGAAAAGCATCAACGTTTCGTCATGCAACTATCACCAATGTTAGTTATGATACGTATTTTTAATTGTATCCGGTAGATAACATACCGGCTGGCAATGTCGGTTCGGAAATGCATCCCTTGGAAGCTTATCGCCTCCACACCTTGGTACGCACCCTTGACTGCATCCTCCAGTGAGTCGCCGTACGCGGCAACGGAGAAAACTCTACCCCCAGCAGTGTGTAAGACGTCTCCTATCAGCTTCGTACCCGCATGAAAGATGTGGACGTCTCGTGAAAGAATCGGATCAAGTCGGAGAGGTTTGCCTGTTGAATATGGTCCTGGATATCCCGCTGAAGATATCACGACATTGCAGGCGTAACCGGAGCGAACGCCTAAATGGGCATCTTTAAGAGTTCCTTGAGTGCATGTCAATAACACTGCAGCTAGATCCGTATTATGTGAGAGAAGCAGCATCATAGTCTGTGTTTCTGGATCCCCGAATCGAACATTGTATTCTAGAACCTTTGGGCCAGATCGTGTTATCATGATGCCTGTTAAGAGTAGGCCTCGAAAAGTTCGGCCTGGAATACCGTCGGTGAGATATACGACTCCAAATAATGAATATTGAACCAAATGACTTGCAACACTGCAATCACTCACCTTCAGCCCGTAAACCATCAAAGGTAGGCCTCAAGATTGTCTCCTCAATTTTGGACATCATCGCATCCGTAACAAATGTCGTTGGGGCATAGACACCCATCCCGCCCGTGTTAGGGCCTGTGTTACCATTAAAGATTCTCTTGTGGTCCTGGCCTGGTGGAAATGACTTGAACTATTTGCCATCGCTGAATGTCAAGACACTGATTTCGTCGCCCTCGAGGTACTCTTCGACAACAACAGACAGTCCAGAATCGCCGAATCTGCCGTTTGCAAACGAATCTAGCTCTTCGCAGGCTTCCTTCGCTGAAGAGGGAAGCACAACGCCCTTGCCTGCAACCAGCCCGCTAGCCTTGATAACGGCATTGTGGTAAACGGTTTGTATATAGTCTTTGGCCTGCTCGAGGTCCGCGGCGACACTCAAGTCAAAATTTTGGTATTCTGCGGTTGGAATTTCATACTTGCGCATAAAATCTTTGGCATACGTTTTGGAGCCTTCGAGTTCTGCAGCTTCCTTTGAGGGAGCAAAGCATGGGATTCCACCTAAGACACGATATGAGCAATCTCCAAGTGAACAATTTCACACTGCATACATACTCTGACGAAAATATCCTTCAATACCATCAACGACGGCGCTGTCGGGGCCTACAACAACCAAGCCAATGTTAAGCTTTAATGCCAGTGTGACTAGAGCTGGATAATCTCGTTCAGTAACTATGCTTTCGTCGACGACATTGGAAATCTTTTCCGTTTGAACGGTGCCTCCATTCCCAGGAAACACATAGACATGTTCAACAGATGCGGACTGCGATAGCTTCCATGCCAGCGCATGTTCTCTGCCTCCTGAACCGATCAAGAGAATCCGACGTTTGTGGATATCGTCATTCATTGCGAAGATGGTGGGCTTGCGATATAAAAAGCTGGGGAAAGATGAAGCAGATGGAGAAAGATTAAGAGAGGGGTGAAGATGGACCTTCAGTTTTATATCTGTTCTTCCACCTTGATGGCTTAATCCGTGCCAAATGTTTAAAGCATAATTGATGCTCTTCAAGCAATGGCGCTTTCACTGTGAGAGTACGGCACAATAGGTCAACCAGGCTTGAGAGGCTGAATCATCATGGCTGTGTTTAGCTTCCATCGCAAAGATTGAGTGGCGTGCTGACTGAATAGGAAAGTTTCATGCGCCTAAAGAACAAATTATAATTCCACTGATGGCTAAAGTAATATTTCCATAGATAGGTAGGGGATGGAGAGTTTCGAGGCGCCATAGAGTGTGACTCATGAATGAAGGGTTCAGGGATTAATGATTGTGAGGCCCGCAAAGATGCGAAGTGTACAAAGACGGCAGTGGGGAGTGGATGAATCGAAGACGAAATACGTTAGTACATACCTAGGTACTTTGTGTTCAAGGCGAACATGCCGATCTCTCTTGTCGGTCTTGTTTTGGTTGGAATACGTTGCAATAGATGAATTGGATCATGGTTTGAATCCATCCATGGCAACAACCATATTGGTCGCAGCTATCACATCGCCGTTTATAATCTCCCGTATAGCGTACATCAAAAGCAGTATTCTCTTTTCAGTTCATAATATTTCCAGTTCTGTCCAATAATAGGAATTTAGCCCGCAGCACATGGCGCATTAACTCTTCCTCGCACCTTTGTAACTAAATGCAGTTATAGTAGTAATTTGAGGGCATCTACAGTCCTCCATCTACTGACAGACAAACCCCCAGCGCTAGCAAGTGATCCGCTAAACAAATCAAAGAGATGTCCGCCTTGGGCCGCTCACAAGCGCCATTTCCGAAATGACCGACAGCTGATAAATGCGGCCGCCTTTCCCCCCGCTCATCCGCTTCAACAACCTCGCGTCTTAAGTTTTCTAAGGGCTTCCAACTCAGGATATTACTTTACAATGACCTTAGCGATTTATGCCTGCGAACCATGTCAGCAGCGGAAGAAGCGATGCAGCAAACAGTTGCCCACGTGTGGTCTTTGTGCCCGGTATGCTCACTGCTTGTTACACAGGCGGCGTACAGCGGTCAAACTAACTGTAATGTAGAATGAAGAGACCCTGCAAATATCCGCAGCAACGCAAACCCAGGATGCAATCCCGCAGTATCGACAGCAGTGATCAAGTTAGCACTGGCACACAGACTAATAGATTTCCGCCCTCTTTCTTCATTGACCCTTACATCTTCCAAAGTTGCTCCGTCCAAATCCCCCAAAGCCGAATTACAGTTCCTAGTCGGGTAATAGAGTATCTTGAAGACGTTGCTTTATTCAAGGGTTTGGTCGCAGAATTCTTTGCAACTATACATCAGTGGATGCCAATCATCTCGCGTATACGTCTTCATAGCCTCTTGACAAACCAGCCCCTCCATCAGCAAGAACCAGACGCTATTCTTCTACTGCTCTCCATAAAACTCATTCTATCAGTACCTGAGCAGAACAAGAGCGAATCAGAAATATATGTTACTGCAAAGCAATTTTTTCTCATGGTTGAGATGGCAGGCTGTTTGACTCTCCAGCTAGTCCAGGCTGGGATCATGATTAGTCTCTACGAGTTAGGCCATGGCATTTATCCAGCTGCCTTTTCAACCGTCGCCGCTTGCGCCAGATATGGAACAGCACTTGGGATCGATGATTTAGCGGTAACAGATTTGACGAGGGCAGGTGGAGAAGAAAAGCTGCGAGTGTGGTGGGGGATCCTTATTGTTGACCAGTGCGTGTGCCAGGCCTTAAGGTTGTATCCTTGAAGGTTTCAAATTATACTAAATGTTTTTGGCCGCAGTATTCTCAATGTCGGCACTCACGGGCGTCATCTTGCCACTCGAGGTCCGAAAAGTGACCAGCCACTGCCGATGGATGACGATGACTGGGATCGACTGGTGAGGATATCGCGCTTTGTGATCTTTCTCCAACGAGTCCATGACACTTATTAAGACTTGATGATCATAGATACCTACGTCCAAACAGCCACAGGTCCTTTCTGCCCCAACAGAACTCAAGGCTGGTCGTTTTGCTCGAACAGCACAGGCTACGAATCTTCCAAGTCTAGTCTTTCAATACTTGAACAGAATGCGATCTGGCCTACAGCCAAGTTACGAGCATCTTGATCAACTAAATCGAACGATCTTAGCGCTAGGTGATCTTGTAGAGGAAGAGGGGAATCAAAGAGGCATTGTTCTTTGCTGTCCTGTAGGATTTTGCAGCAAGTATGACAGCCTATTCTTGAGATTTTGCAGTTCTCCAGTATTGACGATCTTCAGTGGTCTATTACTACTTAATACTCCCCACCTTGACGGTATCCCGTCGGCTCATCTCACCAACCAACAAAGACACACTTCAGAACAGATAGTTATATTGGAGACAAAGAAGGTAAAAGTCATTGCTGAACAATATGAGAACGGAAAGCGAGGTACTCTCAACGAGACTTGCCCTTTGCTTCTCAGCTGGCTTTATCGAGCAGCGATAACTACACCCATCCATCCCGTGATTGATGGTGGCAAGAATCGGGAAGAAGTGCTTCCAATTTCATAATACCATAAAGAATATAAGCCAAAGATGGCGTGTCGCAGTTAAGTCAATTGTCCAATGAAGTTTATTAGAAAGTTTTGTCTGATCAAGTCTCAAGGTTCCCATCTTCAACTTCTGGAAACAAGGCAGTTCATGACCTCTTAAACCAACTACTGTCAGGCAATGTGAATAATTTCTGGCTCAAGCATGAAGAGACCTACTAAAATGGGAGTTAAATATGTGGTGCACTTCCGGCAACAGATATTGGTGGAGTGTTGCCAAGGTTTTCGAAGTCTTCGAAAAGTTCTGCTGTATCAGGATCCTTCAAAGCGGCCTTCATGTCATCTTCGCTGCCCCATTCGATTGTAGTCCCGAGCAGATATAGAGGCTTCCATCCGTCCAGCACGCTGTCATATTTCGTTACATGCCAGCTCCTCAATCCATGCTTTTTCCAGATCCTTTCGACTTTGGGCATGTGTTTTTCCAAGTAATAAGTCATATCGAATGGCGTGTCTGCCTCGTTTGGGTATAATAATAGGAGAGTATAAGTCATTTTGACAATGAACACACTCGATGGAATGGAAATTATTACGGATAGCTCTCTAAAAGTAGGTATAATGGCTCTTATAATATGAATATGGTAGACGTGGTAACCCGATTCCTTTGTGGTCTTTAGGGCGATATTTTATTGTATTTTAATGACTGTTTAATCTTTCTTATAACATTTCCCGAACTATCTAATTCCCTCCGTAAAAACTGCTCGCTCAGCTCTCCAGCGAAGACACCTCCTTGACCAGCTTTACATCTTTAACTATTTCTTACATGCGCTTACATGTATTTTCCCAATGAAGATAAAGAATTCCTCAAGGACCAGTAGGGGAATTAGACGACGCTGACCCCGCTGACCCCGCCGTCGGCTTGGTCGGCCGCTCTGCCGCCTGAAGTCGCTCAGGCGGACAGAGCGGTTGCAAAACACCGCGGTTTAGTGGGGCGCCAATGGAGTAAGATGCAGCAGAGTCTTGGTTCTAGACAATATTGTAGCAGAATCTCGGCTTCAGTGTGTTCTCGTGGCTAACAAATTGTGAAGTGTTCTGAGGCTGCACTTGTCGTGTGTCTCTTGCAGCGATGAAGATGAGGGTAATGAAGAATATATAAATGAGAATGAATTACTATTGCTTCAACATTGAGATCGCAGTCACGCAGTCTCTCGCTTCCTTCGTCCTGTAACAAAACGCTCCCTTCAAGAGCAATTCCTCAGCTTTTATTATCATGTCTCAGATCAAAGTAGGCTTTATCGGCCTTTCGTCACACGCAAAAGTCAAATGGGGCGCAAATGCACATCTACCCTACTTCCAATCATCCCGTAGTAAAGAAAAGTTTCAAATCGTGGCAGTTCAAAATTCCAGCACAGAGTCCGCCCAACAAGCGATTAAAGACTTTGGGCTACCGCCAGCAACACGTGCATATGCCGACCCCGAAGTCCAGCTCGTCGTTAACGTTACTGGCGTGTTCGCTCACTATCCCTCGGTCCTTCCAAGTGTCAAGGCTGGAAAAGATGTTTTTGTTGAGTGGCCGCTTGCAGACAGCACGGAACATATTCGGGAACTTGCAACAATAGCTTCCGATAATAACATTCGAACTGGTGTTGGGTTACAAGGCCGTTTTGCTCCAATATTCTTAAAGATAAAGGTAGTTCTTGCGTCCGGCCGATACGGAAGAGTGTTGAGCAGCGAGGTCAAATCCGCTTTTCCACATAACCCTCGAGATGTTTTGCCTGTTGGATGGGATGCTTTTGCTACAAAGAACTTCGGCATCAATACATATACAATAAGATTTGGTCATTGTGAGTGCTTACTGTTATTTTTTGCTAGCTCATTAACAAGGCAGTTAACAATTTGTACCTAGTGATCGATGTGATGCAGTCGATTCTTGGCGGAGTACACAATATCCATACACATTTCCAAATTCAGCGTCCGGAGTTGAAGCGCGTGGATCTCAGCACCGGTGAAGTCGTGGGAACAGCTCAAACCGATGTACCGGACCTCGTCATTTTAGTTGGTTCTCTCAAGAAGTCGGCGATTGTTCGCGATGGTGCAACTCTACTTGTGCGATATCGCAAAGGAGTGCCTTTCAAGGGCGAGCCAGCCTTGATATGGAGCATCAATTGCGTGTCGTCTCTCCCGGTGGCCCGGCATTGCAGCTCAATGTATACTCAGAGCCAGTCACAATTGAAGTACATGACTTTGCCACAGACGAGGTCAATCCTATAGAGTGGAGGTGGTCCGATTATCAGATGGAGATTCCCGAAGACGCAAGGGCTACTGCTGCGTGGTATGAAGCCTATGCAGCTGGTGTTGAGAACGAGGCTGCAACGTTTCAAACTGCACTGCACCTACAAGAGCAACTGGAAGAGTGGCTTGCTAGTTTAAGGGATAGTAATATCTTAATATTTTAAGGGAATCCAGTTACTTGTAAAAGCCAGCAGCAACAATAAGGAACCATCTATCAATAATTCTTTTCATCAGAAGGGATAGAGCGTCGATCGCCAGCGAACAAAGGTAAGCTATGCGCACTCCTCGGCACGAAGAGAATGGGTAATATGGCATCGCACTCAAAGAGAGACATCTGGTCATTTTCTATAATTATAAATCTACGTGTTTTGCGCGAATGATCGCTCTTTGGTAAACTGTCCATAACGCTTTATGCTTATTAATTTGCTTTTTCATCATCCACGACTCGTACAAGCAAGAAAAGACATCTCCGCGGCCACAGAAATATTTTTACGGAGTACAAGTCAGACAAATATGAACCAAGAAAAAATAGCATCTCAGAGCCGAGTTAAGCAGAGCCGAGTTAAGCGAGAGCCAACATAAATAGAGCTCATCTCTTTTAAAACTTCATTATTCATTATTCAGAATATCTTTTTAGTAACTATATGCCCACTATCATGGAGGCAAATCGGTTATAGCTAGACTTTGCATATAAAGCGCGCGCTCTTCATATTACTTCGGACGGTGGCTTATAAGCGAAACATAGAGACTAATAAGACGTTCTCTAAATCATTCAATTTTTGTTGTTGATTTATCATTTATACTCCTCAAAGAATTGGCTGAAGTGAAAAATCTCGAGGCAGTCTCCAATTATGAATGACTATGGAGATCAGGTGCAAAAGCAAGAAGCAGACGACTCAGACACCCAAGTTTCCAGCCATGACTCTCAAGACCTCGACCCAGAAACATGGACTGCCCTCGGTCTCTCTCGATTCCAGGAAGTAATGTTTGCTTCAACCCTGCTTATGACGCAATTCTTTGCTCAAGCTGGGTTGGGACAAACACTCTCGTGAGCCTCGCATTTTTACAAATCCCCCATGCCGTTATAATGCTTACGAGTCGATATAGCATCCTGAAAGTCATTAATGCCTCTTTTCACATCACGAATCCTAGGGAGCTAAGCTGGTTAATAGCCGGATATAGCCTCACCATTGGTTCCTGCATTCTTCTCTCCGGACGCTTGGGGGATTATTTCGGTCACAAACCTCTTTTCGTTGCTGGACTTGTATGGTACATGCTTTGGACCATTATATCCGGTCTTTCTATCTATGCCTCTCAGTACCTTTTTATTGTCTCCAGAGCCTTTTGTGGAATTGGCCCATCGATGTGCATCCCTAATGCACTGGCAATTCTAGGGCGTGCTTATCCCCCAGGAACAAAAAAGGTGAGCCTAACAGCACAATCACTGTGTTGCAATGCCTGGTTTCTTATTTCACCAGTTCTATAGCTAACGTTGGACAGAATATTCTTTTCAGTCTGTATGGAGGGCTGACCCCTGTTGGTGTTATAGGCGGTGCCACCATATCCGCATTGTTCGCCGAATTTGTATGGTGGCCTTGGTCCTACTGGCTGATGGGCTGTATTACTGCCGCTGTAGCATTATGCGGCTACTTTGCAGTGCCTTGTTGTCAATCTCACTACGAGAGTCTTGAACCAAGGCCATTACTGCGAGATGTTCTCTGGGCAACAGACGTACCTGCGGGCCCTTTGGACATTACCGCATTGGTATCCTTCAACCTTACCTAGAACCAAGCTGTTGTTGTGGGTTGGGTAACGCCGTATATCCCAGTACTTTTAGTCTTGGGGATTCTGTTCGCGATTGCATTCTTCCACATAGAAGTCAACATCTCTCCCTCGCCGCTTATCCCATTTTCCATCCTGACCGGCGATGTGGCATTTGTGCTCGCCTGTGTAGCGGCCGCATGGGGTGGCTTCAGGGCCTACGTCTATTATTTCTGGACAACCATGCTGATTGTGACAGAAACACCGCCGCTCTTAGCTTCGGCATGGTTCTCGCCGCCAATCCCCGTCGGTCTTGGAACGGCAGTTCTAACGGGCTATCTTGTGGCCAGGGTTCACCCCGCCATGCCAATGGTGATGACAGAAGCCTGCGTGCTGGCTGCTTGTCTCCTACTGGCAACTTTTCCTCCAGGGCAGACTTACTGGGCTCAACTGTTTCCTAGCCTGATTCTCGCGCCTCTGGGGCTAGATATGAGCTTCCCCGCTGCGATTTTGGTGATGAGCAATGCAATGGGAAAAGAGCACCAGGGCATGGCTATGAGTTTGGTTAATACTATTGTCAACTACAGCATCTCTCTCAGCCTGGGGATAGCGGGGACAATTGAGCAGCAAGTGACAAAGACCAAGCCTGAAGGTCCAGCTACGGTGCTCTTTGGATACCACAGCGCAGAGTACTTTTCGTGTGGCATAGTAGGATTTGGACTTTTGCTGAGCCTTGTTTTTGTGTGGCGTGCACAGAGAGAAAGCGGTTTAAGGATGACTCGAAGTGCGAGTGATGTAGAAAGAATAGAGCCTTAGAGATCTGATCTGATTTAATACAAGACAAAGTTTTAGAGTTGTTTCAAGTAAAAAGCCTCTCACCGTGCATCTTGACGAAGCGACCGGCATCCAGAAAAGGAACAGTAGGACCTTGCGATACGAGATTCTTTGTCTAATACATGATCGCAGAAAGTTTCCTTATCGCGCCATCTCCATCAAGTACACACCATCCAGTACACGCCATCCGGCCTTTATGCCGATGCCGGCTTCGGTGTAACGGCCTCCTATCGGAAACTGGCGAACCGAAATCGCCGAACTCAACAACAGAAAGATGGTGTGCACTACTTTCTATTGCCGACATCTAAAGAAATATGCTGCCAAGGCTACCTATCCGACCCCTGTTGATCGCAAGTGTAGGTATGAAGAGAAGCGTAACGGAAACACATTGGGTTCCTCCGAAGCCGATTTGGCGTTGCTTGGATCAGGCCAAGGCCAGATTGTGAGTGACGATATAGCAAGATGTACGAGAGAGGTGCACAAACACGTGGACCGGCCAAGCAAATGGCACGCATTCCGGAACAAAGACAATAATGAGAGTATCACGACGCATAGCTCCACCCTCGTTTGTATTCGTATATGCATTAGAAGAAAGATAACTAACATTTCAGCACATAGAATCTTGCAATATGCTTCAAACTAGAGAATGTGGGCATCCTATAAAAGTGCCAAAGCTTTCCTCCACTCCCTCTTCTACTAGAAGACGCCGTCTCATTTCGCAACAGTTGCCAGAATCTGAGCCGGCACACAGTCAGAGTCATAGTCAGGAGTTCCAGTGTATGTAAAATACTCCACATAAGACCACGCGCCGTAATCGAGATCGAAATCCGCTATGCACCACCGCCAGCCATTGACAACCCCCTCCGGCTCCGTGTAAAGCAGCTCATAAGTATCGCCGCCATCACCATCAACGGGGCTCAGCAGCCACCCCGCATCGAGTGCGGGCGGGTAAATGGTGGCATTGACAAAGCTGAATAAATAGGATGACGATGTGCCGACGGTTTCTTTGAGGTTGATGTAGCCAGTGGGCCCGAGATCATAGAAGCTGCCGTCGGCATTCTGGCCTTGGCTGTACAAGAGTCCGTCCTTCAGGCTGGCAACCAAGACCGTATCATTGGCATCTACGCCAACGTAGTGGAAAGTTCCGACAGGATATCCAAAAGCAGGATCGTATTGGTTGTCCCGTAGCCTTAACTGGAAGTTGCTATCTTTATTCGTGCCCGTAAGGACATGAAAGGTATAGCTTTCAGTTGTGGTGTTGATGGAGAGTGGTGTGGCAGAAGCAATGGTGGATAAGAGCCCGAAGGCCACCGCGATAAGCGCAAACATGATGAGTCTTGATGATGAGAAGAGGGAATAACTTTGCGGCTTTGATGCCTGAGATGGATGATAGCAAGAATAGAAGAAGTGGCTTGCAGATTAGCAGATTAGTGATTTCTTGGCGATATAAATGCCATCGGACATGAAAGGAGGGGTCGCATATAATTTGTCGAAGGCATGGTCAAGGATTATCTAGGCTGTACCCCACGAACTAACTGCGGGCAACGCTGCGATGCATGAGAAGCACCTCAGTCACAGCATAACGCTATCCTGTTCGAGAAGGAAGATTCATGGACTTGGAAGATAAGAGGTCATGTTGCATACATTTATTGGTTTGTTGACTGTGTGGATGAAGATTGAAAAGTTCCAACCTCCATGGAGATGCTCGTTGTTGACGGAATGGGTGGACAGGATCACGCATATGATGTGGTAATCCATCACCGTATTCCATCACTGTATTGCCTATTGTGAAAACCGTTGCATCGATGGCTGTTCTCCACTACCCTATCGGCACCCTGTTTAGAACAGGTACTGATAAATAGCGTCATACAATGCATATAAGTCAACATTCTATCTCGTATGACTGGGGGGAAGCCATGTGCCATTCTACAAGTTGGTACTTGTAGTCAGACTAATAACAACCATAACAATGCAACTTTCAAGGGGCGCTAATTTGGTAAAAGACAACTAATAACAGCGTCACCATTCGATCTCCTTCATGGGTAGACATAGCCACCATTATTTCTTCACTACATGGAGGTTTAATACTGTACATACATGATAAGTATGCACTCATTTAATAACGCTATCCAACTCCATTCAATACGGATAAGGATATCGATATCCGAAGTGATTCGTATTTCCGGCTGCAGCGTGCTGCTCGTGTGTGTTCTGCAGGGTTACATTGCCGTTACTCCATTCTTGACATCACTTGATGCCTTATCTACATACCTTCCTCATCCAGCACAACCTTGTAGGCATCACTTCAAGCTGCATGTACTCTATACGATGCTCGTGGATGGAATCGGAGCAGCTTTGTTGTATATATAAGAGTTTGTTGAGTCTTCAATTTCGTAATTCTGCTGTAGTTGTAGTATCTCCTCATCCTCTTTAACCAGTTTGCCATCGACTCAATTCGACGTGCAAACATGTTGTTCAAGTCGCTGGTCGCGGCCTTTGGCCTTCAACTTGCCGTTCAAGTCGTAGCAAGTCCTCTCTTGCGCGACAACGCCAAGGTCCCAGCCAAGCGTGATGTTCCATCTACCCACAGGCTTCATGAACGCCACCCGCCCCGCACGGCCAACCACTGGACTAAACGGGAGAGATTGTCCCGAAAGACTGTTTTGCCCATGCGCATTGGCTTAAAGCAGCGAAACATTGATGCGGGACATGCCAGGCTTATGGATATGTCAGTGTTATCAATCTTTGAATAGACACTATACTAGAAGGGAAAGACTAACATTCGAGTCTATCTCATGTATATAGCTCTAACCCGAGATCTCCCAACTATGGCAAACACATGACTGTCGAGGAAGTTACCGACTTCTTTGCTCCGGCACAGTCTAGCGTGGATGCCGTGATTGACTGGCTCGTCTCTGCCGGCATTGATCGCAAGCGCATCAGCCAATCGGCAAACAAGCAGGTAAGTTGTAATTATGTTGAGATATGACTTGAATGCTACATTACCCATTGCATGCACACACACCAAAAGCCAGTGTGCATAATCATCCACTCTTGAGACACACACCTTCATCACCCCTCTTTCTTTTCCTTGAATATGACACTCTAACAACGGATGCTTTATAGTGGATTCAGTTTGATTCGCCGGCTGAAGAGGCCGAGGACCTCCTGGTAACCGACTTTTACTACTGGGAGGACAGCACAGGCTCACACCGGGATATTGCTTGCGAGCAGTACCATCTTCCAGCCCACATCCAGGAGCACGTTGACTATGCGACTCCTGGAATCAGATTGCGCGCAAACAATGTCATGAAGCGCGATGCCAAGAAGCGCAGTGTAGATAAGCGTGCGGTAACAAATGTCCCCGGTCTTCGCGAGGGCCCTCACTTCACCAACAATGTCGCCTACATGAATGCCGTGAACGATGTTCCAGGGGTCAATTCCACCTCTTGCAGCAGCTTCATTACAGCCGATTGCCTCAGAGGTATGCCACTTTAATCTTTCACCAACCATGCGTGCGTGGACTAACATTCTGCGCAGTTCAATACGGTATTGTCAATGGCACGACAGCCGCCGCCGGCAATGAGCTCGGAATCTTTGAGGACTTGAACGATCATTACAGCACAGCTGATCTTGACGCGTTTTTGGCGGCCGTTTACCCGTAAGAAGTCTCTCCTAAATGATTCGCTGTGGAAAAGACTCATTCATCTCTAATGCCGCAACAGCTATCTCGATATCCCCGCCGGGACATATCCTGAGAACCGTTTGGTCGACGGCGCCATTGGATCTTACGAGGACCTCGTGGCCACTATTGGCTCCTCATTTGGCGGTCTCGGACTGGAGTCTTCTTTGGATTTCCAGTCAGCCATTCCCCTCATCTGGCCCCAGACGACGGTCTTGTTCCAAACAAACGACGAGTACTACGAGATTGTGGGAACCGAGGGATTCTTCAACAGTAAGCCAGACGCCCTTCACTCCTCCATACATACTACTTTTCTCTCCGTTATTAATCCGTCTTAGCTTTCCTCGATGCTATTGATGGCAGTTACTGCAGCTTCACCGATGACGGCGAGACTGGAGATTGCACTGACCCTTCATGCGCTGACCCTGTTTACCCAAACCCCAACTTTGACGCGCCTATTGGATACCAAGGACAGAAGCAGTGCGGTGTGTTTAAGCCTACCAACGTCATCTCAGTCTCATACAATGGCATCGAAGATCTCCTCCCCAACAACTACCAGTACCGCCAGTGCGACGAGTACCTGAAGCTGGGTCTTCAGGGTGTTACCGTTGTCTTTTCATCTGGTGACTACGGTGTCGGTACTCACCTGGGCTGCATTGGCCCGAATGCAGAACCCACCGTTGGAATCATCTTTGCTCCTGGATTCCCCCAGACATGCCCATACATCCTCGCAGTCGGCGGCACTGAGCTGAGGCGGGCAGACCCTAGCGCGCCTCCGGTTGAGTGGGAAATCCTCGAGGAGGTGGCCACCACTCAGTTCCCCAGCGGCGGAGGCTTCAGCAACATCTTCAGCGTCGCCGACTACCAGACCGACGCAGTCAACGGCTACTTTGATACAGTGGGATCCTCGTTGCCGTTCGAGTCTTACAACCAGACCATCGTGGACGGCAACTTTGACAACGTCACAGACGTCAACCAGGTGTACAACCGCGGCGGCCGTGGGTTCCCTGATGTTGCGGCCGTAGGAGAGAACCAGCTCATTGTTTACGACGGCCAGTTTGGTACCATTGGCGGAACTTCGCTGTCGACGCCCGTCTGGGGATCTATCCTGACTCTGATCAACGAGAAGCGCATTGCTGCTGGCAAGAGCACTCTTGGATTTATCAACCCAGCTTTGGTAAGTGATACTGAGATTCGGTGGCATGATGTTTATGGAATAGCATAGAAGCTAACACTCTTGCGTTTAGTATCAACACCCGGAGGTATTCACCGATATTACAGAGGGAAACAACAACGGCTGCAGCTCTCCAGATGAGACAACTCTTTGGGGATTCCCAGCTGCTGCTGGATGGGATCCGGTAACAGGACTTGGGTATGTTTCTCTCCTCTCTCGTTTACTTCCATCGTTTTATTCGGCATCAACTAACCTGGGACCATAGATCGCCAAACTACACCGCCCTGGAGTCGGTTCTGGTCGCTCTGTAAGCAAGAGATGCCAATGAAGAATCGGCGTCTATCTGCACACAAAGTGGGATTGCATTCACATGTAGGGAGCAATATCTGTTCAATATGAGGTACTGTGCACAAGTAATCGTGCCGGGTAGTGCCGCGTGGCGAGGACAAATGCATCAGAGGTATACCTAGTAGTAATATTGTATTAGGTAGCTACCTCTTATCATCAAGAAGTAAAATTTTCATCAGAAAATATGTATCACTATGTGTTTCTACGAGAACTTGCAACTTTACATGTAGGCCGACAGCTCAGTCAAGTCTGTCTCCGTAACTGGGGATGAAGTACCTAGTAGGTAACAGTCCGGGCTAGTCGGTAGCAAATATCCTGATGCGGTTTCATAGAGCCACTCTAGTCGCTGTATTTCATCAGATTGCCTTTATTTCTTATAAAGAATGATGTGTTTCAGAGAGTCAAAGCTTGTCTGCCAGGTCCTTATATTTAGTTATTTCTTGCCGTGAGTCTTGAACTATAATGCAAAACACGATAATTCACTAGGTACCTAGGTAGGCAAGGCGGAGGACAGAAAAAGCAAGACAACAAAATGGATAAGTACATCTTTTGCTATATAATTACGAGAGCAGTTACTAGAGAAATACAGATATAGTAGCAGCAATCAAAGAAATATAGATATAGTAGTAAATACTAGAGGAAATATAGTTGTAGTAGCAGAGCGTGGGTGTTTAAAATCTTCTCGGTCTCGGTTTCTGTGTCTTCCGCTTGGTATGTACCTCGATATGGTCAGTCGCTGCGCCTGTAAACTTTATCTTTTGGCATTCAGAAAGTTCCTAAAACGATAGATACCACCCTATTTCCCGCCTCTTACAGATAGACTTTACTTTCATCTTCGCAAACTTTACGGATTTTCCCGGTCACCTCCTATATAGACATCGCTCTGCTCCTTCAGGCTGTCCCTGTAGACCTACCCTCACAAATTTCTCTTCAGAATAACGCCTTTACGATTATCCCATCTAAAGCACCTTCAAAATGCACTTCTCTACCCTCTTCAACATCGGCCTCTTCGTCGCGCCATCGGCAGCTTCAATGCTCGAAGTCTTCCATGGCACCTCTTGCGAAGACGAACCAAACGGAGCAGTGACCCAATTGCTGTATGCTAGCCATGTTGGGTACAGCTTCTGTTCCTTCGCCCATGGTTATGGCACGAGCCTAGTCGTCCGCTCTGGCGAAGAACCCGACAACCCAGATTGGCCATACTGCGAATGGAGATTCTACAGTGATAGAGCCTGCCAGGACCCTGTCGCGACGATGAATCCCGAGGGCCACAATTGTGCTTGTGCAGTCCTCCCCGCTTTCCAATCCTACGA